TTTTTTTGGCCTAGAACCTCTTGACACGTTGAAACGATTGCCTCCTTGAAGAAAATCTGGAAGCAGTCAAGAATAGCAGAATCAGAGGAATAATGAAGTATGTAAAGGCCAACACAAAGAAGGTGTGCAAATGATGAATTCAATGCATGATTTTCGTGTTTTAATTAGCAACTATGTGATTTTGCGTTAAACAATAAATTGGTTTCCTCCTCCTAAGTTCTCGTTTACTTGAATAAATATGGGCTATATGGTTGGTTCCGCGTGATTATCATTGCGAACGTCTTAAGATTTTGGTTAACATGGCTCGAAATCGTTTACAATAGTGCAGATCCATTCACTCTCCATATTTTTCTAGACTATGGTTTCAGAAATCTCGTTATGTCTTCACATACCTTTTCTATATTGAATCGTTTCTAGCATTACTGGTACCACAATTACTGCTACTCAGAGGTTTGTCTTGATCTCACTGTGCTAATGTGGTATTGCAGCTTCAAGTGGGGCAGATATATGCTAGACCCTTTTTTGACATGAAAGGCTGACGGATCACTGAATTCCTTGACTTACAAGCTTTTTCATCTCATTTACTTTACTAGCAGATATCGCCGCTGTTTCCACAGCTTTTTCGATGTCATTCCACTCTGCTTCATGGTGGGTACAACTTATATGGCTGCCTGACTGTTTTTCTAGTTGTTGCTGAATTATATTCATAGCTTGCCTGTCATTAAGTAGAACCCCAAGATGTTTCCTAGCAGCGTCTTTCCTACGTCAAGTAAGACGCAGACAAATACGCACTTGCACTAGAGCATGATCTGAATCTAAGCGTATGCTCAAGAACGAGCGACAGTCTTCTATTGAGCCTCTCCATCGGTAGCTGATAGCGATGTGATCTATTTTGTGTACAACGTTAGGACAAATTCAGGGGTTCACCATGTCAAAAGATGTTTTTCATTATGCTTAAGTTAGTATTTGTTATAAACAGGCGGTTATCTGAGCATAGCTGCGACAGACAGTCGCCACTGTCCGTTCTTTCTTCAGCCACAACATTCCAGGTGTCTTTCCTTTTCGCTTAGTTGACCTATTTGAGCATTGAAGTTACCAGCCACTAATACTACATCGGAGCGCCTAGATTTTCAGAGAAGACCGGAAAGCTTTCTGTAAAATTCATCTTTATATCATCAGAGCTGCAGTCAGTGGGAGAGTTGGCAGAGACGATGAAGAGGCAACGATGAGTGTCCTTATCTTTCCGAATCCTTACTTTTCCGTTTAGTCGGACAGCGCACAAACGACTGTCTACTGAGATCCATTTTGAGAGAGCCATTTCTACCGTATGTCTCAATGATATAACTAAACCCGCGAAGCTACGGGAAACAACATCCGGGCTTACAGATACATGAAGTGTGAATCGAGTTAGTTCTTTATTGTGACATGGTGAGGTCAAATCAGTAACGCTACTCGGAACTTGTATGCGCCTTTCGAAGCCGCAGCACACACCGATGGTGGAAGATTATAAAGTCCTAGCCAAGGAAGCTTGTTGTCCTATTTGGAACAATGTTCGGACGTCAAAAGTTCCTATATATAATTTAGAGAGTGGTTTCGGGAGACCAGAAGTAAAGTTATACATACTCGAACCGTTTTCTCTAGAGGTGCGAGGTGATGAAAGGACGTGAGAAGAGTTAGTCATGGAGATAAGGGAGTTATTAGGAGGTGTAAGAAGTATTTGAATGTGACCGACTTGGCCTCGTGTGTTGTTAAGTGTATGAAGGCTGTTATCACTTCAAGACTGCCCACATCATGGAAGGGTATTTCTTGAGGGACCTTAAAAGGAAGTTGGGTTGGTGTTGGTCTTAACAACTAAGGGAGAATCTGTTCACTGTTCCAGGGGGGGCAATCGAGAAGTGATGTCGAGTCTTACCTATTTTTTTCTTGATGTTGTGGATTTCTGCCTTCCACCCTTTATAGGTACAGCTGGAGCGTTTTCTTGTGTCTGTGAGATGAATTGAAGTTCATTCATGTCACCATTAGGAGGACTAGTTTTTACTTGATTAGGTTTAGTTGGCTGTGTGTGGGTATATGGCTCACATTTAAGTACTTTACTACCTGCATAGGAATTAGAAATATCATTATGTTCTCTGGTGTCGGTTGGAGTGCGCATCTCATCCTCGGATTTCTGATCTCTATGTGTAGCGAACAAAACACTGGTTGGGGACAATCGAATGTATTTAAGCAAACATTACAGACTATCTCGGTAAATTCTGATAACCAAACAATGAACAGTCAATTTGCAAATTAATAACCAATTGTTTCAATCTTCACTGTTTCTTCTCTTATTCCATTGCTCATGCATTTTCCAAACGATTGCGCTTCATTTCAGTTCTTTCCTCATCGGTCTTCTGCCAAAATACATTCTATGTCTGACCCACGCCATATACTACTTATATGGATATAAGTAGACAACACCACATATGCACATCTAGGTTTATGGAGTGACTTGTCATTTGTGTATTCGCATCATGCTCATGATGGATATGTTCGATGCTCTTTACAGTATTAGGAATTGTCCTTAGTTGTTTGTTTATCGCTACTCGACCATGCGTTCATATCGCTTATCGTCTTCCTACACGATGTTCATAAGATTGTAGGTCTGGAGTGACCTTTACGTTTTTATGTGGGATCAAGGAACCAATATTTTTGCTAGAATTATAAACACAGTACAACAATGACAGTATGCATATAACTCATCGAAAATGACGTACGTTATTAAAACTTTGTATGGAGCAATATATTTGGAACCAATAATTTATTATTTCATTGTTAAAAATTTGCGAGGCCAGCTGAATAACGACAACAAACGGTATATGGTGAAGTGTGTACTCGCCAAATGAGCAGGAAGCATTGTCATGAATATGTCATTTCAGTTGGTTTAAAAATACAGTCTACCTACAATTCAATTTGAACAAAAAACTCCGCTATCTTTTCATCAAAGAACGAAAAGAATATCTATCCATTAATTAACAATATTCTGAGTGCTTTTACTCAACCAATCTGTCAAACATATAATTTTTAGTTTATTTCCGGGATTTTCTCAACAAAATCACTTCCGAATTGCAGATGTACCCTCAGCTGACAGTAGTCTCCTTCCTGATAGTTTAGTAATACAACATACTGCTCCTGAGGTTCCTGTTGGTTAACTACAATGGTGCTCATTTACAAGCCCAAAAGTCAAGTATGAAATTTTTGACAGTGGGTACCGCTCGTTCTATTGATGGTAGGAATCAGAATAATAGTAAATAGGTCTTTATTTGATCTTAGAACACAGCAGTTGTAGCGCAAAGTTATCGTTTTAAAACACAAAGTTTCTCAACATTGGAGATAAAATAATAGGAAATATAATGTCTGTACAAAATAAAGAAATGAATGAATACTTGAGCTATAATTTTTTGACATCACTCGGATGTTTTTAGCCAACTCTTAAACAGTCAATCTAAGCTGTTACACCTTCACCACTATGAGGAATCGTGCCCGTAGGCCTATCACTCTGTACCCGTTAAAATCAGGTTCCGCTCAGCATGATCAGGTATCAATATTATCACGCCTTAACGGCTTCAGTTAAAGGATGAGTGTATAAGAGCCTTGATCGTTAATAGTTTGAGTGTCCGCTTAATCATGATGAGGGTAAAATACAAAAATGTGCTCGATTGAAAAAAAATCGGAGAGTACGAAAATAGTATTACGATGTGTAAAAATAGAAGAATATATATAATATCATGACAAGGAAAAGATTTACAGTTTATATTTGGTGTGCTAGATCATGGCGAGCTCATCAATAAAAGGTTTGACAACTGCTTTACACATAACATCATTAAAATTGAGGGATGTCAATGCAGACAAATCATAAGTCAAAAATGAAGGGTTTCGAAGATATATTTTGAAAGCTATCAACATGTTGACAAACGTTTGGTTTAATCTGGCTAGCAGTTGCAAGGAATGAGTAGCACTGCGTACACACTGACCATGGAAGGCAGAATGTTGTTCCATCGCTGAATATTTTAACGTACCTCATACCAACTGGATAGAGATGACAGTTTCATATGGGGGTTTCAATAGCGACCTTCTATCAACCATTATTCTGTGCACACTGGTATACTGTATCGCAAAACCGACAAATAATAACTGGGAACATGATCGGTCATTGCTTTCATTGATCACTAACCTAAAACCTTGTAATATACCAGCCCCTGATGGGTTGCATCCACGGCTGCTGTCATCTCTTGCGGACATTCTTTCTGAACCGCCCGTGACGCTCTTCAACATGTCCCTTCCACTTACTCAACTCTCCAGAGGTGGAGAAAACAATCTCATCAGTATTATATTTAAAGATGATCGGAGACAGATCGTATATAACTATCGGCCTGTCAGTCTAGCCAACAAAGTCGCTAATTTACTTGAAAAGATAATTCGGGTTAAGTTACTAAGTCACATAGATTCGTAAAATCTGTTAACTCCCGAGCAACACGGGTTTAGAAACAAGCATTCATGCTTGACTAACATACTTATTGCGAGGGAGGATTGTACTACAACCCTGGGGAACGGTCTGCCTGTCGATTTTATATTGATAGACTTTAGCAAAGCGTTTGACAAGGTTTCACACTTGGGTCTTATGCAGAAGCTCTCGAACTTCAGAATAACAGGTCTGTACAGGAATGGATAGGAAATATTTGAGGTCACAGAAAGAAGGTTCACAAACCGCGATCTAATAAACTTAAAGGGGAGGGTCCTGTTTTTCTCATCAAGTGATCAATGACTGGAACGCCTTAACCGAACGAGTAGTATCAGCTCCACCAGTGTGCATTTTCAAGGAGGAGCAGAATTTTCATTGGAAGACAAACTGTCAGGATTAACACAGGTCCACTAACCTACTATCCTTATTACTGAACACTGAAGACCAAGAACCAACCAATGCAAACCCAGTGACCTCGCGCAAATTTTAACTGATAATAGGCATGGTTAAGAGGTTTGTTATTCTTGTTGGTTTGCAACATTGTTGGTAGGAATAAACGTAAATCAAAGGTACTTGGGCCGTGTACAGAAGAAACTACAGTTAAAAGCCCAGAAGATAACTGTATTACAACTCATGAATGGTAATTAATGAATTTTATGATATATTCTGAGGACCGACAGCAAGAAAAATTCACTTGTACTTTTTTCGCGTCTTATTGATGTTGAAGTTGCTGTCAAGCAGTCCCTAGAGAGATATGAACCTATCCTTATTGCAGGTCCTGTTGGCTGTGGGAAATCATCACTAGCAAATAAACTTGCTAAAGAATATTGCAATGTAATTTGTACTATTCAAATTAGTGAGCATACAGATGCAAAGGTAAGTGAAGTTTTCTTAGTTCCTTTGGCAGTTTTTAACTTACTTATTGGTCGCAGTATTTTGAAGGACGATCGGTATTTTCTGTTCTTATCGTCCACTCTGTATGTAAACTTCCAGATGTGGTTTCATTTATTCAAACTGCGATTACAAAGTAGTTCACTTTTATGAAAGAAGTGCGATCACTTTTGTTTTTTCAGTCTACACCATGTAAAGAGTGAACTTTAATCGAGATACGTACTGGTGTTTCGTTTAAAATATTCATTGAGATACCCTAATTCGTGCTTTGAGATCCTTTAAATTAAGAGACAACTAAAGACTCGTTTTAGTTTCACGTAGATAGATTTCAGAGTCAAGTCCAACAAAGTAGTTAATTGACTTTTAAACCAACTGGCCCCCAGTGATTTCTCCATAAGTAAGGTCATGCATGTTTTAACCAGTCTCACCAATAACTACTGGACAAAGATATTGGGTTCCAAAGTCTTTAGTGAAATTTGTCTTATCATTAAAGGAAGTCCCTTCTGTATTTCTAAACGTAACATCGCTTTTGAACTAATCGATTACGATCACTTATAAATGTTATATCTGATATTGAAATATACTTCCCAAAATAATTATTTTCGGTTTAAAGTGGCTCACTTTCTTTAGTCCTGTTGTAATAAGTTGGATATGGGAAGACATTTTGTTATTTGGCTGTTGAAAAGTCTTCAACAGAATGTTGTTAAACAGAATGAAGGACTCCGTAGACACTCAACTTAGACACAAACAGGCTGGATTCCGTATGGATGGATCGTGTACAGACAAAATCGCAACTCTGCGGATCATTGTGGAACAATCAATTGAATGGAATTCATCACTTTACATCAACTTCATTGATTACGAGAAGGCATTTGATAGCGTGGACAGGACAACACTATGGAGTCTTCTTCGACACTACGGCGTGCCTGAGAAGATAGTCAGTATCATACGGAATTCCTATGACGGACTAAACTGCCAAATTGTGCATGGAGGACAACTCATTGACTCGTTTGAGGTAAAGACCGGTGTTAGGCAAGGTTGTTTACTCACCCTTTCTCTTTCTTCTGGCGATCCACATGATTATGAAGACGTCAACATCTGGAGGGAAGCATGGTATACAATGGACAACTAGGATGCAGCTGGAAGATTTAGACTTCGCAGATGATCTGGCTCTTCTATCACAAACGCAACAACAAATGAGGGAGAAGACGACCAGTGTAGCAGCAGCCTCAGCAGCAGTAGGTCTCAACGTACACAAATGGAAAAGTGAGATTCTCCGGTACAATACAACATGCACCGATCAAATGACACTCGATGGAGCTTTGGAGGATGTGGAAACATTAACATATCTGGACAGCATCATTGATGAACATGGTGGATCTGATGCAAATGTGAAGGCGCGTATCGGCAAAGCAAGAGCAGCATATTTACAATTGAAGAAGATCTGGAACTCAAAAAAATATCAACCAACACCAAGGTTAGAATTTTCAATACAAATGTCAAGGCAGTTCTACTGTATAGAGTGGAAACTTGGAGGACTACGAAAGCCATCATACAGAAGATACAAGTGTTTATTAACAGTTGTCTACGCAAGATACTTCGAACCCGTTGGTCAGACTCTATCGGCAACGTTCTACTGTGGGAGAGAACAAACCAGATTTCAGTGGAGTATGAAATGGCAACTGGAACTGATGTACGTACGTACGTACGTACGAAGTTCTACGTTGTGACTGACTGACTGGAGGAAAGAAATCAGGATCAAGTGCTGGAAGTGGATATAGCACACATTAAGGAAAGAACCCAACTGCGTAACAAGGCAAGCCATCACATGGGATCCTAAAGGTCAAAGGAAAAGAGGAAAATCACAACACATTACTCCGAGAAATGGAGACAAGCTTGAGAAGAATAAACAAAAGTGGGATAGAACTAGAAAGGAAGGCTTAGGACGGAGTGGGTTGGAGATTGCTGGTCGGCGGCCTATGCTCTATCGGGTATAACAGGCGTAAGTACTTTTGTGAAGCCCAGAGTATAACTGTCGCAATAGCCTAACGTTTTGTTTTCTTAGGATCCAAAAGTGATTGACCAGTCGCCTGTAAAGAAATCATTTTCGTTCCCTTAGTGACACCTGAAACTTACAACTCATCCTTTCAAGTCTTCATTAATTCCCTCATTGTGACTATATTTTATCGAGGTTTATTTCTGCAATATTGCAGAAATATTTTAAGCTTAGTCTAGCATAACCATTTTTCAAGAAAGTATCATTAAGTGTTTATATATTGTGTTATATCCCCTGGTGAATTATGAATCGTAAATCTGAGGTCTATTATCGACCAATGTATTATGACTATTTCTTATTGTACAGTTGTTACGTAACTAAATTATTCATATTTGTGTTTCTCTTATCATTAGCTTTATTTTGATCTTTGATTTATGATCATACGATTCTTGAGTTATAATCAGTTTATTGATTACTTTGGTTTGTATATAAACCCAGTGTGTTTGTAAATAATGATTCATATTGCCGAGGCTGTTATTTGTGTTCTGGACTCAACTGGCTGGGCTAGGCAGTTAGGAAGGACCGAATAGCAATCGAGACTGCTCAGGGCATACGTTATAGCATATTGTTAATGCATACATTATTGTCATTTCTTCGACTCAATAATTTTAGTAAAAAAACGCATTCGTATGTATAATGAGTTCAACCAACCTCAGTAAAGTCACACGTCAAAAGTTCCAATAACTTTACTCTAGATATCAAATGTTTATTTTATCAGACTCTTCTAGGAGCTTACTGTTGTACTGAAATACCTGGACAGTTTACATGGCGTCCAGGTCCTCTGATTTCATCAATAGAACAAGGTCATGCATTAGTCCTGGAAGATATTGATCGTGGTTCTCCTGAATTGCAGCTATTAATCACTTCTGTGTTGAGGAAGCTAAGAAGTTATTCAGTCAATTCAAAAAACATACTATTAAATCCTGTTTCTGGTAATCCAATCACTCATCATCCCAATTTTCGCTTGTTAATGACAAGACGTTTTATTTCATGTCATGGTGAAGATTTTCGCCAAGAATCTGGAAACATATTGGCTGAGTTTTTGGACCGTTACTGTTTTGTGATCACGCTGCCAAATTTTTCGAAAGATGAAACAAACCTAGTAAGTTGAGTTATTTATTTTTGCAAGTAAGTGTTTGCTCTTCATTGATAATTTTGAAGATTTTGCAAATGAAATACTATTTGATATGTATTTGTATTCCTTCTATTGGAACCCACGAGTTATCATTATTATAAAGTTTCAGATGGACTGAAATTCATTTTAATCATTAGGGAAATAAAGTGATTTGTAATTGTAAAGTATCCGTAGTTTTTCTAAATATGTTTCCATCTTCTAAATTTTTAAATCTTTCACTGATTTACCATTATTTGTTTAATCTCTAGCTTATTAGTCATCAGTATCCAACACTTGTTCCTTTCATTGATCGCATAATGAATATTTATTCATATGTCATCAACTCCTTCCGAAATGCTAATACTGTTATACAAAGTACTATGAATTCTTCTAGACTACGAGGAATATCAGTTAGAGATTTATTAAAATTTTGTTCACGTATATCGACGTTAACTGAAAAGGAGAATTTTTCCGAATTGTTGCTACTAAATGCTGTCGATTGTTTCTTATCCTCAATGTGCGATTCTATAAAACAACTTGAAATAGCTTGTCGACTAGCTGGTGAATTGAATTTATCTGTTGAAAATGTAGGTTGGATCTTTTTAAAATTTGACTATTATTATTATTTTTTTGTAACATGTTCACGTTATTAGGGCATAAATTACGCTTACTGTTTTCATTTTAAACTGTTGTGTAGATAAGTATAGCTTTATGTACTCGACTATTAGTCTCATATTTTCGTTAGAGTTAGTGATAGCTGACCTAATACATATATAAGTCAGCTCAACTTGTCACACAATATAGGCACTGATATAAAATCGTCAGAACAGATCTAAGAGTAATAGAAATAGCAACAGTATTGTCAGTTGTAGTAGGAAACTTTAGACATGTTTAATATATTCGAAAAGGGAAAACAAAACAGTGAAGTAAAGAGTACACGATAACTTTGAAAGGGCCCCCAAATGCCCTGGTACGGCCGAGAGTGAGGAGAGTCTGCTCTCCCTCTCGAAATGCTCTAATATGGCCACGCGAATATATAGCCTCTGCCAGGGAAGTCCTACTCACTGCCTTCTCGTGGCGGGGGTGTTGTTCACAAAAGTGAGAGGACGAAAAGCGAATGTCCGGCGCTTTAACCGGGTTGGTGGATGTGGAGGATCCACCTAGGGGAGTTGGAAAACCCTGATTCCAAACCAGTGGTGCACATGGGTTCCAGTATCCTGAGGAAACAAATGGCGTACGAATCAATCATTGATCACCGGCTGATCACGATGCTCCACTGCCTTGTGGACTAGACCTTTAGGTCAAAGGCTCCGGGTGTGGCCCCCTAAGAAAACCACCTGCTTCAGTCTGGGCACCTGGACAGTATCACAGCCCTCACACAAACCGAATGGGATTTGTGAGGCGCATATTTGTCTGGTGCTTTTTTGTACTAATATTTATGTGTTTAAATAAATAATAAATAAATAAACTTTGAAAGGGAGGACAAAGAGTGAATACATATGGGTCACTGTGACGTATTCTTAGACGCACCACCCAGATTCTCTAACCGTTGATCAGGATGATCACCAGTAGGGTCAACTAAACGAATACATGGCATCTGTTCATGAAGTCCGTAATTGCCGGTCTGAGTTATATTGGTAAATACAGACTACCTGGTTGAGGTTCACGTGATAACCGAGATGAGTTTTTGGAAACTTTGAGTGACATTACTTGAAATCGTTCACAGTGACACCGACGTATTTACTCTTTATCTTCCTCTCGATTTTGAATTGCATTATTTGTTCGCACATATCTTTTCATTCTGCCTTTTTGAACCATATTCTTAATTCTTAGTCTCTATTCTTTGCTATAATTGTTACTTGTTCATTTTATTTATTTAAACATAAACATCGGTACAAGAATACACCAAAGATATATGCGCCACACTTCGTCATTCGATTTGTGTGAGTGACGGGGTACTGCCCGGACTCCCAAACTGAAGCAAGTGGTATTCTTAGGAGGTCACTCCCTGAGCCTTTGATCTAGTAGTCTAATCCACAAGGCTGTAGAACAGTCCAATGTTAGCCGGTGACCGACAGTAGGTTCAGACACCATATGTTCTCTCAGAATCTTGAAGCCGATGTGCACCACTGGTTTGGAATTGTGGTTTTCCAAATCCCCTAGGTTGATCCTCCGTGCCCTAATAACCAGCTCCAGACATTCGCATTTCATTCTTTCAATTTCGTAAACAATACCCCCGATAAGAGAAGGCAGTGAGTAAGACTTCTGTGTCAGTGGCTGTATACGCATGACCACGTGATAGCATTTGGAGATGGAGGGCGGACTCTTCGCACCCTCGGTCGCACCAGAGCATTTTAAGCGTAATTGTTGCTACTTTATTGCAATCTCTTTTGGTAATCTCATGTCGCATACTAATCGAGTATGACAACTTGAGGCAATGCACATCTGTGGTAGGCTCTAGGTCGATGATGTCTGGTGACTGACCGACAGTTGACTGGACTGCAACTTGACAGTCTGTATTTGTCCACATGGTTTAGTCCATCAGTCAATAGTTCCAAGGATTGATACCTTTTTTGTTTAACTGGCCCTAGTTTTCTTGCAACCTATTCCTACACTAGCCAACTCCGCATGTCGAGGTAGCCGGTGGATGGGTGTATTTACTACACGTTCCCACCACCTCATCCGAGAATTTACCATATCATCAGCGATTTCCTTTCTTTACTGAAGAACGTGTACTTAACCGCTCGTTTGTCCAAACTTACGCGAGTATTGTGATCAAATATTAGCAAGCAACGAGTATCTATTATTGATTGTTATGTTTCATAGCTATAGATTAGAAGGAAATAATCTTCTGAGCAGCACACTCATATTTTACTTGGGAGATAAACATCTCACATACTTCACAAGTGGCAAAACTTGGCAAAAACCAAGTGAGCTTACTGAATCCATAAGCTGGTGATATGACCCGTAAGCAGACTCTTCTGTCAAAAAGTTGAATGCTTCAATCCCCAAACCGTTGCTTTACGCTCATTTTATAAAACCCAATAACAGTCCCTGAATTTTACAACTCCAGTTGCTCTTATAGCTAAATAAATGAGATATAAACAGTTCATTAATCAACTCAAGGTTTATTCAGTTGGTCAGTTAGCCATCAATGTAGACTTATTCACTAGGTTGAAAAACTTATCTCTTGTATTAAAAGTTTAACGATGCTAATTGACCTTCCAAATATTGCTAACAAAAATAGGTTTCTAATTCCACCTCCTTCATATTTTTAAAATACGAGTGTGTAAACTACTGAGCCACAGTACTTGTTGTTAACTCACTCGTGACTTCAGTCTAGTGGTATAACAGTTCCTCACATTACATGCGTTTCTCATAGCTTAGCTAATAGAAGTGTTCCTATTTGTATTATTTGTTATCGTTTATCGGGATTTTAACATTTGTTATTATTTCCAGGCAAGAAATATTTTGTGCTGTAGATCAGTCGAAATCAGTTTACAGCCTCAAAAAAGTGTTTTAAAGGTTGGTCGCACTATTCTTCCATGTCGGAGAACTCCTGAATGGGAAATCAAAGTGTCTGGGTAGGGTTGTTTTTTAAGACCACTATCATTCTTTGTATTATTTACAGTGACAGACTAAATTCTTTACTTTTTGATTTGTTCATTTTCGTAATTGATGTTATAGATTAAGTTTATACAGAGAGTCAAAAGAAGTTTGTGGATAATTTCTATCTCGTATTGATGCCACTTAGAAAATCCTTTAAATTCCAATAGGTATAGTAATTTAATAATATCGTGTCTACCGCAACAAATTGTGGTTATGGATACCAATCCTTTGTAAGATCTTCGGTACACTAGAAGTTTTATGAATCCCTCTACACGCCATTCACTAATGAGCACGTAAATTTTATAAAGTTAATTCCCATTATTTATTTGTTTACTTTCTCTCGGCAAAAGTTTTGGTATATGTCATGAAAAGGGTGCTTCACATAAAAAGGAGACTGTGCTCGAGTAATATAAGAACACTGCCATAGGCATCTCTCCTGAGTCATGACTGATAACATCGCAAGCCATTTAGTGTTGCATGATTATTGAAATTTCAATTAGAGAATCATGATAGGTGAACAGATCCCAATTCTACACAACTGTCTTTCGCTCCACAGGATCTTATCCTAAATTGACTACTATCCCAGCGTTAAGAAGTACTATGTAGTGTGGAAAGCATTCGGAAGCCTTTTGTAAAATGTGTTCTTCTACGGTGTAGGCAGCTGGGAAGTGACAACCAACCTCAGACCTATAACAACACACGACATCGCCTCATCCATAATCAAACCCGATATTCATCACAAAATATTACTTTTACTTCTACTGTCAATCTCCGCCTGCTTTCGAATTTTTACACATGTCCCACCACTGTTGACTATTGAACTTCATAAAGTACTCTCTCAGGTCTCCTGAAATTGCTCTTCAAACTGAGTGTTGTTGGGGTTTTAATTTCTGAACCTTATATCTTCCAAGTCATTGAAGCCGATGTTTTAAGATAAAAATATCAACTAAGTTATTATTATTACATCTAGACACTCGTTATCGGAGTTTCCACCGGACGTGAGTCATACATCCTAAATTAACTAACTTAATATTAGCTGTAAAATTATTGATTATGTTTATCTTTATTTATCCATTGGTTATCTTTTCATATGTATAGTGGAAATTCTATACTTCAAAGCTCCAACGATATCATTTGGCCATTTGCTTCTACTCGTTTATCATCTTTCTTATTGGAACGATTAGCTGTTGCTGTACAGCATAAAGAACCTGTCCTACTTGTCGGTGAAACAGGAACTGGTAAAACATCTACAGTCCAACGACTTGCATATCTCACAGGTCATCGTTTAAGAGTAATCAATTTAAATCAACAATCAGATAGTGTTGATCTAATGGGAGGGTAGGTGCTTTATTTTTCTCTCTCACTCTGTCTATACAATAAAATGTATTCAGTTTTCAACTTTATTTTATTTATTTATTTAAACACAGAAATATTCGTACAAAGGAGCACCAGATATATATGCGTCACACAAATCTCATTTGATGTGTGTGAGGGCTGTGATACTGCCCAGGTGCCCAAACCGAAACAGGTGGTTTTCTTAGGAAGCCACACCCAGAGCCTTCGACCTAAAGATTTGATTCACAAGGCAGTGGAGCATCGTGAGGAGATGCAGTCTCATGGTAGCCGGTGACCGACGATTGATTCATACGCCATTTGTTCTCTCAGAATACTGGAGTCCATGTACACTATTGGTTTGGAATCAGGGTTTTCCAACTCCCCTAGATGGACTTTCCATGTCCACCAACCTGGTTAAAGCGCCGGACACTCGCTTTTCATCCTCTCAATTTAATAAACAACAGTATTGCCACTGTGAGAAGGCAGTGAGTAGGACTTCCCTGGCAGAGGCTTTCTTAATATTATTGTATATTACATTTTACATCCTCATATTACATTCCCATATTATTTTTTCTCGTATATACTTTTTCTTTTTTTCTTTTTAAAATTTCAGATTTAAACCTGTAGACTTTCAAGTTTTCGTACGACCATTACGGGAAAAATTTGAATCACTTTTCACGTGTACATTTAAATTAGATAATAATCTAGTTTTTCTTGGTCATATAAATGTAAGTTTATTATGGAAATTACATAATCTATTTAGCTTAATTTATATAAGAACTTTTGTTTAAATTAGAACAAATAGTTTCATAGTATTTATTCGCCGAGTTGATGTAAGACGACATTAAATAGGAAGAAGAATAGATTTGTAAATTCTCAGCGAAGTGAATTTGAAGTAAATCCAACGTTTCACCTGTCAATCTGGTCTAAGCTTTTTCAAGGAAATATAATCAAACGTCAAAATGATCGAATATTGTTATATCTTCTGGTTGAGTAGATGCCTAATTAATGAATAAAGTGATAAGTCCGCCACCCAGAGAGCAGCGAATTATCGATTGGAACAAAGACACACAAACACCGTACGAGCAGTCTAGAGTGCTTATCGATCCTGCTCCTGCCTAGCCCAGCCAGTTAAGTACAGAACACCAATAACAACCTCTGTGGTATGAATCCTTGCATTTCAAACATACTGAGTTTATATACCAAACACACTGACCATATCGTGCCAATAAAATGGAAAATAACATGTGTGCAAGACTTGCCAAATGTGGCTGTGAATAGGGGGAGCAGTAATTAATGGACTGGGTATAACTCAGGAATGGTAAATCGTACAATAATAGTCCAAGGGTCAAAATAAAGCTCACAATGAAAGGAATATGAATATGAGTAGTTTAATTATTTAACAAATATACGATAAAAATGATATGCATAATATTGGTCCATAAATGGATCCCAAAGTTACCATTCACTATTGTTATCCGGATATAAATAGGTAGTACATGGTTCTTTGTTTCATTGTACATTGAATAGGTCATTCAATCAACGTTAAAAATGTTTAAACATCACAAGTCTCTTACACACTAATACATATACCTAGTTTAAACGTTTTCAACGTTGATTGAATGATTTATTCAGTGTACAATGAACCGAAGAACCATGTACTACCCATTTACATTCGATCATTTTAATGTTTGATTATATTTCCTTGAAAAAGCTTGGACCAGATTGCCAGGTGAAACGTTGGATTTACTTCAAATTCACTTCGTTGAGATTTTACAAATATATTCATCCTATTTACTGTGTTGGTTTAATTAAGTAATAATATTTTTGTTGTTTATTTCAATCACGATTGATGTTATTGATATATTCTGTAAAACAAAACAACTATATTGGTAATACTACTGTATATGTTTAAGTAGTTATTTTTTCTATTAAAAAAATTTGTATTATCGTTAGAATACACAGATTTTGATTGAATGATTAATTACACACCTCCGAGTGTGGGGAGAGTCCACTCTCCCTCTCCAAATGCTCTCACATGGCCACGCGTATATAACCTCTGCCAGGGTAGTCCTACTCACTGCCTTCTCGTGGCACTGGTGTTCTTTACGAAATTGGGAGGACGAAAAGCGAATATCCGGCGCTTTAACCAGGCTGGTGGACGCGAAAAGTCCGCCTAAGTAAGTTGGAAAACCCTGATTCCAAACCAATGGTGCACATGGACTCCAGTATCGTGAGGGAACAAATGGCGTATGAATCAATTGTTGGTCACCGGCTACCATGAGACTGTATCTCCTCACGATGCTCCACTGCCTTGTGGATCAGATCTTTAGGTCGAAGGCTCTGGGTGTGTCCCCCTAAGAAAACCACCTGCTTCCGTTTAGGCACCCGGGCAGTATCGCAGCCCTCAAATCAAATGAGATTTGTGTGACGCATATATATCTGGTGCTCTTTTGTACGAATATTTCTGTATTTAAATAATAAATAAGTAAAATAGAATAGCCCACTATGTTAACTTATTTATAGGCAAAATTAAAGTTACTTTCTAGATAAAATAACCATGATAAAGGTTACACAATATGCTTGCTTTATTTTCATACGTAATAGTGTTTTTTATCAACAGGTTTTCCTATTCATAACATTTCAGACGTAAAATTATTTGAGTAATATCGTGAAGATTTGAACAGTTATGGTTGACACAATCAATCATCAACGTAGAATTGGACACGAGTGTACATTTTAGCTCAAGTTGACACATTTCACGTTATCACGAGTGGAAACCAACAGAACGAAATAATATTGGAATAGATGAAAATGTAAACATGTGTGATACAGCGCAAAAGGAATAAATACAATCAAAGAGTAGAATGCTAGAATTATTCTTAACTTGAGTTTTTGGAAAATAGAGAATTGTTGCATCTATGTCATTCTGACTGATTTTATGTCATACCATCCAAATAAACAAAATAAAAATTTTTGTAGGAGAAAGTCCGCAGGACTTTAGTTTTACGAGGGGTAGTAGTTGACACTTACCGGTTCTCTAAACTATGGAAAGGATATTTCCTCTTGTGGAGCCTAAAAGCGAAGCCAGATTGATGCTGAAGGTTTTGTCGATTGGTGAGCGTGACCCCAGATAAACTACTTGAAGTTGGTAACACACAATCTTTTTCTAAGTTGTTTTTCTTCTGTTTACTCCGTAGTTTGCAGACCTTACGCAGAGACAATCAATCTGTGAAACAAGGAGGTGTGGGCTATTTTTAGGGTAAATCCTTTCTAATTCACTCTTACATCATCATTAAGGCAGTGCTTTTGAAGATGCTGGTTATTCATAGAAATATCCTTGCCGCCACCGTTAGGACCTTCACCCTCATGCATCTAACGTCCATTTCACTGCCTCTCAACTGACGTGGTCGACAAAGTAGGGCAAGTCTTCCATTCTCTATTAGTTCGGCTGGGTTATCACAATAGGCAAGCAAAACCAACCTCCTGAAGGTGTAGATGCTATCTTTGGGAGGGGGAGAAAGTGAAAAACTTAAATATTTATTAGGTATATTGATATCCCTTACACTGAATGGTGAAAACTGTCGATCGGCGTTACAAATGCAAAATAGTTTGACAACCGAAACAAAAAAATACTACGTACATTTTGTAGTTTGATATTGAAGATCGCTATTTTTCCGTAGATTTGTTTAAAATCATATGTATTCTGCTACATTTTTATTAATTTAAAGAATATTTTTTCGTAGACTTGTTTTCAATCTGGACGTTGGCTTGATTTAATCACTTTAATGCGCCATCCAGCTCGTGTGGCTGTTCAACGTGATTCATCAGTTGATACTTCAGAATGGATTAAATTTTTAAATGATCTGACTATCCTAGAGAAACGTTTAGAAAATATTACAAAATCAAATAAACCTGGATTAGGATTTGCTTTTATTGAAGGTGCTCTAGTTCGTTCAGTGCAAGATGGTGATTGGATACTGTTGGATGAAATTAATTTAGCTCCAGCTGAAATGCTTGATTCACTAAGTGGTCTATTGGATTCCGAATACGGTAGTCTTATCTTGACAGAGCGTGGGTAAGTCTTACTTGAAATGGTATTTATTTCAAGTGATTGTGAAGAGATTTTCGATTTACTTTAAGATGTTCCTCAAGTTTTAGTAAAAAGTTGTAACATGTGGAGTTCAAAGATATTGAGCGTGAAACAATTGTCATCAGTAACGTTAAATAATCGTTACTCTATATCATAAATTGATTTGATATGAAATTGTCTGATGATTCCAGAACCTGATCTCAAGTTGGGTTATTAGTATGTAATGAAACAACTGTCCAATACCCCTAATTTGCAATGGTAATAGAACCGAAATGAACCTGCAACTAATACTACCTATAAAATGGTGATTGTTAGTGTCCGTCCTGGTGTATGTGCAGATGTATATGTATTGAGTGGTTAAACAATTTAATCACCAGGTTTAGAAAAAAAGTACAGTCTATGAAATTAGGAGACACCCGTAGGTGTTTTCGAAGCACTTCTCGCCTTTCGTAAAATGAACGAGTAGACAAGGTTGAGGTTAAACATAGGATATTTGGCAAAGATGGCTGACCGGTCGATGAAGTAGTGAATCTTTGTCAGCTGAGATGGTTAGAGCATGTATTATGTATACCTGACCACCGCATATCTTGACGTGTGATTCCTACTAGTGCAGAAGTAGGTTAGAAGAAAGCCAGTGTCAGCTAAACGAATATATGGCATCTGTTCATCACAATTGGTTTTGCATCGGTTTCTATGGTATTCGTAATCAGAATTGTAATCGTCACCTTATTGTTGTTTGCTCCATTCACATTTTGAATAATCGATCAGCTTTAATAGTGTTTATGCTTTTAGCTTGAATCAATTAAGTGAACTATGGATTAATTTTAAGTTGATCCTTCTAATGTAATTGATTGAATGGTTCTGAGCATTGCCTATCGCCTGTCCGCTTTATTTTTTTGTCTATTTGCGTTTTTATAAATTTAGCGATAATGAATCAATAAAACGTCATCCGGACTTTCATTTATTTGCTGCTATGAATCCAGCTACAGATGTCGGTAAACGTGAATTACCTGTTGGACTTCGTAATCGTTTCACTGAATTTTACATTCCTGAATTAGATCCTTGTATTAATGTTAATAAGTCAGAAGCATCGACGGATTCTGATTCTAGTCGTCATATTGAAGTTCTACGCTCAAATAATTGTGAGGATTTAGTCACCTTAGCTCGTTCCTATTTAGTTGCATTGAATCCAACTCCATCGCAATTATCAACTATTGTACGACTTTATTCAGCTTTGAGACAAGCTGCTGTTGAGGGTTTGGTTGATGGTGTAGGTCAAAGACCACATTTCAGGTGAATTTTAATTGTTTACCCTTGTTCTATTATTTTCAACCATATTTTCGGAAGATAATTCAGTCTAGAATATTATATAGATTTTAACGACCATACCCTATTCCTTAAGTTGACATGTTTACACACTGTCATCGGATTGAATTTATTGTTTGATGGAAATAATTATGAAGGTATTTTATAATGGTTAGCACCTTACGCTAGTTGTTGATAACCTTGATCGGAATTTAGGGCATATTTATGTTAGTGTCTCTAATGTGGTTAACGCACTCAATTTTCAACTGTTTGGTTAGATATTCGGACCCCATTTTATCCAAATAGTGTGATTGGGTAGTATAATTAGCCTTCACGAATAAGTATAGCGTATACTGTATTATTTATAACAATGTAATGTGACGTAGTGTGCGTATATCGTAGTGAACAGGGAATACGTCAGGAATAGTCTGACCTTTATTCAGTTTAGTTTTATCCCAACCGCTAAACGACCCATGGACAAGATAAAGTTTTTGCAAAACAGTCTCCTTTTCTTCATTTATTGTAATCCTATCACCGTTGTCTTTCTTTCTCTCTAGTCTTCGAACATTATGTCGAGCCTTAATTGAAGCTGGTCGTGGCTATCATGGAAGTATCTTACGTTCCTTGTATGAAGTAAGTTAGTTCTTTGTTTCTGTGCACCAAATTACCTTTTAATTTTTGATGATAATGTAGAATGTGTACTTGTTTGAAAACTTATGATTAGTAAAAACCAATCAATTTAGTTGAACCGCTTTATCTAAATTTGCTCAGTAGAACATATTGTTTACCCAATCACTTTGTCTTATTATTTCGGTGTACTTAATTATCTAAAAACACATTAGAAGCCGAAGTCATCGATTAGAGTGACTGATACAGCAGGCTAATGAGATATTAGCCAAACTATGAAGGTACACAATTGGCCAAGATATGTTTTTTTATTTTCTAAAAAATAAGACATAACTCCACTGGAGGTATATATCTACATATACATAAATGATTTTACGATCATTTCTCCATTCCCATGATTAATGAAAGCTTCCTTTTCAATCGATTAACTAGTTAGGGTTGTGAATAGGAAAGTTGTTTTTCGATATCAAAACTAGATACTATACAATGCGGTAGACACCCGCTAAATTTGTGTAGAATAAATTTTTCATTTTAGATTAGACCAGTAATTTTTCAGTTTGTTCTTTCACTGTAATCTGTGGTTCTGATATCTTAGACAACGGGTTATTTTTGAACAGTTGATGTTTGTTGGATAAATTATTTATTTAATTATTTAAATACAAATATTGGTACAAAGGGGTACCAGATATATATGCGCCACACAAATCTCATTTGATGTGTGTGAGGGCTGTGATACTGCACGGGTGCCCAAACTGAAGCAGGTGATTTTGTTAGTGGGGCCACAACCAGAGCCTTTGACCTAAAGATGTGATCCACAAGGCGGTGGAGCATCGTGAGGAGATGCAGTCTCATGGTAGCCGGTGACCAACAATTGATTCGTACGCCATCTTTCGCTCAGGATACTGCAGACCATGTGTACTATTGGTTCGAAATGAGGGTTTTCCAACTCCCCTAGATAGACTTTCCATGTCCACCAGCCCGGTTAAAGCGCCGGATATTCGCTTTTCGTCCTCTCGATTTCGTAAACAACAGTAATGCCACTGTGAGAAGGAAGTGAGTAGGACTACCCTGGCAGAAGCTGTATACGCGTGGCCATGTGAGAGCATTTGGAGAGGTAGAGTGGACTCTCCCCACTATCGGTCGTACCAGGGCATTTGGGGGCTGTTGGATAAGTAATTATTGAACTGATAAATCAGCTTCCATCGTTACAAGGTCAACGCGACCATAAAAAAAATCGGGAATTTACACCACTACGATGCTATCAACTTTGGTAAGCAAAGATGGATAGTGGCTAGCAGTGGAATCCAGGACGCGTGTTTCGTCCTATTTGGGTCTCGCCAGCTGGATGTACCTGCATCTCAGAGTTGATGATCACTCTGGGACTCGAACTCAGTAACTTTCGCTCCAAACTTCATCGCGTTATCCACTCGGCCACTGAGTCCTGATAGCCACTTGCTTGTGCAATGGGGTGAAGTTTAAATTCACTTAGTATTGTTTGTTTGAATCTTCCCATCGATGTGTTAGGGCTGCAACTGGTCAATCTCTAGTTGCTAGCCACTATCCATCTTTGCTTACCGTGCTTGTGAATTTAGACTGTATCAAGGCAATACAATATGTACATATGCGAATTAGAGACTGACCAGTTTTAGTCCTAACACATCAATGGGAAGATTCAAACAAACAATACTAATATATACAATACAAATATATTATTCCTATTTAATGTAATACTAAGTAAAGCTATCAATTTTGTTTTATTTGTGAAATTTTTGAGTTAGAAGTGTTTAGCGGCTTTTTCTTTCTCTATTTAACCATTTGGTGGCTATACCATGTAAGTATTACAAAGAATAATTAACGTTTATTTAGACATAATGAAAATGATGTTTCTGCTAGTAATACCATATTAAAATTGCAGTCAGTCAGTCAGTCAATCAGCTACAATGTAGGACCAGGCAGCAGTTGATATTCGTTGCAATGCTATCCACCTTGATAGAAATATGGGAATAGAAATAACTCCAATTTTTCTCATATACTAGATTTAGTATATTCTTCTTAGCCATGTCAATTATAGTCTCCAACAATTGGTTACGATAGTCTCGCGGACTCCAACCAAGTATTCTGCATCTAGCAACATGGCTCACACCAGAAGCTAGTGACTTCAAGCACTGATGCCACGTTTTGGTTTGACCTCCCCTAACTCTCTTCCAACCATCCCCTACACTAGTCAGCATTGCGCGTCGTGGTAATCGGTGTTCAGGCATACGTGACACGTGGCCTAACCATCTCAGTCGATGAAGATTTACAACTTCCTCAATTGATTTACCATCATTCTCTAATATCCTGTTGTCTAACCTCATTATTACTTACCCGATGATCCCATCAGATGTGAGCAATATTTCTAAGACATCTGAGGTAAAATACTAGTAACTTACGAGTATCTTCTACTCTTTATGGTCATGTTTCTCAGCCGTAAAGTAGAACAGAGTGAACTGCTGCGCACACATATGCATCGGTCTAAGTTATCATACCTCGTTATCACAACAAATTAAAATTTCTGTGTTTTATGATTTAATTATGTTTCATGTATATTGTCCCATGGGTTTTAACCCCACATAGTATGCGCTCATGTTTGATCTAGGCTGAGTAATGGAAAATTGTTTGTCAATATCTAATATAACGTTACATTATCATTACTATTATATACATCATACATTATGTATTTCTTATGAAATTAACAAGTCACCTTATATCTTTTCTTTTTTTTAGGGTTTACTTTTTAGTTTTGGTTCACAAATTTGTCGAACATCACGACCAATTTTAGATACTTTAATTCAACGTTATTTATGCTCTGGTTGGAATAAAGATTCATCATCATTATTACGCTTATTAAATACTCCATTACCTATACCTCAATTAAATAATCCAACTGTAACTAATCAATATTCCAATGATTATTTTGTCAATGTTGAAGGATATTGGTTACCAAAAGGTTCACAACAACCAATTTCAATAGATAATAAAAATGAATTACCTGGAAATTATATTTTAACACCAAGTGTTCAAGCAAATTTAAAAGATTTGGCACGTGTTGTCGCTGCAGGGTATATATTCACTTTTGTTTTTCTTCTTCTGATTATTGAAGATTTTCACTGTTGAAATCATGAGTCAATTAAAGCTAGACCACCATCGAAAACCTGGCCGTTTCACGAGTGCGGGATCGTGGATGTGCGCTGCTGAGTAGTCCCATAATAGGATGAAACGGCCGTCCAGTGCTTCCAGGTTTTCGATGGTGGTCTAGCTTCAATTGACTCATGATTTCAACAGTGAAAATACTAAATTCTTCACAAAACCCCCTCTGATCTATTTAAGATTTGTCATGCCCTACTTCATTTTACACGCTTTTACGTGAAGGTTACATAAGTAAAAGTTACATAATCTAGCTTTTTATGAGATAACATTCTTTCGCCCTATTATATAAGGTCTAAGATGTCACTGCAACCGATTTCTGACCATCTATTCTAAATTATAAGATTTGGTATCATTTTATATTGTCAAAGTTAATCAACATCGTTGTAGGATGAAGTGATTATTTTGCTTCTTGTGTACTAAATGTCTAGGAGCACGCTTATGAATCTTCATATCAAGTATACTGAATTACTTTATGCACAAGTTACCCACAAAATCATGTTTGTTAGATTTTCACCCCTTTTTTAAATGTAATGAATCGACTTCGCCCCACAATGTTTTAATTCCTGTTGATTTATAAACGTTTATTATAGTGGTGGAACTAGCGTTTGCGGTAATATAGCCCAATCATTATTTCTATATGTCCCTGCGTTGCATCAAGTTAGCTTTTTTGAGTGTTGAGTAAGCAGTCGTGTTTACGATTTGTTATATCTAAAGCTTCTCCAATTCATTAGTTAGCGTACGGAAGAAGACTTGTGACCAGGGACCGATAAGCTAACTATTGTGACGCGACCCAGACCCAGCTAACTAGAGTAAGAAGTTCAATTTGGAAGCGGGGAAAATATATTCCGTAGCAGCCAGAAGCACAGCAATCGTAAGGGGAAAAATCAAACGTATATATACAGCAATAAATTGTCCTTGAGCAGCATTACAAAATAGCACACTCAAAGATACAACAGACCAATAGCATTTACGATATTTTAAAAGTAGGAACGAAACGAGATTTTTCTGATTATACTACACCATTATGTAACATATCAACAGTCACCGAAATTTAATAAACCTTGAATAGGAAGAAATACAGGCATCAATTAGTTTCGGTTATTCAGCTACAACGTAGGACCAGGCACATATATGCATCGGTCCAAGTTGCCATACCTCATTAGCACAACAAGATGAACACCAAATTCATAGAATTAGTTACTTCAATGGTAGTAATATATAAAAGAAAGATTGTATATAAGGATATAGTACAGGGAGAAAGACAGATATAAAGCAATTCCAATGTCATAGTTTAAGGGAAGATAAAGAGTGTATACACCTACGCCTTTGTGATCGATTCTGAGCCATGCCACATAGAGTCGCCAACAATTGGTTATGATAGTCACGTGGACTCCAACCAAGTAGTCTTCATCTATCAGCACTGTTTAGACTAGAAGTTAATGACTTCAAGCACTGATGCCATGTTTTGGTTTGGCCGTCTCTAACTTTCTTCCAACCATCCCAAATACTAGTCAGCATTGTGTCGTTATACAGAAACATCAGTAGTTTACTACATAAAAAATAAACTGAAAATTCCCAAAAAATAACATTCAAACAAAAAAAGATACTTCAAAAGATCGACGAACTTATTTTTCGAATAAGAAGGTTAATTTAAGCATCGAAATCAGGTACGAATGTATGAGATAAATAGTTTGTTGCTGTCCAGATACTACACATCAGTGCATGTTATTAAAATGACTAAGGACAAGATAAACTACTGATGATTTGTAAGTAGTATACCAATTTATAAAAATGAATAAAGCTAGTGTATGGAATACTAATATCACACTTTTATTTGTGAACTTATCTGTTTTACGACAGTTCTGATTTGCTGTAGTGAAGCGTTAACTTATATATCTTTGTACAAGATAATTTGTTAAATTTAAATATGCTCACTAGTGACTGGCTTCGAGATGTATTTCCTTGAGTTTCAGTGATAAGCAATGACCATTGGAGTTCAACCAGGTCTGTTGTGAAATAGGAACTCACTGAAGACAATTGATGAACGGTTGCTAATCTTCGTGGATTGATTGAAGTTGGACATTAACGCCATCGGATGCCGGCTCAGTGGTCTATCGGTTAAGTGCTCTGGCGCGAGACTGATAAGTCCTGTGTTCAAATCTCGCGAAGCGGGATCGTGGATGCGCACTGCCACTGAGGAGTCCCCGATAGGATAAAACGGCCGTCAAGCAGTGCTTTCAGATTTTCCATGGTGGTCTAGCTTCAATTGACTCATGATATCAACTATGACAGTACTGAAATCTCCACAAAAACGCCTTCCATTAAATTTGTTTGATTAATTGTGTTTCCCTATTTATCCATTTATTCATGTTTAGGGTTTATTAGCCTGACGTTACATTGTAGATTTGAGAGTAAATTTCCTTTCTAGATATTAATTAATAGTATTTCTTTCAATATATATATCTCTTCTCATTAATCAGTGGAGGTCTTCCAGTTCTATTACAAGGTGAAACATCTGTTGGCAAAACGTCACTTATTACATATTTAGCTAAACGTGTTGGTCAAGTGTGTTATCGAATTAATAATCATGAACATACTGATCAACAAACTTATTTAGGCACATATACAGTTTCATCAATTGCATATACAACACAAAGTAATACTGATAATCATAATAATCAAGGCAATAATAATGAAGCTTTGCAGAAAACATCCACATCATTAGTTTTCAAAGATGGTTTATTAGTGAAAGCTATGCGTAATGGTTATTGGATAATTTTGGATGAATTAAATTTAGCACCAACTGAAATTTTAGAAGCTTTAAATAGAGTGAGTTTTTGTTGTTGTTTAAAGTCTATACATTTCTTTAATATTATATTTGTTTAACCGATAGATACATTTATGAAAGTTTCTACTTTGCATATAACTGACTGATTGACTTTAGTCAGTCAGTCAGTCAGTCAGTCAGTCAGTTACAACGTAGAACTTCGTACGTACGTACATCAGTTCGAGTTGCCATTACCACATTAGCACAGAGATGCAGTTGTCGACTCAAATCCCATATTGGTAGAAGTAGTAAGAGTATAAGCAGTAATCTAAACTATTATGGTCTGAAGATGTTATTGAAGGAGTATAATACAGCGAAATAAATTTGAAAAGAGAAAAAGATAGAGACATGAAGAATTCAGAAGATTAGAATTTAGTAGAATACAAAGAGTGGATGCACCTTCGCCATTGCAAATGATTTTGAGCCATGAAATTCAAGGTCTCTAACCATCAGTTGTTACCATCTCGCGAATCCTAACCAGGTAGACTACACCTACCAGCATGACTCAGTTCACTTGTCAGTGAATTCATGGATTTGTGCCACGTTTCGGTCTGGCCGCCCCTAGCTTTCTTCTTACTTACTCTGATACCATAAAACATCGCACGTCGGAGCAGTCGGTAGTTGAACATACGTAACACATGTCCCAGCCATCTCAACTGATGAAATTTCACTTCTTCATCAATCGATTGATTAACTTATGTTTGTTAAAACTATCCTCTCAAATTATTTCTACAAATAGATGTATTTATTTAATGATTTTGAACGTTAAAAATCTTGTAATGATGAATATACAAATCGAAAACAGCCGTTAGGTTGTACAAACTTATGATAACTGAATAGGAAGTTCACGATTACAATTCATTATGATACAAAGTATACTGTATTGAGAGAAATATCAACCATAGTGATTAAAATGCTCCACCTAACTACTAGATAGGGAAACATCTTTTTAAACTGTTCAATATTAATATTCCTAATTGTGCATAATAATAACCGACAAGATTAATTATTAACGTTGGTGAAATCAATTTTTTCCCCTATTTTGAGTGCTTTCAGGTTCGTTATTGAACCTGTAAAGTGATTTATTATTCAATTGTGTATGATATGAATTTCTTTGCGATTTCACTTAACCCCTCTCCAAATTGGACAAAATCATTGTTATATCAATAAATTTTCTGGTTAGCGTTTTTTATCGAATTAGTTTTCTACTGGATGGGTTCGCTAACCCCATGCCCAACCCTCCTCCTTTATCCGGGCATGGGACCGGCAGTAACCTTCGGAGGAGCTACAAGCGACTTTATCAATAAATTAAGTTTGTTGAGATAGTCACTTGATGTGAAGCGCGAAAAGATTTTGTATCATGAGACATCTTAGAAATGTTAAACATTACATGTCGTTCAGATGATTTTACGACAGTACAATATACACTCTGTATCGAAATCGTCATGATGGTTTTTAGCATATTTCAATGTAAGAATGAGATTAGCATTATGTTACCTATCCTACCGGATCATTGATCTCGAACTAAGATTAAAAATACATTGGTTTTGGAACTTTAAGACTATTCAAGATGGTTTAATTTTTCTCGCCCCCCCTCCGCCACATTCACTCTTTAAGACTAGCTACTTTGCTATCTTATAGTTTACTTGCCAAATTCTTTCATATGAGATTTGCCTGTCATTTTAATCATTACCAAAATGACTTTTCACCTATTAATTTGTTACATTTTCATTGTGTAAATTTTTTTTGTAATTTCAAAGGTACTATAGACGTATTGATACAAAATAGTTGTTCGTTTAGTTCGGTTGTCTTTGTTTTCCTCATTTCGTTGTCCGTTTGGTATACGTCTTTTTAATTAACTGACACTAGAAAGACAATAAATTGTCTGTTTTCGTTACTGACTAAATTTTAGCTAGGAGTATTTCAACATATATTTGTGATGTATTGGAGGCATGATTGCTTGCATATTTTGTATTTGCTAGTATATTTTTATCTATGGTTAGTTGGTTGTTGTCTTCTCTACACCAGTCAGTCACAACGTAGAACTTCGTACATCAGTCCGAGTTGCCATACCACATTAGCACAGTGATGCAGTTGTCGATTCAAATCCCATAGCTTTAAAAGTAGTAAGAGTACATCAATTAATGTATAATATTCTTTAGGAAGAATTACTTTTCATGTATTTTATTTGTCTTATATATTTTAGGTTTTAGATGACAATCGTTCTGTATTCATCACTGAAACACAGGAAACAATTAAAGCACATCCACATTTTCGATTATTTGCTACACAGAATCCACCAGGTCTTTATGCTGGTCGAAAGGTATATTGTAGTTGAATGGTTGTATATATATGAATATATATTTTTTAAATGCAGGCTTCATGATTAGTTCAGTGTATCATTTATTTAGAAGTCAGACAATGACAGGTTTGTATTCTCTCTAGATGTTACCCAAATGGAAAAGATATCGAAATTCCGAATAGGCTCTATTAATGATTATATTAAATATAATCACTGGGTCTCAGATTCAGACTCTACTTTGTTTATTGGTAGGTTTAATTAGGGGCATAATGTCTCATCAGGCTTCAAGTATAAAATTGAAGAAGTCAGGTCTTAACTTTATTAACTCATGAATCGCTTATGTTTAAAGTTACTTCTCAATATATTCAACTCTGAGCTCATAGATATTTATCATTTTACCATAATTATAATAAAGAGCTGATCTTCTGACCACTTGCTTGCTCATTTATCATCAGTTTATTTAAAGCTAGCCTTGTATAAATAATAGATTTACTTGTTAGAAGTTATTATTCGGCTTATTTATAGCATCATATTGCTGATGATTTTGTTCAGAAGGACGATGAATAATGATCCACGACCTAACCATCCAGCTTATAGAACAAAACTCCATCAACATTATACATCGTTTATGGATTAACATTCATATTCATTATTTTAACAATTCGAACGTCGTCCATCATCAAATACAACTCAGTTAATCAGTCAGCTGCAACGTAGGACCAGGCACATATATGCATCGGTCCAAGTTGCCATACCTCATTATCACACGAAGATGAACAACGGATTCATAGAAATAGTTAATTTAGTGGTGGTAGTATATAAAGAAAGGTTGTATATAAGACTATAGTATAGGAAGGAAAAAAGTTATGAAGCAATTTTAATCTCAAGGTTTAAGGGAAGATGAAAAGTGTATACACCTACGCCATTGTGATCGATTCTGAGCCCTGTCACACAGTCTCCAACCATTGGTTACGATAGTCACGCGGACCCCAACCAAGTAGTCTGCATCTAGCAACATGGCTCACACCAGAAGCTAGTGACTTCAAGCACTGATGCCACGTTTTGGTTTGACCTCCCCTAACTCTCTTCCAACCATCCCCTACACTAGTCAGCATTGCGCGTCGTGGTAATCGGTGTTCAGGCATACGTGACACGTGGCCTAACCATCTCAGTCGATGAAGATTTACAACTTCCTCAATTGATTTACCATCATTCTCTAATATCCTGTTGTCTAACCTCATTATTACTTACCCGATGATCCCATCAGATGTGAGCAATATTTCTAAGACATCTGAGGTAAAATACTAGTAACCTACGAGTATCTTTTACTCTTAATGGCCATGTTTCTCAGCCGTAAAGTAGAACAGAACGAACTGCTGTGCAGTATACTCGTCCCTTAATCGATAGACGGATATCTCGTCTTCGCCATAGGTGACGTAAGTTGGCAAAAGCCAAACGAGCTTTTTGAATCCGTGTTGAGATTTCGTCAGACACCAACCCATTAGGGCTGATCAGACTTCCAAGATAAGTGAAGTTGTCGACGCGTTCGACTACAACACAACTATTCTCCAAGAATACTTATCTATTTTCTTAAGATCTTTTCCTTGTACTTCCGAAAACAAAATTCAACTACACATTTTCTTTTTATTTAAGATGCTTTCACGTGCCTTACGTAATCGTTTCATTGAATTACATTTTGATACAATACCTCGAAATGAATTAGAAATAATTTTAGAGAAGAAATGTTTACTACCTTCAAGTAGAGCACAACGTCTTGTTGAAGTAATGCATCGTCTTCAGGTTAGTTGTTTTATACTTATTTGTATGGTTAAGTTGTTTATTTATTTTTATATAACTGTAAATATTGTTTCTATTCACTAGGTGTATCGGTTTATCGGTTAGGTGACGACTAGGCTCTCAACTGTTGTGCTTCCGATTCAAGTTTTCCTCCTGTGTACTCTTGTTTAGCTGGCCAAATATTATCACTAGCACTAACAGAAAATGAATTTGATTGGTTAGAAAATCCCACATATTGGCTGATTTATTAAGGAAAATACGTATGAACTATTATGTTCGAAACTCTCTATGTTCTTTGGTTTTTGAATCCCGGTAGTATCACTAGATTTCTCTTTGGTTGCCGTATAAACTTTTCTTTCACGTTCATACTATGAAAAGATAATTTATAGGCTGCTGTTCAATTTCTAAATTATAAAACAAATGTATAGTTTTTCTTGGTGACTTCTCAGTGTAGTCTACTTATATCCCCATAAGTAGTATATGGCGATAGTCGGACATAGAATGTATATTGCCAGAAGACCAATAAGGAAAGAACTGAAATGAAGCGCAATCAGTAGGAAAATGCATGGACAAAGGAATTAGAGAACATCAACTGATATTTGCAGAAGGAACAGTTAAGATTGAGGCAATTGATTGTTGTTTTGCAAATTAACTGTTCATTGTGTGGTTATCTGAATTTAGTGAGATAGTCTGTAATTTGTGCTTAAATACATTCGATTGTTCGCAACCAGTGTTCTGTTCACTACAACTCCATTTAATTTAAACTCGGAAGTTTACGACATTCGGGTCACTAAGATATTCGTTACATAAAATGGTAACTTAAAGGCATAGGTTTGCCTAAAGAACAAAGAAGAACTGAACTGATATGATTAAATGGTTTTTACCAGTCATTATTGTAAATTTAAAACCATAATATTTTCATGTACACAACAATTCATCTTGTATACTCTACATTAATTAATCAACCTATTCTGCCCCCAAATGCCCTGGTACGGCCGAAAGTGGGGAGAGTCCGCTCTCACATGGCCACGCGTATATAACCTCTACCACGGAAGTTCTACTCACTGCCTTCTCTTGGCATTACTGTTGTTTGCGAAATTGAGAGGACGAAAAGCGAATATCCGGCGTATTAACCAGGTTAGTAGATACGGAAAATCTATTTAGGGAAGTTGGAAAACCCTGATTCCAAACCAATGGTGCACATGGACTCCAGTGTCCTGTGGGAACAAATGGCGTATAAACCAATCGTTGGTCACCGGCAACCATGGGACTGCATCTCCTTACGTTGTTCCACTGCCTTGTGGATCAGACCTTTAGGTCAAAGGCTCCGGGTATCCCCCCCTAAGAATACTACCTGCTTCAGTTTTGGCACCTGTGCAGTATCACAGCCCTCACACAAATCGAATGAGGTTTGTGCGGCGCATATGTATTTGATTCTTCTTTGCATCAATATTTATGTGTTTAAATAAATAAATGAATCAACCTACTCTCCATGTGAATAAAATAATGATTTAATTAGTAATATAGAATTTGTCAATAGATTACTTCTAACTTCCAGTAAATCTTTCAACAAAGATCTTATTCTGTTGTATTGACCATATGTATTCGCTGAAGTTGGTTTGAGAGCCTAAATAATGAAACTATACTATCATGCTTAACTCTGTATAACAACTATGTTCGGGTCACCATACTAAATCACAACATTTATCTTAAAGACATTTTTAGCTAGTTGAAAAATTTGCGGTTTGTATGTAAATACTATGGATATATCTAATGATTATAAGTGGAAAAACTATTATATCATTGTATTTTTATCAAATCATTAGTTGTATCTACTTGACTTCATATTTTTCATGATGAATTGGTCTATTTTTCAATCATTTCTAGCTTGCTAGATGTACTTCAAATTTATTTCAAGGCAAAGATAGTTTCATTACATTACGTGATTTATTTCGATGGGCTGAACGTTACCGATTAGCTACATGTGATAAATTGGTAACTAGTCAAATTGATAATAAAAAAAGTGAACAAACGATATTTTTTGACTGGGATGGATATTTAGCTGATCAAGGCTATTTATTACTTGCTGGACGTGTACGTAATCCAAGTGAAATACAAATTGTTACAGATGTGATTGAAAGTGTTTTCAAACGAAAAGTCACTGAATCACGGTAATTTAACTTTTCATAGCTTAAACATAGTTTATGCTATAATATTTTAATATTTTAAGTGATCATAATTGATTGATCACTAGGTTGTGATCAATGTCATGCTTGTCATGTCCTTCTTAGTGCTGATCGAATGATATCGATCAAGTTGCGATTTGGCCACTAATTTAGGTGGTTTGACGCTGCGTACGCTATGTTTATATAAAATGGTGGTTGGAAGTGGTTAACAGGAAACCGTGGACCCGGGTTTCGTGCTACTTGACACTCGTCAGCAAGGTGTACCTGTAATCTTGAGAGAACTGGTGCTCCCTGACGGATTCGACCCCGTGTCACTCAGTTTCACAGTCAGAGAGGTCACTACTGAGCTATTCGGACTGCTACCCGGGTCCAGGTTTTCCTGTTGACCACCTCCAACCACCATCTTATACTTTAAGTGAGTTTGCTAGTTTGTAGTGATCAGTCTGTTGGTGTAAGTATATTTTTTTAAACAAATATGTTACTGTCGCTTATGAGCTGATTAATTCATAAGATTCGTTGTTTTACCTTAGTTTCCCTCCATGAACTACTTTCATTTATTGACTATAAGTTGTAATAAGCGATATTGACCTCCAATATAGTAAAGATAGTCAGGGTGGAAATCGTCATCTTATTATCAGTGCTATTTTATGTAACATCATATTTTGTTACCCATATACTTAAATCATTTTCCATATCTAGAAATAGAAACAATTGAGACTGATGAAATTTTTGTGGTGTATTATCGAGTGACAAACATTTATTTTAATAGGTTAGTATCTGTCAGCATATTATGACTACCTGAATATTTTGCTGCACATCCTACTGTTTCTTAACTCAGTAACTTGAAGTATTATGGATGATTCAGAAAGTTCTCTTGAATTTTACCAACTATTATCCTCTATTGTATTGTTGAGATGTTCATCTGTGTTACCGAAAGAAGGAGTTTACCATACATTGGTCATACTGTATTTCTGTAAAATGTAACTTTCAAAAAAATTTAGTCGTAAATTCTTTTTAAATATTGTTCATGTAGATTGGGACTACCAGATGAGCAGGGTGATAGGTAAAGATGGTAAATCAGTTGATGAGATCTTCATTGACTGAGGTTGTTGTAACTTTACAGACGCTTAATCACTGCTTACTTCGACGAGTAATGTTTTCTGGTGTCTGAGTCGGTTGGAAAAGTGCTAGACTCAGTCTAACCAAAAAGTGGTATCTGTTGACGATGTTACTGACTGATAAATGGACCCACGTTATTAGGTACGAACTACTGGGTTAGGATTCGAGCGATTACCGTTACCAATAGTTGATGTTGAATGACATGGATTAAAGTTGGTCGCAATGCCACAAATGCAGTGTCAAATACTTTTATTCTGCTAATTTGTTTATTTAGACTCGTATCGTCTGTGTCCACTGCTTTTACTACCACTGTTCCTGCTATCATCTCTACTTCTCTGTTATTTGTTTTCATAATTTAATCTCGCTGTATTGATATGGTGTGGGGACTTATACTAATACACATACATGACAGGTCGTACATTATGTGTGTCTGACCGAAGTTGTGATCAATCATGTCCCAGTTTTCTTATTATATTTTTCATAATTACAATTTATCTGTGAGAATAATTTTTTAAATGATTCAAACATAAACACTGGCACAATGGGGCACCAGAATGTTTATACGCCACACAAAATGTGTGTGAAGGCTGGATTGCTGCCTGACTTTCCAAACAGAGGCGACCACCCTCTAGCCTAGGGAGACGTTAAGAATCGCCGTCATATGATCGCTGATGAACTAGAATGGGTTTATACGCCAGTCGTTCACTCAAGATCCTTGAGCCCATATGGATTGGTGGTTTGGAATTGTGATTTTTTAAATCGCCTAGGTGTATCATTCGTACTCACTAACCGGGTTTAAATGCCGGGAATTCTCTTTTTGTCCACTCAATTTCGTAATCAACAACCACGACACGAGAATTGTATGTGCGCGTATCACGTGTAAAATTTGTAATATGAAGGGATAGAGTCGAGATTCTTGTGTGTATGATGTATCAATTTTATGAGATGAAAAACAGAATAAAATGTGGTTGTTCAGTTATACAGTCCAAGTTGAATGAATAGTTCGTTCCTTTTTTTTCTACTGAGAGCCCAGGGATTCAGGATTATAAGAAACAACTTAGTTACGTACCTTTCTTTATAAATGAGAAAACCTTTCTGAATTGGTTTTTACATTTTCGATATGGACGTAGTGGTTGTTTACAATATGATTTACTGCTATTATTCATTTGATTTATAGATTTTCCAATTCTACAGAAAAGTAGAGGAAATTAGTTACAAACTACGTAATTGAACTCGAGAACAAATTTGTATCGGTTTAAGTTTCACGATAATCAACAAGAAGTAGGTATAAAATCGAAAAATGCACTATCATCAGCCGTATCGTACGTGAAGAAAGTACCCACCGAAGACAATGAAAGATGGTTGTCGATTGATTGGAGTCAGACGTCATTGAATCTCGGGTCAGTGGTCTAGATGTTTAGCGTCCTTACACGAGTCCTAGGGTTTTCGGTTCGATTCCCGATTGTGACGTCATAGATGTGCACACCTAAGGAGTCACATATTAAAAAAATGTCCGTTCATTGCTTCCGGATTCTCAATTGTTTTTTAATTTAGATCGGTTCGTGGTTGCAATGTAATAAACTCTTAATCAGTCTTGGCTAATGTAGAACCAACTACAGATGGGCATCGATTTGTTGTGCACTTATCAACATGTTTCAGACTACAACAGTAATTGATTTTATGAACCGATATCATTTATTGGTTTGACTTGAGTGCTGTTAGAGGTATGAGGGCAGTTATCACTTCCCGGTTGCCCACACCGTGGAAGGTTTCTTCTAAAGGTATCTGAAAAGGAAATTGGATTAGAAGTAGTCTTAATGATATGAGAGCGTGACCGCAGTGCCCAAGGGACAACTGCTTGAGGTCAGTAACACACGACCTTTTTGTGGATAGATTTTGTGTTAGCTCCGTTCTTTAAAGGACTGAATTCACCTTAATTAGAGATAATAATAATAATGAATAAATTCATCAGGACCACTGCAATTCATCTTTCTCAATCATATTATAATTTGTCGTTCACACGTCATAAACTTGATGACCTAATCGATTGTATTTGTCTATATTGTTTATGCTTTTTATATTGTTATGTAGATTATTCGACTTGAATGAGAGTACGTCACCAGTTGTATATGAATTTTTACAACCTGTTCTAAACAAAGAAACAGTTTGTTATACTGGATTTGATCATATTGTCTGGACAAAAGATATGAGACGTTTATTAGTTCTAGTTGGTAATGCATTAAAATATGAAGAACCAGTTTTATTGGTTGGTGAAACAGGGTAAGTTATCGTATATATGTATGCATACTTGTGTGGGATTGTGGGTTTCTTATGTGTTTATGGTCAATACAGTAGAATGATACGGTTCTAATGAGGCTTTAAAATGTTTAAATCTAAGTGTTTAGATTCCTCTTGTCGATAGACGTCGCATTTCCTCCAGTTGGAATTGTATTTTTGACTTTCAGAGATCAATGAGCAGTTGTATTTATCATTGACAGTTACGTATCCTATACACACAAACTTCAAGATTTATGGGTTGAAAAACAAATAGCATGAAGGCATGAAGTAGAAATATCGTAATTAGGGTTATTTTTTCCTAAATGCCATGGTACGGCCGAGAGTGGGGAGAGTTAGCTCTTCTCGAAATGTTCTCACATGGCCATACGTATGCAGCCACTCTCACGGAAGCCCTATTCATTACTTTGCGGCGGGGGTGTTTACGAAATAGGGAGGACGAAATGGTGATGGTCAACGCGGAAACCCGGTAGATGGATATAGAGAATCCATCTAGGGGAGAGTTGGAAAACAAAAATTCCAAATAATGGTGTACACCAAGTTACGCGGAAGTCAAAATGTGATTAGAACGAGAATAACATGTAGAAACAAGATCGAGATACATAAAATATAATTCTGTATGTGATAAACATAGCGAAGTGATGAAAACGTTAAGATTATAATGAAATAAAAGGTAGTATATTCCGTTTCTGAACACTAATATCAGGTTGATATTAAAGCGACTGTAGTTTTTTTCGGTATCCCTGAGGATAAATTTTGAGAATATGGGAATAAGTATTAAAGAAATAGTGATTGGTTTAAGTGCTATTGAAATATGTGCTCAGATTGTCCATGGTCGAACTTTCTTTTCCACTGAATGAAGCTACCTAACTTGTTAAGAGAAATTCGTGGGCACATATAGTGTTACCGTAATGAATATGTGAATGAATGAGGTTTACGCATACGCTTGCAAATACAATATTTATCTTTGTTTTCTTCGCTAATCTGGCGGCAGAACTTCCTGCCTTAACTTTGTATGGAATTTTGTAATATATTTTCGAGGTATTTTGAACAAAATCGGTTCTGAATTTACACAAACGTAAAGGGCAAAAGAGGATGATTTCAAAGCCGCGATGTAATTCAGTACACTTATTTTAAAGAGATTAATTTATTTGATTTATTTCATAGACATTGTTACAAACTGGCAACCAATATATTTGCGCCACATTTCGTTATTCAATTTGTTTGAGAACTAGAATAATGTCCGTGCGGTCAAACCGAAGCGAGTTGTTTTCTTAGGAGGCCACTCCTTGAGCCTTTAATCTAGAGGTCTAATTCACAAGGACATTCAGTCGGGATCGTGGATGGGTATTGCTGAGGAGTTTCATACTAAAACGAAACGGTCGTCCAGTGCTTCCAGTTTTTCAATGGTGGTCTAACATTGATTGGTTCATGACTTTAATGAATTTAAATTATGGATTAATTTGCATTTACCTTTTGATAAATATGCTTGATAATGTTCGGATATTCCTTTTGAAAAGCACACTTTGTTCTACCTTTATAACATGCTAATCAGGAGCTAGTAAATCAATGGAATTGCTATTTGATTTGTACATTTTGAAGTGGAATTCAAGGTATTGGTTCTGGTTTTGTATACTGTTGACTTTTATTTTCTCTCGGTCATTTAGTTGTGGTAAAACTACTATTTGTCAATTGATTGCTGCATTGCATAATCAACGTTTACATTGTCTTAATTGTCATCAATGCACTGAAGCATCTGATTTTCTTGGTGAATTACGACCAGTTCGACATTCATCAGAAGTGAATGAAAAAGAAGTAAGTAAAATGTTAGTATTTTAATATCTAAATGATTGTGATTATTCTATGATTTAGTTTGAAATATACTACTTAATTATCGATTTTCTATAACCAGTATAATTCTTATGAATGAATCTAATACTGTGAACAAGATTTATTATTTATTTGAACACTTAAATATTGGTACAAGAGGGCACCAGATACATATGCGCAACACAAATCTCATTTGATTTTTGTGAGGGCTATGATACTGCCTAGGAGCCCAAACCGAAACAGGTGGTTTTCTTAGGGGGCCACACCCAGAGCCTTCGACCTAAAGATCTGATCCACAAGGCAGTGGAGCATCGTGAGGAGATGCAGTCCCGTGGTAGCCGGTGACCAATGGTTGATTCATACGACATTGGTTTCGTCAGGATACTGGAGCCAGCCCATGTGCACCATTGGTTTGGAATGAGGGTTTTGCAACTCCTTTAGGTGAACTTTCCGTGTCCGCCAACACGGTTCAGGCGCCGGACATTTGCTTTTCGTACTTTCAATTCCGTAAACAACACCGTGGCCTTGAGAAGGCAGTGAGTATGACTTCCCTGGCAGCAGCTATATACGTGTGGCTATGTAAGAGCATTTGGAGAGGGTGAGCAGACTATCCCCACTATCGGCCATACCAGGGCATCTTTAAAAACATCTTTAAGCGTTGGGCAGCGAGGCAATTCAAGTTTGTATGCTTTCACAAAACCATATAGTTGTGATATTTCTTTAATCATATCGGTTTAATGCGTTTCCAAATATCTTCATTAATTACTATGATCTTTCATTCTATTGACAACTTTAGTTGCTTTTTAATCATTTCATTGTTTATTCTGATGACAAATTTATAGTTTTGTTAACATAGGTTCACTAGAGTTACTCCTACACCTTTGTCAGGATGTGTTATTAATACATCTTGATTGCTTCTATGCAGTTTAGGATTTTTGCCATAATCTTTTGTTGGAAAACATTTAACGCTTGACTTGATGTTTAAATACTAATTACAACTATCAAGAAGAGTAGATTTTACGCGTTAAAATCCCTAATTACTGACTGGGTTAATACCGTTTATCTGAATTATCTTCGCATAGACAGATAAATATTTTGTTATATAACAACCAGTTCCTAAAGAGATTAACAAGAAAAATAAGTAACTGGAAAACAAGTGAGTGAGATCTTATCTTGATCTCCCTACTAGTTTATTACAAAGTGATTAGACGATATTAAGCCCTATTAACAAAGATGGATAGTGGCTGGCAGTGTAATCCAATTTGACGCGCGTTTCGTCCTATTTGCGACTCGTCAGCTGATTAATTGCAGTATTAAACATCAATAGGAAGATTCAAACAAACAATACCAAATGAATTGAAGATATTAAGCTCTCTAGTAGAAGAGATATTTTCATTCATTATCAACGAAACACCTTTTAGCTTTTCTTTACATCATAAGTTTAACTAAGGAGTATGTTGTTGACAAAATGCAAGTTTTCAAGTTATCACTTTTTCTCTTATATAAAGGCTTTTAGTACTATTTCCCCGCTAAAACATAGTTACATTCAACAGTATTAGGACCTACAACTTAACAATATTCAACCCTCTACATAATTTATTCTTTCGTCTGTATAAACTTATGTACATAGTTGGTAAATTCATTACTTCGCTCCTAAATGATTCAGTTTTGTATAAAATTCTTCTTTGAAACTAGTCCAAAAATGATTGCCGTTTATTTGAATGGATTAATGGTCCATTAGTAACAGCTATGTTAAATGGAGATTTATTTCTATTAGATGAAATTTCATTAGCTGATGATGCTGTTTTAGAACGTTTGAATAGTTTATTGGAACCTGAAAGACAATTACATTTAGCTGAATGTTCTGAAGATTCTCTTATGGTTAATAATAATGATAATTCAATAACAACACCATATACACAATTATTAACAGCCCATCCTAAATTTCGTTTTATTGCAACAATGAATCCTGGTGGAGATTATGGTAAAAAAGAATTATCACCAGCATTACGTAATCGTTTCACTGAAATTTGGTGTCCATCACCAGTATTTACTTCGAATCATATCCAATTGACCATCTCATCATTATCTTATAATGAATCTAATCAATTATCAAATTCATTAATGGATTGTCAACATATTGTTATGCATAATTTACAATTGAAACTACCAATGTATTTTAAAATTGGTAATGATGATTTTGTTAAACAATTCTCTGAGAAAATGATTAATTTTATTCATTGGTATGCTGTTACACAAAATGAATATAAATCAAATGGTACCGGGTCATTATGTCAAAGGTAAGATTATAGTTCGCCTTATTGTTACAGTTGACTTTATTTTAGTGTGTCAGTACTAGGTAAGAATGGCAAGTTGATTGGTGAAGTAGTGAAACTTCATCAGTTGAGGTGGCTGGGACACGTGTTACGTATGCCCAACCACCGACTGCCCCGAAGTGCAATGTTTTATGGTGTAGGAGTAGGTTGGAAGAAAGCTAGGGGCGGCCAGACCAAAACGTGGCACAAATCAATGAAGTCACTGACAAGTGGACTGAGCCATGTTGGTAGGTGTAGACTACCTGTTTGGCATCCACGAGATGATAGTAATCGATGGTTAGAGACCTTGAATGACATGGCTCAAAATCGTTTGCTATATCGAAGGTGCATTCACTCTTTATGTTCTCCTAAATTCTAATCTTCTGAATTCTTCATGTACCTATTTTTTTTCTCTTTCCAAATTTAATTCATTGGATTACACTCCTTGAATAGCATCTTCAAACCCTAGTCTTTTACATAATGCTTATACTCTTACTGTTTCTACCACTATGGGATTTGAACAGACAACTGCATCTCTATGCTAATGTGGTATGGCAACTCGAACTGATGTACGTACGTACGAAGTTCTACGTTGTGACTGACTGTGTTCGTCAGTATATATTTAATATGTATCCAATAGTGGAATTCAGAACGCTTTATCCGATTTAGTTATAAGCTGAATTACTAACCTCATACTAATAAATTTGATTTCATTTCACCTTTATCTCCTTGACTATTGGTTGTTTTTATCAAATTTCAAAGAGGTATAAACTAACCACATTTTTTAGATAGTAGTTCTGTTTTTCTTACAGTTTAGGAGTGTTAATAAAGCTGACGTTTAAACTGAGATCATGTTGGGGGGGAATAACCCTTTTCAAAGTCTCACAAAGCCCATTTGTTTCATCCAATCAGCATTGAGTGGAGACCTTTCAGAAGTTTCTAATAAAATGATGCATCGTGTACACCACGTTTTTAATTGAATAGTCACCTATACCCCAAATGCCCTGGTACGGCCGAGAGTGGGGAGAGTCACCTCTCCCTCTCGAAATACTCTAATATGGCCACGCGAATATATAGCCTCTGCCAGGGAAGTCCTACTCACTGCCTTCTCGTGGCACACGTGTTGTTTACGAAAGTGAGAGGACGAAAAGCGAATGTCCGGCGCTTTAACCGGGTTGGTGGACACGGAGGGTCCACCTAGGGGAGTTGGAAAACCCTGATTCCAAACCAGTGGTGCACATGGACTCCAGTATCGTGAGGGAACAAATGGCGTACGAATCAACCGTTGATCACCGGCTACTACTACTGGCTACTACTGGCTACTACTACTACTACTACTAGTAGTAGTATTAGTAGTAGTAGTAGTTAAATTACCTTTATCATATAGTAGTTTTATTTGAAATATCTTGTCATTAAATTTTTATTTGTTATTTCTCTAGACCATCGCCGACTATTCGTGATTTAATTGTTTGGATTGATTTCATTCAAGCCGCTGTTACAACAGAAAATGTGATAAATCCCTCTAATAGATTAAATTTATTCAGTGCTTGTATCCATGGTGCATGTTTGGTATTTTTAGATGTAATTGACCATGTTTTGCCTAACAGAAATGTTAATGGTATGTTTGATTTTGCATTTTTTTAAAAAATGTCTACTTGAGATCTCATTATTGATTAATAGGTGTGAAATTATTTGCATGAATGAACAAACAAAAATGAGCTTTTTTGTTCAGGTTGAATAGTGGATTCCTTGAAACACAAAATGCGCGTTTCGTCCTACTTTGGACTCGTCAGCTAGATGTTTCTGCATCTTGCTGATGTTCACATTGAGACTGGATCTCAGTACTTTTCTCCCTCAAAACATTTATTTACTGATCTGTAGTGTATTCAAATGGCAAGTTTCGAACTGGCCAAAATTCAACTTCATGAAAACGTGTCTAATTGTCAGTTTTTAGACAATCGGCTCTAGGTCCACGTATGTCGAAGTAAGCGGTTCATATACAGTTCTTGACATTAACAATAATAAATATGTATGAAGCTGGAACACTGCCCGTGCGCCCGAACCACTGACCCAAAGGTCTAATCTACAAGGCATTTGGGCAACGTCAGGAGATGAAGTCCCTTAATAGCCAGTGTCCAACAATAAGTTCATACGTTGTTCGTTTTCTCAGGAACCTGGAGTCAATCTGCACCATTATTTAGAATCTTGGTTTTCCAACTCTCCCCTGGATGGATCCTCCATATCCATGAACTCGATTTTCTCGCATTCCGTCCTTTCAACTTCGTAAAAACACTGATGAGAGAAGTTGGTGAGTAAGACTTCCATGGGAGTGGCTGTATACGCATGAGAGAGCATTTTTAGAGGGATAGTTAACTCTTCTCACTCTCGACCTTATCAGGGCATTTGGGGGGGATACAACTAATTTTATAAGATTTAAATTTGACATGTCATTTGGTACTCTAAACAAGTAATGATCATCTTAGTAACTCGCTTCATTGGTGAATTAGTATTATAAAAATGTTATTCTGTAAGAAATTTCGGTATCTGATTAACTATATTTCGCCACTAAAAATCGCTCATTGTGGCTCTTTTAGTAATATGAATTCGCAACCATGTAGCATCGAGAGTGACTAATGCCCCAAGTAGTTTTTGTTTAGGTAAATTATTATCTTGTCACAGGACAAAATGTATTAGTTTCATATTTTCCTCATTATCAAGTCTGTCGTTGAGTTGGACTATACAGTCAATTTAGTATTTTTTACGGATCATTCCTTAAAATATGTTCTATGGAATTACTCACGTTTCAGTGTAAGACACACACACTCAAAATCGTTTGCAATGGCGAAGGTGCATCCACTTTTTGTGTTCTCTTAAATTCTAATCTGAATTCTTCATGTCTCTATCTATTTTGTCTTTCCAAATTTATTTCATTGGATTATACTTCTTGAATAACATCTTCAAACCCTAATCTTTTACATAATGCTTATACTCTTACTGTTTCTACCACTATGGGATTTGAATCGACAACTGAATCTCTGTGCTAATGTGGTATGGTAACTCGAACGGATGTACGTGCGTACGAAGTTCTACGTTGTGAGTGACTGACTGACTGACACTTCGTTTTTCTTCTAGATTGGTTCACGCTAGTCTTCCGTGTAATTATTAAATCTTATACATGTATATATTGCATTCTGACATCCTTTATGTTGGATTAGAAAAGACCCCCCCATACTACATGCAAACAGTTGTCATGACTCTGTCACACACAATTCAGTCTTAATCAAGATTACATGATATAATTTTATGAGGAAGTAGTGGGTCAACACGTTTATTTTGGTATTATGTACCGACTAATTCTGTTCCAAGTATTCTTCCATGTTGTATCGATTTGTTTTCATTTATAGAACAAATAGACGATAATAATTTCCAATCGACAGCGGTACATTTCTTAATTGATCAATTATATTCATTGGATAAAGATATTTTGATTAAACAAATTCAATTATCAATTCCAAACTCTAGTGATGAGATGTATACTAGTTATGCCAATGAACTAAATGAGAAATTTGTAGTAACAAAAAACAATGAATTATTTGGTTGCGAACCATTTTTCATATCGACAGGTATGTGAATTTCATATTGTAACTCAATGTGTAACTCTTATGTTCATATATTCTAACATCATTTGAGATACTAGTTATCTTAAAAAAAACATCTTACTACCGCTATACTTCAGTACATTTAGCAGTAAGACTACTCCATGGAATCTGGAGCTGCTGTTTTTGGTCTTACCGTTCCCCCAATTAACTTATCTGGCGAGATACGGTTCAAAGAAACGAATATTTCAGCCAATATAATCCCATTGGGTCATCACCGTATGCAGTGTTTATCGTCTCGTCAAATTGGAAGCTATCATCGGATTCGAACTTGTGATCCACTGATTGAAAGCCAATCTCTGAGATCAATGAGTTACCTCTCGTATATCTATATAGATGTTTATAGACTGAACATTCACATTTCTTTTCGTCACATCTCTACTGAAGTCGATAAATATTCTTTCTTGTACTAAAGCTCCTCATATTTACTACTGTATTATAACATCTATTGGTTATCTATGCAGATGTTAATGTCAGCAGTCATTTAAAGTATCTTCTAATAAGTGTTCTGCGTGTCTGTTGCAATTCTCTCCCTTTCAATCTTTGATAGTAAATATTAATGTTTTTGTGGAAACTTTCAAATAGTAATAATAATATTGTTACTATATTGTTGTTTCGTTTATCTCAGGTCCATTTATAGATTCCTTAACAAATACCAACTTTATTTTTGATGCTCCCACGCCTGCATCCAATCTAAAGCGTTTACTTAGAGCTATGCAATTACCTTCTAGAGCTCTCCTTCTAGAAGGTAGTCCAGGTGTTGGTAAAACTACTCTTGTCTTAGCCTTAGCTAAAGCATCTGGTCATAAAGTGATACGTATAAATTTATCCGAAGCAACTGTAAGTAGTTTCAATTAATTTATTTTTGATATTGCACTTACATTTTTATTTGCTGTTTTTACTTGTAAGAATGCTGATCGATATCGCATGTTGTATTACCTGATCAGAATTCCGATTATCTATTCATTCACCTATAGTTTTAGTTCACCTGATAACCTTTGAAGCATCGATTTATACATCGATTAATGAACAACAACTATCATGTCTCCATTATCGATCGTCAAGCTCCTTCTGACACAGTAGTTAATCAGAAGTCCGGATTAAGAAACAAATTAGTTCTTTATTTTTTTCGATCTAATCATTACTAAAAACTCATACAATAGTGCATATCGGCTCCACGATCCTCAGTAAACGAACGACATATGAACCTATTGTTGGTCAGCGGTTACCATGGAACAGCATCTCCTTACTTTGCTCCACTTTCTTGTGGATTAGACATTTGGGTCAGAGGCTTGGGATGTAGCCCCTCTAAGGAAACTACCTACTACGGTTTGGGTACGCGAACAGTATTTCCATCTTCACACATATAGAATGGTTAATGTGGCTCATACATGTTTGGTGCCTTCTTGTACCAATGTTTATGTGCTTAAATAAAATAAATAAATAATAACACAATGATATACTTGAAATGTTTGCTCTCTTCCACTTATAGTATGAATTTGTTCAAAACGTACTTTCGTATTAATTAGAAATGATTAAAGAATAGTAAAATGTACAGTGACAGTTAATAGGTTCTTTGAAATTTTTCTGGTTAGCCTTTTTTAGCGAGTTGGTTTTCTACGGGATGAGGTCGCTAGCCCCATGTTCAATTCTCCTCCTTTACCCGGGCTTGGGACTGGGAGTAGCCCCCGGAGGAGCTACAGGCTGGGTTAGGTTCTGTGAAAGCTTACAATAAAAGGAATATGCAATACTACACTTATGTAATAGTTGTACAACAGAAATAATGATGGTAATAATCTGAAAAGTGGTTCCATTAGTTTCAACTTTCTCAGTTATTGTACCGTTATTGCACTTTTCATATGAGAGAAATCCCTGTGACTTTCTGCATAGTGTTTACTACCAATATTATGTTTCTTCACAATAGTTGTTAGGTATATGCTCGTTAATTCTACTTACCAACCCAGTGATACGATAAAATACAAGAATGCCAGCTAACTTGAATGTAGTTTTAAATAAAAGACAGTGTGAGTCTGTGAAGTTATACCATTTCCTTGTTGTGAACCTTTGAGAGATTTTAAATTTCCTTGTTTGATGTACGCAAAACAATCTATGTAATTCGAAGCGGTATAGTGTATAGAATCTATATTATCTATTTAGGAACGGTAAATATTTGTGTTTACATCTACATTATTTGCTCTGTCTTTTTTTGTCTACAATGAACCTTATCACACTTTTTCTTATTTTAATTCAGGAAGTTAGTGACTTATTCGGATGTGATTTACCAGTGGAAGGTGCTGAAGCTGGTGTTTTTGCATGGAAATCTGGTCCATTTCTACAAGGTCTATGTGAAGGTCACTGGATTATATTAGATGAAGTACATACAATGCGTTTTTTTAAATGTTATTTCGTTTAAGAAGATAGTATACACATTAATTTATCACTGATTATTTTAACTAATTGTCTTATAGTATAGACCTTAAGGTTTAATCAGTTCCTTAGATAAAACCATCATGTCGTGAATAAGTTAGGAGAATCAACATCACACTGGACGTTGTTTACTGTTCAAAGCATACAAATTAAACTCATAAATACTTCGCCTTCATGATATTCGTAATTCCAACTCTGATCAGTATGATTATATAATCTAGTTCAATAATCGAGTTCCATTGCTACTACTCAACCCTTAAATTACTACTATTACTGCTACTACTAATAATAGTAATAATGAAACATACCTGTCAGCTGATGTGGTAGACAATAATATTACAAATTGAATAGTTTATTAAAATAGTTGTGAATGCCTAATTCTTGTCTCGAGACGTTAATCAAATTAAATTTACTAATCACGATTTTGTTCACAATCTCATATTTCGCGCTTAACATTTCTCCTTTAGCCTGGTGTCTTAAAATTAGCCAATTATACATCCATCTGATGTCCACAGTTAAACTTGTAGTGACACAAGCCAAGCTTCTACCGATCCGCTATCAGCAGTTTTTTCTTCATTTTCGCCATGGGATTGTGGGGATTGTTGAATTGCATTGAAAATATGAAATGATCCAAGCCAGAGCACCATTAAAAACCTGGAAGCACCAGACGGACTTTTCTTCCTAGTGTGAGACTCCTCAGCAGTACTCATCCACGGTACTGCACGCGGGATTTACACATGATTCTCGGACAAGATAAACTACTGATGTTTTGCAAGTAGTATACCAATTGTGATTGATTCTGAGCCATATCATTGAGAGTCTCCAACCATTGGTTACCATAGTTATATGAACCCCAACCAAAATTGTCTGTATATACCATCATGGCTGTGTGCTGTGTCTTAGTTACTTGAACAGGAATAGAGGAACTTTAATTGGGCTACTATTTACTTCACCAATTCAGATCGAATCCTTTTTAATCACTGAATATTATGTTCCTATATGATTACTTTTCAATAATAGATGTGTATGTGTATTTACATATTTCTGTTTGTTTTATTTACATAGATGAATTTAGCATCTCAATCTGTATTAGAATCTTTGAATGCATGTTTAGATCATCGTGGTGAAGTTTTTGTACCTGAATTAAATAATACATTCAAAATTAATTCATATGCAACACGTTTATTCGCATGTCAAAATCCATTACGTGAAGGTGGTGGTCGTAAAGGGTTGCCACGTTCGTTTTTAAATCGTTTCACTCAAGTAAGTGTAATATATTCATAATATTTATTGTTTTTTGATAGTAGATTAAATAATGGTCTGAAATTTATCATTATCATAGTTGAAATCATGAGTCAATTGAAGCTAGACCATCATGCTCACTAGTGACTGACTTCAAGAGATATTTCCTTGAGTTCTAGTTGGAAGCAGTAACCGGTGGAGTTCAACCATGTCTGTTGTAGAGATATCAACTCACTGAAGATAATTGGTGAACGGTTGCTCAAAAACATCGTGGATTAGTTGAAGTTAAACATTAACACCGTTAGATGCCGGGTCAGTGGTCTATCGATTAAGTGCTCTGGCGCAAGACTGATAAGTTCTGGGTTCGAGTCTCGCGTGTGCGGGTCGTGGTTGCGCACTGCTGAGGAGTCACACAATAGGACGAAACGGCCAATCAGTCCTTCCAGGTTTTCAATGGTGGTCTAGCTTCAATTGTCTTGTGATTTCAACTATGAAAATACTGAAATATCCACAAAACCCATTCTGAGATTTATCAGTCTTTCATCTTAGTTAATTTTTTTTGCTCAGCTATTTTCACGAAATACATGCAAATTCAGGTTAGTCAACGTAATTTTATGGTGAAATCAACGATCTACACAAAACTGTATTCAGAATAAATATGTACTTACCAGTGACTACTTCTCAACAAGTAATTCTTAGAGCTCCGTTAGCAAGCTGTAACCAGTAGACTTCAATTCTGTCAGAAATGAAAAAGTTGCCAATCAATTGGATTGAACGATACGTATTTGCGCAGCATTGCGAATTGACTAGATTTTTGAACTATTTGATTGAAACTTCGTAGTTTAAAAGTTATGGATTTTCCACGAGACCGCAGACTACTAGATCAATAATACACACTAAAGCTGAGTCCCTTACTAGGATGAAATAACCATTCAATGATTCCTGGATCTCAGTGTTCTCTAGCTGAAATCAGTCCTTGACGCAAAGTATAAAATTCATAATCTTGTAATCTGTATGAACATATCTATGATTGTAGCTTTACGGCAGTGTTATTATTCAATCCTCCATTATGTTTGACACAAGTAAACATCCATGACCACATGATTTCAGTTTTTTAATAATTCCATCATAACTTAATGGAGAGCTTTTCATTTATTTTTGAGTATACAAGGGTATGCATTTTGAATTTTTGTCAAATATGTGTAGTTATCATACTCCATTAAAATGAAGAGTTCCTTCTCATGGTTTTCTCCACATCGTAATCACTTTACATATATTAAAACAGACAATTCGGGAACCAATTGCTCATTCCTTAGCATGTTAGATTTTCAAACACTAAGTTTTGAGTACGAGTCTGTTTCATGTTTGGGCAACAAGATTTAGTGTAGTACTGTAGTGTGGGTTACTTATATCTACATAAGTAGTAAATGGTGATGCTCAGGCATAGAATGTATTTCACTAAAAGATTTATAAGGAAAGAACCGAAACAAAACGCAATTGGTATGAAAATGAATGAACAATGAAACCAGAGAAGATGAACTAATATTTGCAGAAGGAACAGTCAAGATTGAGACAGTTGACTGTTTACTGTATGGTTGTCAGTTTTTAATGATATAGTCTGTGATTTTCGTGTCGAATGCATTCGATTGTCCCCACTCATCTTCTTGTTTACTACAGTACTAGCTACACACCTTACGGTGTTGCGCGAATCCAGCGACATGAATCTGTAAATCGGTTGATAGATAGTTACGAAAATGGAAAAAAAATATTTCAAAAACAAATTCTAGATCACTTTATACAAAAGACAAAAACCATAAACATGCTTATTACAAGATTGGCATAAAATACATTCAACACCCTTAAATGATCTACCATTAGTAATAAGCAGTTAGAATATGGAATGAATCATTATGTTTCAATCATTGTAGTATTGGCTTATTAAAGAATGTGAATTACTTTTGAATCCCTTTCAAAATGCACCATTCTGCTTTCGGATTTATTCTTTCTTTCTCTTTCTCCATCACTTCTGTTATCATGTTCATTTTAAAGGTCTATATGAAGCCATTGAGTAAATCAGATCAAGAATTTATTCTGATTCAATTATATCCTGATATACCTAAGAACTATATTCATTTAATGGTGACCTTTAATGATACGGTAAGTTCAATAAAGGAATGTATTTTATGTTTGTTTTTACGATTAATGCTAATGTGTACAATTCCCTATATATATAATTGTGGTGTGTTACGTATGTGTCTAATCTTCCCTTGCCTTGACATGTGATGTAGGCCGAAGTAAATTAACTTTGAAGAAAGTGAGTAGGATCCAAATAAAGACGACATTAGTCTATGAAGTTATTGACTTTTATTCTAATCCTTATTGTTACTCACTTGATCACTTACGCCTATTACCCTTCATGGAGGAGCATAGGCCGCCTATCAGTTTTCTCCATCGAACTCTGTCTTGGGCAATGCTTTTCATATCTGCTTCCAATTTTCAACTTAGTGTGTCCTTTGACTTTCTTTTTTTCCCGTTTACCTTCAGAATTCCAAGTTAGCCTTATTGTTGGATGCATACAATATAATTGAGGTTACAATGGTATAGATAAATCTAAGATTTATCTTCCCCTGGAAATCAATTTCTAGTATTTTTCCAACTATGTCCTCATTGTTTTTTCTCATCATAAGTAACATTACAGTTATTTCGAGTATTTTGCTAATTGTATTTTAAATTCTATCACTTCACGTTGATGTATCATAGAAATTTGAGATCACACTCAGTTTTACTATCCCTTGTATCTATGACGACAGACAGACTGACTGAAAAAATTATATGTTTATATATTGGTGCATTTGATTGATTTTTATTGTTCCGTTTAATTATGGTGTTATTAATAAGACGTATGCATTACACTTGAGGTTCTTTTTCTTAACTTTGTTTAGGTAAATGTACAAATCAATATTAAACATGAATTTGGTAATCAAGGTGGACCATGGGAGTTTAATTTACGTGATTTAACTCGTTGGTGTGATCTAATCATTAAAGGAAAAGTAAGTATTTCATTGGTACATTTTGTTTAATGTATGTTTGAATATCTCATTTATATTAGTTATTGTTATGTATTAATTAGAATATGAAGTTTGAATTGCCTAGACTTGAGAAATTGGTAACGTGGTTTTTAATCTCGTAGAGACCATCGATATCCTAAAGAATCCACATATATTTTGTTAACGAGTGTCAACTAGCTCGGAACTTTATTTTATTTAGACACATAAGCATTGGTACAAGTAAGTGCCACACTTCGTCATTTGATTTGTGTGAGGGATGGGATACTTCTCAGGTGGCCGAATCGAAGAACGTGGTTTTTTTAAGGAGCTACACCACAGGCCTTTGACTCAAAGTTCTAATCCACAAGGCAGTGGAGCAACGTTAGAAGATGCAGTCCCATGAGAGCTTGTCATCAACATTAGGTTCTATACGCCATTTGTTTTCTTAGAATCCCGGAGCTCATGTATACTACTGGTTTGGAATTGTGGTTTCCCAACTCTCCCCTAGATGGATCCTCCATAATCACAGACTCGTTTTCCTCGTCTGCCGTTTGTCTTTCGTCTCCTCAATTTCGTAAAGGACACCTCAGACGAGAAGGTAGTAGAACTTCCATGGGAGTGGCTGTATGCGTGTAGCCATATGAAAGCATTTCTAGAAGGAGAGTAGACTCTTCGCTTCATCGACCGTACCAGGACATTTTAGGAATAACTCGGAACTTAGGTCAAGTAGGGTTTTTTTGTTCATTACCTCTAACCATTTTTTATCAGTAACTCATCATTTGTCAACTGGTAGATTTTTTACTGTTTATATACATATTTCTATGGTAATTTGTTTTTTGTTTTGTATCATTAGGATTTTGAAGGTTTCAATCCTGGTTTATATGTTCATCTATTGTATACAAATCGTATGCGGACTGTCCAAGATAAACAAAAGGTATTTCCACTGTCTAATTTAATTTATTTCGCGAAATTGCAGTCTATCTTTCATCACTTCAGTTATTTGTAGTTTTCCATACAAAAAGTGTATTTTCTCATATTCAAATAGAAATAAATAATTTTTTATAGTTGAGATCATGACTCAATTGAAGCTAGACCACCATAGAAAACGTAAAAGCACTGGACGGCCGTTTAGTCTTATTGTAGGACTCCTCGGCCGTTCAGTGCTTCCAGGCTTTCCATGGTGATCTAGCTTCAATTGATTTATGATCTCAACTATAAAAAATTACTAAAATCACCACAAAACCCCCCTCTCAAAAATAAATAAATTTGAAAATGTTGGGAAAGATTTACAGTTCATGTGAAAAATTACTTCAATTCTAAATGAAGTAGGCTCGCATAATGTTTTTGTCATTTTGAACGACAGTGGAACCTCCAAAATTAAATAATCTGGGCTTCAAAGATCATTATATCATCCAATTAAATAAGTCTATTTTCATTCTGTTTTGTAATTTGTTTCAATGTAATGTAGATCATAATCTTTAATTTTAGTCGAGTCATGGAAGCCTAATCAGTATATGTTTTAAAGAAATGATTCTCGAAGATTCTTCTACTCTATTTTGTTCATTGTGTTGTAGCTATAAACTCCGCTTGTAGCTCTTCTAGGGTTACTGCTAGTCCCAAGCTCGAGTAAAGGAGGAGGGTCGGGGATGGGGTTAGCAACACCATTCCATAGAAAACCAACATGCTAAAAAGCGCTAACCAGAATAAACAATTCAAACCATTCAACCACTCCTCGATGAAGAGTAGTTTGCCATCATATATTGGTAGCGATTTACCCTGGTGGTCAACAAGCCTTCAATCTTAACACATGATTTTCAGCGAAAAGGAGGGTTTTCAGTCGACGATAATTCAGTAATTCTTTATTAACCTTTTCAAAATATGTTTTTGGACAATTCTAGATGGTTGATTTATGGACTGTTGTATGTAATACAATATTGACTATGCCTGAAATGTTCTATTATGAACCACATGGTGATATTCGCCTTTTTAATGAATCATCTTTGCAATGTGGATTGGCTCATTTCACATGTTATTCTATAAATTATTCAATCTGTAATGAATTTGAATATTTGATTATAATGGATCATCATCGAAGTATCCTGGAGAGTTTTTTAAAAGTTATAGAAATGGGTTGGATGGTGATGCTGAATGGTCCCCCTGGATGTGGTAGGTTTGATATTAGTTTTTTGATAATTCTTGAAAACATGTCTGTTACCAATCTGAATGACTACTGTAGTGTTATGATAAAATTATAAGAATGCGAGGTAACAAAGCTGATCAAGAACCCACCCCAGAAATCCTAGCTAAATATTTCGACCAGTTACAAAGTCACATAATATTGACTATTACTCATTGATCAATCACCAGAAATATTTCGTAACTTAAACGTCTGAATACTGTTGTAGGATTGTAAAGCCAGTTCGGATGCCACAACAGTGAATATCAGTTCCCTCAAGTTTGTAAGTCTAAATAAGACAGAGTTTATTGTCGACGGTTTACAACTGTCCAACCTCTCATCATAGTACGCACGACATTGAGCCATTTAATTTAGTGAATATAATACATCTTGATTGATAGAATCCATTATATACTAACATCTAGGCACACATGATATTTGTATTAATACTTAGTTATCAATTGAAGTTACAAAGCATCTGACTGTTTTTATGAACATGTATTAAGAAATTAAACTTGAGTTATCTGCATAAAAACTATCAATGGTATACTATGCAACTGGTTTATTTGGTAGTTAACCACAAATGAGTTTTCGCGACTGAAAGCCAATTTACATACGTGTTTGTACCCGCTATAACACAACACTTCTTAAGTATCAATACGGAAGTTAGAATTAATAGTTTCAAATAAATTAATCATTGAGAACACTGTGTAAACTTCGATTCAGCCTGTTTACTGTGTATTTCTGATGAACTTGTGTGTGGATAGTTATAATGCAGAAATCGACCACACCGTAAAAATGTGGTTGTGTTATACAGTGTGCATGGATGTGACGTGATGATGCCGCTGATTGGAGAGCAGCGATTTATCGACCGAACCAATGATACACCCTAACCATAAGAACAGCCTAAAATAGTTATTGGTCCTGTTTCAATTGATAGACATCTAATATTTGAACTGTTATGATGTCAGCAGTTACAATTCACATTTATGGTGTTCTTTTCATTAACTATGTTATCAAAGACTTGTATTGGAGAATTTGATAAACAAGCTTGATTTTTAAGCAGTTAAATAGAATAATAAGGTAGCCAATGACCAACGATTGATTCATTTGCCATTTGTTCCCTCAGGATACTGGAGCCTATGTGCGCCATTGGTTTGGAATGAGGGTTTTCCAACTCCCCTTGGTGGACTTTCTGTGTGCACCAATCCGATTAAAGTGCCGGACATTCGCTTTTCGTTCTCCCAATTTCGTAAACAACACCGGTGCCACGAGAAGGCAGTTAGTAGGACTACCCTGGCAGAGGCTATATACTCGTGGCTATGTGAGAGCATTTGGAGAGGGAGAGCGGACTCTCCCCACTTTCGGCCGTTCCAAGGCATTTAGGGGCTATCAATATCATTTCACAGAAGCTAACATTTTTAATATTTAATTATTCTGAATCTGAATTAACTAGTTATTTATCTACTTATTTATTACTTTGAATTTTTTTTTTAATATATAGGCAAACGTACTTTAGCTCATATATCATCAATTCTTCTTGGTCAAACTCTGGTAACTATGTGTTTATCACCGACATCGGATACAATTGAATTACTTGGTTCATTAGAACAACGTGAATCAGGAGGTTTATTTGAATGGATCGATAGTCCATTAGTCAAAGGCATTATTAATGGTTATTGGGTACTAATTGAAAATGCACAATTATGCAGGTAACTACTGTTATGGATTAGCTAACTAATGAAGTAATATAAACAATTTTCTTAAAAGCTGTAATAGAACTGGTAATTCAACACTTAGCTCTAGTTGTCTAAGCGATTCGTAGTCTCCAAATGATTTATTACACTCCACTCTCGAACAAAAGACAAGAAATGGGAGGTGTGAAAAGAAGTCTTACTTTCAAGGGTAGTTTAAGTACAGAAGACAAAGGCCTTCGTAGGCCTATATATGACCTTAAATGGTTTGCCACTGGATGCACTGTCCAATTAACATTAGTTGAGATCTTTACACTTATTTGTCATCAAGCTCCTCAGAAGACTCAGATATGAAGCAGAATAATTCTTTATTGTATCCAATTCAATTTTGATTCAAAAGCCATACTATAATATAGAGAAAAATCTTGACCACACATGAACACAATTAGGAAATTACATTAAGGGGATAATTACCTCATAAGTAGAAGAGAATGGAGTAATGCATCCAGATCAAATATACCTAATTAACCCTGTACGGTCGATTGGTAGTATCATTAGCAAAAATAGTATAATGTAGAAGAAAGTTGTGACCACATATGAACATAATTACTGAGTATGATCAAGGGGATAATTACCCCATAAGTGGGAGAGAATGGAGTCATACATCCAAACCAAATTATACCTAATTAGCCATGTACGGTCGATCGGTAGTATCATTAGCCAAAAATGTAAGTCTCGACTCTGGGTACGCATAAACATGTCCTTTGTTATTCATTTACTTTTATTGATTGTATCGCATTAGTTGACCTATTGGTTTTGAAAAACACAATATCATAAAATGAAACTCCTTTGACTGTTGGAATTTCAGCTTCTTCACATTCTCTCCTTTGATTAAAAACACTGAAACTAGATGTTTTGTAGATTGTTGCGTTATTAGATTGGTTTTTACTATTATGTTGTTATAACTTGTGGCCGAATGGATGCTCAGTTAATGTATGACGTGATAAGACTGCCAATAAGAGAGCAGCGAATTATCGATTGGAACAGTGACACACGAAACCGTACGAGCAGTCTAGAGTCCTTATCGGTCCCGCTTTCTGCCTAGCCCAACCAGTTAAGTCCAGAATATCAATAACAGCTTCTGCGGTATGAATCCTTGTATTTCAACATACTGAGTTTATATACGAAATAGACTGACCACATCGTACCAATAAAATGGAAAATAACATTTGTACAATAGTTAGCCAAATGTGGCTGTGAATGTGGGAGACAGTAGTATTAATAGACTAAGGATAACTCAGAAATGGTAAATCGTATAATGATAGTCTATAGGTCAAAATAAAGCTCATGATACGGGGAACATGAATATGAATAATTTGGTTATTTAGCAAATATACGATAAAAATGATATGCATAATATTTGTCCATAAATGGATCCCAAAGTTACTATTCATTATTGTTATCGGGACATAACCTATGTGCATTATTCTTTAATGAATCATTTATTTTGTTTGTTTTTAACAAACTAGTCCTTCAGTATTAGATCGTCTAAATAGTCTTCTTGAACCAAATGGTGAACTATTACTTAGTGAACGTGGTTTAGATGCAAATGGTAAACTTATTACACTGAAAGCACATCCTAATTTCCGTTTAATTTTAACTGTGGATGAATTTGTTGGAGTTGGGGCCAATTGTTCAACTGGAATATCTCGTGCAATGCGTAATCGAGGTTTAGAAATCACTTTCACTGAACCAGTAAGTTTAATAGATTGTTTTGTAATGTTCTAATGCAAAATTAAAGTAACATGTATTTTCATATTGAACAATAGTTTTGACTCGAGATAAACGTCTATCGTTTTATAACTTATTGCTGTGAAACATAAGGGATGTCCAACCACCGACTACTTCATTACGCAATGATGATTGGTGTAAAGGTAAATGTTAGAAATGCTATAGGTGTTGAGACGAAGATATGACAACATTCCTTGAAGACATTTACTATTTCATTGATCCATTTGGATAAGTTCGCACTACCTAGTCGGGTTGTTTGTGATTATGGTAACCGGTGGTTAGAGACTTTATGTGACATGGCCTATATCCGTTCGCAGTGGCGCGAGTGTATTAGCTATTTGTCTTCTTTTTAGATTTTAGGTTTTGAAAATTATTTTACTAATCCATGTTTACTTGTCGAATGCATCTATCGCCGTTAATACTGCTACTTAGTTAACTTCTCTGGTATTAGCTCTCAAAATTTCATTTTTCTGTACTAGAGAGAAATGGAAATATAAAGCAATATACATATGTGCCAGGTTTTGCGTTGCTAATGACTAACTGGTCTTTCTCTGTTTAGAACTTGCCTGTTGAATACATCATTTACACATGTTTGTTCTTGCAAACTATTGAATCAGAATATCAGCAAAAATGATTATGTTGATTTTATTTGTTGAACGACTAAACATATACCCACGTTTCACATTTGACTAAAAGATCTGATCTATATGGCAGTGGAGCATCGTAAGGAGATGCAGTCCCGTGGTAGCCGGTGACCAACGATTGATTGATACGCCATTTGTTCCATCAGGATACTGAAGAGCCCATGTTCATCATTGGTTTGGAATGAGGGTTTTCCAACTCCCCTAGGTGAACTTTTCGTGTCCACCAACCCGGTTAAGCGCCGGACATTCGCTTTTCATCGTCTGAATTTCGTAAACATTAGTAATGCCACGAGAAGGCAGTGAGTATAAATTCCCTGTCAGAGGCTATATGCGCGTGGCCATGTGAGATCATTCGGAGATGGAGAGCGGACTCTCCCCACTCTCGGCTGTACCAGGTCATTTGGGGGCTTGGCTAATGATAAAAAACTCTCATACAGTGTAATAAACCTGTGAATAATAGTTGTCACATGCTAACACATGAGTGAGCGGTTTTATACGTGACTGGAGAGATGAGATACGTGTGGGTTGATACGAGAACTGTCGGCTTGCGATTGAACTATGAAGTAAAGAAAAAAAGTTTACGAATAAAAGAAACTACTTAGAAGTAGTAACACTAATACATAATCTCGTTTTTGGTATTATTTATAGCTACATGTGCTGCTTTCATCCTTTTTTTGTGATAAACATCAACAATTTACTGCAGGTATATTCGGCAGATGCATCATAAAGTACTTTGAATCAGGCTTTTAATTACCATCCATAGATTTTATATATAGTGTGTTAATGCAGACAGTAAAAATACATCCATTCAAAGGAGCCTATATCCTTACATAGGTTGATTGATTGTATTACTAATCTCTTCAACCAATATGATAATTCGTAATGTTAGTTTTTTGTAAGTAATCAGCGGGTAACTGTGATTTAAGTACGTTCTGTGTTGGTTGGTATTCGTTAACAATGCTTACCCGTAACACTGATCAAACTGATTCTTTTGGTGGAATTGGAACCCACTTTATGCAGTATTACAGCCAATGATGTCAATACGTTATTTGAGCTGCAAACGACCTCCTGTGGAATTGGTTAGTTGATCATAGTAGTGACCAATAGCAAGTCTAGTTCTTCCTAGTGCTCATCGAATTCTATCAATCAAGTTTGTTGATTTGATATTTCTTAAAATAAATGACTACGCAATAACAGGTTTATGTGTTGTATCTGGCGTATTTGTCGGTAACCCAATTAGTTGACTGAGTTGGACGTTTTGATGGTGTGGTATCATTCTTTTTTAAGTTTTATTCTTGGGGTTTTCATGTTCTACTATACAGCATCAACAGCCTTATGAAAATACACTCATTAGTGGTATGAACGATCAACATAAATAGGTGTTGATCTCAGAAAACGGGTATACTACTATGAGATTAGACTTTAGTTGTATTTATCATGCGTTACCACAGCAAAAGAAGCCTCTTAGTCTAGATTTGGTCTATAATTATGAAGGGATGCATACCGTTAATAAAATTCTATTTTGTGTCAATAATGTTACGTCCACTGGCGCAATGAATCTCTTCTGTATTGTATGAGATGTATACTATAACTAATCATTCGTTGGAAATTTAATTCATAACCTTTAATTTTCTAACCGTTCTTATCCTAGTTTTATCGATCATGTTACATAATGTGTTTATTAGGTTATGATATTATTCTAAATTACCATATCGTTTGTTTGATCTTTTGAGGTATGAGATAGTATAAATTACGTTTAATATTAGCCTTGTTGAGGACTATGTCATCATTTATAATTCGAACATTTGATCTTTTTGTTTTGCAATAAATTTTCCCAAAAAAATACTGTACTTCATTGTTACGTCCTTGATCTGTCTACCAACTTTCGTGCCGAGGATAACTTGTCTAATGTGGATTGAGACCTTGACACGATAAACTGACTGGCTTAACCTTGAGGCTAGTATACGTGAGTTCGAAGTGGGGGTAGAGAGAAGAAAACTGTTCTATCACCTGATTGGCTGACAAGCACGCGCGCGAGAGTGAAGACAAGACAACCGGAACACTACTCGCTTTATTCCAAATTCTGATCTGGTACCCGATTTCAGATTAGTGTAAAAAGATAAATAAATAGATGACTAACCTGACCATAACGTACAACAATTAGGAAAATACAATGATGTCCAAAACTGGGGAATTAGAATAGAAAATAGAGTACAAAACGTTACGTCTAAATTACAATAGCTTTGTAATAGAAAATGTTGTGATAGTGAATCATACATTTGTAGAATAGGCTATGGACAATAGTAAATGTTACTGTTATACAAGCTTTGAATTAAATGAAATAACGCCCCCAAAAGCAGCGTCCGTAGTTTTTTAAGGTTTCTTATTTCTCTGTTCACATCACTGAAGGGTTCTTAGGATCAATCAAATGATATTTTCGGGTTCCATGCATTTCACTAATTTTCAGAACATAAATGTGAAGTTACGTGGATAAGTTACAAGCTTCTCGATGGTATTTATTGATTCAACTTTATGGTAGATTGCTTAAGAATGTTATCTGCACTCCTATAGTATTAAGTGGTGTCCTTGTAAAATTGTTGTAGAGAAATGATTAGTCTAGTACAGTGAAAGCATTAAATACTGACTTCTAAGACATTCCGCGGTTTGTCAAAGCTTCTTGTTCCTCTGTTTACATCATTCATATAGATTGTCTTCATCATTATACCTTTTTTTATTTTTTCTCTATGTTACTTATTTTCATTGTAGATTATGCAACCACATGTAGACTTACTACGTTTATTCACCGCAATCAATGTCCCTAAACCGATTGCTATAGGTTTAGTTGAATTTCAAGGATTATTCCTTGAAGTCTGTGAAAATCAAACATCTTTTCTTGAATTTTATTCAAATTGTTTCAATGGAAAAGCACAAATATTAGATAATAATACCACCACACATCAATCTATCAATTGCCATCATTTGAAAAGAATTCCAATTGGTGCATTAATCTCAGCTGGTCATTATGCTAAACAACTTTTAAGCGGATCTTCAAATGATCAGTTGGTTTCAATATTGCCAATGGATAATAAAGAACTTGACGGGACAAAGATAGAAACGAAAAAGAGAAAAATGCAAAAAGTGCTGACAAAGAAACATGATGATATAAACAAACTGAACAATATTGATGATGAACTTACGAAAGACGGAATAAATACAGATGAAATATTGATACATATTTTGAATTATGCTTATTGTCATCGTCAAATGAATACAAAGAGTATTGAGGTAGTTATTGCTTACGTTTTTATTTGTAAACAGTAAATTTATTGGTAAATAAAGTTGAAGCGAAAGGTATTGGGTTCGAGTCCCAGAGTGAACATCAACAAGTCTGAGATGCAGGTACATCCAGTTGACGAGTCCTAAATGGGACGAAACGCGCATCAAACTGGATTCCACTGCTAACCACTTTCCATCTTTGATTACAAAGTTTAGGAATGTTTATTGAAAGCGTCTACATTTTATAGGTTTTTTCAACGGACTAACTATCATTCATTGCTAAGAAATACTGAGGTTTTCTCAAATCTCAGGATTCATGATTCTGTCTACAGTTAACTAAACTTATGACCGACCATGCAGCATTGTATGATGCAATTAACTGTCATACTTTCAGTGACGATTTACATCACTAACTTATATCAGTTTGTGATAATACAGTACAACTATCATTATTTGTCTAGAAATACTCTGTTTAGGTTAATTAATTTGATGTGTTACAGTGAATTTTTTAGCCAATGGTTTTATCAAGCTGACTATATAAAGTCATCCGTAAACTCGACTGACTGACCTAATCTGAAGAATTTCGACGAAGCAGGAACCATAGTTTTTCACTACCCTATAATAAATTGTATTTAAAACTAATCGCCAATGATTATGATCATCATTATTTGTGATTATTATTATTTTTTTTTAGTTATTAGTAGCGATGAGTCAGTCAGTCAACTACAACGTAGGACCAGATCACATATATGCATCGGTCCAAGTTGATGATGACGTATTAAGCTATACGTTCAAACACATTTTGTCCACTGATTTTGAGAGTTTTACTATAATACTCAGTCATTACCATTATATTCCTAGTATAATGAATTGTTAACCATGCTTATTGTTGATTTCTATATACTTTACCAGAGTTAGTGTTTTATGAGACTAATCTATACAGTAGGTGATTTCCCTAATATCATTCTCTTTTGTGTACTACTGATTACTTAGTGATCAATAATATGATCGTTTTATCCTAATTTCTTCTGTTTCCTTAAATCAAATCGCTTTTATTAGTATACTATTAATAATATGTATTATATTCCATACTGAATGAGATTGAATCCAATAAACCAAATCAAAACATAATTATGGAATTAAATGCCCTGGTACGGTCGAGATGGCGAGAATCTGCTCTCCCTCTCCAAATGCTCTCACATGGCCACGCGTATACAGCCTCTACCAGGGAAACCTACTCACTGCCTTCTCTCACGGGGTGTTGTTGAGCGGAGGATGAAAAGCGAATGTTCGGCTCTTCAACCGGTTGGTGGACATGGAAAGTTCACCTAGGGGGAGTTGGAAAACTCTGATTTCATAACAGTGTTTCACATGAGCTCCAGTATCCTGATGGAACAAATGGCATATAAATCAATTGTTGGTCATCGGCTACCATGGGACTGCATCTCCTTACGATGCTCCACTGCCTTGTGGATCAGACCTTTAAATCAAAGTCTCCAGGTGTGGTCCCCTAAGAAAACCACTTGCTTCGGTTTGTGCACCCGGGCAATATTACAGTCGTCAAACATGTTCACATGTTCAAGTTGGTTAGCTTAACAATGCTGTTTGTTCTAAATTATGTTCTTTTAAAACTGGTCCATGTATATCCATCATGTTGTTTATATTTCTATTTACTTTTTTAGTTTGTTAAATATTTAATTAATTACTATGTCAAACATATTAGGCATACAGATTCATTCCATACTGAACTACATTCAATGTATCATCTACCTGTTAATTATTTACATCATACTGTAAATGAAATCATTCAAAATCGTCTACCTTTAATATATCGTCAATCATACACTAATTTAATTCAGATAACATTAAAAGAGTATTATGATAAACCATTGAATATTGATATAAAATTAATGATTCAACGTATTCTACTAGAACAAGCTAATTTCACTGATATACAGTCAGAACTCTTTGATTTGAAAGCACTTCAGTTCAGTGAATCCAATATGTCAATGATAAAGTTATCTGAATGGTCAGATTGGCCTGATCTACGTTGGATACCTGGATGGAAACATTTGATTTATTCATTGGAAAATGAATCAGATGATTTAATTTATGAATGGAATAAGTAAGTGATTTAAGATTGCTTATTTCTTTTGTTTTAGTTTGTCGACCATGCCATCTCTCCAGAAATCCCTTGGTAAATGTGTTTGTTTCGTAATTTATTGTGGAATTTCGAATTTGCTATTTCAGCGTCAAAAGCGCCTATCTTTACCTTCAATTTATGTTTCTCACCTGGAAGGGCTTTAAATGTCATTAGTTTGTTTCCTCCTTTTATACGCCATTCTGTGACGTTTCCCAAGAACATTCTTACACTGTATATATACGCTTGAGTTGTGTGCTTGTTGTTTGTTCTTCCGAATTGCTTATGGAATCATATATTTTTTCTGCTGAATCTGTTCTTTTCCTGTTGTTGTATTGATGACTTTCGTTTTGTTCGCCAGTTCTAGGCGATATCTTGAACCCTCGAACATAGCAGTGTTACATTTGAAGTGATCCATAATCGTTTGTTATTTGCAGTCAATATTCTTTTTTCGGAGAAAGCGATGACAATTACAGAGGATGATGTAGCCTTTTATGGTTCCACAAAAGATTTAGGGTTTTAGGCAGATGTGGAATTAAATTTTATCATGTTGTTTTTATGAACAGACATAAGTTTTCATTTTTTTATGATAGAACCTCATGTTTTTCGATCATTTATTTCATACTCATTGCTCTAAATACATAAAATTTTTATAATTTTTGTAACTGAGGGATTTTTTTTATTAGGGAATCGTTAACAGGTCTTTCTTCCTTATCATAGAGCTCCTAGGCAATATGTATCCATTTGTATGCCAAGGACATTTAGAAACTTGGTTTAAAGTGAGGTATTTACTTCCATTTAACATCAATAAATTAGTCTAATCGGTTGTCGTTTTCACTATAAAACGAACTATTCATTTATTTGTTTTACTTAATCCTTGTTTTAATTAGGAAATTCTTTCAATTTAAATAGTCATTTCAAATTTTCCACGGTATGCTGGATTGTCTATAAACTTTGTTTGTTAATTCCATCAGAGGTTGACTACAAGTGTTATATCGACTGTATGTGTGTGCGTGCCCTGCTTAATATATAACGTGATGATACCCGCCAATGAGAGAGAAGTGAATTTTCGATCAGAGTAATGATACACAAAACACGTACGAGCAGTCTACAGTACTTGTCGGTCCTGCTATCTACCTAACCCAGACAGTTAAGTCCAGAACACTAATAACAGCCTCTGCAATATAAATCATTAATTTCAAACATACTGAGTTTACGTACCAAACAAACTGACCACATCGTACCATAAAGTAGAAAATAATATTTGTACAATATTCAGCCAAATGTGACTGTGAATAGGAAGAACAGTAATTAATAGACTGAGTATAAGTCGGGAATGGTAAATCGTATAATAATAGTCTATGGGTCAAAATAAAGGTCATGATAAGAGGGAAATGAATATGAATAGTTTAGTTGTTTAACAATTATATAATAGGAGATATACATATCATATTGGTCTATAAATAGTCGCCAAAGCTACCATTCATAATTCTCCAAGAGATATAACAATAAGATTTTTAATATCAAATTATGACCATGACTACATTCAATCATTTTGATCTTTAATTGGAACTGATTTATTCAGCTAGTATTTTATCACATCAATACAGTGAACATATCTATACCTGGAAAGTGAAGTTGTAGTGTGTAAAGCTGTGTGTAAGATGTTGCATTACGTAATACGTGTTGGTCTTACAAATAAATTGTTTTTTTTTCCTGTCTCTGTCGATCATTTTTGTCGCTCTTTTGATTGCGTCCTTATGAATGGACGCCTGTTTATGCGCTTCAGGAACTAATTCACCACTTATGTATTTTGATTTCAGTTAAATGTTTCTTGTTAAAAATAAGGAAATATCTTGTGGTACGAACCTGTTTTCTAATGGTTGAATGACAAATTTTTGATCTACTAAACTGTAGCTTCACCTTAAGATTTATACAGTAATATGACACAATCTGTATTAATATTACTAAAGGTTGTACTTCTTACTGTTGTTATCTTATAGTGAGCTTAATATCTGTTGGCATATGAAGCTCTTTCAGTAGATCCCTCAACACGTTTATGAATAGCGACTAGCAGAATGATCTAAGTACAGCTTTCTTAGGAGTGATAGGGCTGGAATACTGTCTGGATGTCCTAGTTGGAACAGGTGGTTATTTGATAAGTGTGTTGCTAGAGCCTTTAACCTAACCATCTAATCTAAAGATCGGTGTATCAATATTTCGGTACTCATTTCTTGGTCAGCTGGGATCCTAAATAGATCTATACACTATTCTTACTCTTCGGCTCCTGGATTCCATCGACACCGTCAGTTAAGAATTTGGATTTCTCAACTGCCTTCGTATTGGCCAATGTGAATTAATCCCCGTATGTTCGCTTTTCGTTGTCTCTCATAAAAAGTCAGTCAGTCAGTCAGCTACAACGTAGGACCAGGCACATATATGCATCGGTCCAAGTTGCCATACCTCGTTAGCACAACAAGATGAACACCGGATTCATAGTTAATTTAGTGTTGGTAGAAGTATATAAATTATAGGTTGTATATAAGGATATAGTACAGGAAGGAAGAGAGATATGAAGCAATTTTAGTCTCAAGGTTTAAGGGAAGATAAAGAGTGTATACACCTACTCCATTGTGATCGATTCTGAGCCATGTCACACAGAGTCTCCAACCATTGGTTACGATAGTCACGCGGACCCCAACCAGGTAGTCTGCATCTGTCAACATGGCTCAGACTAGAAGTTAGTGACTTCAAACACTGATGCCATGTTTTGGTTTGACCGCCCCTAACTCTCTTCCAACCATCCCCTACACTAGTCATCATAGCGCGTCGTGGTAATCGGTGTTCAGGCATACGTAACACATGGCCCAACCATATCAGTCGATGAAGATTCATGACCTCATCAACTGATTTACCATCGTTCCCTAATACCCTGCGTCTAACCTCACTATTAACTACCCGGTGATCCCATCAGATGCGAGCAATATTTCTAAGTTATCTGTGGTCAAATATTAGTAACCTACGAGTATCTTCTACTCTTAATGGCCATGTTTCGCAGCCGTAAAGTAGAACAGAGCGAACTGCTGCGCAGTATACTCCTCCCTTAATTGATAGACGGATATCTCGTCTTCGCCATAGGTGACGTAAGTTGGCAAAAGCCAAACGAGCTTTTTGAATCCGTGCTGAGATTTCGTCAGACACCAACCCATTAGGGCTGATCAGACTTCCAAGATAAGTGAAGTTGTCAACGCGTTCGACTACTTCACTCCCTATCCTTAGTTCGAGTGTTGACGCAGGCCAGTCCTGGAGTAACAATTTACATTTGGATGGGGAGAAACGCATCCCAAACATCCTGGCATTATTACTGAGTTCCAACAGAAGACTCTGCATTTTGCCAGCGTCTTCACCAAACAGGACTATGTCATCTGCGTATTCTAAGTCGCTTAGTGGTCCCCCTGGTAGGAGATCAATTCCTGTAAATTCAGTCGAAGAGAGTGTCATTTGCAGCAACAGGTCTATAATGAAGTTAAACAAAAATGGGGATAGTGGACAGCCTTGACGGACACCACTTGAGGTTGTAAAATCATATGACAGTTCACCATAAGCTCTCACTCGACTGATAGTGTTCGAGTAAAGAGCCTTCACAAGGTTTATGTACTTCTGAGGTACACCTTTCAATGACAGACACTGCCACAGAACCTCTCGGTCTACAGAGTCAAATGCTGCTTTCAAGTCAAGAAAAACTATCATTGTCGGACGCCGATAAGCATGTCTGTGCTCTAAAACTTGACGAATGGTGAATATGTGGTCGATACAGCCACGACCAGGTCTGAAGCCAGCCTGATTTTCTCGTGTTTGCAGTTCACGAGTCTTAGTTAGGCGCCTGATAATTATTGAGGCTAGTATTTTAGATACTATGTTAGTCAGACTAATCCCTCTATGGTTATCGCAGGATGATTTTGACCCCTTTTTATATATTGGGACAATCAGTGATTGTGACCAGTCGGATGGGATTACATCCGTCTCCCAGATTTTAGCCAGAATATTAGTCAGCCTAATCGCTAAAATTGGACCACCGTATTTAAAAACATCTGGAGCCAATCCATCAGGACCAGCTGCTCTTCCTCGTTTCAGATTACCTATAGCCTTTTGAACTTCAAGTAGGGTCGGGGGGCCTACTTCAATGCTCCATTCAGGTTTTCTAGGAATAGTGGGTAGTTGTGCAGTAGCTGAAGGCCAGCTAAACTGCTCCTTAAAGTGTTCCGCCCATCGTTCTAAACGTTTGGGTAGAGAGCAGATAAGGGTTCCATCTTTTTCCGAGATCGTCTCACTTACACTTGACTTCTTAATTCCAGTTTCTTTTATTAGTCTGAATAGTTGCCTGGTGTTGCCTACAGCGGCTGCCTTTTCTATCTCTTTTGCTTTCGTTGCCCACCACTGCTCACGATCGTTCCTTAGACTTTTAGTTAACCTAGATCTAATTTCTTTACGCTCTTCGTCATGTTCAGAGCCTGATGGTATGAGTTTACGCGAATCCATCAGTGAAATAGACTTAGAAGAAATCCACTGGTTTTTTGGAGCCCTATGGTTTAAATGACTAATAGATGTTACTGCTGTCTCCACAGCTGTTCGTATGCCTTTCCAAGCAGCATCTGGGTCAGTCTCGTTTACAGAACTGCATAGATGTGAACTCAGTTGCTTCTGGAATTCGCATTTGGCTTTCTCGTCCTCCAGTTGAATCCTAATGGGTCTTCTTAGTTTACTTTTCCTGCGTCCATTGAGGCGCAGACAAATGCGTGCTCGTATTAAAGCGTGATCAGAGTCTAAACAAGTATTCCAATACGAGCGACAATCTTCTATTGAGCCTCTCCAACGATGACTGATGACAATATGGTCTATTTGAGTCCATTGTTGGTTTGGTGCAGGTGGTCGCCATGTTAGACGATGTCTCTCCTTATGTTTAAAATTAGTGCTTGCTAAAAGTAAACGATTGTCTGAGCATAGTTGCAACAGACGATCACCATTATCGGTTCGTTGAGCCGGAATACTAAAACACCCACCTAGATGTCTTTCTGTTTGATTTAAGCTGCCTACCTGGGCATTAAAGTCACCCGCTACGACTACTATGTCTGAGCGCTTAGCTTTCTGAAGAAGCTCAGAGAGTTTTCTGTAAAAGTCATCTTTCACTTCATCATGGCTGCAGTCAGTGGGAGCGTAGGCAGAAACGACGAAAAGGCAACGACGTGTGTCCCTATCCTTCCGAGTTCTTACGGAGCCATTTAGCCGGACAGCACACAGGCGACTGTCAACGGGGATCCATTCTAGTAGTGCCTGTTCTGCCCTTGTACTTAGTGCTATACCTACACCTGCAAGTCCACGAGAACTAGCCAACGGGTCGCCAGATACACGGAGGGTGTATTTCGTTGGCTGTCCATTTTGGCGAGGTGAGGTCAGGTGAATGACCACACTAGGATCCTGTATGCGTGTTTCGGAGACACAGCATACATCAATGGTACGAGATTCTAGAGTTTTAGCTAAGGAAGCCTGTTGACCGATTTGACTTAAAGTACGTACGTTGAAGGCTCCAATGTGTAGTTTGGAGCGAGGTTTTAGTAGACCTGGGACAGCGTTTCGCGCACTAGAATCGTTGGCCATGGTGACACTTGAGGAGGAAACCGAGAGAGGAAGTTTAGTGTTGAAAGTCAAGGTAGTAGGAATTGAAGAAGGAGATTGATTATGAATACAGTGGTCTTGAGTGTTGTTAGAGGTATGAGGGCAGTTATCACTTCCCGGTTGCCCACACCGTGGAAGGATTCTTCTAGAGGTACCTGAAAAGGAAATTGGGTTAGAAGTGGTCTTAATGACCTGAGAGCGTGACCGCAGTGCCCAAGGGACAACTGCTTGAGGTCGGTCACACACGACCTTTTTGTGGGTAGTTTTTGTGTTAGCTCCGTTCTTCAAAAAAAACCTTACCGCCGGAGACGGATATCCGTGGGATAAGGCGAGGTGTGCATTTTTAGGGTCGACCTTTTCTAACCCCACCCCTCCTTGTGGGAAGGCAGCATCGCTGTCATGCTGGTTGTCTGAAGGAAACACCTTACTGCTTTCACACCTCTGTACAGTCAGCAGTACGACTTCACCTTCGGACCTTGGGTTTGCTGCTTTTAGTCTCACCGCTCTTCAATCGACCTGTCTGGCATGGTAGGACCTCGAGGAACGATTGTTCCAGCCAGCATAGCTCGATTGCTTCATCACGATAGGCAAGCCCGACCACCACGTCAAGGTAGCAGCAACGGTCTCATAAAAAACCTACCACATGAAGAAAATGGGTTAGACGTCCCTACTTGGTGCTATAAACTTATCGCCATATGAAAACATTCCGATAAGTAGAGCGTAGTGTTCACTTACTTACCTACTCCTGTTACCCCTCGTGGAGGAACATAGGCCGCACACCAGAATTCTCCATCCAACCGTGTCTTGGGCAATCCTTTCCAGTTGTTATTCATCCTTTTCATATCTGCTTCTATTTCCTGACTTAATGTGTTCTTTGGCCTACCTCTTTTCCGCTTCACTTCCTTATTCCAAGTTAGCGATTACCTCTTGATGCAGTGTCCACTATCGATCACATATCCAGCTGATGATTCCTAAGTAGAATGAAATATTTACCTTTTTATTCACTGTTTTGGTCAAGATTCGTATCGTATCACTTTCCAAATCATATCGAGTTGTTAACACAGTAGCTCTGTATATACTGAATAACTTCACACTTTCATTTACATTCTTTATTGTTTCCCCTTACACAGAAAACTTTATCTTTTATTAATCAATGAATTAATCCAATCAACTCATCATTGTATTCATCAACAATTCAATGATAATCAATCTTATTCATTGCTACAATCTTCTGATCTTCACCGAATTCCTGTACTTGTAATCATTCAATTATCTATGGATAATCATATTCCATCTATTTGGTTAGATAATTATCCAGGTTTATCTAATCTAAAAGAACAATGGTTTACCTTTTTAAGCAATTTATCCAACCATTTCCTTAACTATAAACATGAGTTAACCAAATCCAATGATCTCTTATCAAATCTATATATGAAATGGATTAGTAAAGCATGGATATGGTTACGTTTATTTGGTTCAAGACCATTAGGTGATTCATTTGATTGGCCTGAACGTTTATTATTTCATAATCAACATATTCTATTTAATAACCCACTAGAGAATCATCAATATTTATCCAATTTAACCATCATTTCACAATATTTTCAATCAAAATTAGCACCATTAAATGTGCCTAAATGTCAATTACAATTAAATCCATTATCAGTAGATTGGTTACAATTTGGACAATTAATGAATGAATTTTTGATTAGACTTAAAATTGAATTGAACATGACTGGAAGTAATAATAATGATAGTGATGACGATGATGAGGGGGAGGAGAATGAGGAAGAGATTAGTATCCATGGTGATGGTGGTGATACTGATGTTGCTATGGTTCATCACAATGAGGATATTAATGATGATGATAATCCAAATGATATTATGAATTTTTATTGTTTATGGCCTTGGACAATGATTTTATTATCAAAATTTGTGGATATAAAATTGTTAGGTAACACATTACAACAACAATATGATGTTCAAAATGATCAATGGGATTTAACAGAATCTTTACGAATTTATTTTCGTTCTAATTTATTAACCCTTAATCGTCCACAATTATTAGCTTATTTATCCATGACAACAAAATGTTTATATAAAATCAATAATTGTGAACAAATGCGGGTTATGAAACAGTTGCTACAGGAATTAAATATTACTATAATGAATAATAGTAATTCATCTATTTTCTTAACATTTGCTCTAAAGAAGTTAGATTGGAGTCTTCCAAATCAATTATTAAATGTTCACTGTGTAAATCAAGTGAGTCGTGTTATAAAAGAATAGGATGTATGCCAATACGTTATGATTCTATGTCCAGATTTTTATCACGTGACTTATCCACCAATCGAAATATGACTTGCCTAATCTGAACACTGCCAAATCAATGACGTTCGACCGGTATGAGCAGTCTAGCGTCCGTATTGGTCCCTTGTCCACAGTTGAGTCCAGAACATAAATCGCAACTTCTGCTATGTGGATCTTTTATTTCAAGCATACTCGATTTAAATATCAGACAGACAGACCGCATCACACGATAAAATAGAAAATAATATTTGTAAAAGATCAAGCCGAATGTGGCTGTGAACGTGGGAGACAATAATCAATAAACTGAATATAATTTAGGGACAGTAATTCGTTGATCAAAATGAAGCTTATAATAAGATGAATATAGATATACACAATCTAATCACTGAATAAGAATATATACAGAACAATAGTCCATTAATAGGTCCTGGGAGTTACCTGTCCTTATGTCTTCACCAGGATAATAACGAGTCGACCCATGATTGTCTGTGTTGTAGACATACAGTGTTTGTACTCGATGCAGAGTATATGTTTTGATATTAAGACTAAGTTTCTGCGACTACTACTATCGGTAGATATGTCTTATTCTGAATGGATCCAAACTATTGACTTTTGTCATACTTTCTAGATTGTTCAAAATCCGAGAAAGATTGGCTCACGAAGAGCTGGCTGGTTTTCGTACTGCTTGAGGATGTATTGATCGAATTTTCACCCTCCTCCAAATGCTAGAACACCGTCATACTTAATACAGGGTAACAATCATAGTATTTTTTTAAATTAGGACCACCTTCAATCCGTTGGACATGGCTGTTCTGTGAGGTTGTTTATTGAAGAAGGACGTGTCTGAGAAGTGTATTAGTATAATAAAAGCCCTATATACAAACAAATCAGGTAGAGCGAAGGCATACAATCACCTCTCCATAATGTTCCATTCAAATAGTGAGGTTAGACAGGATTGATTTCTATCGATCAAGTTGCCGTGCGGTCACTAGTCTAAGTGATTGGAAAGCGGCTGCATTAATTTTTAATTTTTAGTAATTGAAGTTAGTTGTTAGCATTGTGAGGGACTGTTGGGGATGCCAAATCCCCAGAACTTAATTGATAAGTGGCTCAATTTTGTAATTTTATTTTGGAAATTTGAATTTACTTGTTTTCGCTCCAAAACGTGCTCTTATTACCTTCACATCATATTTCCCACTTGTAACTATCTTAAGCGCTATTGGTCCATTGTTTCTTTGTGTGTGCTATTTATTAACGATGCCCAAGGATATTTTGTTGCTGTATAAATACGCTTGACTTTTTCCCTTATTTGATTGCTGTACTTCTGGCTGCTACGGAATATAACTTCCCCGCTCCAACTTGGACTTCTTACTCTAGTTAGCTGGGTCTGGGTTGCGTCAGTATAGCTAGTTATCGGTCTCTGGTCACGTGTCTTTGTTCCGTTCGTTACTAGTGAATTCGTAACGCTTCAGATATATCAGGGACATAAATGGTTTATAAAAGAATAAATCTAGTAAGTAAAGAAATCGGTTATAATAACAAAATTATGTTGTTTGATATTTAGGGCGACATTTAAGATGAATTATGAGAGGCTCCTCGTCGTATCTGATGAAATATCATATTACAAATATAGGTTTGTGTTTTCCGACTCCTGAGGTAGAAATGGAACGAAACATTTGTCCTAGGATCCAACGCTAGCCACTGTTCAAATTTAATCATATTTATAATTTAAACTAATAACACCGAATATATAATTATACCTGATTCATTCTATCGTTATGTATGTAATCTGGATATTTTTTACAAGTACATTTGTTTCTTAACCGTTTCATTTTATAGCCTGATATATTAGGTGAATGGCGTTCTATAAGTCATGCACTTATTCATATAACATGGCCAATGTTATGTGAATATGGAACTTGTTCTTTTACTGGGAAGCTAACAGTTTATGGTTGGCGTTATCGTCAACAAGCTATACAGAAAGCAAATCATTTGTTGTATTTATCTCCAAAACAAGAAACAACCAATATGTCAAAGAATGAATATTTACAGTAAGTTAATGTTATTTTTCAACAAATTGGGTTAGTTAATTACTTAATTCTCGACCTTAAGGCGTAATTTGACTCTGTCGATCGTGAGGTTATATGGCAGTGTTTATCACTGAAAGGAGTACCAAAGAAGTACATTAACCTTATAAAAGCTCTTGAACACAACTGGTCGAGTTAAAGCTTATGACGAACTGTCATCAGAATTGATTACCTCAAATGGTGTTCGTCAGGGCTGTCCACTCTCTCCATTCTTGTTCAATTTTATCCTAGACGTGCTTTTAGAAATAACACTTTCCTCATCGAAATTTAGAGGAGTTGAACTTGTACCAAGGGATTCACTTGTTGACTTAGAATATAACGATGACATAGGTCTTTTTAGTTAAGCCGCTGACAAAATACAATCTTCTCAACACTATACGCAACAATGCAGGCATGTTCGGGATGCGATTCTCCCCCTTGAAATGCAAAATGTTACTTCAGTATTGGGTGTAGACTACCTGGTTGGGATCTACGAGATGATAGCAACTGATGGTTAGAGACTTTGAATGACATGGGTCAATATCGTTTGCAATGGAGAAGGTGCATCCACTCCTTGTGTTCTCTCAAATTCTAATCTTCTGACTTCTTCATGTCTCTATCTTTTTTCCCTCTTTCCAAATTTATTTCACTGGATTATACTTCTTGAATAACATCTTCAAACCCTAATCTTTCGGATTACTGCTTATACTCTTACTACTTGTACCACTATGGGATTTGAATGGACAACTGCATCTCTGTGTTAATGTAGTATGGCAACTCAAACTGATGTACGTTCGTACCAAGTTCTACGTTGTGACGGAATGTCTAATTCTTTTTCAAATATATAGGTATAATTAGATTATACTGTTAGCGGTTAAGAGAGCTGATTTGAATTCGGCAGTGTCACAAACATATAGTTATAACTACTCTAGGTTCCCAGTAGGTTAATCCTATCTAGTCGTAGGTGCTAGGGGCAGCCAAACTAAGATATATCATCGATCCATTAAGACACTGACTATTATTTTGTCCCATATAGGTAAATACAGACTACCTGGTTGCGTTCCGTTCGATCATTGTAACCAATATTCAGTGATGTTGGATGATTTGACTCAGAATTGGTCACGACGGTTCCTTTAACTGGTTAATTGACCATTGAGTTCAACATAGTTCTACCGCTTTCATTATTGTTCAGATTTGATTGTCGTATTAATTTATTTCTTCCACACAGATGTAATAATCTGGAAATGATTATGCAACATGCCTTCAATATTCTTTCTGGAATATATCAAGTTGTTCATTCAATACAGAAGGTTATCAATTCACAAAATAATGATACGAATGAGGAGGATACACTCAGTCCCATCATTCGTATTAATAACCTCATTGAATTGATCAACTGGATTCGTAATGTTTTCAATCCATCAATCAATCTTTTGAAATCATATATATCTAATGATAAATCGAACGATTGGCATCGTATTATACGTTTGATTGAATTATTAATCCGGTATCTGGAACAACTCTCTTCATCTTTATCTAATCAAAAAAGCAATAATAACGATGTTCATCATTATGATAATGATGATGGTGATGATATCCTGAATTATAAATTTATTTTATCTAATTGTTGGCTCCTTATCGGTTTCTTATATCTACGTTGTAATTGTCCATATAGTCCATTAGATCCTTATATAGTTGTACAGGTTGAAGAGGAAGCAGTTAAACATGAAGTAAGGAATCAATCAAAAGGAATTGTTGTTTTTTGTTGTTGCTTAAATTCCATTTCTGATCGTGTACTTTGTTTCTCTTCCTTCGTGGAAAAGGGACTTTGCTGTTAGCTGTGTGATTTTATTTGATTTTGGATTGTTTTGGTGAAACTAGTTTACAGACGAACTCAATCATGATTTATTATGTCACCTCTTGGATATGTGTGGAAAATTCAAAACGGCCTGATGAATAATTCATTTCTAACTAGAAGAGGCTAAATAAAAGTTATCTATAATTAGTTCATAAGATGCTTACGACTATTATAAATATTTGTTATCCAACCATACGGTAAACGTAACTTAATGTAGGAGTTAAATCATACTCATATCTTCTCCTGATGTAGATCACATCTGAAACGTTAATTTCCACTTGAGCGTATTCATTGTGATTCAGGACATAGTAAAATATATTTGTGGCGGTCTCTCAACCCCGACACGATCGATTGTTATACGTATGTTTTATAGTTTGAAGTGAAAGATTCTACATTCAAGTTCAAATGTGAACATCGATACTGGGGTACAGATACATTTATCTGACGATTCTCAAACAGAACAAGGTACACATTAGATTCCATTGCTAGTTGTAACGAATCTCTTGTAAAGTTGTGTTTCCTGCGAGAAATTTAATAATACACTTCTTATTTGGTATGTCTTGTTGAATACTTCGAAAATTGAATTTGGCTGTTGAAACTTTGTAAATTATAATGAGTTTATTTGTACATGAGTAATGCTACTCATAGCTATGAGGTAAAATATTTTGAGACTTTTCACAGCTTCATATGATTCAAATACACCAACTTAACTTAGATCACATAAATATTTGTTCAGATGGTAGGCGATTGAAGGTAATTAGGAGTTAACTCTGAACATAGGTTTTGTGCTAGTTGGGACTGATAAGGAAAATATACCTGTATTGTTGCGGGAAATGATACTTCTTATGCAATTCGAACTCACGTCGCTTGGTTTTACATTCTGAAATTGTACTACTGTTAAGTTGTGCATTACCTGTTTCTGATTCTGATAAACAAGCTTTCTGTACGCCAACCCAACTTGCTATGGTAACCATAACAAATCCAAGTCATGTTTTCTCATCAATAGGTTGCATTTCATTCACTTGTGCATGCCTAACGTTTGGCCATTGTTTGACTCAGATCATTGTACCAACTACCCACCTGTTCCGTGACCTTCTATAAGACTGATATATTTAAAGCTGATTCTTCACTGAATACTGGCTGTAGTCCTATTTTCTTAGTTTTCTAATAGTTCATCGATAAATATTCAACTGGATTTATTACTGTTCATTTTTACAAAAGTCCTAACGTTCCTTCTTTTTTTCTGAGATTAACTGCTGATGTACCTATATAAAATATGATGTTGTTGATAAATATGCTTCAGTAGAGAAGATTTATATGAATTAGAAGACAGACTGTCAAAGTAACATAAACGTGGCATGATGGTATATTGACTCAGATTATTCAACTTGATATCTTTAGCTACATTCATACACTAGACTTTGAATCTCACTTTTCAAGTAAGCTATTTATGATGGTATTTAGATGCATACATGTAATAGCCGACCTATTAATAGTCTTAGAACACTTTTACTATTTCGTTTCCGTACATTAGCTCCAATATCTAGATGGCGTTATTACAATTCATATGAATAGTTGCTAATGGACTTTGTACATGGATTACAATTTACTAGTTGAAGTATTATTCCATTATCTAAATTATTGAATAACATCTTCAAATCCTAATCTTTCGGATTACTGCTTATACTTTTACTACTTGTACCACTATGGGATTTGAATGGACAACTGTATCTCTGTGTTAATGTAGTAATCTGATAACTCACTGACATATCTTTTCTTCTTCTTTTCAATAATCTCAGATAAACTATATTAGAAATGAATTACAATTTCGTGAAAACATGCAAAAGCTTGCTACTGGTGCATATAATAATTCTCTATTACCATCTTTAATAAACGCTAATCCATTGAATATTAATGGACATGTTGATTGTGGTTTGCTACATCCATGGTTAAGTGTACTTGTTAATCGATTGCATTATCTTAAACAAAAAGCTGAAACATTAAAACAACAATTAGGATTTAATTGTGAAAATGTTTTAGTTACACGGCAAAATTCAAATTTCGAAGTAAGTTAACGGGTTTATTTATTTATTATTTATTTGAACACATAAATATTGGTATTAAGGAGCACCAGATATATATGCACCACATAAATCTTATTTGATTTGTGTGAGGGCTGTGATACTGCCCAGGTGCCCAGACTGAAACAGGTGGTTTTCTTAGGGGACAATGCCCGGAGCCTTTGACTTAGAGGTCTGATCCACAAGGCAGTGGAGCATCGTGAGGAGATGCAGTCCCATGGTAGCCGGTGACCAACGATTGATTCATGCGCCATTTATTTCCTCAGGGTACTGGAGCCAGCCCATATGCACCATTGGTTTGGAATGAGGGTTTTCCAACTCTCCTAGGTGTACTTTCTGTGTCCACCAACCCGGTTAAAGCGTCAAACATTCGCTTTTCATCCTCTGAATTTCGTAAACAACACCGGTGCCACGAATAGGCAGTGAGTAGGACTTCTGTGTCAGTTACTGTATACGCGTGGCCATATGAGAGCATTCGGAGATGGAGAGCGGACTCTTCCCGCTCTCGGCCGTACCAGGGCATTTGGGGGCTCACGTTGATTTAAGCTCGGTCCTCATATTCCTTGAGTAATTTTTTAATTATGTCAATGTTTACATTCTTGAAACCTGTTTACAGTAAAGTTTCTTATAAACTCAATGAATATTTGAAGAGTAGATACTCATCCTTCGATTTGTACGCCCGTTCTCCTTTCAACATCACCAATGCCAATTTCAGTTCGCGAGTAGTATTATTAGCCCTCGTATACACAGTAACATGTTAGTTGATGTTGATTGTGTAGACATGTGATTAACTTAGTAATTCACAGAAAGTGTTACTGTAGATGTAGATAAAATTTTAACAATAATCTTCTAATCTTTGCTGTTTTATTCTAGTATGTAGAAATTCGTCGACGTATTACCTCATATATAACTGATTTCACTGAGGAGTTTCTTCTTGTTCATTGTTTACTCGATACAAATAATAATAAGAATAATACTAAAATAACTGGAAAAACCGTAGAACTGCAAAAACTTCGTTGTTGGATTGAAACTACATCAATGCTTGGAGATTGGTTAACAGAACCTAATCGTATAAATACATTTGCTGATATTATAACACCATTTTTGTATGGACTATTTTATGTAAGTCAAATAACTTTTACTGTTCGTCATCATGATTGCTTTTTTCCTAATACCATACATTAGCCTGTGTAGAACATGTGATTTTTAACATTACGTAACAGTTAGAGATGTAATATTACGTTAATTGATTAGAGAACAACTTAAGTTCAATGACTGAATACAAAGTTATTATCATTATTTCGGTGTCTGATTCATGTGCTTGATTTCTCATGATTGAATATATTTTTTTTAGTTTCCTGACGAAGTAATTACCTATACAATTACTTACTGGTCACAATCACTTATTGTCCCAATATATAAGAAGGGGTCAAAATCATTCTGTGATAACCATAGAAGGATTAGTCTGACTAACATAGCATCTAAAATACTTGCCTCAATAATTATCGGGCGCCTAACTAAGATTCGTGAACTGCAAACACGAAAAAATCAGACTAGCTTCAGTGCTGGAAATAACACTGAATTTTCAGGGGGGTCAACTAATCGACTTAGAATACACAGATGACATAGTCTTATTTGATGAAGACGTTGACAAAATTCAAAGCCTGGGATCACCGGGTAAGTAATAGTGAAGTTAGACACAGGATATTCGGGAATGATGGTAAACCAGTTGATGAGGTCATGAATCTTCTTCGACAGATGCTTGGTCCACGTGTTACGTGTGCCCGAACGCCGATGATTGAAAGAAAGTTGGGGGCGGCCAAACCAAAACGTGGCATCAGTGCTTGAAATCACTAACTTCTAGTCTGAGCCATGTTGGCAGATACAGACTATCTGGTTGGTGTCTGCGTGACTATCGTAACCAATGGTTGGAGACTCTAGGTGACATGGATCAGAATCGATCACAATGGCGTAGGTGTATACACTCTTTATCTTCCCTTAAACCTTGAGATTAAAATTGCCTCATATCTTTCTCTCTTCCTGTATTATATCCTTATATACAATCTATCTTTTATATATTACCACCACTAAATTAACTATTTCTATGAATTTGGTGTTCATCTTTTTGTGCTAACGAGGTATAGCCAACTTGAACTGATGCATATATGTGCCTGGTCCTACGTTGTATCTTAATGACTGACTTATCCTGATGTTTCGAGTTTAATATATTTCCAGAATTTTCCGTTAAAAAGGCATTCACTTATTTAAATCTACTTATTGATAGGGAAAAAGTTTAGGGACGTCTTAAACGAAATGGGACATCAGTCCACAAAATTATTGACTCTTCGGGTGAATCATGTAGGTAGTTGTAAATTACCTGGTTTGGGTTCTTCAGAGTTTTATGACCAATGGTGGGCGACATTGAATGCTATAGCTTAGAGCAGGTTACAGTAGTGCAGATATATTCAATCTTTATATTCTTCTACAAATCGGGTTTCAGTATTCCTGCATAAATACTTCTTCTTTCTATCTTTTGAAACCATATTTTCAAGATTTAATCATTTTTTTTACTGTCATTAGTACCGCTACTGCTACGATCATTTTAAATTTTTTTTTGTACTCATTATGCTAATTTCATCTTGTTATGTTGATATTCTGTGTAAACGTGTGTCGATCCACTTATATTCTTTGTTATCGATCGTTTGTGATTGCTTGACGGATTGGAAGTATACATCATTCCTTATGGTTAGTGTTCTCTGATTTCAAGTAATACATCGTATGTTCGGACTCTGTAACTCATCTACTTTTGCATAAAGCAGTGTCCGGATATTATCACGTCTAAGGCACATTGCTCAACGAATTCGTACTTGTACATAAATTAGTTATTGTTGGTAAATTAGTGAATGAATATTTACACCTTAATGCTTGTACTTAGCTCGAGTTTTCAAGATTAGTCTGCGGAGGTTTATATTTATGTCTCAGTAACAGCTGATATCAAGGAAAAGTAACTTTTCAATACTATTTTTTCTTTTACAGATCTATCGAGGACTTCGTGTTATGTTCCATGAGACTATTGCACAGAATAATTCTTTGAATGTAAGCTACTGTAGTATGGTAATGTTCTCTCATCTATCTTACTTTTGACATTAATTAATAAATAAGACATGATGGAAACTCGAACAAGAATGATTTGCATGATAAGCATAGAAGTTGATTCATAGTAAATTTATCTTAATGAGTAGTGAAATTTCAAACATTAATTTTTAAAGGTAATTTACTGCAAACCCTAGATCTAGGTTTCTAAGGTAAATTTCACTCAACTGCAAGGTATATTTGGAATATTGAGAAAACTGTTACTTCCTTCAGGAATCAGATACTTTACCTAACATCTCAATATATGACATCTAATATTTCGAGTCGCTTAGACTACTGGAAACATTACAACTTTGTCGACAGAGTGTGATCAGTACTAAGGTGATTAGACAGAAATTTATAACTGGTCAAAAGGAAAATAAAGTTTGAACTTGCTAATTGTTGACAATCTACTTACAAGTCATGTGCTTTCTCATATTGTATTCCTCTTAATTCATGTTTTTAGTAAGTGGATTTCTTGATTATATCACATAGTTAAATCAGCAGACACTATAGATCGATGATTCTACGAAAATATAGTTCGAACGCAATACTGGTGGCTATCAGAATTCAGTAGCTAAGTGAATAACGTGATGGCGTTTGAAGCGAACGGTACTGCGTTCACATCTCAGGGTAAAAATCAACTCTGAAATGCAGGTACATCCAGCTGACGAGTCCAAAATAGGATGAAACACACGTCCTGAGTTCCACTGCTAACCACTATCCATCTTTGCTTATAAAACAATATTGTTAGTTTTTAATTTGCTGAGGTAAGATCTTTCTAACTTCGATTTGAATTAGTCGTTCAGTATTGTTATTGAACTTCCAGGAACTTTTGAGAATTCTTGGAGCAGTTTAGAGAAACTGGAAAAATGCTGAAGAGATTTCGTCCACACAGCGTTCAACAGAGACTTTATAAGGACTCTTAGATAAACCGTGTCTTATCCTGACTGTCCCATTAACTATCTTGTTATCACGTTGTTAAGTCGACTTCCAGAGAACCCCAGCAGAGCCTCCAAAGGCTCAAAAAGAGCCCCAACTAATCAGAGTACGACAGAACATTCTGGAGTTCCAATGTGGCATGCTACCATTGGTCAGTAGCAATATATGTCGTTAAGTGGATTGGCTGAATTGGGATGTTGATTTAACTTAAGCAAACATCTATAAATACCTACGATTTTCTGTACAAAAACGAACTTTGTAGTAAAGCGTTTCTCTGTTACTCGTATCTTCTCTCTGGTCTTCAAGTCGCTGAGTAGTGCTAGCCTGGGGTTATCCTAATAGCTTAAGATCTGAATAAAGCGTTCAACCTACGAGACATAACACACGTCTTTGGTATCTTCTAGAGTATCATAGGCAAACACACACACACAATAAATATCCATGCTTTTCGTGCGTAAAGTAACCATTATACCAAAGCTTCCTCTTTTCTTCTATATGCGGTTAAAGTATATCAAGTTTTTAAGTGTCTACGAGTCAGTTCTAAGACGTTCAAGTATCTGATTTTTCATGACTGTTAAGGATCAATAACTTTTAGACGGTATATAAATTTCTGATTGAAGATATTATCAGACTCATCACTTTTTTCTTTTCTGGAACTCATAGAATTTTTATATATATTCTTTTTATACAAATGAACAGGTTACTGTGTCTTCTATGATTACAAATTTAGTGACTAGTCTTTTGCCTAATACACAAAATGATAATATTATTCTACCAGTTATTACCGGTGGTCAACGATTATCTCGATCATTATCACTTGCATTGGAGTTAGCTAATTCTAAATCAAGACGATTAATTCAACAGTTATTTAATTCTATTAATAATCCGACTTCATTCACTGGTAATGTGGTTGATGTTTCGCATAGAATTCATGAGATCCAGTTTCGGTAAGTTAATATTTTTTTTATCATATTTCATTCATTCGTATGAGACTATATATATATATATATATATATATCAGTACTAAAACGGCTAAACGAACACAACATCGGGCACTACTCAATAATCGATGAATCAGTCTTTTGGAAAGGACAGCCGTTACCCTGATAGCTCAGTTGTCAATATCTAAGACTCTGAAACTAGTTGACACGGTTTAGAACTATAAAGTTAGCACTAATTCGTTTAAGATTAAAGGTAAATCTTGCTGACGAGGGCCAAGTAGTTCGAAATCTAGATCCGGAATATCCTGTCTACTAATTTCATTTACAAAACATTTATTCACATATGAAGTGTTGATGATCACCCGACTACCGACAGATAGCTTTCTACTCTAATCAATAAAAATCTTTAGTTATGAAACTGTGATACATCAAAATGCATCTGTTATATGACTATACACTGATCTCGATGTCTTTTCCATCATAACATCATTGGAGGTTATCAGGAATCAGGTTTTTCTGCTAGTCCTCTAATATATGTTCGGGGGGCTTTCTCAAATTCAATTCATTAACAATAATCTGGGTGGTGAATTGGGATTTGGAATGTACAAAAAACTGCAAGCTTCACCCTGAGCTTTTGTCAACACTGAAAAATGACGGCCATTGTGATCTTACATAATTCTTTCAGTCGTCACTATTGTCACTGAAACCTCTATTTCGATAGGAAGAAAAATTGTTTTCGTTGGTGACTCACCTGTAATTCGAATCAATAATTTCATTCATTTCTGTTATTCTTTGTAGATTTCACCTGTACGATTAATTATTAGAAAGTCATACACATGATCATAATTTTTGGTAACTGGTAGTTTGACAAAAACAGGTTATCGTTGTAAGTTTTCTTGACTTCCTCATAAACGCCTTGTACGCCCGAAAATGGGGCGAATTCGCTCGCCCTCTAGCAATGCTGTTTTATATGACAACGAGTATACAGTCACTGTCAGGGTAGTCCTACTCACTGCCTTCTCGTGATCGGAAGGATGTTGTTTTTGAAATGAGAATATCCTACAGGTAAACTGGATTCGGGTTCTTGGAGAATCCATTTAAGGAGTTTCAGAAACACGATTCCAAACTAACGTTTCAGGTGGGCTCCTGGATGTTGACGGAACAAATGAGTGATGGACCTAATGTTGGTTACTGCATCTCTTAACTCTGCTCCATTGTCTTTAGGATTAGACCTCTAGCTGAAGGTCTGGAGGAATAGCTCCTTATGAAAACCATCTGTTTTTGTTTGCATACCTGGACAGTATTCTAATACATACACAAATCCAATGATTTGTGTGGGTGTTTTTATATATTTTTTTTGTTTTATTGTAACAATGTCTATGTTCTGAATTAACTAAATAAAACCAGATTCTTTCTAGATCAAAATATATAGTGTCTTAGGTTTGTCCATAATAGTTATAATTACCATTGTATTTGATTTGTATATCAAATAAACTGCTTATGTTCAGTTTCATTATGCTATTGAGCCGCAGTAGTTTTTATACGTGCAAACGATATCGTAAAATTCACAATCAATGTTGTTTGAGCCATGGACATGTATGACTGATTAACAGTTTTTGTTCTTCGTTACTTAGTGGACACAGGAGATGAAGTTCATCTGAATAAAACGTTAACGGTTATCCACCATATTTCATCAAATTTATCACACGCTTTGCAAGTTTGTCTTGTTTATACTGCTGAAGCTATCGGAATCCACGTCAATACATGGTGTTTACACTCAAAAGAAGTTTATATAATCTTCTTTATCTACATTGGCTGTCAATATAGTGGAATGAGTTATAGTAAAACTTTGATTACCAAAATTTTCTCTCTAAATATTATGTAATTGTTGAGCTGAAGGAGCTGACGAGCCCTAGCCAATCAGAGTATGATGGAACATTCTAGAATTCCAACGTGGCTCGTTACTATTGGTCGGTAGCATAATATGTCGTTAACGGATTGGCTGAAATATGATGTTGATTTAACAGACGCTAACATCTATAAATACCCATGATTTTTTGTACAAGAACGAACCTTGGAGTAAAGTATTTTTCTCTCATACTTGCGTCTTCTCTCTGGTGTTCAAGTCTCTGAGTAGTTCTAGTTTGTGGGTTACCAGAATAGCTTAGGAAAACGAATATAGCGTTCAATCGACAAGACTTATCAGTAATGTAGACTCTGTTCCTTTGTGTTTAGTTGATAAACTTCAACCCGTCTTCTCCCTTCTTCTCCTCTTTTTTCAGAATAAGTTCATTCATATTGAATTTACTATGGTTACATAATGCTGAAAAACATTCATCTTCAAATGTAACTGATATTGATAATAAATTAATTGGTCGTATTCTAAACTCAATCATATTACCATTAAATCAACATTGGAAACAAATTGAATTAGAACGTAAACAATTAGCTGAATCACGTGCTAGTCTATTCTTAGAAGCTGATCGTCGTAAACAGCTAATTCGTAATGATTTACAAGGTATTAAATCAAAGAAAATGAAACATCATGAACGATCTACATCACCTGATTTAATAGATCAATCATTAAATGAAGAAGTGGATTGGCGTCTTCGTTTCTCTGAAATTGGTTGTATAAATGCTTATACAGAATTAGGTATTCATCATAATTCACAAGTTGGGAATTTTGAAAAAGAGAAAGAAATTCAGCAGGTAATTTCTTTAACAGGATCATATGATTTTTTCTGGTTAGCGTGTTTTTAGCGAGTTGACTTTCCACGGGATGGGGTCGCTAACCCCATGCCTAACCCTCCTCCTTTACCCGGGCTTGGGACCAGCAGAAGCCCTCGAAGGAGCTACAGGCGGAGGTATCATTTGATTTACATATATAGAAAAGTTACTTTTTCTACGATTATAATGAATGTGATAATCAGTGATAGTTTTTGTTTATATAGTTCCGAAAAGGCAGTTAATTATTCGTCGATAATTTGAGTAATGGTACTTTGATTTTCATGTCAAACTGTACAGATTTCATAATTAATGTCAACATACTGATAACTAGATAACTATTAAAAACCAGTAGGCTCTGGACGGTTGTTTCTTTTCATTATGATATTCTTCATTAATGCACATCCATAACCACTCCACTGGACCGATTCCAGAGCCTACAGGTCTCACATGAAACCTCTTAACTTTCTACTTGGTTTATTTTGTTATTAGTAAATATAAAAACATCAAATAATAGTTATATATTTTCGTGTTACTCAGTAACGATGTATAGGTTTACGCACTCGAGTTTTTGTGTACACTTTTCATGCATTGGAGCAGTGTTTTACTTCTTAAAATACTAGATTTTCAAGCACTAAATAACAAGTTTGAATCCCACTGAAGACATACGATGTTGAGCGAGATGTTATTGTGTGTTGATGGACGTGTTTGGGCAGTTTTTACTTCCTGGTTGCTCACCTTATAGGAGTATGCATCTTTGGTCATCTACAAAGGAAAGCAGATCAGATTTTGTCTTGGCGACCTGGAAACGTGGCCACAACGTCCTTTGAACAACAACTTGGACCTTTTTATGCGAGAAATTTTTTATGTGTTAGCTTTCTGTGAGGATGGTTTACGAGTGAACTTGAGGAGGCTCAGAAAGAGCCAAAGATATTCCATCGAATGAGTTTTTGGAAGAAAATTCCAGAACCACTACGTGTTGCTTCCCTATTAGACAAATGCTTATAACCTTTTGTGTGCGGATAGGATAACTATAATAATGATTTCGTTTTTAGTAAGAAACTATAAATACCTGACTATTTGTACTATAATTGAAAAATGTTTGGAATAACATTCCTTTCAATTGTCTTCTGTCTTTTCATTTGCGACTTGGGAAGGTTCTAGCGTTCGAGTGCTCAAGTCATATGTGGCATACTAAGAATCTAAGTTTGAGATATAACACTATGTACTTTCAGTCATGACTACCGGTGACAGAAATTCATATGCTGTTTTCAAGGCCAATCTCTTCTGACACCATCCTTTCGTTTGGAAAAGACAGCATCGCTCAAGATGCTTTTTGCTTCCGGGAAAACACTTTATTGTCATTACACTATTGAACAGTTGGTAGTACGACTTCGCCATGTGACTTTATGTTTGCTACTTTAGCCTTTATCTTCTTCAGTCAATCTGCTATGCGTAGTATGCTCTAGTAAAACTTGTATTATAGCTGAAATAGCTCCTTTGTTTCATCATGATAGGCAATTCAGACCACCAGACTAAAAGATCAGTTTATACTATATAACTAAATCGTTTTTTTTGGTGCGATAGTTAATAATACTATCCGGTTTTCTAAACTGAATTGACCAGAATGAAATTTGAATTTGAAATTTATGCGTTAACATTGTAGTGCCTCTAGACGATGATACCAATGACGACTACTGTTACTCGATGAATCATAGGATTATGTTCCATCTGATGAACATTATAGTGTATTGTGACGTGTGTGTGTAATAATGGCAAGATGTTCCTTATATTAACTAGTTAGTCAAGTATTTAAAACTACTGATGACATATCTCAGTTTGAAGTGTGTTCTTTTAACAATATTGTTTGCTAATAGTTATGTCACATTAGAATGCTCCCAAACTCATAATGCAAGCGGAGTGTAATTACTTCAGTCATTTTGAGACTGTTTATTTTTTTCCCGTTTACTTGAGCTGTCTATCATTCAATCTTTGAGCAGGTACTTAATTTTCTCCTGTATTCAAATGTGTGTTTTTTCGACATGTAGACTGTTGCTAAATTAGAAGCGATCGATAAATGGTTGAAGAATTCATTGAATGGTTCCGGAAAATATTGGATTCCAGAAGAAAAAGAATTAATCTATTTTATAAAACGTCTTGTTTATTTATTATTAATAAATTCAAATTCTACAGTAAATTATCCATTGAATTCATTATTACTAATTGATAAACATAGTACTACTCAATCAGTAGATATCAGTAGTATATTTTCTTGGCATTGGCATACAGTTCTATATGGTTTTAATTTAGCTAGTTGGTTATCGATTGAATCGAAATTCAGTTTAGGTAAGTCACGTTATTATTATTATTATTATTTTACAAAAATGTGCATTAGAATACATGAACCTTTATTGTCAACTAAAGGTGTGTAATCTCTTAATGTTGATAACAAATTAGAATTGATCAGTTTCTATTTGCCATATGTATATCCTAATCGCGAATTACATCGCTAATAGCGCGTTATTCGACAATTTTTAGTGTAACTTAACTATTCATACCCGTTGAATAAGTTAATAACCAGTTAGATTGAATAACTTGGTGGATAACGCGTCGGTCTTTGAATTGAAATTCACTAGTTTCAGGTTCTAATCTGCTTCACATCAAAACTGAGATGCAGGTACGTCCAGCTGGCGAGTCTCCAATCGGTTTTTCTTGAATTACAATTTGTGACATAGGGATGAAATTTAATTCTATTGACAACTAAAACACAATCATTTATTGTAGACCGAGTAGTGTTGTAAAGACTTCCAACGGTCACTGAACAAATTCATTTAGTATTGTTTGTTTGAATCTTCCCATCGATGTGTTAGGACTGAAACTGGTCAGTCTCTAATTAGCATATGTGCATACTGTGCGTATTGCCTCGATATAACCTTAATTCACAAGCATTGTAAGCAAGGTATATCCAGCTGACGAGTCCCAAATAGGACGAAACGCGCGTCCTGGATTTCGCTGCTAGTCACTATCCATCTTTGCTTAGTCACTGGACAATTTACATTTTGTATTTTCAACTACAATGTATTTTAATCATTATGATTAATTATATTGTGTATTCCTTCTAAGTTTTTCAGTAAATGTTTTCGGTGTTATCATCTTTCCAATTCCCCCTCTTTTTATTTTTACAGATCCCACTATCGATGAACAGACTACTTTGCCCTATATCGGTATTACTGCTTATATTGGTCAATATGATATACGAGCCAATCCTATTTTACCGATTCATAGTTTGTCCAAATTTTCAAATACATCTTTCAATCATTATTTTAATGCTAAATCACATTGTTACAATATTTACCTTGATCCTATTCCATTAGAAGAAGCTGAGAAATTAAATTTATTAATGAGAAATTTGGAAAAACAAATAAAACATATACTTACTCAATGGCCTGGTCAACCGAGTTTATTACGTGTAAGTATAGTGATAGTTATCCACCTTCTTCAACAAAACAGATTTTATCATAGGTCGATGTAAAGAAATGATGATCAAGACATCATGTTGGATAGAAAAAGGATCCATTTTTTTAAAAATTTTTTTGTGCTCTAAGTCATCCATATACACCGACTGATTTGTGCAAATGGATAAAATGCTTTGTAAATGTAATAGTGTGTGTAGTTCACTAGGGAATGATTGTTATAATCACTTTCATATACGTTTAATTCATAGGCGGACGGAATAAGCTCTAGAGAGATGGAGAACATGATTTAATCGACTACAACAAAAAACATCTGCAAATTGTTATCACTATAATAAATAACATGATTAAATTGATAGTAATTAACATTAAAAATATAATTATCAGAAGGGATTTTCGTGGAGATTTATTATTTTCATAGTTGAAAGCGTGAGTCAATTGAAGCTAGACCACCAAGGGAAATCCTGGAAGCACTGGACGTCCGTTTCGTCCTATTGTGAGACTCCTCAGCAGAGCGCATCGACGACCTCGCCTCGCCAGATTTGAACCCAGGACGAGGTCGTGGATGTGCCCTGCTGAGGAGTCTCACAATAGGACGAAACGGTCGTCCAGTGCTTCCAGGTTTTCTCTGGTGGTCTAGCTTCAATTGACTCACGCTTTCAAGTATGGAAAATATAATTGTAAAATTATTATTATTATTATGGTTAGTGGCTTTATTCGATATTATATTTCCCGTACAATCTAGAATTTTACAGCACAAAGTATTTCGAAAGGTTTCCTTTTCTTATTTCTTGATCGACTCTAAGGATAAATATTGAGTGATCGCCAGTTAGGTGTTAGCAGTTCAAGTACTTATATCTGAATAATGTTCATTCTCTTCAGTGTTCATTACCAACCACCACGATGTCCCTGATTGTTCTCTTTTGTGCATTTAAGAGTTATAAGTCTTAGACTTTTCATATACGCACCTAAATATGTTATGCGATTAATATACATAATATGTTAAAACAAAGGAAACCAGATAACTTGTTTAAACATCTATATGGGGACAACAGGTAGCCCAGATATCGAAACAGCCTATTAAGGTTAGTAGAGTCAGATTTTATTGACTGTAGTTATTAAAAAAGAATGGTAAGGTGACTTTGATGATTGTGATAGAAATAAATTTAAAGTAAATTTCATTTTGCAATCTTGTCTGTGCTTCTTGATGGAAGTATAGTTGACTTTATTCAGGGATGAATCATATTTGTGAGGGTTACTGATCTAGTAAACAAATTACTGCATGTATGTGGGCAATTCAAATCATGTTGAATGCTATTACAGGTATCAGGACATTTCTTACTTCCATTTCGCCTACACCATGAAGGCAGATCTCTTCTCAAAAGATCTGAAAAGCACATTGGGGTAGGGATAGTCTTTTGATGTGTTTGTTCCATACTTCAAAAGTCGTTACCACCGAAAATAAAAACCCTCGTTGTAAGGTGAGGTGTGACATATTTGCGATGGATCTTTTCAAATTTCTTTCCTGATTAAACGGTTTAGTTGCAGATGATAGCTATCTGAAAGGAATACTTTACTGCTGTTATACCCCCCTCTACATTCAGCATTGCAACTTCAATCTCAGACCTTCAGTTGCTGATTTCAATCTTGCTGTTCTTTAAAGGACCTATTTGACATGGTAGGACCTAAAAGGACAATTATCCCAGATAGTATTGCTCGGTTAAGTCATCACAATATACAAACCAAATCACCCTATCAAAGTAACAGTTGCAAAATGTAGAAATCAGTTCACTACATCTTGTGTCTGAGGCCTATGAGTATTTGGATGGATCTGACTATAATTTATAAATTTAATGAATATGTATTCAGAAATAAACCAGTTCTTTTCATGTATTTTTCAATTCATTTGAATTATTTCAGCTGTTAGTTATCATTCATCGTATTGAATCCTTCACTGTATCAGATCCATTAATAAAATTTATTACTGGAGTTGAAATGCTTTGGCAAGTGATGCAGGTAAGTTGAAATTTCATCAAGCTTATTTCTCATATATCATCTATGTAGTTTCATACCACAAAACTGTTATGACTCGTATAACAATCGTTATTGTATATGAAACGTGCAATGATACAGAAAATACATACGAGCAGTCTCGATTGCTATTCGGTCCTTCCTAACTGCCTAGCCCAGCCAGTTGAGTCCAGAACACAAATAACAGCCTCGGAAATATGAATCATTATTCACAAGCACACTGGGTTATATATACTAACCAAACAGACCCAATTATACCAAAAAATAGAAAAATAACATTTGTACAGTAATTGGCCAATGTGGCTGTAGCTAGGGGGAAAGTAATCAATAATAATAGTTCCAAGGTCAAAACAAAGGTTGTGATAAGAGGAACACGGAAACGATTAGGTCACTTATTTAACAACTATCCAATAGGGAATGGGCATATTGTATTTGTCCATAAATAGACATCAGATTTAGGTTACTCATTTAACAACTATCCAATAGGAATAGGCGTATTACATTTGTCCATAAATGGACATCAGATTTATGATTCATAATTCGCCAGGGGATACAACAAAAACCATTTATCGGGTAATGTGATTTCGAATCATTATTGATTAAAGTAATTAGGATATAGATTAGGTATGTCGAACCACTTACTTGACTGATTATAAATTGAATATTGGTTAACGCTAGAGTAGGTTAGAAAAAAGATGAAATCGGTAAAGCTATGGTGTGAGATTACTGCTTAGAGTCATCGATTGTTAAACTGAAACCTGTAAGCAAGTGCAAAATAATTGGTCGCAGTTCAGGCCATATTTGCAATCAGTAGTTGAAGACTTAAGGTGAAACGGCTTAGAATCAGAACAAAATTTTACTAATTTATTGGATGTGATTTCCGAGTTCTCTTTTTGTTCATAAAAACAAAAATTTCAGTGATTATCAGATCATATACAAGGACTCTCCAACCCCTATCCTAACCACTCCTTTTGTATCAAACTTGTACGTCCGGTTATAATTTCATTCACAACAAACCTCGTTATCAAACTATTAGTTAGACCATCTTTGGTTATAATATTTGTAAATTAAGGCTATATCGAGGCAATACACACAGTATTCACATAAGCCAATAAAAGACTGATCAATTGCGGTTCTTAACATCAACTGGAAGATTCAATCAAACAATGGCAGGTGAATATATTTCTGTTCGCAGATTAGATGAACTCATAATCGCTTCAAACATAACACATCTTAAGTACATCCTAATAATTTTCATCGCTAATTCATTAAGTCGTCTTTATAATAACATTTGTGATATATTAATTTGTATCATCTATTTAAGCACATAAACATTATTACAATGAGACACAAATCATTGGATTTGTGTATGTATTAGAATACTGTCCCGGTACACAAACAGAAACAGATGGTTTTCATAGGGAGCCACTCCTCGAGACCTTGACTTAGAAGTCTAATCCTCAAGACAATGGAGCAGTGTTAGGAGATGCAGTAACCAATAATAGATCCATCAGTCATTTGTTCCGTCATGATCCTGAAACGTTAGTTTGGAATTGTGGTTCTGAAACTCCTTAGACGGATTCTCCGAACATCCGAATCCAGTTTAACTGTTGAACATTCTCATTTCGTCCTCTGCATTTCGTAGATAACATCCTTTCGATCACGAGAAGACAGTGAGTATGACTACCCTGACAGTGACTACATACTCGTGGTCATATAAAAAATTATTGTGTTAGCGGACAAGCGAATTCTCCTAATCCTTGGTTGTACGAGGATATTTGAAAAGCACGGTATCTCGCTGCTAGGATTTCTTTTTTTCAATATCATTTTAAATGTTTTTTTCTTGATCGTGTTTCCATTTTGATTATTTTTACAGGAATGGGAACGTGATGCAGCTAAGCATGTTTCTCTTAATGAATCAAGCAAAGAAGTTTGTAATTTGTTGGTTAGTTGGCGTAAAATGGAATTAAGGTAAATCTTTACTGTCAATGTAATTAGCACAACTTGTATATGTCATTGTAAATGTAATGCTTTCAAAATATAAATGTACATTTCCCTGATAGTAGCCCTCTGAAATCATTCGATAAATATCTTCAGACTCCGTGAAATGTTTTAAAGTACTGTAGTGAATGAGAACAAAAGTGGGAACAACCAACTAAGTATTTAGCGCAAATTACAACGTTGCTTGGTAATATACAAAAACCGTACTCTGATACTCTATTTGCAAAATGTTCTTTAATTGTCTCAGGCTTCATTGTTTCTGGATTTTTACTCCAATTTCTTTTTATTTCTGTTCTCCTCCCTTTTTGATCTTCTCAATCTTCTTTTGTCAGATATTCTATTCCTTACTCACGATATATACTACTTATGTCGATATAAATAGCCCACACCACAGTACTTTTAAAAATCGAATTTCTTCAAAAGCTTTCAATAGAATTAGTTTTTAAACATTAAATGATGATGTTGACATTATTTTGACTTGATGAATATTTTATGTTTGCTATTTTCACTAAGTTTTTTGAACTTCTAATTCTCATGTTACCTTAGAAACACTCGGATTCTGTACATAAACTAGCCTTGAAAAGGGACTACTCACTTTACTTCCCACCTCTTTTCTTTTCAGAGCTCAAGATTTGGAGATTACTGTGTGAATTAGGAAGCTGGTGTCTAAGGATTGAAAGTGCAAGAGCTAAGGGCGAACAATACACATACCTCGATAGTTTAAATAACTAAGATAGAAATCAATAAAAGAAGAACATAAAAATTACATTTGAATCTTCCAGCGTCTTCTTGATTCATCCATCAATACTGATTGGCTAATTTCCCATCAGTCAATGTTACACAACATGTGTCTATTTAGCTCTTACAATTTTATGGACTCTATCTTGTTAACATAGGTATTATCACTAGCTTTCAGATAGCTGTATACGGTTTAAATTACAGTACATTAATTTCATATACTTTGTTTATGGGCTATAACTTACGAATAAGTGAGGTAAAAACTTTTTTAGTTGTGAAATCGTTCACAATAGAATACAATATTGCGTAACTATTCCCTCACTTGATTAATTATGTAATATAACCTTAATAGTGACTAGTCGTTTCTTATAATTGTTATTTTCTCAATACATATCTCCCGTCTTTTGTTTTTACAGTTATTGGTTGGCTACATTAGATTCGGCTGAAATTCAAATCAGTAATCGTTGTGTAACATTATGGTTTCATCTATATGATCTATTTCTACGTCCTGGTAGTTATAGTCGTCAATTAAAATCTTTTAATTCAAAATATCAATCTAAAGTGAGTAATTCATCTTGTCTGAAAGATACCGCTGGTGTGGATGGTGATGATAATGATGAGAGAAAACGACTACAATTGGAAACTGATCGTTTTGATGCTTTAATTGAATTATTCGAGAAAGGACCAATCGGTGAATTTTCATCTCGATGGAAATTAGTTGCATCAATTTATTCAGCCTTAAATTTATGGCCTGGTTTAAGTGAAATAGGTATGTGAATATGTTTGTGTCATTTCTCTTTTTTATCGTTGAATTCACGAATCAGTTGAAGCTAGACCATCATGGAAAATCTGGAAGCACTGGACGACCGTTTCGTTCCATTATGGGACTCCTCAGCAGTGCGCACTTGCGAGATTCGAACGCAGGATCTACCAGTCCCGTGCCGGAGCACTTAACCGATAGACCATCGCCATATATTACTTATATGGATATAAGTAGACCGCACTACACTCACTGTGCTTGGCAGTTGTCAAAAATAGTGTCATCAACCTTTTCACATGTTTCTAACTTCTCCCTGACTATTTCAGTTTAGTTAAGTAGGTTGTACTACAATGCTCTATACGACATCTGTATCAGAAAGTTTCAAATTATTTCAGGTTCATATTTTGTTCATAAACGACAATTCTGATGAATACGTACTGTCATTAATATCTTTTTTTTTCTAGCCAATACAATTCCGATAATCTTTGTCGTTGATTGTTTTCTCTTTTAGTTTACCATTTTCTCCATACATTCCAACGTCAGTCTGTTGTTAAATAGACAGAGTCGTAGTATTACAATTTTGACTTTATGGAATATTAAATCTTTCTCGAGTTCCTGTATTCTCTATCCTCAATCATATTTGGAATTATTATTGTTATTGTTGAAGTTTTTTGTAAGGATTAGTCATTGAGCTCTGTACATTGTTTAGATCTCATTCGTATAAACATAAATATTGGTACAAAGGGGCACCAGATATATATATGCGCCACACAAATCTAATTTGATTTATGTGAGTGCTGTGATACTGCCCGAGTACCCGAACCGAAGCAGGTGGTTTTCTTAGTGGGCCACACTCAGAGCCTTTGACCTAAAAGTTTGATCCACAAGGCAGTGTGGCATCGTGAGGAGATGCAGTCCCATAGTAACTGGTGACCGACGATTGATTCATACACCATTTGTTCCCTGAGGATACTGGAGCCAGCCCATGTACACCATTGGTTTGTAATCAGGGTTTTCCAACTCCCTTAGATGGACTTTCCATGTCCAGTTGTTAATAGTTTGAAATAATTATAAGCTTTCTCAAAGCCTTTACTGAATAAATTACATTTGTTTCAGACGGAGAATATAATAATCTTCATACATAGTTAATTTTCGATTTAATTTTTTATATATTTAACACTAACAGAGCGTTCATCATCCAAACGTATTGTCGGTAATGCAGTTTGGTTTTATGCACAATTTCTACCATGTGTAACGGAAGAATTGAATAATTTACGACATCCAATTGAAAAAGAATTAAAGGTTTGTTTATAATCATTATAATGATCTGTAGGTTAAGTGTTTTTTATGCATGCGATTAACGGTCTTGAGTTTGATTCCTGGATTCGGACACTCAATAAGAAAGTGTCCCGTACTAGGATGAAATGACCATCCAGTGTTTCTAGGTTTCAGGTGTTAGCTTAACTGAAGTCAGATTATAATTTAAAAACTATGAAAGTTCTACAGTTTCGATTGATCGTTTTGGCTTTATAATATTTATATATGTCTTTCAGTGATTTGTCACTCGGACCAATGACACATTAAGACCCGTGCGAGCAGTCTAGCGTACTTATCGGTCTTGCTTTCTGCTTATTGCAGCCAGTTAGGTCCGGAACATCAATGACAACCTCTGCGATATGAATCATTTATTTTAAATATACTGGGTTTATATATCAACTAGACAGACCATATAGTACCATAAATTAGGAAGCAACATTTGTACAAAATTTAGACAACTGTGGCTGTGAATAAGGGAGATAGTAAATGATAGGTAGGGCATAACTCAAGAGTGGTAAATCGTATAGTAATAGTTCGTAGGTCAAAATAAAGCTTATAATAAGAGGGATATGAATATGAATAGTGTTGTGAACAGAACACTAGTTGGGGACAATCGAATGTATTTAAGCAAAGATTACAGACTATCTCAATAAATTCTGATTACCAAACAATGAACAGTCAATTTGCAAATTAACAACCAATTGTTTCAATCTTCACTGTTTCTTCTCTAATTCCATTGCTCATGCATTTTCCAGACGATTGCGCTTCATTCCAGTTCTTTCGTCATCGGTCTTCTGCCAAAATACATTCTATGTCTGACCCACACCATATACTACTTATATGGATATAAGTAGACCACACCACAATAGTTTTGTTGTTTAACAATTATACCACAGAAATATACACATAGTGCTAGTCCATAAATCGTTCTTAAAAGGTATCATTCATAACTCTTTTTGGGATATAACACTACAGTACTCATTGTACTGTGCAACTAGTAGAATTTTCTGTTAACTTTGCTGTGTATCAATCTAAGCCGATATAAATTTTCGCTAGTTACTACGTTGATTACTTTATATCATACGCCTACTACGGTTTAAGCAGCTAGGTTGTGTCATTCAGTCTTACAATCAAAGTGAGGCTCTATACCAAGTATTCAATGATGAACTATTTATGATTGTGTTAAGAATGTTTGACTTACAACCGATTGGTATCACATTTGAATCCTTACTCTATCTAGTCCGGTTTAAACAATCAATTCGTATCAGTAGCGGTCAAATAAACAGCATCACTCAAAGTTGTACACAGAAATCGCCATTAATTAACTGAGATTTCATCACTCATAGCTTAATTATATCATGTAATAATTTATAAACAATTTCTTTAAAATGAAATATTAAACGTATCCAAATTCATGATCACTTTATTGAATGTACCTTTTATTTTGTGGTTTTTCATTCAGGGTCTTGTGAATGTTACAAAATGGGGTCATTACTCACGTTTCTGGTCAGTTAAAACAACTGTAGATCGTTGTAAAAAGTCAATTCATAAACATGTATGTTATTTTATCCTTTGTCGTATAGATTTTACCATTATTATTATCTATATGAATTAAGCTTTCAGTTTTTACTCTCAATTTGAAGTTTTGTCTTCGTATGACGACAAGTTAAAACCTTTTCAGTCAGTATACTTTTATTCTATAAAGCTGTGTTTTATGATGATTTCTCCGGTTCATGGATTTATTACCCTTTTAGCTTTAATTATCAAACATATTGAATGATTGTTTAAATAATGTCACTCCGTGTTGATGCAAAAAATCATATTGAAGAATCTCCAGTACATCATATAATAATGTAAATTACTGTCTTTACTGGTAACTAACCTAAAGAGGTGTTTGTCAGAGTTTCTAATGAGGAACTGCAAACAACGCAACCTAACCGTTTCGGGTGTAAGACAAATATCACCAATGAAAGCAATTGGTTGTCTCGCATTATCTCAAAAAAAAAATTACATTTAGCTACGTATACCTTTCAATACCTATTCATTGATCTGAAGATTAAGTGCTTGCTACGAGCACCGACAGTTCTTGGTTCGTTCACTGATAAGGTCATGGATGGGAACTGCTGAAAACTTTCATATCAGGTGGTCAGTTCTTTTGGGTTTCAATGTTTTTTCCTGTTAGAAACTACAATTGTAATGAAAGAGTGTTATTTACCCAAGGTGTTTATCACTTAACCCTCTTTTTACTCTTCAGGTAAAAAAATGGGAATCAATACTACAACAACCGGTACGCCCAATATTTGAAAATGCCATCAAAATACCAACTTATCTAAAATCAAATAATGGTAATAATAATAATAATAATAATCATATATATTCCAGTTCATTACTAAAACTGGAAATGACTGACTTATTAGCAATACTAAAACATTGTTCATTTAAGAAGTCATTTAACAATCTACAACAATTATATGGTCATTTCAATGAGCAAGAAGACCAACAACAATCAAAGTTCAATTTCACATTGCATTTAAAGTAAGTTTTTATTTCTATGATTAGTTTTGAGATATAGGATAAAATTAGCTATTTAGAAAACATATTACACGACTAAATTGGTTGTGATTGAAAAGACTAGGCTCATGATTTCGTATACGCCTAGGCATAGGAACAACTGCCTGGCACCACGTGTCATTTACCAATTCACATGTTTGTATGAACACACATAGATAGAGAGGATTAATTGAGCAATCTAATCAAGGGTTATGTGACATGGGCTTCAGCACCAATTTTTCTTAGATGCTCCAATAATCGGGTGAAGTAAAATACCATATTCATGGATAACAAAGTGCACAATTAAGATGAGATATGTATAAATGCCTTGATTAAGCATCTGTGTAATTAGATTGTTCGAAATGTAATGTACAAGTACATCGCCTTTTTTTCAGATCAACTTCATTCTCTTGTTGTTCTGTCAAAATTTATAAGAGAGACTAGTTGCGTTGATTAATTTAAAGCATTCAAACTTTCCTGACTAACATAATTTACGTCTGTTTCCCTTCGTCGAGGAGCTTAGGCTACCCAACAGCATCCTCCATCCAACTCTGTCTCGGGTAATCCTTTCCATTTCTTTCCAGTTTCTGTTCATCCTTTTGATGTTTGCTTCCAATTCTCGACGCAGTGTATTCTGTGATCTTCATCTTTTCCGTTTCCCTCCAGGATTCCAAGTTAGGGATCGCAGTTTGATTTCCTTAGTCTGTGTTCTATCCACTTCCAACGTCTTTCCCTAATTTCCTCCTCACTTGGAAGTTGGTTTGTTCTCTACCACAGTAGGCTGTTCCTGATGCTATCCGACCAACGGACATTGAGTATCTTACTTAGACAATTGTTTATAAATACTTGTACCTTTTTGATGATGGTTGTAATAGTTCTGCAGGTTTCAGCTCCGTACAGTAGAACTATCTTGACGTTTGTATTAGAGATTGTGACTTTGATGTTGTTTTGGTGACAGTTGTTTTGAGTTTCATATGTTTCTCATCTATAGGAATGCTATTCTTGCTTTACCAATCCTTGCCTTTACGTCTGCATCAGATCCTCCATTTTCATCGATGATACTGTCCAAATAAGTGAAAGTTTCCACATGTTCCAGAGTTTCTCTATCAAGTCTGATTGGGTTGGTGTTTTTTTGTCTACCATTATAGTGAGGCCAGTAGGAGTGAGGATTCACAACTTAGTACATGTAATTCCGTGTGGTTACTGACTCATTTATTTACATTCTTCTGTTCTATTTTGTAATCTGTCCATATGTAAAACATTTTTTGGTTATTTTCAAATTAGACGTTTACCATCAATTATCAAATGCCTTCATAAACATGTGTACACAATGGTACATAACTCACCGATAATTCAATGGACAAAACATCTTCGTTCTGGTTTACAAATATGGATAGATTTTGTCCATGAACTCAGTAGACAAACTGATCAATTAAATTCCACTTGTCCTACTGGTAATCAATTAGCAAAATTTAATAAACATAAATTAAATAAAACAAAGTGTAAATCAATATCAAGCAAAAGAAATCATCCAAGTAACGATGAGGAACAAGATGAAGAAGATGAAGAATTGAACAAAACTCGTCAATGGTATCAAGAATTTACAGCCTTACAACAACGTAAACGACTAGCATTATCGGATTGGCTAAAAGTTGCAACTCTTAAACATTCATCTTCTGCCAGTAATCAGTAAGTTTGTTCGTGAATTACATTTTATATTGACATTTTCTTATTTATGGATTTTGAACGCTCATCTGTTTCACGTCATCTGTCTACTTTCATGAATTTAAGCTTCCCATTAGGTTTACACTGCTTCAATAGAATTAGATCGCACTATTAAAGTCAGTCCGGGTAATTTCAAATAACCTTGAAACTGTTTTGGCCTTTTTCAGCCAATCAGATAGCAGTAAATGTGATTAGATGACTTATTGTTCTGGGAATAGAATTCTAAGTCATTACTTCAAATCTTGATGCTCAAGATGGAATCCTAACCTTAAAAGTCCATTGTTCTATTTAAATAGTTCATGATATTTTCTTAAGTGAGATTATATCAATACAATGTGTAGGAAATTAGTCTAGTGCAATCAATCATATGTAGCATGACCATGAGACAACTTGCCGTATCCTAAGTGACACATCTTTATAGTTCAACTCTGTCTATCGTATATAACCTCTGCTAGGGAAGTACTACTCACTGCCTTCTCGTGTCACCGGTGTTGTTCACGAAAGTGAGAGGACGAAAAGCGAATGTCCGGTGCTTTAACCTGGTCGGTGGACACGGAAAGTTCACCTAGGGAAGTTGGAAAATCCTGATTCCAAACCAATGGTGCATATGGGCTCCAGTATCCTTCCGGAACAAATGGCGTATGAATCAATCGTTGGTCACCGGCTACCATCGGACTGCATCTCATTACGGTGATCCACTGCCTTGTGAATCAGACCTTTAGGCTAAAGGCTCCGGGTGTGGTCCTTTAAGAAAACCACCTGCTTCGGTTTGGGCACTTGGGCAGTATCACATTCCTCACACAAAATCGAATGATATTTGTGTAGCGCACATGTATCTGGTGCTTTCTTGTACCAATATTTATGTGGTTAAATAAATAATAACTTATCGTTAAAACAAGTACTTAATATCATTAGGAATTTTCAAGAAATCTTTTTGGGAAGTTAGTTAATAGTGCACATAGAATAGGCATTATTATTTCACCAGTGTAATCAGAATTCGGGATGAAGAGATATTACCATTAATAACAGTGATAATACTGATCTTTGTTATACTTTTTTTTCAACAGATCAGTTGATATTTCTGATCCAACAACAAAGTTAAGTGAATCGATTGATTCTACTGAATCGATTAATGATGGGAATGAAGATGAAATTCTTTCAGATAATGATGATGGTGATGATCATTTATTCGAAGAATTAAATCTACCCAATCTTGGTTTATCATATCGTAGAGGTCAACGACAAACACAAACTGGTCATATGAGTCGTTTTCTTGTTCAACTACATGGTGATCCATGGAGTTATGTTAATCAGTTTATTGGTCGAAATCTTGATGTTGTCAAGTAAGCTTCTATATAACCTGTTGAATATCTTTTATGTATATTACTTTGACAGTCATATTATATGCTTATTAAATGATCATCGTAATCTTATTCATCGGAAGCTTTTTAACATAGAAGGATCTTATGGGATTTTTTGTGGTTGTTCTAAATCATTTTCCAATCGAATTACACTTGACGGAGAAGCTTTGGAGGATGTGAAAACCTTTACATATCTGGGATGCATAATCGGTGAACACGGTGGATCTGATGCAGATAGATGTGAAGGCGCGGATCGGCAAAGCGAGGGCAGCATATTTACAACTGAAGAACATCTGGAACTCAAAACAGTTGTCAACCAACACCAAGATCAGAATTTTCAATACAAATGTCAAGACAGTTCTACTGTATGGGGCTGAAACCTAGAGAACTACAAAGGCCATCATCCAGAAGATACATGTGTTTATTAACAGTTGTCTATGCAAGATACTTCGGATCCGTTGTCCAGACACTATCAGAAACAACCTACTGTGGAAGAGAACAAACCATATTTCAGTGGAAGAAAAAATCGGAAACAAGCGCTGGAACTGGATAGGACACACAATGAAGAAAGCGCCCTACTGCGTCACAAGACAAGCCCTCACATGGAATCCCAAAAGCTAGAGGAGAAGAAGAAGAAAACCAAAGAACACATTACGCCGAGAAATGGAGACAGATGTGAGAAGAATGAACCGAAACTGTATAGAACTAGAAAGGGAGGAACATGGGAAAGTGGGTTTTAGAATATACAAAACCTGTTCCCTGAACACACTTTTCGTTACACACCACGTCTCATACGCACTATCGCAAATGCCATTACCATTTGCCATTACGCCTGTGACTCCCAATGGAGCATAGGCCGCCGACCAGCATTCTACAACCCACTCTCCCATGGGCCTTTCTTTCTAGTTCTATACAGTTTTGGTTCTCTCTTCTCATATCTGTCTCCATTTCTCGGCGTAATATGTTCTTTGATCTTCCTCTTCTCCTTTGGCCTTCAGGATTCCAAATACTTACTTTGAATGTTGTTAACATAATTAGATGATTTTCTTAGTGTACCGTTAATCGGAGAACCATGTATCTATTTGTATTGGATAATTTTAATGTTTGATTATGTTTCCTTTAAAAAGATTGAACCAGGTCGCCTAGCGAAACATTGGATTTACTTAAAATTCAATCGATGAGATTTCATAAATACGTTCTTCCTCAATGTATTACTATTTTTGTTTTATTGTTATTCTAGTACTGATTCTGAGGATTACTTCATACATTGTGTTTGTAATCGACTATCACGATTAATCGCTTTACGTGCCAGTCTACCAACTGTTCCTGGACCAGGTGATGGAGATGTTGATACAAGTGTTGCAATTTTAAATGAAATCGGTGGACCGAATAATCTATCTCGACTAATTGGAATAATGAGTGATTTATTAAATCAATGTAGTTCAGAGTTCAAAGTTTGTTGTGAATTCACTGGGATTAGTAAGAAAATAAGTCGACTAGTTATGGAATATGCGAATAGTTTAAATGTATCAATGATAACATCCAACGATAAACAACCGGTTGATGATGGTAATGAACAAATTATCCAGTACTGTACATGTTATCCTTTGGATTTGGATAAGTTAAAACAGATTCGTGTAAGTATATATGTGTGTATTTTACTTATTATTTTGGTTTAAGTATTTTCATCTTTGGGGGGGGGCATGGAAGTCTTTCATGATTATTCTGATTATTAAATGCAATTGATTGGTTACTGAGCAGTGACTAATGTCATGTTTACTTAGCTTTTAAGAACAAATTTAGTTCTGCCAACTAAGCTTGACTGTGTGGGCTAACCTAATTGATTAGACATTGCATGCACTATGTAGACATGTTAAGTGATTAGAGGTGTTCGCTAAAATACTCCGCACCTAAGTTTTTTTTCGATTGTCACTCGTAAATAGTGCAATCTTGAAGGGATTAATGCTTGTTACAACATTCGAACTCGTGTCACCCAGCTTCACTGTCTAAAATATTACCACTCACCTATTCAGGTCATGAATAACATTCCACTGAATTGGAATTTATTGTATCGAACTTGAATGATTTTACTATACAAATTCTTATTTATTTATTTATTTAAACACACAAATATTGGTACAAAGTGGCACTAGATACATATACGCCACACAAATCTTATTTGATTTGTGTGAGGGCTGTAATACTGGCTGGGACCATACCCGGAGCCTTTGACCAGAAGATCTGATCCACAAGGCAGTGAAACAACGTAAGGGGATGCAGTCCCATGGTAGCCGGTGACCAACAATTGGTTCATACGCCATTTGTTCTCTCAGAATACTGGAGCTCATGTGCACCATTGGTTTGGAATCAGGGTTTTCCAACTTCCCTAGGTGGACTTTCCGTGTCCACCAACCAGGTTAAAGCACCGGACATTCGCTTTTCGTCCTCTCACTTTCGTGAACAACACCGGTGACACGAGAAGCCAGTGAGTAGGACTTCCGTGGCAGATGCTATATACTCGTGGCCATATGAGAGCATTTGGAGAGGCAGAGCGGACTCTATACAAATAAGTCACAATTGTTCACAGTTCCTTGCATGAACGGAACACGTGATCATAAGTGATATTACTTTAACTGACATCGATTTATTTTGTAAACTATTTCTCGTTCATTATTTATCTTATTTATTTTATCTAATTTAATAGTTGAATTCATGAGCCTATTTAAGCTAGAACATCACTGAGAAGCTGGAAGCACTGGACGGCCGTTTCGTCTTGGTATGGGACTCCTAAATAGTGCGCATCGACGATCCCGCACGTGGATGCCCACTACTGAGAAGTCCCATACTAGGACGAAACGGCTGTCCAATGCCTCCAGTTTTTCTGTAACTCTACAATCTCCACAGATCCCCATTCTGATAATTATCAAATTTAATTTATTAATATGATATACATATATATTTTTTGTTGTTGTTAGATATCAACTCAAAATTTAGATCAAATTATCCGTGAACATATTTATCAATGGAATGTATTTTGGATTGTTTTTCAAAAACAATCAATCAATGAACCATTTAATATATCCAAATTATCTTGTCTATTCGGTTCAGAAGGTTGGACATGGTTAACTAACAATCCAGAATTATTATCAACATATACACTAGAAAATTCGAAACAATTAGTTGAAATCACTGAATCTTATATGGAATCCTTAAAATTGGCTTTCATTAATGTATTGATATGTACTACACACTTGCTTGGATTGAATACATTTCTATGGAATGATGCTGTGCATGAAGCTTATGAAAAACTATCTTCATCAATGAGACATTTACAAGAAACTTTAAATTCTTTACTGATTGCTTATAAGACTTGTAATCGTGTTGTATTGTTCGCTTCTGTGTTCGAGTCTGTACAACAACAGATTAATGTTGAATGGAATAAAATTCATTGTGAATTAAGCATCATATCTAATGATGGGATCCATAACGATAGTGATTTAACAAACTTTCATACTACTAATCTTACTACTGATAACATTTTAAGTAGTATAAATAGCATTGCATATAAATCAGATATGAAATTTGAACTATTAACTAATCGTTTAGTGCATACCATGCTTAAAGCTATTGAAATTCTGTATGATTCAGATCAAATCCATGATAATACTGATAATAAATCGGATCAGTTAAGTTTATTGCATCATTATTCAACGATGATTTCAAAAGTATTAACTTCAACATTACCCCAAATTAGCAAATACTTGATAAATATCCGTTCAATGTTACAACAACGACAATCTACATTGTTAAAGAATGAATATGAAATGATTTTCCAATCAAGAATAATCATCATTCAATGTATATACCCATTAATGGATGGTTTATCAAAAGCTTTATGTATACGTTGTATACAGTTTTGGCATTTATTAGATATATGGTTTAAACTTGGTGAATTTGCAATGCAAATAACTGGACGTATAATTACGGAGGGATTTTGTCGTCCAGCTAATTTGGCTAGAGATAACCAATTAACAGGTGATGAAAATAGTAGCTCATCAAGTTCTTCGAGAGCAGACAATGAACAATCGATGGATAGAGGTGGTGAATCAGGCGGTACAAGTTTAACATCGAATACAAACGATGCGGTAAATGCAAAAGATGTTACTAATGAATTGGAATGTCAAGAACAAATTGAAGGTTTGTTGAATGATCGTAAACAACAAGGAGACGATAACGATTTGAATAAAAATAGAAATGACGAGCATAACAGCACAAATGGTGTTGAAATGCCAGATGATGATTTTGATGGACATTATGATGATCCAGATTTGGAAAATTGTGATCTTGACAATGATGATTCAGAACAATTGGAACAAGAAAATTTCGATGATAAAATGGATGAAACAGATGGGCATAATAATGACGATTTGGCTAAAGAAATGTGGGCATCGGATGATGAAGAAACTGATAAGGATGATAATAATAAACCGAAACGTGATTCTGATGGAAATAAAGAAAATGATAAAACCGGAGGTGTTGAAGATGATAAACAACGTAATAACAGTAATAAGAAAGATCACGATTCTGGTAATATTCAGGAACAAAAAAGTAAACAGAATCCAGAATCTACGGAAGATGATAATGGTGACAATGACGAAAATCATTCTGACAAACTTGATGAACATGAGAATAAATCACCGAAACGCAAGAAACCAAAGCATGCACATGAGACTCCCGGCAATCGAACTACTGTGGCAAATGAAGATATAATGCAAGATGAAATGGATAATGAATCCGATCAACCTACTGATAATAAATCGGAATCAACTCAAGCAAAACCGAGTGATGATCATGAAACCCCGGATGTTGATGAACGTGATCAAGGTTTACCTGTAGATATTGATGCTGATCAAATGAATAATGAAGAAGATATGACAGAAAGAGATGTTGAGGATTTGCCAGGTGATTTATTCGATAATCAAATGGATTTTGACGCTGACAATGATGGCGAAGAAATCGGTAAAATACTTTCCTTTTAGTTAATGTGTAAATAAGTTTTATTGTTCAGATTATGAGTACTAAGTCTTAGTACTAGTAACTACACACTGACTGACTGACTGATTGACTGACTGAGCCTTAGATCACTAGATCACAATACTTAGTCATCTGTGATATGCTTGAACTAAGTTGATTTCGCGGTAACGAACGAAAGGCCAATGACACGATAAGCTAATCTAATCTGTTGTCCCAGGCCCCGCTAACTAGATGAGGATGTCCAAGACAAAGTAGAGGAATATATATTCCGAAATCAGCCGAGTACAAGCGAGTCATATGAGGAAAAACTCAAGCGTATATATACAGCAACAAATTGTCTTTGGGCATTATTATAAAATAGCACACTCAAAGAAACAATGGACCAATAGCGTTTAAGTTAGTTTACAAGTGGAAAATATGACGTGAAGGTAAAAAGAGCGCTTTTGGCGTAAAAACAGCTAGATTCAAAATTTCAAAATAAAATTACAAAATTAAGCCATTTATCAAGTAAGTTCTGGGGATTTGACATCCCTAAGAATGTGATATACTTGGCTCATATATCCAACCAATAATCAAGAAACAGATATAGACGAAAATGAGGAGATATATATATTAGCACACAATTCAAATCAGTAAACTAGTTGGATACATTCGAATCGCTTTTCACATATAAGGGCTAAATGTCACTACCTGGTTGCTTGAACTATATTAAAACCTGTTTATGAATTTCCAAAAATGCATCTCTTCTCATTCATCTGTGTGTTTTAGATGATCCATCATCTGGTCAATTAGATGGAGAGAAAGATAACGAAGAGGAATCTGCAATAAATGAGAATGAAATCAATGAAAATAACAAATTTGAAACTATGGATACTGGTTAGTTGTATGCAAACAATCATTTTTTACATAGATTTGTACTACTCCATTTTATATGCTTTTCTAAAACTGATGCCGACCTCACAGGAACCATTATTTCCTTCATGGTCGGTAATATCAGTACTAATCAGATATTAAGCGATAGGATTCTACAAATCTAATCTACTGTTTAATTCATCATAAATCAGTTTATTCTTGAGTTGATATTCTGTAAGGACATCTATAAATTATTATTTCTAAAGGAATATATACATCCTAATAGGAAAGTCTCGATCTAACCATTCTTTTCACAAATTTCATAGCACAAACTAATTGTCGCTAAAAGAGGGTTCAGGCATGAGTATTTCGTTTCTCTTGAGACTCGTCACCTAAATCTCTGTCGATCCCAACTGAGATTTACCAGAATATAGTCCATAGTATCAACAAGGGGATAATTCAAATATTCTTATAATGTGGTCATCATATCCGTCGAAGAAACTAATGGTTATTCAAGCTATATAGGTCTATGGATAAAATGTTGGCTTTTGAAGTTCATTGTATCGGGTTCAAGTTCCCAGAGTGCCTCACATAAACACTGACCCAGATACATTTGGCTGATGAGTCATAAGTAGAATGAATCGCACATTAAAATTTTTACTGCCATCCACAATCCATTTATTTTATCAAATGTACATACTTTTTGAAGAAATTAAGTCAATATTATATAGTTCAGATCATGAGTCAATAGAAGCTAGACCACCATGGAAAACCGTTTCGTCCCATTGTGGGATGTGCACTGCTGAAGAGTTCCACAATAGGACGAAACGATCTTCCAGTGCTTCCAGGTTTTCCATGGTGGTCTAGCTTCTATTAACTCATTATCTCAATTATATTAAATTACTAAAATCTGCACAAAACCCCATTCTGGTAAGTCAATATTAACCAAAATATCATCCACACAAAACATATACGAAGTACCTATACAACAGTTTCGATGGCAAGAGTATAACTTTTGAACCAAAGTGACCTTAAAAAGCTTCAACTAATTACTAAAGTCAATACAGAATTATGAGTTAGTGTGAGGAACTAGAATAGAGTTAGAAGCTAGGGTTAAAGTTTTCATCACGAACTGACATATGCATGAATCGATGAGTCACTTTCCTAAATCTGATTGATCCGTCTATGAGTTAATGGTTCAATTATTCCTCGCATTTTATATTTCCTTCTTTACTTATTTATCATCAGATGAACAAAACACAGAAATTCCTGAAAATGTTGAAGTATTTCCTTATCACGGAGCTGGTACAAGTGATTTGGATGATAATAATAATAAATCTAATGTAAGTTCTTTTAATGTCGGATATCATATATAGTTAAGAACAATCTTTTTTTTCAAAATAGCATGGGTATTAAGATATTTGAAAAGTAGCATGCCAGTAGAGCAGCTGTCACTATGTTTTAGCGGTGGGATCCAGAACACACCTGTAGTTAGATATACCTCAATCTTGATGTTTATTTATAGTCTTTCACTGGTTTGCTCCCACAATGTGTTACTAAAGAGGGGACACTGTATTGTTCTGTCTTACAGTTAGCACACACCCTATAAACCCACAGAGTCATAATCATATCATAGTCGATCTATGATTTTACGTTATGATCATTGTATCTCATTGAGATTACCATCTATCTCATTCATGATATAAAGTTACATTTCATTAATCATGATTCCTTGATAGAAACTTTGAATTTATTTAAAACAATCTATTCAATCAGCATGTTGTTAGGAAACGCGTATTAGGTAAGCATGGCAAATCGATTAATGAAGTAGTGAAACTTCATCAGTTGAGATGGCTGGGACACGTGTTACGTATGCTCAACCACCGAATGCCCCAAAGTTCAATGTTTTATGGTTTAGGAGTAAGTAAGAAGAAATATAGGGGCGGCCGAACCAAAACGTGTCACAAATCCATGAAGTTACTGACAAGTGGACTGAGCCACGTTGGTAGGTGTAAACTACCTGGTTGGGATCCGCGAGGTGATAGCAATCGATGGTTAGAGACCTTAAATGACATGGCTCGAAATCGTTTGCAATGGTGCATGTGCATCCACTCTTTGTGTTCTCCCAAATTCTAATCTTCTGAATTCTTCCTGGCTCTATCCTTTTCTCTTTTAAAATTTATTTCACTGGATTATACTCCTTCAATAACCGTTAAATTGACAGTAATATTCTCATACACATTAGATTTTTGGTTTGACTTCTTTAAAATTAATTTGAATTTTAGGCTTTCGGAGGAGATGAGCACAATCCCCAAGAAGATGACAAAACAGTAAGCTTATACACTTTATTGTTTCGTTAATCTTTTTTAATTAATTTGTTTTCATTATGTTGAAGTTTTCCTGCAATTGACTTGTACTTTCACTAGAACCGACTTTCTGTAGGTTTACTCAATCAATTTGTTACTACATTGACCGACTTTTAAAAGAACTACAAGCTTCTAGAACACAGTTAGAAGCCAGCCGTTAAAATAGTACAATGCGCATTCCGCACACAGGTTTTCAGTTTCGGTCTTAAGTTATGAAGAAATTATGCAGCTAGTAGATCCAAAACTACTCGTAAAACAGCTGTGCATAATACTGGGAATAAGCAATTGTTTCTTGGTCATCTCTTCGTTTACTATCAGTAATCGACAGGACTAAATTTCAGCAAATGACCTAATAAGAAAGAACCTTCCACAATATTGGTAACCGAGCTTTCATAACCATCTCATACCTCTTAAACCACTCAAACACTAGCCTTTACATAAATATCCTTCTTGTCATACTTAACACAGGCATAGATTTCATTATTTTTCAAATTTGTACGAACACATTGCGCTGTCATTTTAATGAGTCATAAGTTTCCAAGGTACCTCGACATGAGATACAATCTAAGTATAAAAGCTAATGATACTACGTGGTTACCAGAGCTGAAGTCGAGCGGAGTTCGAACCTGGAACGTAGTAGACGAACCATTAATTTACTGTCCCACTTTTACTCTGGAACAACAAATAACTTTAGTTAGCATGCAATTTTACTGTGTTGATGTAAGTTAACTTACTCATATTTTACAATTTTGAATAATTTATGATAATCGGCATGGCTAATCTCACTTGTTTGTTTTTTGTATGTGTTAATCAACTGACTTATGAAAGGAAGCTAATAATGTTGATCATGATGATACTGATGTTAATTCTTCCAATCAAACTTCTACACAACATGGCAATCAAGGAAATGCTTCAGGTGAAAAATATACTACATCCACTAGTCAGTCAGATACTTCCGGAGCCAATGCAGAACTGCAACAACAGTATCAGCAAGGCGTTAAAAGAAATCAAACACACTCTGGTCCAAAACCAACATCAGACAATCGAAGTTTATCAAACAAACAAATTGCTCTATCTAAGGTTAGTCTTGACGATTCGTTTAGCTAAGATCAATCTATGATGTAAACTATGACATTTAACAATCTCCACAAATCCACTATAATGATGATGTGTGTATTAGTGCATAATGTCTGGTAATCCTTCCAGGAGTTCTGGCGAGAAACCGCGACTAATGGAGTTCACCTAAGTTAGGTATGATGTTGTTACTCACAATGTCATTAGAAGATGGTTATGCAATATCGCGATTGAATTAAAGTTAAGAAATTTAAACCGTTCCTTATCAACTCAATGATGTAAAAGTTAAATGTTCTCCTCGGGACCCGAAAGTTCGGAGTTTGATCTCTGATGGGATGGTAAATGCACAACAATGTATGAACTCCTATGACAGAACAGAAAAGCTGTTCTTTGCTTCCTAGTTTTCAACGATTATTTAATTGAAATCATTTCGTGAAGTCAATTATGACATTTTCGTTCTATTTATTTTTATTGCTTTGTTATTTTCAATTACTTTTGAGATCCTCGTATGATTGAATAACAATACATTCGTCTTAAAGATGAGAGACATTGTATTCTCTCGAGTATCCCTTATAATTTATACAGTCCTCAACATAAACATTATGAAACTAAAAAATCGTATTTGAATAGTAATCTAACAGCTAGACAACACTACCTCCGTCTGAAGCGATAGATCCCCGAGTATCGAGTCATTTATTGCGAACACTGATGCAGGAATACGTTGTCGAACGAAACACTGTCCCTGAAATTCTCTTCTAGCGTTATTTTTGATTTTAAGAAATTGCCGATATCCACTTAATCAACTGTACTATTGTAATAAACGAGAACACAGATGGGGGCAGCCGAGTACATAATTACAGAATCTCTTGGTGAAATACGAGAACTATGCAGTGAATACCTCGTTTGCAAATTTTCATCATTTGTTTTTCACATTCTGTATGACTCTCCCAGTCCACAATCGCTTTCTATTTTATCTTATATTCACTTCAGCTCAATTTTCTTTGCCTTCTGCTACTAGATTTTCGACTTCCCGTTGGTTTTACATACTAGTTATGTCAACAGAAATAAAAAATAACTCATATTTTGTTTTGTTTGCATGGTCTTTGTAGGCTGAAACCATAGAAGTAGACTTGGAACATTCTTCAGAAAAGCAACAATCACCGTTGCCTAATCAAAACTCAGAACTATTTCAACATTTACCAAATTCAGAAGACTTAAATGCTGACAACGATGATGATGATTATCCGTGTGTTCGTGATTCTGCTACATTAGATCAAGCTGAACAGCAATTATTAGGCAACAGTAATCCAATAAAGAAATCTAATGATAATGATCGAGAGGAGAAAGATATTGGATTGGAAAATGATAATGACAATAACATTGATGACGACGGAAAATTACCCATATCTGAATTAGAGGTATACTACTATTGTGTGCTTGCTTCATTTTTATTGGTTGTTTAAATTTTACCATTGATGCTACGGATTGCATTTGATCAGTTTTTGTTGGCATATATGCATCCTGTATGAATTATCTCGTTATTATCATTAAATCCTGATATAATCATTAACACTGAGATACAGGTGTAAGACAAAACATTCGGTAGAAAAGAAATTATGGTGTTTCCATAGTATGTATGCATATCATTCGATCATGCATTTGTATCTTTCCATGTGTTCCGCAATCCGAACTATCTTCTCGTCTGGTAGTCAAGTATTCTGCCTACGCCGTGCTTTCGATGTACCGAAACTCTGCACTCTACAACTTTGAGAAGTGTGAGGCCACCTTCAGCTACATACTACCTACAAGTAATCTTGTGATTAGCGTCTCCACAAGTGCATTAATATGAAACAAGCTTCCTGAATCGCACTACTTGCTACCATCCGACTCTGCTTAAAGTGTTTATTTTGCTGTTATTATAAGTTTCCAAAGAAGAAGAACAGATATTTCTTCCTTGCGCTGATGTGAATCTAAAAAGGATATTCCGTAAAGGAGACAAAAGTGCATTGTTAAAGTATAATACTCGTTACCGGTAATATTACATAATAGTCAGAACATATCGCAAATTGATTGGTTTTGCAAATATTGATATATCGAACTTCAGTTCAGTTCTATAATTCATCGAGATACTTCAAAGTTAAGGATTTGATTTTTCAGGCGTTGTTTTTGGTACACATCTCTTAGAGAGACCCCATACTGGAATGAAACAGTTCAATGGTTAATTTAAAACATACAAACTTGATTTTAGTAATATAAGTATTAATGTGTTTATTTTTTGCATAATTATGTAAATCCTTTCTATAGAAGACTGATGCCTCCACAAATGTATTGCCTCAACAAAATAAACATGTAAAACCTTTAATGAAAGGAAATCAAGTACCCGGTGGTCATGAAACAGTTGAATCAGATCCAACAAAAGAATTTGTTCCAACTTTAGGCGCACAAAGACCACCTGAATCAATCAGTTGTACAAGAGTAAGTTGTTGTAGTCGTTTATTAATTGAATTGTTTGTTTGTTTTTGTTGATTGCCTACTCCTACTTTTATTAAACAGTTGAAAGTGTTCTACTGAAAACCATAGCACTCAGTTTCTTGGTAATCGACGCTTGTCAGGGACGTGTACTTCTAATCTTGGAAAGTTTCTTAGGTTCGAACCCTCCATCATACATACCCAACCTTAGAGTTTAAGATGTCAAGATTGACATGTTAGATAATAAACTTATCATTTCCATTTCACACTGTGTAACTCTTGCAAAATTTACGAGAAGTGACTTATCTATGATCACTGACAGTTATTAGTTATTAACAGTTCGTTCAAAGTTTACCTTTTTAGAGCGCACTTTAGTCTTATACAATGCGCCATATAGAATGAATTTCCTGAAAATCGAGGTGATGATGAGTTTGTTCACTGAGAATTTTTTTGTTCTCTTACAAAGACAAGGAATTTCGAAATAAACTGATTACTGATATTGACTCTTCAACACTGCCTAGTGTAAATGGATCTCTATTATTCTTGTATTTTTCCCTTCATCTCAGTGTTTACTCTTTATCGAGGCTTTAACATCATGATCGAGTGATACGTCAAATATGACGAACTAATAATTCAAAATTATCTGTAAAAACGGTACTATAATTATGAAATTACATGAAATATAATTTAAGCATCAACTTGTGAGGTGTCTACTGAGTTCGTATACAATCAGTGAACAGTGCTTTATAAACAGTACATAGGATTATAAGCAAAGACGGATAGTGGCTAATAGTGGAATCCAGGTCGTGCGTTTCGTCCTATTTGGGACTCGTCAGCCGGATGTATCTAGTACATAGGATAAGATATATAACAGATGATAGCTCTGTCGAAATTAAAAGGGCACGCAACTTCAAAATGTATGGAAAAAACATTGAAATATGAAAACTGTTACAATAAAACAAACTTTTAACCGGTACCTTTGATCTGAAAACGTCTAATGGAAGCACTTTATGGGTTGAAATAAATAAGCAATAAGATGACACAATCATAATAATACATAATTTGAATATTGTCAGCTCATGCGAATCAGTCAGTCACAACGTAGAACTTTGTACGTACGTAAATCAGTTCGAGTTGTCATACCACATTAGCACAGAGATACATTTGTCGATTGAAATCCCATAATGGTAGAAGTAGTAAGAGTATAAGCAGTAATGGGAAAGATTAGGGTTTGAAGATGTTATTCAAGGAGTATAATCCAGTGAAATACATTTGGAAAGAGAAATAACAAAGGGACATGAACTCAGATCAGAATTTGGTAGAACACAAAGAGTGGATGCACATGCACCATTGCAAACGATTTCGATCCATGTCATTCAAGGTCTCTAACCATCGATTGCTATCATCTCGCTAATCCCAATCACGTATTCTGCACCTACCAACGTGGCTCAGTCCACTTGTCAGTAACTTCATGGATTTGTGCCACATTTTGGTTTGGCCTCCCCTATCTTTCTTCCAGCCTACTCCTACACCATAAAACATAGCGAATACTAAAACATACTATGTAACAACAGATATGTTTCACAGTACATGCTGAAAAGTTATTAGAAATGCAACAGGTTACTGAATATTAGTAAGTAAATACGTATAGGGTAATACACGTCGAGGAAGTGGAATGATGTAAAAGAAACTTAAGATTGAATGGAAACAAGCTTAACAATCAGTATGTTTCAATTTAACATCTATCTGTTCTCTTTCTCTTATTTATTCCTTTTTTAAAGGCTGAAGTTTTACTTCAATCAACTAATGCAAATCTATCTACAGAGATTCCAACAAATCTACAAATTTTAGAGAATAAATTTCCAGAAACATCAATTGAAAATTGTCTTGATTGGTCATTGTATTGTCAACGATCGAATACTTTAGCACGTCAATTATGTGAAACACTTCGTTTAGTTCTTGAACCAACTAAAGCATCACGTTTACGTGGAGATTATCGAACGGGGAAACGTATCAATATGCGAAAGGTTAGTTGATGTAATAAATGTTATATTTCTATGAACTTCTATATTGTATTATCCATTTAGATATGATTAAAAATCAATCGTTTAAATTACTTCAGTTAGTTATATAATATACCCTTATGGGCCAGGGTAATCTTGCATTAGTTTTCAGGAGAACCAGACACCATCCAAACTGTATGGCTCAATCCCGTTTAACAGGAGAGCCAAACACTGCCCAGGTTTAACCCAAGCAGTTCAGCTCAATCCCGCCCTATAGGAGAACCAGACACTATATAGGCTTCAACGCTATAATCCGAATAGTATAGCACAATCCTGTGGCGCAACCACTCAGGTACCAAACACCCTGGTGTACCAGTCTAAATTACTACTCTATTTTAATTGACAAATGGTTAAATTTAGAAGGATTGCCCAGGACAAAGTTCGATGAAGAATCCTGGTGGGCAGTGTATGCTCTTATCCACGAAGGGTAACAGGCGTAATTAAATAAAGAGATTTAGAAAGAGTTAACTACAGTTAGAATAAGACATGAAACCAGTTCATAAACTGATTGCTTATTATTTTTTCTTTATTATATAAAAATGTTCAATCTTTCGCTTTCAGTCTAGGGGACATTCATAATCTGTGCTTAAAAACTATGGACAATATCGGTGAAAATAGATTTGGATGGTGTTAATGCATTGAGTTTTCATTCATCTTTCGTTAACTCATTTATATATTACCACCACTAAATTAACTACTTCTATGAATTTGGTGTTCATCTTGTTGTGCTAATGAGGTATAGCAACTTGGACCGATGCATGTATGGGCCTGGTCTTACGCTGTAGCTGACTGACTGAACTAAGTTATAAATTCTAACTAATTTAAAGAGTTGACTTGGTTATCTCTTTTTCCATAGGTTCTAGTATTAGAGTTTGTAGTCATAGGTTTGTCAGTCTACACGTTGGTTACTAGTTTCATATACTTACTGTCATCGTCTCAATTAGAACTTGAACTTTAAGCTCTCTCATGTTCTGAAGTGTATCTTATGTTTAATATATGATTTAAGTTTCCATACTCTGTGACTATTACCATTACCATACTTCAGTAAAATGTGTTTACGATTTGTAAAACGGTTTACATGCTTCAATAATGTAAGTCAGTCAGCTACAACGTAGGACCAGGCACATATATGCATCGGTCCAAGTTGCCATACCTCGTTAGCACAACAAGAGGAACACCGGATTCATAGTAGTTAATCTAGTGTTGGTAGTAGTATATAAATTATAGGTTGTATATAAGGATATAGTACAGGAAGGAAGAGAGATATGAAGCAATTTTAGTCTCAAGGTTTAAGGGAAGATAAAGAGTGTATACACCTACGCCATTGTGATCGATTCTGAGCCATGTCACCTAGAGTCTCCAACCATTGGTTACGATAGTCACGCGGACCCCAACCAGGTAGTCTGCATCTGCCAACATGGCTCAGACTAGAATTTAGTGACTTCAAACACTGATGCCATGTTTTGGTTTGGCCGCCCCTAACTCTCTTCCAACCGTTCCCAACACTAGTCATCATAGCGCGTCGTGGTAATCGGTGTTCAGGCATACGTAACACATGGCCCAACCATCTCAGTCGATGAAGATTCATCACCTCATCAACTGATTTACCATCGTTCCCTAATACCCTGCGTCTAACCTTACTATTACTTACCCGGTTATCCCAGTAGATGCGAGCAATATTTCTAAGGCATCTGTGGTCAAATACTAGTAACCTACGAGTATCTTTTACTCTTAATGGCCATGTTTCGCAGCCGTAAAGTAGAACAGAGCGAACTGATGCGCAGTATACTCGTCCCTTAATTGATAGACGGATATCTCGTCTTCGCCATAAGTGACGTAAGTTGGCAAAATCCAAACGAGCTTTTTGAATCCGTGCTGAGATTTCGTCAGACACCAACCCATTAGAGCTGATCAGACTTCCAAGATAAGTGAAGTTGTCGACGCGTTCGACTACTTCACTTCCTATCCTTAGTTCGAGTGTTGACGCAGGCCAGTCCTGGAGTAACAATTTACATTTGGATGGGGAGAAACGCATCCCAGACATCCTGGCATTATTACTGAGTTGCAACAGAAGACTCTGCATTTTGCCAGCGTCTTCACCAAACAGGACTATGTCATCTGCGTATTCTAAGTCGCTTAGTGGTCCCCCTGGTAGGAGATCAATTCCTGTAAATTCAGTCGAAGAGAGTGTTATTTCCAGCAACAGGTCTATAATGAAGTTAAACAAAAATGGGGATAGTGGACAGCCTTGACGGACACCACTTGAGGTTGTAAAATCATATAACAGTTCGCCATAAGCTCTCACTCGACTGGTAGTGTTCGAGTAAAGAGCCTTCACAAGGTTTATGTACTTCTCAGGTACACCTTTCAATGACAGACACTGCCACAGAACCTCTCGGTCTACAGAGTCAAATGCTGCTTTCAAGTCAAGAAAAACTATCATTGTCGGACGCCGATAAGCATGTCTGTGCTCTAAAACTTGACGAATGGTGAATATGTGGTCGATACAGCCACGACCAGGTCTGAAGCCAGCCTGATTTTCTCGTGTTTGCAGTTCACGAGTCTTAGTTAGGCGCCCGATAATTATTGAGGCTAGTATTTTAGATGCTATGTTGGTCAGACTAATCCCTCTATGGTTATCGCAGGATGATTTTGACCCCTTTTTATATATTGGGACAATCAGTGATTGTGACCAGTCGGATGGGATTACATCCGTCTCCCAGATTTTAGCCAGAATATTAGTCAACCTAATCGCTAAAATTGGACCACCGTATTTAAAAACATCTGGAGCCAATCCATCAGGACCAGCTGCTCTTCCTCGTTTCAGATTACCTATAGCCTTTTGAACTTCAAGTAGGGTTGGGGGGCCTACTTCAATGTTCCATTCAGGTTTTCTAGGAATAGTGGGTAGTTGTGCAGTAGCTGAAGGCCAGCTAAACTGCTCCTTAAAGTGTTCCGCCCATCGTTCTAAACGTTTGGGTTGAGAGCAGATAAGGGTTCCGTCTTTTTCGGAGATTGTCTCACTTACACTTGACTTATTAATTCCGGTTTCTTTTATTAGTCTGAATAGTTGCCTGGTGTTGCCTATAGCCGCTGCCTTTTCCATCTCTTTTGCTTTCGTTGCCCACCACTGCTCACGATCGTTCCTTAGACTTTAAGTTAACCTAGATCTAATGTGTTTACGCTCTTCGTCATGTTCAGAGCCTGATGGGATGAGTTTACGCGAATCCATCAGTGAAATAGACTTAGAAGAAATCCACTGGTTTTTTGGAGCCCTATGGTTTAAATGACTAATAGATGTTACTGCTGTTTCCACAGCTGTTCGTATGTCTTTCCAAGCAGCATCTGGGTCAGTCTCGTTTACAGAACTGCCTAGATGTGAACTCAGTTGCTTCTGGAATTCGCATTTGGCTTTCTCGTCCTCCAGTTCAATCCTAATGGGTCTTATTGGTGTACTTTTCCTGCGTCCATTGAGGCGCAGACAAATGCGCGCTCGTATTAAAGCGTGATCAGAGTCTAAACAAGTATTCTAATACGAGCTACAATCTTCTATTGAGCCTCTCCAACGATGACTGATGACAATATGGTCTATTTGAGTCCATCGTTGGTTTGGTGCAGGTGGTCGCCATGTTAGACGATGTCTCTCCTTATGTTTAAAATTAGTGCTTGCTAAAAATAAACGATTGTCTGAGCATAGTTGCAACAGACGATCACCATTATCGGTTCGCTGAGCCGGAATACTAAAACACCCACCTAAATGTCTTTCTGTTTGATTCAAGCTGCCTACCTGGGCATTAAAGTCACCCGCTACGACTACTATGTCTGAGCGCTTAGCTTTCTGAAGAAGCTCAGCGAGTTTTCTGTAAAAGTCATCTTTTACTTCATCATGGCTGCAGTCAGTGGGAGCGTAGGCAGAAACGACGAAAAGGCAACGACGTGTGTCTCTATCCTTCCGAGTTCTTACGGAGCCATTTAGCCGGACAGCACACAGGCGACTATTAACGGGTATCCATTCTAGTAGTGCCTGTTCTGCCCTTGTACTTAGTGCTATACCTACACCTGCAAGTCCACGAGAACTAGCCAACGGGTCGCCAGATACACGGACGGTGTATTTCGTTGGCTGTCCATTTTGGCGAGGTGAGGTCAAGTGAATGACCACACTGGGATCCTGTATGCGTGTTTCGGAGACACAGCATACATCAATGGTACGAGATTCTAGGGTTTTAGCTAAGGAGGCCTGTTGATAAATTTGGCATAGGGTATGTACGTTGAAGGCTCCAATGTGTAGTTTGGAGCGAGGTTTTAGTAGACCTGGGACAGCGTTTCGCGCACTAGAATCGTTGGCCATGGTGACACTTGAGGAGGAAACCGAAAGAGGAAGTTTAGTGTTGAAAGTCAAGGTAGGAGGAATAGTAGGAATTGAAGAAGGAGATTGATTATGAATACAGTGGTCTTGAGTGCTGTCAGAGGTATGAGGGCAGTTATCACTTCCCGGTTGCCCACACCGTGGAAGGATTCTTCTAGAGGTACCTGAAAAGGAAATTGGGTTAGGAGTGGTCTTAATGACCTGAGAGCGTGACCGCAGTGCCCAAGGGACAACTTCTTGAGGTCGGTCACACACGACCTTTTTGTGGGTAGTTTTTGTGTTAGCTTCGTTCTTTAAAAAAAAAACCTTACCGCCGGAGACGGATATCCGTGGGATAAGGCGAGGTGTGCATTTTTAGGGTCGACCTTTTCTAACCCCACCCCTCCTTGTGGGAAGGCAGCATCGCTGTCATGCTGGTTGTCTGAAGGAAACACCTTACTGCTGTCACACCTCTGTACAGTCAGCAGTACGACTTCGCCTTCGGACCTTGGGTTTGCTGCTTTTAGTCTCACCGCTCTTCAACCGACCTGCCTGGCATGGTAGGACCTCGAGGAACGATTGTTCCAGCCAGCATAGCTCGATTGGATCATCACGATAGGCAAGCCCGACCACCACGTCAAGGTAGCAGCAACGATCGGGTCAATAATGTAAACAGAAGACGTGAAGGGATTTCTTTTTGATAGTCGAATATTTAAAGTGAAGTGTGTGTCACTGACTTTTCCAATGATGTTATGGCTTTTTAATTTAAACAATTCATGAGTTTCCATTTTTATTTCAAATTATTACTTTTCTGAAATTACCTGAATGAACTGGAGATGTATTGGATCTATCTAGTCAACAGTTTGATCCAGGATGTGCTTTTCGTATTATTTTGAATTGATTAGCCGGATGTACGTGCCATTTCCCAGTGTTGATGTTGAGTTCAATGTTTAAACTACTGAATTGAATAACAGTGAGTAACAGTCGATTTTGAAACGAAAGGTACTAGGTCTTAGTCCTAATATGAATATCAACATTTGTATGCAGGTATATCTAGTTAACAAAAACGAGATGCGTGTCCTGAAAACTACTGCCCCAGTCATAATTAGCCTATAATATGACAATCCATTTGAGACGCACGTATACCAGCAACGACTGGTCAAACTTCATTCCTGAATATCAACAGAAATGATGCAGTCAGATTATTTTTAAGCTTAGAATCTTCAGTTAAGAAATATGTCTATATTTTCTTTATTACATTAAAATAAGAAACTGTTTGTAGAGTATGGCAAGCAAAGATGGGTAGGGGCTAGCAGTAGAATCCAGGACGCGCGTTTCGTCCTATTTGGGACTCGTCAGCTAGATGTACCTGTATCTCAGAGTTGATGTTCACTCTGAGACTCGAACCCAGTACTTTTCGCTTCAAACGCCATCGCGTTATCCACTCGGCCACTGAGTCCTGATAGCCACTTGCACGTAGAGTACTTCTTAAACTGTTTATTATTGTTTTAAAACATAATAGATGGTAACAATTTCCATTTAAGAATGTTCCTAAAGAAGAAATCGACTTGTAGAGAGAAACCTTCAAGCTTTCTCTTGATAATTGTCATCATTTTAAGTACCATACAATTTGAGATGGGATTGATCATGCCTATTTTTTTATTTCATTTTTTAAAACAAAAATATTTAGATCATTCCATATTTAGCTAGTCAATTTCGTAAAGATAAAATTTGGCTACGTCGTTCACAGCCTAGTCAACGTGAATATCGTATTTTAATTGCTGTAGACGATTCATCATCAATGTCTGAAAATCTTTGTAAACAAGTGAGTTATTAATGATGATTTGTTACGTCTATGATCTGTCTACCCAATAAATATACAGGAGAGAACTTATGTCGATCTGTGTTCAGGCTCTGACACGATAAGTTAACTGATTTAAACTTGAGGCTAGAAAAACGCGAGCTCGAATTAAGACTGACGACCTTGGTCAGAGAGACGAAAAATATCCTATCACTTGATTGGTCGATAAGCGCGCACGAGAAAAACAGCGAGTCAACTGGAATATTACTCAATCCATTCCTAATTCTCAATTCAAATGAGTGTAAAAGGATAGATGAATAAATAGACGACTAACACGACCACAACATACAAACAATTAGGAAAATACAATTATGTTCAAACTGAGCATTAAGGCAGAAGAACAGAGTACAAGAGGTCACGTTTAAATTACAACAACTTTAGAACAGAAAAGAATATGCCAGTGAATCATACACTGAATGGAAGCTTATAGATCATAGAATCATCAGAGTCAAAACTCATAAACTTTGAATTGAGTGAATTGAGTGTGTAGATTGTGTTGGAGTACGAATAGAGTGACTTATTCTGATTAATGAAGTTTTAGATAAACAACAAAAATCTGCTCTATTTAGTCTATTCAGATCGTTTCTTTAGTGGTACACTTGGACGAAGTCGAGAACTTATGAGAGTTATTAAGGGAAACGAACCAAATATTATTTGATGAATATTGGCTTTAATTATGAACGAGATGATCTCAAGTGATGTTAGGGGAATAAGAGTGCTTCCGGCATTGTAACAGGATATTTCTTGTTGCTACACCTGAAAAGTGAATTGCGTAGATGATGATCTTGGCAACATGGGAGTGTGACAACATTGCCACAACAGATCATTGTTTATGACTAGTCACATATATCCTTTTGGTGAGCAGTTTTTAACTTCATACTTCTCAGATTTTACTACCGACGACGTACCAACATACCTTTTATAACAGAACCTCAAGAAATAGGTGTTCTAGTTAATATAGCTCAGTTGAGTCACCATGATATACAAGGTAGGTCATTACATCAAGATAGTGGTTATTGTTAATTTCATATCGTCGTGCTTATTTGGTATGGTAACTTGGTTCAACACACATTTTTACCAGATTGATCAGATTGTTCTTATACTAAGCAAGTATAAACAAATATCTATCAGCCAACAATATTGTTATTTAATTCATCTATAGTTATACTTCCACTGTTTTTTCCCACATTCTAGATGACTTTTGAATCATTGACAACAGTAATCACTGCATTAAATCTTTTAGAAGTAGGTCGAATAGGTGTTTGCAGGTATGTTCTTAGTTGTATGCAATTTTTTTCGGTTTTTTTTATTTGATATGAATCATTAGAGTCATGTAATTTATTCACCAAGCATACAGGTTTATATACATTGATTGCTTTGACGTATACTGTTTCTGTGAAGGCTTAAAATACTGCTATCTGGCTGCTTTGATGAAGTTTCACCTTTTAGGCTATTTATTGACAATTGAGTGTCTTAACAGACCAAATCACTTATGTTTAGGATCATTCTGGATTAGCAATAATTAATTTAATGTATTGACTTTCAAAGAAGAACTCAAAGTTTTATCTTGATGTTAGTATATGAACTCATGAATGGAGAATAGCCTTACTTACTTACGCCTGTTAGCATTGTGGAGTATCATAGACCACCCACCAGCATTCTCCATTGAACTCTGTCCTGAGCCGTACTTTCCAATTGCTATTCATCCTTTTGATGTTTGCTTCCGATTCTCGACGCAGCGGGTTCTTTGGTCTTCCTCTTTTCTGTTTCCCTTCGAGATTCCAAGTTAGGGATTGCTTTGCGATGCAGTTTGGTAATTTCCTCAGTGTGTGTCCTATCCACTTCCAACATCCTTTCCTAATTTCTTCCTTAGTTGGAAGGTGGTTTGTTCTCTACCACAATAGGCTGTTCCTGATGCTATCCGACCAACGGACATTGAGTATCTTACTTAGACAATTGTTTATAAATACTTGTACCTTTTTGATGATGGTTGTGGTAGTTCTGCAGGTTTCAGCTCCGTACAGTAGAACTATCTTGATGTTTGTATTGGAGATTGTGACTTTGATGTTGGCTTGGTGACAGTTGTTTTGAGTTTCATATGTTATTCATGTGTAGGAATGCGGTCCTTGCTCTGCCTTACTGAAAATTGAATACTATATACGAAGATTATAACTACACAGAAAGCGTTGCCTTTAAATTCATTCAATATTGTTTGTTTGAATCTTCCCATCGATGTGTTAGGACTGCAACTGATCAGTCTCTAATTGGCATATGTGCATCTTGTGCGTATTTCCTCGATATGGCCTTAATTCACAAGCATGGTAAGCAGAGATGGATAGTGGCTAGCAGTCGAATCCAGAATGCGCGTTTCGTCCTACTTGGGACTCGTTAGCTGGATGTACCTGCATCTCAGAGTTGATGTGTACTCTGGGACTCGAACCCAGTACTTTTGACTTCAAACGCTATCGCGTTATCCACTCGGCCACTGAGTCCTGATAGCCACTTGCTTGTGTGATGAAGTGAAGTTTAAATTCATTTAGTTTTGTTTGTTTTTATCTTCCCATTGATGTTTAGGACTGCAAATGGTCTGTCCTGGATTCCACTGCTAGTCACTATCCATCTTTGCTTACCATGCTCGAAAATTGGATTTATGTTTTTAAAGACTTTATATGGAATTGATATTATAAAGTCACTGAATAACCGGTAATTGTATCAACATTTCTACAGTGATAAATCTTTATCACTCAATCTATTCAATATAAATATTTTAGGGAATAAACATGGGATCCACTGTCTTTCTCTACGCATCCTGATTATGAGTGGAATAAGAAGTACATTAAACTTATAAAGGCTCTCTACTCAAACACAACTGGTCGAGCTAGAGCCTATGGCGAACTGTTATCAGAATTGATTACCTCAAGTGGTGTTCGTCAGAGCTGTACACTCTCTCCATTCTTGTTTACTTTTGTCGTCGACATGTATTAATAGTAGTTCGAGAGCGAAACAAAATTAGTAAGGACTCAACTGTATACAAGTAGGCTCCCTAAGTCCAAATCATCACAATGATTTTAATTTTTCAATAAAATTGAAATTATGAAAGTGAATGTTAGAAACTTTACCGACTAGATTACTTTAGATTAAAGCATTTAATATTTGGAACAATATAGAATATGAAATGTTAATGAAAGATGAATAAATTTCTTCATTTACACTTTATTATTTAATAGTTTCGGTGAATCAGTACGTGTACTTCATGATTTAAAAGATCCATGGGTAACAGATGCTGGTCCACGTGTATTAAGTCAATTCACTTTTGGACAACCGAAAACATCACTTGTTCAGGTATGTGATCTAATTATTCAATTTCTTTTTCATCTAGCATATACCCTGTGTAGTTTAGTCTTGGTAGAAATGACATTATGATTAAATTTCCCACGACTTCATCAAAAATCGAACCCAGGACGTACAGGTTTCGTTCTCTGGTAGATTCACATGCGTACACCCCTGTAAAGTCCCATGCTTAGACTTTACAATGTTCTAGTGCTCTTCCATATAGTAACCCACGTGAGGCCAATTTATGACAAATTGTTATAAACGTATAACAATCGTTATTGTATATGAAACGTGCAATGATACGGAAAATACGTACGAGCAGTCTTGATTGCTATTCGGTCCTTCCTAACTGCCTAGCCCAGCCAGTTGAGTCCAGAACACAAATAACAGCCTCGGAAATATGAATCATTATTCACAAGCATACTGGGTTTATATACTAACCAAACAGACCCCATATACCAAAAAATAGAAAAATAATATTTGTACAATAATTGGCCAATGTGGCTATGGATAGGGGGAAAGTAATCAATAATAATAGTTCAAAGGTCAAAATAAGGTTACGGTAAGAGGAACACGAATACAATTAGGTCAGTTATTTAACAACTAAACAATAGGAATTAGGCATATTACCTTTGTCCATAATAGACCTCAGATTTACCATTCATGATTCACCAGGGGATATAACACCTCCCCTTTTTGAGAAATCCGGAGTTGATATCCGGATTTTAATTTTTTTTTTCGAGCTCCTCCTCCCCCACGAAATAGTGTTGGATCCTCATATACCCAAGTTTCTATTAATGCGATTCTAGTTATAACATGTTTCTGGTATTCAATAGGGAACCCGTTAAGATTGACTGGATGGTGAGGATCGACATTTGATGTGAGGTCAGAATTTGATTCTGCAGAAATGTAGTCATCAGACTTATTGCAAACATCAATGGCAGGTTGTGGATCAGTATGATAAACAGCGTCCACCAAAACTGCGCTAGGTTCCAGATTTGATGCATGTAACAAAATTTCTGGACAAGCTTGGGAATCTTTATCACTAGATTCTGTAGACATTTCTATTGCAGAATGAGATTCGCTCGTTGAACCGCTTGATATGATCTCTGGTACTCTGTGGGCGATTGGTGCGACCATTTTATGGGCTTTTAACATAGCATCGTATTGATGAGAGCTGAAAGCGTCATTGTTAGGACCTGCTAATTCAGGGATAGTGGTGTTTGAATCCACTACCGGGCACGTTTCTGAAATGGAGAGTGCTGGACAACCGGGCGTCTCTTGAGAGACTGCTGTTTCGTTTGAGTTGCGGCTGGTCGAGGAATCATGGGGGCTGCGATCATTTGCTAGCTCTGTGTGAAATTCATTGATTAATCCATCCACTTCCGACGCGTATGCAAAGCATTGGTGATCCAGAAGCTGTGTGCGTAGTTTGACCATGAACTCCAAATGTCGGTCAAATAGCAACTGTAAGCGGTCAGAAGGGAGCGTCATTTTTCACTTTTGTCCCCGTCGCCAATTGTTATAAACGTATAACAATCGTTATTGTATATGAAACGTGCAATGATACGGAAAATACGTACGAGCAGTCTTGATTGCTATTCGGTCCTTCCTAACTGCCTAGCCCAGCCAGTTGAGTCCAGAACACAAATAACAGCCTCGGAAATATGAATCATTATTCACAAGCATACTGGGTTTATATACTAACCAAACAGACCCCATATACCAAAAAATAGAAAAATAATATTTGTACAATAATTGGCCAATGTGGCTATGGATAGGGGGAAAGTAATCAATAATAATAGTTCAAAGGTCAAAATAAGGTTACGGTAAGAGGAACACGAATACAATTAGGTCAGTTATTTAACAACTAAACAATAGGAATTAGGCATATTACCTTTGTCCATAATAGACCTCAGATTTACCATTCATGATTCACCAGGGGATATAACACAAATACAGCCTACAAATTAAACCAATTTCCACAAAACCCCTTCATCAAAATTCTAACCACTGCCAACTTATAATGTTCATGAATTAATCGCTAATGTTGTCAGAAAGACAATGAAAGCTCTACTATCGAACTACCAAAAAGCATCCACTTTAGGTGAATATTTTCCTCATCACTTCAAAATCAAATATATGTAATCTTGGAGATGAAGAAAATTTGTAATTTAGGTGGACAATTTTAGCGCAGGTTTGCTCTTTAAGCTAGATAGATTAATCATGAAGCTTTCTTTATTCTTATGAATGATATTATCAGCCCAAACGTTTACCTAAGGCACTGGTATTGTTATGAACAATGAAAGCTTCACGATTAAACCATCCAGCTTAAAAATAAAAAATAAAGCTCCATCAAAATATATGATCTTTTTTTGATGTGATCAAAAATAGCTTATCATCCATCTTACTATTTATTTTATCATTTTATTTAAACACATTAATATTGGTACAAGGAAGCACCAGATAAATATGCGCCGCACAAATCTCATTTGATTTGTGCGAGGGCTGTGATACTGCCCAGTTGCCCTAACTGAAGCAGGTGGTTTTCTTAGGGAGCCACATCCGGTGCCTTTGACCTAAAGGTCTGATCAACAAGGCAGTGGAGCATCGTGAGGAGATGCAGTCCCATGGTAGCCGATGACGAACGATTGATTCATAACTCATTTGTTCCCTAACGATCCTGGAGCTAATGTGCACCATTGGTTTAGAATTGTGGTTTTCCAACTCCTCTAGGTGGACTTTCCGTGTCCACCAACCATCCGTCATGCAGTTATCTTTTTCTATGACATAACCTACAAAATTAGTTTAGGGTGTATTTATTTAATTAGCTTTATACTATATATATATATGCAAGGAAAGGTCAGAGGGTAATAGTTATTAGAATGAAGGAAGCATAAAGGGTGGATGGCATAATAGTTGAATGCAGTTCAAAGACAGATAAGATCAAATGTGCGATCATTTTAGAGGTAATAAAGGATTCATGGAATTAAAAACAGTTAGGGTGGGTTACGTAATAATTGAATAGAATTTTGGAGAGTTCATATAATTTAAGAGAGACAAGTGAGTGGAAATGTGTGAGAGAAAAGATGGTTTAAGAATTGGGTAAGGGAAAAGGAATATAATAAAAGCCAAAATAAAACCAAAAAAATGGATTACTCGGGTAGTAACAAGTTTATCACTGTCTCTTTTTGAATATATAGATCCGGTTTGAGTTTTTTTTTATCGTGATCGCTTCAGCAAACCGGAGAGCAGTTGTACTTCTTTGTTTACTAATGATTTTAAAGGCATGAGAAATGTCGATGCTGTGCCCGGTGTCGAGTAAATGCCGAGCTATCGCACTGTTGAGAGCCCTGGAGCCTTGCAGCCTCAATTTCTTGGGAACATACTCAGAAATGCGGACATGCACTCTTCTCTCGGTTCTTCCAATGTATGTGCTTCGGCATGTACATGTAAATTGGTAAATGCAGTTGGAGCTACTGAGAAAAGAGAAGTTGTCGATTTTAGCTTGTTTGAGTTAGCAGTTAGTTTCCCACACCGTTGTCAGTTTAGCTGCTGGGTAGGTGACTTTCAACGCCAAAACTTTAATACATATTTCGTTGTAAGCAGCTGATGAGAAACCACGAAATATAATGAATTCATATTGTTCTGTCTCTATTTAAATTCATAAAGGGAACTAGCTACATGAAATGTAAAAAAAAACTATTCAAATCACTCAATTTCTTTTATTCTAGCTATTACAGTGTACTATTCAATTGATGAATTCAACTAGTTATATGAATTCTACCAATACTAATGCTATTCCTAGTCAATTATTACTTATTCTATCAGATGGTGTCTTCTCAGAAGATCCACAAAGTCCATCACTACAAGCTGCTGTTCGATTAGTACGTGATTCTCACATATTCCCAGTTTGCCTTATTCTAGATGATGTTCGAAAGAAGGTGAGTGTATTCGAGTTCTTTTTCCTTGTCTTATGATAAATAATGATTGTGGATTATTTATACAGTGTTAAGAATTCAGTCACCTGTGTTTCTTTTTTTTTTTTAAAAATCAAAGAGTACGATGTTCGTCAGAGTGGAATTCAGTGTAACAATTAGTCTTTTGTTGGAGTTGGACTTATCAGGTTATTAGATTGTTGGATATGAGTTTTGTGATCTCACAGGAACCAATATGATGGTAAATCAGTTGGTGAGATTCTGAATCTTCATCGATTGAGATGGTTGGGCCGCGTGTTACGTATGCCTGAACATCGATTATCACGATACTCAATACTGACTAGTATAGAGGATGATTGGAAGAGAGTTAGGGATGGCCAAACCAAAACGTGATATCAGTGCTTGAAGTCACATGTTCTGAGCCATGTTGGTAGATGCAAACTACTTCGTTGGGGGCGGCGTCACTATCGTAACTAATGGTTGGAGACTCTAGATGATATGGCTCCGAGTGGATCATAATGGCGTAGGTGTATACACTCTTTGTCTTCCCTTAAACCGTGAGATTAAAATTACTTTATAGCTTCATTTCTACAAACCAATTCTTTCTTCCTGTATTATATCCTTATATTCAATCTTTCTTTTATATATTACTACCATTGAAATAACTAGTTCTATGAATTTGTTGTTCATCTCGTTGTGCTAATGAGGTGTGGCAGCTTGAACCAACGCATATATGTGCATTGTCCTACGTTGTAGATGACTGACAGGAACCAACAGTATTCTAAAGATTGTAGATATGTCTTTTTGATGAATGTCGCCAAACAGGAATCTTTTGCATATATATCAATGAATTATTTTCATAATTTCCTCCAACCAATCATTTAAATAGTGGATACTTTACAACTTGATTGATAAAATTCAACTATTTAACAATCCCGCACGCGGCACTCAAACGCAGGACCTTCGGTTCATAGATACGCACTGTTGAGCGGTCCCATACTTGGACAAAACAACCGTCCAGTGCTTCCAGGTTTTTAATAATGATCTATCTTAGATCGACTTTAAATTCAACTGTTAAAAATAATACAATCTACACAACTTCACATGCTGATAAACTTCGATTAGACTACTTGACATCAAATAGCTGTTCATATCTAGCAAATTATTCTTGTAATATAGGGTCGTAGAAATTTTTGAATTTTATTAAAACTGATTTTAGTTAGACAACCAGTGAAAAACTGGAAGCACTTCACAGTCGTCTCGCCTTGATACGGTACTCAGCAGTGTCCATCCGCGACCGGAAATCGAACCTAGGACATTCGGCCCTGCATCCAAACATCGATTGGTTAAAGTTAGACTTGTACACTACTGTGGCCCGTGCCAGTGGTCTAGAGACTAAGTGTCCGTAAACCAGATTGAAAGTCCTGATTTTAGTTCTCAGTGACAAGGTCGTGGATGGTTACAGCTGAGGAAGAAATGGATGTCCAGCGTTTCGGTTTTTTTCTCTGTCTACTTTACTCAGATCGGTTCGCAAGCTTAATAAATTTGTTTTCTTTTAATATTATTCTCTTCTATTTTAAAGCATTCTATATTTGATCTTCGGCGATATTGTGGCCCCGGTAAACTACAACCTTATATGGACGTATTCCCATTACCATATTATTTAGTGTTACGAGATTTGGCTTGTCTACCGAATCTACTTGCTGATGCCTTAAGACAATGGTTTGAGTTGGAATCATCAATTGGACGCTAAGGTGTGTGTATACAGTCAAGCCCCGCCACCACCACTCAACAACCAATCCGCTTTTTTTGAATTCCTTCCATATCTGTACAGATTTGTACAAAATAACTCCTGTAATTTTATCCATACAAATCACAGATATCTTCCCCGTATTTTTTTGTGAAATAACACGAATGAAATATGTAAAAATAAATAGATTCATGCATAAAATTTGGATTTAAAAAAATCAACTCTTGTTTGTTATTACGGATTCATTAGTGGTGATCTAAAGAGGTTTGTCGGTACTGTGTGACCTAGTAATCAGAGCACTCACTTTTCAACCAATAAACCGTAGGTTGGAACCCCAGTTCACTATCTCCGGTTCGTACAGGCGAATATTAGTAGCTCACAAGCCTTTACCCAAACAGGATACATCTTTATTTGTAATTGATAAATAAATTACGATAGACGATCATCAGCACCAACAAACCGAAGCGATTTCTGAAATGATTTAGTGCAATTCATCAGCAGTATAGATCATGTTAATATCTACGGTAATCACAAAAATAATTTATAACTCGGAAAGATGGTGTTGTCTAAGTATGGTTATATAGAGTATGCTACGATACTAACAAACTCTAATCATCATTAGAATTCAATTTTACATTTGGTTGCAAATGATATGTTAGTACCCAATGTTTCCAGAAGACAATGCTTGTATGAAACAGGAATAGAAGATTACTTTATTTACAATATCCGGTCATCATTATAGGTTCCATGTACCACCACCCGGTAATTAGTGTCAGCAAATCTATCAAGATACTACTAATTTTAGATATAAAACAAGTTGAAATACCTTATTACGCAGTGTTTAGTCTCTCTTACCGAGCAGTTTATTGTGTAGTCAGAATTAGTTGGTTAGTACATGAAAACAAATATATACTGTTTAGCTTAGCATATATAGCCAATCAATCGAGTTCTGTTATGAATAATTGAGATATTCAACTAGATATCATAGTCTAGAGCCACCATCTAACTCCGTAAAGATGATCGAATGAATGAGACATGAATATAGATCTCCGGTTGACTTTGTATATTCTACATAAGCTAACCCTGTTTGAGCGACAGTAGTAATAATAAACTAAATACGAATAAGGCTGGATGGGTTTATTCTGGACACTCGTTTGCTCAGGCAAATGGAGGCCGACGCGCTATTTCAGTGAGTAAAATGAGATCCATATTTTATAAGCGTGAAAGAGACGGACACGTACATAATAGCAGACATATGTATAAAGCGTATTCAAGGTTAAACGTGAGTAATTGGTGAGGAGATATAGAAAGAGTAGGATAATTTATTCACTTCTTGCATGTAGATAGAAACACCGTCAGCAAATATAATAATTGTAGGACCCAACCATTCCATCATATTATTGTCGAATTGAATAATAGTTCAAAGTTACAACAGTTTTATTCTCCGTGTTCGAATACATCAGAAAAACTAGCGTACGCCCGTAGTAAATGAGGACAACTGACCATGTTTGACACAAAATTGCTGTTGCTTGATAAAATAAGAAAACCATACTCTAATAGTTCATTTGAAAAATGTTTCATTAATTGTCTCAGACTTTATTGTTCCTGCATTTCCATACCGATTACTTTCTGTTTCCGTTCTTCCCTTCTCAATCTTCTGCTGCTAGACATTCTATTCCTGAATCACAATATATACTACTTATGTTTATGTAATTAGCCCTCACCACATGTCTATTACATTCGTGTTGATTAGAACGGCAAAACATCTGATAGAACGCGAAAATAGGGTTGAATTACAGCAAATATCGTGATTTCTAACTGTTATGTTTTTGACCTAGACTGTAGCCAATTGTTATGACTTGATCAAGGTCGTCGCTGATTCGTTATGACCTTACGAATTTAACAAGGACGTAATCCGCGTAAATTATCCACCAATAGAATACGCCTTCTACGACCTTCACACTGTAACAATGACGTTCGATTAATATGAGTAATCTAGCGTCCTTATTGTTCCTTATCCGCCTAACCCGTCCACTTGAGTCCAGAACACCAATAGCAGCTGCTGTAATGCGAATCGTTTATTTCAAACATACTTTATCTATATACCAGACAGGCAGACCACACCATAAAATAGAAAATAATATTTGTACAAAACCAGGCCAAATGAGGCTCTAAGCGTGGGAGACAATAATCAATAAAACTGAGTATAACATAGGGACAGTAAATCATATAGTAATAATCAATAGGTCAAAATAAAGCTTAGATAATCTAGTTACCGAATAGTTATACAATAAGAATGATAGTCCAATAGTAGGTCCTGCAAGTTACGCATACTTATGTCTTCGCTACTGCATAACACTAACGCTACTTTTTACCAATTGTAGAAACGATGGGACATCTAGAGATATTGTACTATATACTATATCTTGATATAAATAAATACCTAACGTTTAATGGCTCGTTAGATCCTGGATGAAACATAACATCTAAAAGAACGGACTGTGGCAGTAGTAGCACTCGAGAATAAGTCATAGATGAAGTGGCAGTTCAAATACCAAACTTCAAAACTAAACTGATTGTTTGGGGCTTATCGTTCCACGTTGAGAGGTCGCACTGTGAAGTGAAATAGTTGAGCGTGTTGACCGCTTCACTTATCTTGAGAGTCTCATCAGCCCTTGTGGTCTGGTGTTTGACGAAATCTCAGCACGGATACAGAAGGCTCGACTAGCTTTCGCCAACTTGCATCATTTATGGCGTGGGCGAGATATCCGTCTAGCAACCAAAGGACGTGTTTACTGCTCAGCAGTTCGTTCCGTCCTACTTTATGGCAGTGAAACATGGCCGATAAGAGTAGAGGATATTCGTAGGCTACTAGTATTCAATCATAGGTGTCTTCGAAGCATTGCTCGTATATCCTGGGACCACCGGGTAAGTAATGCAGTTGTTAGGAAACGGGTACTAGGTAAGGATGGCAAACCGATTGATGAAGTTGTGAAACTTCATCAGTTGAGATGGCTGGGACATGTGTTACGTATGCCCGACCACCGACGTGCAATGTTTCATGGTGTAGGAGTAGGTTGGAAGAAAGCTAGGGGTGGCCAGACCAAAACGTGGCACAAATCCATGAAGTCACTGACAAGTGGACTGAGTTGGTAGGTGTAGACTAAATGGTTGGGATTCGCGAGATGATAGCAATCGATGGTTAGAGACCTTGAATAACATCTCTCAAAATCGTTTGCAATGGCGAAGGTTCATCCACTCTTTCTGTTCTACCAAATTCTAATCTTCTGGATTCTTCATGTTTCTCTATTCAAATCTATTTCACTGGATTATACTCCTTGAATAACATCTTCAAACCCTAATCTTTAGGATTACTGCTTATACTCTTACTATTTCTACCACTATGGGATTTGAATCAACAACTGCATCTCTGTGTTAATATGCTATGGCAACTCGAACTGATATACGTACGTACGAAGTTCTACGTTTTAAGTGACTGACTGTGAAGTTTTAGTGAATGACAAAAGAGCTGTTCAATAAAGCCTTATTCAGTCATTAACCACTTACGATTAAAAGCATTTGAACTTTGTAAAAACTTAGATATTATTCCCTGAAGAGACTTAGATAAGAGAGTTATTAGGAGGTGTAGGAAGGATTTGAATGTGACCGCCTTGGTCTCGTTTGCATTTACGGGTATGAGGGCTAATATCACTTCCCGGTTGCCCACACCGTGGAAGGGTATTTCTTGAGGGACCTGAAAAAGAAGTTGGATTAGTGTTGGTCTTAATGACCTGAGAAAGTAACCGCAGTGTCTAAGGGACAACTGCTTGAGGTCGGTCACGCACCGCCTTTTATTGGGGTTTTTTGAAGTGTTAGCTCTTTTCTTCAAAGGACCTTAACACCGGAGACGGAAATCCGTTGGATAAGGCGAGATGTGCATTTTTAGGGTCGACCTTTTGAAAAACCCCACCCCTCCTTGTGGGAAGACAGCATCGCTGTCATGCTGGTTGTCTGAAGGAAACACCTTACCGCTGTCACACCTCTGTACAGTTAGCAGTACAAATTCGTTCTCAGATCTTCAGATGCTCTTTTTGGTCTTAGAGTTCTCCAATCGACCTGCCTTGCATGGTAGGACCTTGAGAAACGATTGTTCCAGCCAGTATAGCTCGATTGGTTCATCACGATAGACAATGTGATATGGCAACTTCAATTTATGTACGTACTTACGAAGTTCTACGTCGTCACTGACTGACTTAGATAATGAATAAAAAATTAAACATCCATAGAAAAATTTATTAGAATTCCAAAAATAGCTACCAAATATGTACAACCAATAAAATAAGTAATAGAAAAATAGCAAAGATTCAAAATATATACAAGTTTATTCCAAAAATACTGCAAATTATCTATTCTGATTCTTGAGTAGCCTTTTTGATCGATTCATTAGTCATACTTTCTTCATTATCTGATTCTGCTTTACGTTTTCTACGAGACGATGATGTTAATGGAACTGAAATAGACTTCGAATGATCTTCCGAGTTATCAACTTGCTGATTCATAAAACGTTTCCCTAAATGAATATTACGAAATAAACAATTTATAATTGGTGATGAAAGTGATAATAAACATTGATTCTTTGGTATATGAATCATTTGACTTGGTATCATTGATTGAATCATTTCTATAGTCAATGGAATTTCATTATTCAAATGATCTTGTTCATGAATAGATTGTATTAAACCAAGCATAGACCAACTTAAATGATAAGTAGATATAATACGAAAAAATAGTTGACGTAATTCCTTTGGTATATGTACTAATGGTTTAAATGGTGATATACTAATTTGTGCTATAGGCAAGCGATTACAACTTTGAAAGTGTTCATCATCTAATAATTCTGAATGTAATTGTACAAATATATAAATTAAAACATTACATATAGCATAATATAATTTATTATCTGATAAAGAAGTCGTCGAATTCGAAGCGGTCATAAGAACTCCACGATGACGATAGGCATAATCAATACACCATGTAGACATATCATGCATCATTTCGATAATCAGATCAATAAAACAAAATTTCCCATTAACTAATAAAAAACAAAGGTAAGATAATGCCATAAGACGACTTCCTTGATCACGACAATGATCTTTAATAATATTCCATAAAAAATCAATAAAATTGATTACTAATCCACCACGTAAACTACATATATAAAAACAAATCATAGGGAAAGCTACCATAGTAACATTTACCGGTAGAATATGCTCAGAAAATAAATCACGTACACGACGAAATATGGTACATAATAAATTCCAATTCAGTTCTATAGATGAATTTTTATTCATTTCTGTACATATACTACTTATATGTGTTATTAGTAACCAACAAATCAGTTCAAGTTTTAACCAATTTTTATCATGAATGATTAACTGTTCAATAGTATGAAAGAAAAGAATCAAATTGGTTTTTAACATCATTGGATCAAATTGATGAAATAATAAATTTATATTAGTAGTATCAGAAGTAGTAGTACTACTACTAGTAGTAGTATTATCAAATAATACTAATAAATTCTCACATTGTATTCCATCAGGATTTAATTCTAAATCAATAATTACACGAAACAGTATAGATAGAATATCACATTTATGAGTATGTGTTAATAATTTTGATGATTTTTGATTAGATAATAGATATAATAGTTGATAAGTTGCCCAAATTAATTCTTTTATTGATTTACGCCAATTCGGAAATCGTTTAATCAATAAATCAATAATGATCGATATTGATTGGGGTATCATTTGGCATAAAGATATGAAAAAATCGATTGAAAAATCAATAAATTGATTTAAATTTTCAATCTTCAATTGTTCATTTATAAAATCTTTTAAATAAAATATTTGATTAATATAAAATTCACAAATATCATATAATAAATTTGGATAATATGTTAAACTTGTTATATATAAATTTATTATATTTAGATATACTACTGAATTATGATTATAAGTAAACCAATTTAATGTATTAATATTATCTAAGAGTAATTTCTTGACATGATTTGATGTTAATTCATTTAGATGATTAGTTAATATTGATAAGAAATCATTAAATTCAGTAGTAGATATTGAATTTGAAAATTTTTCACGTATTAATTTAAATGATTTAAAATTATCATTAGATTGTTTGATCAGATCTATGATATCTTGTACATGATTAGATGATGGATTGTTTTCTGGATCCATATATTTTCTAAAGTATGAATAAAAAAAACAAATGTGGAAAGTTAGTAGTTGGTAATGGATAAGAAAATAAAGTTTAGTGATAACTAAATCATATCGATTGACCCCCAAATGCTCTGGTACGGCTGAGAGTGGGGAGAGTCCGCCCTCTCGAAATGCTCTTGCACGGCGACGCGTATATAACCTCTGCCCGGGAAGTCCTACTCACTACCTTCTCGTGGACGGGGTGTTGTTTACGAAATCAGGAGAACGAGAAGCAAATATCCAGTGCTTTAACCAGGTTGGTGAACATGGGAAGTCCACCTATGAGGAGTTGGAAAACCCTTAGTGTATATTGCGATGTGACTAGTCGAAATTCTACCGACTGACCAACTCCAGATATCCCAGTACGACCCCAATGCTGTTCCCAAAACTCCAATATATCAGAACACAACCGTTAAATGCGAATTGTTTATGAGGTCAGAAGAAGAACAAATATAATTTACAGACAATGCATATTTATACAGTTAGTATGACTGTGAATATTAACCAATAGGAAAACGACATGTGAAATATGTGAAAAGTCTGAAAATATGTGAAAACATACCACTTTACGTTCGAGAAAGAATTAGACTCAATATAGTTTTTCGGTTATTTTTGTAAATATCCTAACAACCCTGATTCCAAACCAATGGTGCACAAGGGATCCAGTACCCTGAGGGAACAAATGGCGTATGAACCAATTATTGGTCACCGGCTACCATGGGACTGCATCTACTCACGATGCTCCACTGCCTTGTGGATCAGAGCTTTAGGTCAAAGGTGATTATGAAACTGAGTGAGTTGATCTGGTAATTAGTGCTCCAACGTCATGGAATGAGTAGATAGTTGTCCCTATCTTTAAAAGCGGTTCACGTCATTTTCACAACAACTGTAGGGGAATAAGTTTACTTCCGATCTCATCCAAACTATTTGCTTTCGTCATACTTTTAAGATTGTTCAAAACCCGAGAAAGATTGACTCGCTAGGAGTAGGCGGGTTTTTGTTCTGACCGAGGATGTATTGATTATATCTTCACCCTCAGACAAATGTTAGAACACCGTCATACTTATCACAGGCTGACAATTATAGTGTTTCTTGACATCAGGGCTGCCTTCGATTCATTGGACAGAACTGTTTTCTGGGATGGTCTATTGAAGAAAAGTGTGTCTGAAAAGTTTATTAACATCTTAAAAGCCTATATACAAACACCTCAGGCAGAGTGAGGGCATACAACCACCTTTCTCCATTGTTCCATTCAAGCAGTGGGGTTAGGTAGGGTCGCCCAATCTCATCATTCCTCTTCAGCTTTGGCATCGATGACATTTTGGAAACAGCTCTGATGGATGTAAGTAATGGCGGCGTGGATCTGCTGTCTGGAGAAAAACTTTTTGACATTGAGTATGCGGATGATCATCGTTGTGACTGAAGGACTGCTGATATCCAGTGGCAACACCATGTTAGTAATGCAGAGGTTCAGTATCGTGTGTTTTGGCACAGCGACGATAATTCAATTGGTGTCACTATCTTGAAACATCGACTTTAATGGCTTGGACATGTTTTATGAGGGTCGTCCCAGAGAATTACACGTCGTGCATTATTTGCCAACACTGGAACAGGTTGGAAAAAGAGAAGAGGTCTATGTTTTGTAACTAGACTTCTTCCATTATTATTATTATTGCTACTATTATTATTGTTATTATTATTATTTCACCCCCATACACTAGTTTCTGTTCATTGTTGTTTTTTATTATGCAAACTTCCTCTTTATCTCTTCACAACCTCATTGTTATTGTGTGGTGCATAATTATTTTGTGCTCTGTTGTACCAATGTTTATGTCCAAATAAATAAGATTGGAATATAATTTGCTTGGCGCTAGTAAAAGAGAACGAAGTAAACACAAACTTAGTATACCTAGGGCCTACTGTGAAACTGTCAACACTGGTTTCTGGGAATATACATAAAACATAGACTTCCACATAGATTTTCGTCAAAAGATCCCGGGCTATGATCCCGCTGGAACTATAAAGGCTGTGTGTGATCTATAGAGTAATGAAGCGATGTATAGAAACTGCTTTCAAGGTTTTAATGAATCAAAATACAGGCTTACCAGGTGCACATTTTACGTGACGTGGGTAACAAACGCTACATTCACTTTATTAGTGATCTCAGATTTGATGTAAAATCTTTCATTCTTACTAGAAGTGCTACAATGTGGCTCGAAACTGGTTAGATTTAGATTGCGTGAGACAACCAACTCAGTGTAAACAGAAGATAACTCCGGAGACATGAACGCGAATTCCTATCAGGAAATTTGATGTACATATAGTTCAAAGTTGAATTAATTTGAGAATTTTCGGTCTCCTTTAGAAACAATAAAATTTTCGTGCATTTCCAGTCATTAAACGAAATATTTCCAGAAATGTGAACTTTGTCTACCACCTAACTTCACGTCAAACTTCTCATTCACCAAACCAATTATAATAGGTGAGTTATTACCCAAAACTGTTTCCTTAGGCCATCGGAAAAGAAGCATATGCTTGTCTCAGCTAATGTATATACATTAGCTGAGACAACTGACCGATCGTAAACTAACAACTTCTTGCTCAATAACGACATAGTGAACAGTAAAATTTTTCCCGAAAGTTCCAATAAGTAAGAACTTGAGAACACGTTACCTGCAACTAGGACTAAGTGTTGCACACTCAACCCTGACGTACCGTACCTACTAAAAACGTGTCTTTTCTCAAAGTTCAACATTCAATCTCCGAATTTACGGACTCCTCATTCACTGTTAAGAGTTAGTGCCTTGAGGTCCATGTTTTTATCATAAGAAGTGGGTCTTTGTTACCTAGGGAGTAATTAGGCACTCAGTATTAACAGCTGATGTCAGTTTCATTTAGTCCAAGTGTTTGAGGACAAAATAAAATTCTATATCTAGTATAAGTGGACCATAGTTGCCTTCAGGTACAAGCCAGGACATATTCAGCAAGCAAGACAAAAATAAAAACTTACTATAGGTCAATACTTTCCTCTTACTTACTTATACCTCTTACCCCTTATGGGGCATAGGCCGCCCACCATTATTCTTCAACCATTTGAACCAGTTGAACCCACTCTGTCCTGAGCTTTCCTTTCTAATTCTATTCAACTTTTATGCATTCTTCTCATGTGTGTCTTCATTTCTCGGCGTAATGTGCTCTGTTATATTCCTTTTTCATTTGGCCTTTAGTATCCCATGTGAGTGCTTGTTTTGTGACGCAGTTGGGTTCTTTCTTTAATGTGTGCCCTATCCACTTCCAGAGCTTCTTCCTGATTTCCTCCTCCACTGAAATCTGGTTTGTTCTCCCCCCAGTAGAATGTTGCTGATAGTATCTGGTCAACGAATCCGAAGTATTTTGCGTAGACAACTGTTAATAAACACTTGTATCTTCTGGATGATGGCTTTCGTAGTTCTCCAAGTTTCCACTATATACAGTAGAACTGTCTTGATATTTGTAATAAAAATTCAGATCTTGGTGTTGGTTGACTATTGCTTTGAGTTCCAGATATTCTTCAGTTATGAATATGCTGCTCTTGCTTTGCCGATCCTCACCTTCACTTCTGCATCGGATCCACCGTGTTCATCGATGATGCTGGTCAGATATGTAAAGGTTCCACAATTGATTGATCACTAGGTGGTGATCAATGTCATGTGTGTCATGTCCTTCTTAGTGCTAATCGAATGCTATCGATCAAGTTGCAATGTGGCCACTAATCTAGGTGGCTCGACACTGCGTGCACTATATATATATTGAGGTAACATGGTGGTTGGAGGTGGTCAACAGGAAACCCCCGAACTCGGGCTTCGTGCTACTTGGCACTCGTCAGCAATGTGTACTTGTAATCAATCAATTGACATTACATCTCAGTCCTACAGGAGGTCAATCGCAGCCTGAATAGATCAGTGGTAACGTCTCTCACTATGAGGCTGAGTGACACGGGATCGAATCCGTGAGGGGGCACTAGTTCCCTCAAGATTACAGGTACACTTTGCTGACAAGTGCCAAGTAGCACGAAACCCTGGTTCAGGGTTTCCTGTTGACCACCTGCAACCACCATCTTATGTAAAGGTTTCTACATTCTCCAAAACCTCTTCGTCATGTGCATTTCGATTAGTGTATTCTGTATTGTGTCGGAGAATCTTGCTTTTCCATTTGTTTGTATTGAGACCTACTGCTGATGAAGCTGCTGCTACACTGGTTGTCTTCTGCATTTGTTTTTGCGTGTGTGATAGAAGAGTCAGATCATCTGCGAAGTCTAAATCGTCAAGCTGCATCCTAGCTGTCCACTGTATCTCATGCTTCCTCCCACAGATGTTGACGTCTTCATGATCCAGTCGATCATTATGAGAAAGGGAAATTTTGAGATTAAGCAACCTTCCCTGACACCGGTCTTTACCTCGAATGAGTCGGTGAGTTGTCCTCCATGAACTACTTGGCGGTTTGATTCATCATAGGAATTCCGTAAGATATTGACTATCATCTTAGGCACTCCGTAGTGTCGAAGAAGCCTCCATAGTGTTGTCCTGTCCACGCTATCAAATGCTTTCCCGTAGTCAATGAAATTGATGTAGAGTGATGAATTTAGTTAAATTGATTGTTTCACAATGATCCGTAGAGTTGCGATTTGGTCTATATACGATCGATCGTTGCGGGATCCAGCCTGTTGGTATCTAAGTTGGGCACGTATGGAGTCTCTCATTCTGTTTAACAACACCCTGTTGAAGACTTTTCCTGGTATTGAGAGAAGAGAGATACCCCTGTAGTTATTACACTTGCTGAGATCGCCTTTTTGGTTTTTTGATCAGAATTCCTTCTTTCCAGTCTGTTGGTACTTGTTTCTCTTCTCTAATCTTACTGAAGAGAATGTGGAGTGTGTTTACAGTTACTGCTACATCTGCTTTCAGTGCTTTTGATGGAATGTTGTCTGGTCCCGCTGCTTTGCCGTTCTTGGCTTGTCTGATGACCATGTTGATCTCTTCAATTGTTCGTCGACCAACATCGATTGCGAGGTTCGTGGGTCCTACTTCGATGTTGATTGGGTTCAGTGGAGCTGGTCGACTTAAAAATTCTTTAAAGTGTTCTACCCACCTGTTTCGTTGTTCCTCAATGTAAGTGATCACCGTACCTTCCTTGCTTTTCACTAATCGTTCTGATTTGTGGTAATTTCCAGCGAGTTTCTTTGTTGTGTCATATCATTGTCTCATGTTTGTCGGTTCTGATGTTCATCTTCACTTGGTTGTTTACTTCTGTGTTCATCTTCTGCCTTAGCTTTTTCTGCTCCTGTTCGGTTATTACTGATTGCTGCCTTCTTGTTCCTCCTTTCTTCAATCTTATCCAGTGTATCAATAGTGATCCATTCCTTTTGATGGTGCTTCTTGTAGATTTGCAAATCTCTCACCATTTTCGTCTATTTCTCCCAGTCCATGTCGTCCCATGACGTCTTCGTATCCAGTGTTGTCCTTTCCAGCCTTGGCATTGAAATCTCCCATCAGAATGGTCAGGTCCTTTGTTGGGCACTTCTCGACGATCGACTGCAGCCTATCGTAGAATTTGTCTTCGTGTATTCTATTTGTTAGATCGCGCATTTCGATGGAAATAGCTGTATATATTCTGTCTTTATATCTGTAAGAGAACGAAATTTGTGTTTTATACTCTATATGTTGTGCATTTCTAGCTAGCTTTTTTTAGCGAGTTGGTTTTCTACAGAATGAGGTCGCTAACCCCATGCCCAACCCTCCTCTTTTACCCGGGTTTGGAACCGGCAGTAGCCCCCGGAGGCTCCACGGCGGAAAGAACTGGAAAGGAAGGCTCAGGACAGAGTTGAATGGAGAATGCTGGTGAGCGGCCTATGCTCCTTCACGAGGGGTAACAGGCGTAAGTAAGTGAGTAATGTTGTGCATTAACATAAGGTGTGTGTGAAACAGTCTTTAAAAAAATCTTCGACAAGTGAAACAAGTTGCTGGAATGTCTTGATATCCCAAACGTCGTTTAGTATGTTTCAAAGTCTACAACCAACATATTACTGTCAATCTATCAACAGCGTTTAGCATCATATCCGTGAATAGAGTTGGCTGTGCACTGTGATCCGGATTCACATTAACAAGTTTCCACTTGATTGAATCTATTAGTTCCAACTTATACTGAAAAAGGCTAAATGAGTGGTTTCCAAACTTCACAGCATTGACTGGCCAACCAGATTGTTCCCATGACTTTAAAGAACTCTCTGGAGGTTTATCTTCATCTGACACTGATATAGATTCCGGTCCTGTGAAGCCCATAGTTCATATTTCTTTAGAGCTGCGTTCCTATGAGAAAATGAGTTTTCTACGTTTTTGAAAAGTCTTACTCGTTTGCGTGTCCACTGAACATATGTATGGACAGCAAATCTGTCATTTAGACGCCTGATAGTGGCTAGCGATGTGTGCCAAGAGAAAATAGCTCTGGGCCATTTTTGAGACAATCTTCATTATTTATAATACTAGTGTGAAAATAATTCAAGAATCTTCCGTACTTGTCTCACCACATGGATCTGATAATTCAATAGCATATATCCTAAATCAGCTGACAGGCAATAAAATCTGTCAACGTTTTGCATATTGTTGTTGAAGGCCATATAACTGGAGTGTGCTAGTTTTATCAGGGTACTCTTAGCTGTGCGATTCTGGTTTTCCATTACATCAGGGACTCCAATGAAACCGTGATCTCATGACAGAAATTTCGAAAGATTTTGCTGATTTCATCATGCTACAAGGATTACAATGGTAATACTCTTACTATATTTTACTGTTTGCTGAGTGAATTCTACGTACCTCTGGAATGAGAAGACGTCACCTGGTATTGCTAATATAATGATTTCAGGGTAGCTAGTTTTCGTAAGCTTACTCATTTTCAGAGAAAGACACTAAAATCGGTTTTTCATGAATTCTGAGGTTAGCGTTAAGTACATGTGAATACATGCAAAGACGCCAAAAGTATTCAGATTTTGCCAACACCTTAGTCAGTTGCATTTGTTCTAATCGAAAACATATTTGATGGAATATCGATATATTGTGAACGGACTAATCTAAGCTAGCTAGGAGATGTGGTGCACGGCGTATGCATGACTGAGACCCTTCAGCTAGGTCAGTTCGGTAAAGCTAATGTGATTATCATGAGATATCGAAGACTTACAAAGCTCCTGATCTTCGGGATTTATTTACCGCTACACATGATACTATGGGGAGTATTTCCAGCCCTTTATTATCCAGTTATGAGAAAATTGTATCTTCTTAAAGAGTTCATCGGTCTGAACGAGTTATTGCACATTAGATTTTATTTTAATATCAACTATCTAGAGTCTATTGCTGTTGCATCGTATCTTTGGCAGAAACTAACCAGGAAGGCTCATTAGAATCTGCTGACTATGTGAACACAAACAATTTATGTAAAGTACTTCCCATCAAGGTTTCTGTGGTCATTTTAACCTAATAAATGTTTTTTCACAGATCCTCAGTATGATACTCTGAGCTTTTGTTATAAATACCCCGGCACTTTCGCCATGTACTGAGGTTCCTACTTCAATGGACTGAAATTGAGCAAGCCTCTCCAGAAACTAAGAAGAGGATCTTATAAATATACGAAACCGATAAATAAATGATTTAAAACGAGTCTACTTTTTAACTTTCGAAAACAGAAACTTAAGTGCTCTACATCTGCGTTTTACTACATTCGATATAACCGAGTATAATAGGAGTTGTTTTGAAAATATTTTCTGTTAACGATGTATCTACAGCAAGACTAAGAATCATGAGAACGACCTTATCAGTCTTATTGTTTATTATTTTCATTGCGAAAGTAGCGATTTTGCAGAGATATGATGGTAGGTTTTTCAATATCATCTAACTTGTTATTTACAGGTTATCCATATGAAGCAGATTTCCTGGATATGGATCCTGATTCAATTTTGGAAGAGAACGCCATAATTACAGCAAATGCTACATGTGGCATAGATCGTAAGGAATATTTCTGTCGGCTTGTCGAACATGCTGATGGCTTTATCACCTACGATGGTCGGTAAGATCATTTTGTGAAATAGAACCGGTTTTCTTTCTTAAAAAGCTTGGTGACGTTTTTGTTATTACTGATTTATAACTACGTAACATACTCTCATGTTTTTGTTTTCTTAAGCTATTATCAATTTGTCCAATAAGGTTGTTTTCAAAAAGGTTTTAAGTCTCTCTCCACAAAGCAAATTAGGTTTTTGGGGATAATTATTCGACAGATAACTCTCTCACTATACATAAGTTCGTTTTTACAAGCCTTTATTTTAGTCAGCTAGCTTCAATACATTATTTGTTTTTTTCTATGTTATGCTACTCAACATACAACTCAACTGTAGAAGTTTGCCGTGTATAGGTCAGGATAGGACATAAGCCCAGGAAATACAGTGACTTTAGCTTGATCACCTTTAAACCGGATGATCAATTAGATGAAACCGACTTAATTTAATGTTTAATGGTGGTAGACACAGATTTCTGGCAGCTGATTATTTTGGAATCGGTTAATATTAAATATGATATCCACCTGTTATTACCAAAGTAGATTCTATCAGTGCATCTTGAATGATTGTCATACATTTAACCTGTTATGTTTTTATGTCTTATGGGTTGTCTTTGTAAAGTTTGCTTATAGATGCTGAATAGAACTGTTATGAAAAATGTAACTTTACTTTAGGTTTTACTACACTTTTCTAGTTAGTTTCACATCAAGTTGTGGATGTAAAACGTAGAAATAGAAAACAAATTGTGAGTAAAATAAGCTATTAATAGTTTTCACAACTGCTTTCTTGACTTAAAAGGTAACTTTTTCCAACATAGTCCGCATAAGGCGCTGCGCATCAATACTATTTGATTTTTATTTTCAGTCAGGGGCTTAATACAACTTGAAGTTAGTAAAAATCGACAGTTTATTCATGTTTCCTATTCAAAATTAGTAGAACATTACATTTCCCAGTTAGGTTAGTTAAGTATTTCATTAAATTGTGAAAAGATCATTCTGTTCAATATTGCTTCAGAAACTTAATCACACCTATGAAACTGGGATTCGTATAACAATGGATAAGTGTGTACCAATTGACCAACATTTGTTCTCTCAAAACATATAAAATATTACATCTTCTGTTAAGAATTTATAACTATTGGTGATTTCATGTTTTTTATTAAATAAGTTTTACAATTCTAATGCTTAAGCCTACACCGGACACCAAGGGAAGTTTTGACTTACAGCCAGGAAGCCAAATCTTATCGTGACCCAAGTGGGCAATGGGTGCAATGTGGTTATTGTGACGACAGAGATCCTAATCTACGGCATCCAATTGAATATGTTCTCAGTGGTGAGGCCAATTTGTGGTGGCAAAGCCCATCTTTGGCACAAGGTTTACAGTACCATGCAGTTACAATCACTATGGACTTTCGTCAGGTAAGTATGTGGTTTAGGAAAAATTTTGAAATAAAATTGTTGACATTTGGAAGCCGTTATCTATCATAATATATATTATGTCAGTTGTCGGTGGAAAATTAATAGACCCAAATATTGTGGTCAATGGTTAATAAAATAAAGAAATATTCAATCTCTAATAGAGACACCATCATCAAGAAAATATGCAGATGAAAGTGAGTAGTTTAAATTTCACCACATACGGGTAACAGCTTGCCAGATTGCTTTCATCTTGATTGCATCGACCATGGGATGGAGTTTTAATGGCTCACTCCTAAATGTTTTCTTATAAAGGCGGATAGAAGAGCAATGAGAGATACACCGTTGGGTGCCGGATTAGTGGTCTACAGGTTTAGCGTTGGCGCACATGACCGAAAGTCCTGGATCCCTCGTGAGGATAGTGGATCTGCACTGGTGAGAACTCTCGTACTGGGATTAAACGGCCGTCAAGTGCTTCCACGTCTTTGCTGGCGGTTGAGCATTGATAATTTTATAATCTCACTTGAAAAACAAGCAATCAAACTTTATCCAGCTCAACAAACTAACCTTCATAAAAGTTCGACATCGTTGCTAGAAATGTATCTCAGCGGCTCTATGTTTTTAATTTTATTTAAAATCCCATACTTCGAACTCTTTTTCAGCTCGGATTAATTAGCTTAGATTTGTTTGCAAAGCATAATGAGGTACTAGTTCAAGTTAGTAAAATGAATTTTAGATAAAATAAAAGCTACAATTTCTTTGTTAATCATCTCCCAGTATTCAGTATTATCATTAAATAAAACCTAATCCATTTTTCTCGTAAGCACACACACTCTCATTTCTGTTTCAACACACAATCTTGATTGTATTGAATGTGAAACTTATATTACAGGTTATTGTCAGTAGGTAGAACCAACTAAACATTTGCACATTGATTAATTTCTCAAATAGTCAACGGAATTAATAAAATAACATTAACTTCCATGTACTCATACTTACAAGCATGTTTACATCAGTCATTGACAGATAAACGAATTTACAGAGAAGTGTAATAAACCTTTCGACTTGTCCTGTAAAAACGGTAAAGATACAAGAAGGGAGAAAGAGTGAAAAGGTTGAAATATTCCAGCGTCCATTTCATACACTAACCGATAATTTATGAAGTTGTGTGCATTGCAACTTGTTTTTTAAAACTAAGATTTAGCCAAATTATGACGAAAATTTAAAATAATTATTAAACTCACTTTTTGGCAAACGTTGTTTGCCTAAGATATGGTATGTCTTTCTTGTATGTGCTAAGATTTTATTGAAGGGTTCTCTGTTTATTTAGTGTGATACACACTACTGATAGTTACCAGTAAGTAGGCTGTATGCGCATATTTGAAATGTTCATACCATGTATTTTTCAATGAATAAGGCTTTTGTAAGACGATAAGAATATATACCATTTTACCAGTCAACTGAAAAGTTCGGTAAAACATGTGCGAATGAAATAAATTGTCTGAAGTAATCTTCCTTCAGAGTCCAAAAATAATCATTTTTACTTTTAAAATAAATATTCAGTAGTCAACTGTTACAGGATAGAATCAGATTGGATAAACCAATTCATTCAATTTTCTTCAAGAAATGTATGATATGACACACTTAAAAACGATCAACTCAAGTATATGTATAGCTATATAAATAAGAAGTGGTACGTTAAATACTTCCTTACTTCCTTACGCCTGTTACCCCTCATGGAGGAGCATAGGCCACTCACCAGCATTCTCCATCCAACTCTGTCCTGAGCCTTTCTTTCCAGTTATTTCCAGTTGTCATTCATCCTTTTCATATCTGCTTCTATTTCCCGGGGTGATGTGTTCTTTGACCTTCCTCTTTTCCTCTTCCCTTCCGGATTCCAAGTTAGGGATTGCCTTGTAATACACATTGGTGATTTCCTCAATGTATGTCGTGCTGCTACATTTGCTGTCTTCATCTGTATCTATTCGTGTGTATGAGAGAGGAGGGCTAGGTCATCTGCGAAGTCCAAATCATCTAATTGATTCTGAGAAGTCCATTGTATTTCGTATTTCTCCTCAGATGTCGAAGTTTTCATGATCCAGTCAATCACCAGAAGGAAGAGGAGAGGGGTAGAGTAGATAGCTTTGTCTGACTCCGGTCCTTACTGGGTACATTAAATAGGAAAGTCGTTAATTAATTTGAAATACATGTTACAAACGTTGGGCTGCAATCAAAAATCCTAGGCCATTTAGTTTTGCTTAAGTATTTGGTCGATATCCTTCACATACACTCAAGTGTAAAACATCAGCTTACTAAAGACTTATAAAGGCTCACTATGAAGTAGGGTTAACAAAATAACTTCAATATACAAAGTTTATATAAATTTCAGTTATGCAGTATTAAAAATCTTTTTAAGTAATAAGTAAAGTTAGGTTAGAGCTCGAATAATATTTACATATTTTTAGAATTGATTCTAAATGAACAAGAAATTCACTAATTCCTTTCTGAATTAGTGGAGCTAAAACGTTTCCTCATCATTACACTTCCAATATCTTTATTTTGTTTGCATAAATGAAAATCACCTGATTAAGACAAACAGTCTGTGTAGGAGAATATTATTACTATTACCCTTCATTGGATTAAATGCATGAAATTAGAAAGCCTTGATTGATTTAAAAGTCCTCATTAATGGCTCTTATCAGTGATGATGATCATCAAGTGTAGTGACCACAACGATCTGAACTTAACTGGATCAGTTAATGGCATGAGTTAACATTATTGTTGAAACAATAGATCTCTTCAGGTTTTTACCAGTACACCATTAACTGGTTAAAATTAAAGAATAGTGCTATACAATGTCGAGTCATTCAACTTCGTGATCATGCTGTAACTAATCTAATAATCGACTACAACTAGATAGTATATATGGAATACTTAATTCGAAGAAAACTTTAGATAACTCCAAAGTTATGGTTGTGAAGTATTTGTTTATTGCGTATTATCAGATGTATAAAATTGAGTCTTGTTTTTTCTGTGAATTTTCAAAGGTATATCAAATAGTCTATGTTCTTCTACGTATGGGTGATAGTCCACGACCAGCTAATTGGATCCTAGAACGCTCAGTAGATGGTGAAATTTATCATCCTTGGGTATTTTTTGCTAAAACTGAATATGACTGTAAGAAATTATATGAACCATTAATTGATCGACCATTAACTATTACAAGTGGACCAAGACCATGGCATTTGGGTGATGATGAAGTTAGTAATATATTTATATACATTTCTGTGATTTTGTTCGCAATCTGAAACCATGTTTCAAATTAGTTTTAAGGGATGATATCTAACAACTCTTGTAAACAACATGTAGTCCTAAATTCTTATCAGTGCAAAATAAATGCTTTGGAGGCTTGATAACGATTTCTGTGAACTTCATTCACCTTGTATCCACCATTCCGTTATCACCTTTTCAAAATAAATCTCTTATAAGAGATATAAAAACATGACTTTGAAAGACCGATAGTCTACATTCATTAAAGCTTATTTAAATGAGATAGTTTGCCATTCATTATTAGGAATGTGCATTTCCCATTGGTTATTGGTTCAGTAATCTAGAGATTAAGTTTTTAGATGCGCGACTGAAAGGTCCTGAGTTCGGTTGGTGGTTTTAGTGTCATGGATGCTCACTACTAAGGTGTCTCATAGTAGGACAAAATGGCCATCCAGTACTTTCAGGTTCTCAATGATGATCTAGCCAAGATCAGTTCGTGATTAGAAAGAACAAAACCTTTTGATAATAATGAATATATCAGCTAACCAATGCCTAAACCATTAAGTTGGGACTTTGTTTCATACGTTTATTAGATATTTTGCTTTGATCGTTTCTGTATTTTAATTTTTAAAGATTATTTTGATTTACTGAATGATCTTCACATGGTATCGAAGTTTATGTTTTATTTAATCACCACAGATTTTAGGATACAGTTAGATAATCTCTGATTACCTTTGCTTAGTATTTTAAACATAGATTAGTTATAATGCAAACTGAAGATTGTGTTAGGGAACTGATTCGACGATAGGTATATGTAGTTAAATTGAAGCTGTGAAAACAGTATGAATCTAAAATGATTTAATCTTCAATATGCAGTTGATGTGAACAGCGAAACAAGAAGCCTTAACAAACTACGGAAGCTATTTTCGGGGAAGTTATTTCATTTGATTCAAAGCTTGTGTAGTAGTAACATTTACTTTTTCCCCAAGTCTATTCTATAGATCATAAACTTTTGTTTGATGTATGATTCACTGCCATAGCCTTTTCTGTTCCGAAGCTATTGTAATTTAGACGTAACCTTTTTTACTCTATTTTCTACTCTAATCCCCCAGTTTTGGACATAACTGTATTTTCCTAATTATTGTACGTTATGGTCGGCTTAGTCGTCTATTTATTCATGTATCTTTTCACACTAATCTGAATTCGGGTACCAGATTGGAATTGGGAATGAAGCGGGTAATGTTCCAGTTGTCTTGTCTTCTCTCTCACGCGTGTTTTTCAGCCGATCAGGGATAGAACAGTTTTCTTCTCTCTACCCCCACTTTGAACTCACGCATACTAGCCTCAAAGTAAAGCCAGTCAGCCTATCGCGTCAAGATCTTAGTCTACATTAGACAAGTTATCCTTGGCATGAAAGTGGGTAGACAGATCAAGGACGTACCAGCAGTTCTCATTATACACATTTTCTGGTAGATTACATAACTACCGGGAAGTGTAATACACAGAAAGATGTTAAACTCTATTTTTCACAACTTCTCACTTTCCAAGATAGAATAGTCAACAAACTGTAAATTGCCAATCCAAATATTTCTCATTTTTCATAGAATTTGAATATTTTAAATTTTAACATCAAAAAGCCATTCAGTTATAGTCCGCTTCTCAATAGTTATCGATGTAATGTTTAATTATGTTATATGACCATATTTTTTGATTGAGTCAAGAATATGAATATGCGGTTAAGAATGCACTGATTACCTTATAAATCAATCATTTTGATTAAATGAGATTTCGTCTTTTTCGATTATTTCTAAACATTGTTATCAGTATGATTTTGAGATGATGAAGAAGATTTGTAGCTCAGGTGGGTGATTTTGATGGAGTTTTGCTCTCTAAGTTGGATGTTTTGGTCGTGGAGCTTTCATCGTCCTTCAAACACTTCACTTCTACCCAAAGTTTATGCTAATGATGTCGTTCAAAAGGACGATGAAAGCTCCATGACCAAAGCATCCAACTCAGAGAACAAAACTCCATCAAAATAGTTATCAGTAATCTACCCAAACATATTTGTAATTGTACAAGTATGACAACTCGAACTGATTCACATAATTATCAGGCTGTAAATTGACTTTAATTAACTGACTAACTGAAATATCATTGAGAAAAACGATGACTAAATAAATGATACATATTTTTATCTTTTAAGGTTTATTGTACAACATTTTATAGTCAACCTCAAGCATTACAATCAGGTGAAATTATTGTAACTTTAACATTGGATCGTGAAAGTACCATATCTACTGAATCAGGTCTTGAAAGTCCTATATCATCAAAGTTAATTGTAAGTATAGATTAATGATTTGTTGTTTTTTGTCTTACTAATTGATTATTACTTATTATACAGTTGAAATTATGAGTCAATTGAAGCTAAGCCATCATGGAAAACATGAAAGCACTGCTTGACGGCCGTTTCGTCCTATTGTGAGACTACTCAATGGCAATGCGCATCCACGATCCCACCTCGCGAGATTCGAACCCAGGACCTATCGGTCTCGCACGCCGTCCTGTACTTTCAGGTTTTCCATAGTGGTCTAGCTTCAATTGATTCATGATTTCGAATTCTCGAACTCAGTTTCTGTACTTGTCATATAATCAGTTAATAACACAAGTTTTCACCCCTATTATCTTTTAAGAACAGTACCAGAAAGTCAGATAAGTGGTAATAAACGTTTTCTATCATTAGATAAGTGAAATATATAAGACCAAAATGAACCAAATGAACCAGTTTCAGTAGATGCACATAAATAGAAAAGGTGTGATTCGAAATTTCATAACATATTTATAGTTAAATGACTATAGTTTGTAAATGGTAGAAGAAAATAGGAAATTTAATTAATTTTTAAAAATTTTACACTTATGACTAGTAGGCTGTCTTGCCAACTGCCTCTAATCGCTAAGTATCTCAAGAGCTCAACATAGCACACATGATGTGGCGTCATTCAAACCACTAGCCACATTGTAACGTGACTGATAGAGTACATTAAGCGCCAAAGAACTAGATATACATGCCATTGATCAGTATTGAATGGTTATTCAATTGGACAACTTTCCAAGTTTACTATTTTTCATTTTATCGTTTCATCTCAACAGAAGATAATCGAAATAGCGTTTCTTGTAGTAACTAATTATAAATGACTATAACAACGAGATTCTAACTTTTGTTATACAGAGAAATGACTTCTGGTCAATGTTTCGCCTACAATTTTCCGACATAAATTATTCACAAAAAATATATTTAATAAACATATTCGGTCTCCGATTGTTTTGTATAATTAACCAAGTAGTATAAGATCCAAATCTAAAGATTTGATATCATAGTTCACCGAAGTATTCTCTACACTTCAAAATTTGATAAATATAATTTGTATGTTTGAGCAACCGTTCACCAATTGTCTTTAGTGAGTTGATATCTCTACAACAGACTTGGTTGAATTCCACTGGTCACTGCTTCCCACTAGAACTCAAGGAAACATCCCTTGAAGTCAGTCACTAGTGAGCATATGATTATAGATCAAAAGGGGTTTTGTGGAGATTTCAGTATTTTCATAGTTGAAATAATGAGTCAATTGAAGCTAGACCACCATGGAAAACCTGGAAGCACTGCTTGACGGCCGTTTCGTTCTATTATGGGACTCCTCAGCAGTGCGCATCCACGATCCCGCATCGCGAAATTCTAACCCAGGACCTATCAGTCTCGAGTCGGAGCACTTAACCGATATAATATAATTTGGTATAAATCAATGACTAAAATGAGAAAGCCTTTAATAATATGTCTGATCTGTGAACCAGAGGTTTCATTTCATAATGATTAAGAAACAATTACCAAGGAAACGATGATTCTAACAAACATAGAAAAAATGGTTTCAATTCACACAGCAACAAAGCTACAATTCACCAAGACATCCCATTAGAAATGGGTAATTAAGACTGTCATGCTCTTGTAATTTTTTTTCTTTTTTTTTGAAATTGTGTTCCCCTAAATCATTCTCAATTTGTTTTTTTTTAAATAATTTTAACTTCTTTTATTTATCCAGGATTTCTTATCTGCACGATTTGTACGACTACGTTTTCAACAATTACAAACACTTTCTGGTGATTGGATGGCTATGCCAAATCAATTAGACAGTTCAGTTTACAATAGGGTATGATTATAAAATTGTCCACTCCCTTTTCTATTCCTCGATTTTTTTATTCACGATAAATTAATCCCTTGTTTTCTATGTTATTGAAAGACCGGTATTGCTATCACTGAACAACAAATGAATAACCCTTAGTAAAACTGTTTTTTTTACAAGTTCTTGTTTGTAGTCTAAGTCAGCGATTCTCATGTCTATACCTTGTTTAACTTGACTTCTTCTGGATAACAGGAAAAGTTCCTTACATTCCATGGTTAAGCGAAAGGAAAAGAAAATTTATCTAGACTACTAAAATAAGTCGAAGCTGAGTAAAAGCACCGTGATTTTCGAATTAAAGCCTATCTGAATTTAAATTCATTTATGATAAATGGTTTCCTACTACACTAGTTAATATCGTACAATCTTGTTTAATTGTGAAAATGGTTTTCTCTGAGTTTTTAGTTAGTTTTATACTTGATATTTTACTAACTATCCATTTGTGCTTATAACGTCTTTAGGCGATATCGTTGTTAAAAAGTCTTAGGTATAAGATGGTGGATAGAGGTGGTCAATATGAAACCCTGGACCCGGATTTCGTGCTACTTGGCACTCGTCAGCAAGGTGTACCTGTAATCTTGAGGGAACTGGTGACCCTCACGGACCCGATCCCATGTCATTCAGCTTCACAGTCAGCGACGTTACCACTGATCCATTCGGACCGCGGTCGACCCCCTGTAGGACTGAGATGTAATCACAATCGATTGATCACTGGGTGGTGATCAATGTCATGCATGTCAAGTCCTTCTTAGTGATGATCGAATGCTATCGATCAAGTTGCAATGTGGCCACTAGTCTAGGTGGCTCGACACTGCGTGCGTCTTAGGTATACTTTTCACCTATCTATACTATTTTGATTTAATATTATGTAGCTGTAAACCGAAAGGTATTTTTGTCATTTTCAGGTCTAAATGTTTATAAATTAGCTAAGAATTGACGGCATATAGTAATTTTGTTGTGATGATAGATTAGATAGACAGGTATTTTAAACTTTTAATATCAACAAACTATTATAATTATTGTACGCAAATATGGATAGTGGCTAGCAGTGGAATCCAGTTTGACGCGCGCTTCGTCCTATTTGGGACTCGTCAGCTGGATGTATCTGCATCTCAGAGTTGACCTTCACTCTGGGACTCGAACCCAGCACCTTTCGCTTCAAACGTCATCGCGTTATCGAGTCAGTTACTGAGTCCTGATGACCAGTTAATGTGTCGCAAATAGGACGAAACGTGTTTCTTTAATTCCATTGGTATTCACCATCTGCTTGTAATACGAAACTAGACTAGATTATTGAAAATGTCATAATATTAATTGATTATAAATGAGTTTAGTTAGGGGAAGTTGACTTAAATAAATGAGATGACTTCATAGGTCTAAATGCTATTAGCCAAGGAGACATTAAACTAGAAGATATCTAGCGGTTGTAATAAAATGTTAGCAAAATTTACAGAGTACACAGTTGTAAACAATATTTCCTTATTATTCTTTAATTCCGGAGGAGTTTGTAAACATTATCTACATTCGATACGTAAGCCGATGACTTTCAAATTCTAATAACTTCAAAGTAACTCAACTCTTGACAGTCCGACGTCGCTTTTAGTTTTTATGGAGATATCCAAATAGACTGAAATGAATTACAAAATAATTCTTTATTATTGTATGATTTCTTTCTAATTATAGTTGAGTCTTACTCACATATTTACTATTAGTCCTTCCGTTCCCCTTCCGGCTATTCTTCTGTTGTGATATGAAAAAGATCATGGTCAAGATTAATGTATAAATTGATCTAAGTAGTATTTACTATGTTGACATGATATAAACTGTACTTTTTAATTCATAATTAACTTACATGTCGAATTCGTTTTCGTTTAACAACCTAACGAATAAAGGTGAATAGGGACCTTCAATATTTCCTCAGTGAATAGTAAACTAAAACGTTTGACGTACATTATGAACAGAAAGATAATTATCAGAAGGATGTTTTGATGGAGGTTTTGGTAATTTTATATAGTTGAGATCATGAGTCAGTTAAGGCTAGACCACCATGAAAAACCTGGAAGCACTGGACGGCCGTTTCGTTCATGAGGTATTTCCTGGGGTTCTAGTGAGAAGCAGTCACCATTGAAGTTCAACCAGATCTGTTGGGAGATATCAATTCACTAAAAACATTGATGAAATGGTTGCTCGACTTCGTGGATTGGTTGAAGTTAGACATTAACACCGTTGGATGCCAGCCGGTTCAGTGGTCTATAGGCTAAGTGCTCTAGCGTGAGACTGTTAGGTCCTGGGTTCGAGTCTCGTGAGGCGAAATCGTAGATGCTCACTGTCACTGAGGAGTCCCACAATAGGACGAAGCCGCTTAGCTTCAATTGATTCATGATTTCAACTATATAGAAAGATAATTGTATTCAGTTTTTTTCTTTGTTTATCAAGATTATTGTACTAGCCTATAAAATTGAATAAGATCCAAAGATTTCCAAACTTTCCCTTCGATAATACTTTTGATGATATTCACTTGATTTCAAGTATTGAATACATAGAATCATCACATCAAGCACAATATTATGATGTCTAAATATTAAAACAAAATTAAATGATAAACTATTTTCTATTTACATGTGAAACCTTAATCATTGTGATAATAATTTCACACAAAATTTATAAGTCTATGAATGAAAAACCTTGTGTACCCGGTACATCCTTTGTGCATAAATCAATAATTATAGGCTTATATATATTAATGTGAATGTAACTACATTTTACAATGATCTACATATGCATATACATATGAGTATACATTCAATGTTTAATATGATATTTGTAAATTACATTGTACAATGACAAATTTAAGATTCAACTGTCAATATATCAAGAGATTTGTCTATTTATTAATCTTATCATTCAAATTGTTGTATTCATGATAGTATTTCGATAATGTAATATGAAGACAAAGATTATCAAGAACGATGTGATGATGATGATGATTTGGATGATGATGATGATGATGATGATGATGATGATGATGATGATGATGATGATGATGATGATGATGATGATGATGATGATGATGATGATGATGATGATGATGATGATGATGATAGATTAGCGTAATACATTTGGAACAATTTGATCTTAAGATGGTAGAGAAGATTTGTAACTCAAAATGGATGATTTTGATGGACTTTTGTTTTCTGAGCTTAGAGAATAAAACTCTATCAAAAACAATCTGATCATACAATAATATACTTGTTAAGAACATTTATATATAAAAATAAAAGGTTAACTAGACTAGAAATGGGGGGGGGTTAATAGTAAACAAGGATAATAATAATAATAATAGAAATAATGTGAAAACAATTTGAAACCTCAACACTCTGGATAATAAGCTAATATTACCAGGGTAGGTTTAAGGTGAGAACAAACTGTTTTTGAATACATAAAGGGGGTTTGAATTTTCGAATGGTTAAGGCTTCAATATATATACATTAAGAATATCACCAATGTGCATCACAAGGCGATCCCTAACTTGGAATCCGGAAGGGAAATGGAAAAGAGGAAGGCCAAAGAACACATTACGCCGGGAAATAGAAGCAGATATGAAAAGGATGAATAACAACTGGAAAGAACTGGAAAGGAAGGCTCAGGACAGAGTTGGATGGAGAGTGCTGGTGAACGGCCTATGCTCCTCCATGAGGGGTAACAGGCGTAAGTAAGTAAGTAAGGCTTCAATAAGCCTTAGTATATGCCCTTTTACACTTTTATAAAACATCATAAAAGCCGAGTTAAGATCAATCTTAGGATTTATTTCGATGTTGGATGTTTATCCGTATGATTCTATTTGTATTTGCAGCCATTTACATGTACATGTTCGCATACCCTAATTTTGAGCTTATGATTACTCTTCCTTGTATTTATGGGTGATCACACACACACATTTAAATTAATAAACACGGTGGGATGTGACACAATCGTTTTCATGTCATTTAGGTTTTGGATGAATCATGAACATTATTCTTTCTTTGATAATGACCATTGCTGCTTAATACATTTTGTTATTGACTGATTTAAACCATTGTTTAATTTTTATATATAAATATTCTTAATAAGTATATTATGTATGATCAGATTGTTCGAAATGTATTGCACTAATATCTCATTACATAGTTCTGATAATTTTCGTTTTCTTATTTTAATTATTTATTTATTTAAACACATAAATATTAGTACAAGCGGGCACCAAATATATATGCGCCACACAAATCTCATTTGATTTGTGTGAGGGCTGTGATACTGCTCAGTTGCCCAAACTGAAGCAGGTAATTTTCTTATGTGGCTACACTTCGAGCCTTTGACCTTAAGATCTGATCCACAAGGCAGTGGAGCATCGTGATGAGATTCAGTCACATGGTAGCCGGTGACCAACGACATTTGTTCTCTCAGGGTACTGGAGCCCATGTGCACCATTGGTTTGGAATGAGGGTTTTCCAACTCCCCTAGGTGAACTTTCCGTGTCCACCAACCCGGTTTAAGTGCCGGACATTCGCTTTCCGTCCTCTCAATTTCGTAAACAACACGTGTGCCATGAGAAGGCAGTGAGTAGGACTTCTCTGGCAGAGGCTATATATTCGCGTGACCATATGAGAGTATTTGGAGAGGTAGAGAGGACACTACCCACTCTCGGCCGTACCAGGGCATTTGGACGTGAATCTTCAATTCATCATAATGATTATCTATATTGGCCTTAAATTCTTTTTTTTTGTTTTTATAGAATTATTTGGCAATAATAATAATAATAGTTCATTATAATACATGAACTGAATTCATTTATCATAACATATTACATAAATGTGCAACCTTAATCTTAGTAGACAAGTGTAATTCATTAAGCGAATATTGGGGGTTTATTTATTTAGGTAACATTTTATTTACCAAGTGATGGACATCATTTTAATTTTGTCAAACCAGTCATATAATTTGGCTGATTATAAGAAAATAGAACATCATCATTGTTCAATGTAATCTAATCTAATAAATTGGATGAATCTAACCGGATATTTAATAATTTAAAAAAAAATTTATAATAAGGTCATATAAATATATTGTAAACATTTGATAGTCTAAATCTTATTCAGTACTACTACTGTTACTATTACTACTACTAATACTACTATTACTACTACTATTACTACTACTATTACTACTACTACTACTACTACTACTACTACTACTACTAATACTAATACTAATACTACTACAAATAATAGTAATAATAATGCTACTACTAATAATAGTAATAATAATAATAATGCTTCTACTACTGCTGTAATGAATGAAAACCACACTACACTACTACTACTACTACCACTACTACTACCACTACTACTACTACTACTACTACTACTACTACTACTACTACTACTACTACTACTACTACTACTACCAATAATAATAATAATAATAATTTTTCGGTAAATTATTAAATAAACAATTTTGGTTTCAAAAATATAAAAATCATTTTATGAATAACAAATTTGTTTTGAAAAGTCATTTAAAAGTAGTAATTCTATCTAAGTTTTATTTATTCAATATGTCGAAATGATTTTAAATATTTCACAGAAAATAAAGGTTATTATTATTTTTTTTTAAATTCTGTTTTGTGACAAATATCCTTATTCCTTTTGACTATTATTGATTGTTCAATTAATTGCATGAGTTATGTGTCGACATTTAGCAAACTGTTTAGAATATACCGAACTATTGAATTTTAAAAATAATTACTTTTCCCCCAAACGCCATGTTACGACCGAGAGTGGGGAGAGTTCGCTCTCCCTTTACAAATCCTCTCATATGTCCACGAGTATATAGCCTCTTCCATGAAAGTCCTACTCACTACCTTCTCGTGACATTACTGTTGTTTACGAAATTGAGAGGATGAGAAGCGAATATTCGGCGCTTTCACCGGATTGATAAATACGGAAAGTCCATCTAGAGTAGTTGGAAAACCCTGATTTTCAAGTCAATGGTGTACATGGGTTCCAGTATCCTGAGGGAACAAAAGGTGTACGAATCAATCGTTGATCATCGGCTGCCATGGGACTGCATCTCCTTACGCTTCTCCACTGCACTGCCTTGTGGATCAGACCTTTAGGTGAAAGGCTCTGAGTGTAGCCCCCTAATAAAACCACCTACTTCTGTTTGGGCACCTGGGTAGTATCACAGCCGTCATACAAATCAAATGAGATTTGTGTGGCGCATGTATATCTGGTGCCCTCTATGTACCAATATTTATGTGTTTAAATAAATAAACAAATAAACTTCGACGAAATTGTTCAATCATCTAATCTTATATTTTTTATTTTCCTGAGATTCTAACAATTAAAAAACATTATTGATAATGAGATAGGTATGACGCTACTCGTTATTTAACGAGACCCTAGGATATAAGATAAGAAGGATTATAATTATTCCGTATGAAAACTGAAGGTCGATAACTCATTTATTAATGAGGCTGTAGTTTCATACTAGCATGAAACAGTTATCCAGGAATTCCCGACTTTCAATAGCTGTTTAAATTTTGCTTAAATAATTATACTACTTATAAGTAGGCTAAAGTAAACAAGAAAATGTATTACAATAAATCTGAATACCTATGTGTATGGAAAGATGATTTCAACAATAATTTTACTCTTATTCGTGAGACTATACATTTCAAATTTTGTTTATTTCAAATCTCTGATTACTTTTGTTTTCACCTCAGTATTATTATTCAATTCGAACAATTAAAGTTGGCGGGAAATGTGTATGCAATAGTCATGCTAGTCGATGTGAACAGAAAGTAATTGATGTAAGTTTGACAAGAATCAGATAATCTGATGAGAATGTATTTTATTGATTTTATTTTTTGTTGATACATTTGGGGGTAAGAGAAAGAGATTAGTTCAACGAAACTGTGTTATCACCAGTCATTTGTAAGATTCAATGACAACAAACATTTTGATACATGGCTCTTAATTACAATTCACTTACCACTTTTACCAACGATGCAAAAGTTAGGAGATTTATTTTCATTTTGAGTTATTTTTCATTTTCAAAGCTTATTAAGGTTTATCATTTTATAAGCGCTAGGTGATAAGCAAAATTTCAACTCCAACTTGTACCTTTATTGAGAGTTCGCGGTTTGACACAATCAGTTTTGTGTTTTCAACAAAGGAACTAGTGTATATATACATATATATTACATGAAAAATAAGAGTATTATTGATCAAACCAATAAGCTACCATTTATTACATCAAAGAGGTACTGATCATTTTAGTTTATGTAATCAAAAAGATTGGGGTTAAAGCTATTAAAATGCTCATATTCATTCACATGTATTATGAGTCAGTTTGCTCTCAGGTTAGTATCAGTCTAAAGTATAGATTGTTTATAAGCTGATCAGTTTAATAGATCATCTTTGACTGAATTCTTACTTATGAATTTAAAACGAGATGGATATTCTGAAGTTTCAATGAAAAAAATGTATATTGAATCGTCTTGATATACCTTTATCCATTTGTTGACGTGCACATTAGAGCTTAAACCCAATACATTTCACTTCAAACTCTAGTTAACCATCTTATAACCTACTGAGTTCATTTCTTTATCATGATTTATCTATTGTATAAGTCGTGTGATAAAATGGCTACAATGAATCAATTTTTACAGAATGTAATTGTACAAATAAAGGTTGGTTAAAATTTATTCATGAATATTTAAAACCTGATCATTTAATTCCTTACTGATAATGATATGAGTTGTTCAGTTAATAGCATTCCTTTATTGATATAGTTTTTTTACATATGCATTTATTTACTTTCTCACTCAGGGTGTACCTCGAGCCGTATGCGACTGTCAGCATAATACATGCGGAAACAATTGTGAAAAGTGTTGTCCATTATTCAATCAACAACCATGGCGTCCAGGGAGAATATGTGAAGGTAAAGAAACAACAGTTATGATATGTAATTAAATATTCGGACATATATATTTTATCCTAATCAGTCATCTTGAAAGCTAATAACGGTTAGGGCAAAAAAACAATCTTAACAAAAGTATAAATCCATTCAATGTCACAAGACCAATTTATATTAAGAATGAAACTATTAGATATTTAAAATGAATGGATCATGGCTACCACTGGAATTAAGGAAGCTCGTTTTATCCTATAAGGGGTTTGCCAGATGGATGTATCTTTGTCCAAGTGTATATGTCTACATTCATGATTGTAAATCAGTGTCTAAGGGATCCGCACAAGATCCACATTTGTCAACAAAGACTGATCCAAATTCAATCCTGGGTATCAACAAAAGAATAATTCAAATTCATACTTATAATGAATAAATCCTCATTCTTAGATGTTTTTGATAAGTTTTCCATGATCTATCTTAGTTCTTGTACCGGAAATTCTGACAGGTTTATAACACACCATTACTGATGTTTTTTATCGGCAATCACATCAAAATCTAAGGGTCACCTATGCTTACATAAAGTGTTCATCGAATAATGCAGATTCAGTAAGTTAACTGTGAAACTTAGCCGATGTATTATAGCTCGTATCTAGTAGACCCAAACAGTAAGTAACATCTGAATAAAATAAATTATCTTAACGAATAAAAACTGTTAATTAATATCGGGTGAGGTTATTACTGGTACTTCTTACCTGGGCCACAGATGTATAGTTCCATTGGATTCAGATCTATATTATATAATATCACATATTAGTGATAGTACTATTGAGTCGGGAATATTGTCCTGAATGAAAAGACAGAAACGACATTGAATACTACTCAAGGATCCATCAACTTAAAATGGATCGTTACATAGGTCAAGCATCAATAGTTGAAAGTCAGATCGATTGTACAAATGTATGTCTATTACTGTACTTTAGAGTTTATCTTAATTCTTCCTGTTGATGGTGTATGAAGTTTTTGCAAATGATAATGTAACTGTTATTCATGTTATTCGCATGTTAAAATCAGATAGTATAGAATCCCTTTCAAGATTATGTTTCAGGTGGAAATAAGGAAATAAATTAAAGTTTGTTTTGAAGTTAGACAAATCATTGAAGTATAGGTATTATATAGGTATCTTTTTCACCTTATACTGCTTTCACTAGTATGGTATATGAGTATGAAATAGTTTGTCACCCATTAAGCTGGATAGGATAATTGAGTAAAGCCTCAGATTAGTACTCGACACCAAAAGATTATTCCTTTGATTGAGAACATGAACCCATTGTTGTTAGACCACCACTGAAAACCCGGAAATACTGGACGGTCATTTCTTCCTAGCATAGGACTCTTCAGCACTGCGCATACACGAGACCATAAGTGGGATTCGGACCCAAGACGTCTGGCCTTGTGTACAGGCATTGTTGAGGAGTCCCATGCTTGAACGAGATATCCATCCAGTGTTTCCGGGTTTTCAATGGTGGTCTAACATCGATCGATTCATGATTTCACTTAAAAACTTAACAATCTCCGCAACCCCATACTGAAAAGATTATTCTATGGAAAATCTGAAAAAATCAGTTCTTTTTCTCCATAACCAAATCAAATGTTGATTCTACTTGTTTAAATGCTTGAATTAATAGACATTATAGTGAGATATCTATATATATTTCTTTTATTTTAGAGTGTAATTGTAATCAAAAAGCAGATGAATGTATTTATAATCAAACAGTTGCTAATCTTCGTTTAAGCATGCGTAAAGATGGTGTTCTAGAAGGTGGAGGAGTCTGTTTGAATTGTCGTGTAGGTTTTCTGATAGCCAAAATCAATACTTTTTTAACTATATTTACCTCATTCGCATATAACCATTACCACTTACCTTAAATTCGTTTCTATGCTTCCTTTTAATGTTATTAGTTTATACTACTTACAAGTAGCTCAAAAATACTTTCCAAATAAAAGGGATCAACTTATTCAAAAAGTTAACATCTACACAAACATAAATGTGGATCGTTACTAAAAGTAGAATCCAAGACACTTGTTTTGTCCTATTTGGGACTCGTCAGATGGATAATAACCACACTTTATTGTCGATGTTCACATTGAGATATCGTTATACCAAGTGAATAATGACAGTTCCTAATACTAACAATAAAAAAAGGAACCATTACGGTCATCCAAAATAATGTTTACGGAAAGTAAATACACCGATTAAATGAACAGAATTAATCGAAAAACGAAGCATTTGCAAAAGCTTTTCAAGTTTAAACAGTCTTTGATAAGGTTCACCATAAAATTCTTGCTTTATTCAGACTGCTTCCATATTGCGACAAACTGTTATAACTAGTCACTGATTATAAACGTTAATTAATTTGAAGGGGTTTTGTGGGGATTTCAGTATTTTCATAGCTGAAATCATGAGTCGATTGAAGCTGAGGAGTCCAATAATAGAACGAAACGGCTGTCCAGTGCTTCCAGGTTTTCCATGGTGGTCTAGCTTCAATTGACTCATGATTTCAACTATGAAAATACTGAAATCTCCACGAAACCCCTTCTGATTAACAAAATAAATCCAATGATCTTCAGAATGTTGTACAACACTTAACTAATCTATTTGAGCACATTGTAAATCAAAAATGTATGCCCAGTTTAGGTGTCACGATAGTTCACCAATTTAAAATCAACAGCTGGACATGAAAATGTTGAACCATTATATTCACGTAAACTGAAACCTCTTGATAAACGCTTTTGTATAACCATTTTATCTTGTAATCTATCTATTATAATGAAAGACGTTTAGTTCAGTCACATACACTTCTTGTACACTTATTAAACTAGTGAAAGAAGACCTTTGTTGAAAATAACATCCCAATATATAGCACTGCATCATTAAAATAACCTTATAAATGATCCAGTGTTGGGACCAACACACTTCAGGATGACTGAAGTAGTTGCGAAAAATAATCTCAGTTAAAAACCATTATGTAATTCATCAAATTAAACATCTTTTAATTCTCAGTGGTTTATCGGTTAAGTGCTCACGCGTGAGACTGGTAGGTCCTGGGTTCGAACCTCGCGATGCTGGATGGATGCACACTGCTGAAGAGTTCCACAATAGGATGAGACGGCCATCAAGTAGTGCTTCCAGGTTTTCCCTGGTGGTCTAGTTTCAATTGACTCATGATTTCAACTATATATTAAAAGAATTACTAAAAGTCTCCACAAACAACCCCCTTTTATATTATTTGTTTAAAATAGTTACCTTTCTAAACAGTATTAAATCTTTTCTGTATTTTTCTGGTTTTTAGGAAGATACAACTGGTGTAAATTGTGAAAAATGTAAACAAGGTTATTATCGCCCATTAAATGTCCGACCTGACTCGCAATATCCCTGTAGACCATGTGAATGTAGTACTTTTGGTTCAACTGGTGACTGTACATCGAATGATGCTGAAATACCAGAACGAGTGAGGTGTCATTGTTGTTGTTATTGTTTCATATGATTACCGCTCAGTGGTTTAGGGGTTAAGGATTTGTTAGCAAAACCGAAAGTCCTAGATCCGGTCCTTAGCCATAAGATCGTTGGTGCGCACTGACGAGGAGCCCCACACTAAGACGAAACAGTTGTCCACTGCTCTCAGATTTCCAATGATGAGTTAATTTAGATAGGTTTGTGATTTCGCCATAATACTAGTCCAATGAATTTTTCGTAAGTAATTTTAACCTTCGATGAGGACTTGTGAATAATCTTAATCAGTTGTTCGGTAACATCTTTGACTGAACAGTTGAAAAATATGTTTTGAAAGTTCCTATAAAAATAACTTAACAACTAGCCATCATTTAGTACTCAGTGCAGTACACTGGATCAACCAACTTTAACAAAGAGAATGTTTCTTGATATTTTTCATCTGGAAACTATCGATTTCTCTAGATTATGGTGATAATTATATGCTGGATGGATAAAATCTCTGAAATAGCTGAAGTCGGATATTTCAACAACAGTTGCAGAACCTCTCATTTATTATTTGAACAGTTTCTGTTATGTACATGTTGGCTCTGTTGTATTCGCAATCTCATTGCTTACAATTAGAAATGTGAACCCTTTTAATTCCCACGACGCGAAGTGAAAACATAAAGACTAGTCCCATAAAGGTTTATTTACTCTCTAAAAACACGACCCCCAAACCAAGTCATCCAACATTACTTCATCATGAAGTTCAATACACACATTTTCGTACTGTTTTTACATACACTCAAAGATCGGATTAATTAACATCAAATAAATGAAAAGATATACAGAGATACTGTAAAACACATACGTAGTACTGTCACACTAGGTGAAAGTTAACACCTATCATATTGATCTCTTATCCCATCATTGTTTGTGTTAGATTAGATCTAAACTGTATTCGATTACCTAAACGTCTGATTAATAGAATACATTATGATAGCTTAAAAAAGCTAGCTTTAACTGTTTGCATTATAGTTTATTCATCAAATGTTTTTATATCATTGTGATTATATCAAACTTTTAATCTTACTGAGATGTATACAAGTTTAATAAGAACAATATTTATTATTGTGTTTATTTTTTGTTTTCAGTATCCTGGAGATTGTATCTGTAAAGAAGGTTATGCAGGTAGACGTTGTGATGAATGTGCTGAAGGCTATCAACGTTCTAACATTGATCCTCAATTATGTATACCATGTACATGTGATATTAGAGGAAGTCATCGTGGTCCAGGATATCAATGTGAACCACCATGTAACTGTAAAGTGAGCTTATAAACAATAACAAGTATTTTAAATATTTAACTAACAAATTTGTAAACTGATGTATTTCAGACATATACGAGTGATATTTATAATCCAGTACTATAAATTTAAAAACTGTCACATTAGATTAATAAAGTGTACTCTCATATTGAAAGGAACTAAAGGTTTTAAACACTGGAAATTTAACATCCATTTATGGATCTAAAGTTTTAAATTAATTTCACACTGTTTTTAATTCAGTAACACAGAACAATTGCCAACCTTAAAACAATACTGTTAAGTGATAAATTAACAAATAAATCTAAAGAGGTTTACTATTTTTTTTTTATTTTAATTACTTAAAAACAAAGAATATTTGAGCGAGTAATTGTTTCCAATAACTTAATCATCAGGCTCTACAGTCCATAAGTCCATGGTTATTGTGATTTTTTTTTTTACAAAAGCCAAAATAATGTATTAATGAATTTCATAATGTTGCATGTTAAAAAGGGTGAACTTTTGTATCTTATATAGTTGAAAGCGTGAGTCCATTAAAAATATTATGAAAATACTAAATCTCCACAAACCCCTTCTGATAATTAATATAATCATATACTTACTAGTGACTGACTTCGAGAAGTATATCCAGGAGTTTTAGTGAGAAGCATTGACCAGTGGAGTTGAAGCCACGTCTGTCATGAGATATCAACTCAATGAAGACAATTGGTGAACGGTTGCTGAACTTAGTGGATCAGTTGAAGTTAGACATTAACACCGTTGGATGCCGGCTCAGTGGTCTATCGGTTAAGGGCTCTGGCTCGAGACTGGTAGGTGCTGGGTTCGAATCTCGCGAGTGCGTGATTCGTGGATGCGCACTGCTGATGAGTCCCATAATAGGACGAAACGGCCGTCCAGTGCTTTCAGGTCTTCCATGGTGGTCTAGCTTCAATTGACTAACGCTTTCAACTATGAAAATACTAAATCTACACAAAAACCCCTTCTGACAATTAGTATCTTACATACACAACAACCCAAGGATAGGTTAAGGATGACTGGCTTCTCCATGTGTGTATACCAGTTCAACTTCTCCTTAGAAGCTAGTTATATAGGCCGTACTCCGAAGGCTTTATCCTTGAGTGCTCGTGTAAGTGTACCAGCATGGTTGGGAAAGGGACTTACGGAATCTATTTATAGCGTTATTCATTCACATTTGGTAGATATTTCACATCATATTAAAGTCGATGACGCTTTCTGTTATATCATGTGTGTGCCCACTTGTTATATCGATTGGGTGTGTGACGTGCCCAGTTAATGTGTCAACGTGCTGATCCCTGCCAACCAGAGAGGAGCGAATTGATTGATCGCCCAATGATACACAAAATCCTATGATCAGTCTTGATTACTTGTCAGTCTTGCTATCTTCCTAGCTCAGCCAGTTAAGTCCAGAACACCAATAAGTGTTCTGGTCATTTATTAATCTATTGTTTTCTTTAATAACTGATACATCATGAACTAAACTTTTGTAATTCAGTTCACAAAAACAAGATTTTAATGTTAAACAAGTTAATGTAAATTAATTCAATAAGTAAGCCAAAAACTGAGTCAGCCAGTCAGTCACTACGCAGAACTTTGTACGTACGTACATCATTTCGAGTTGCCATACCACGTAAACACAGAGATACAATTGTCGATTCAAATCCTATAGTAGCAGAAGTAGTAAGAGTATAAACAGTAATCCGAAAGATTAGGGTTTGAAGATGTTATTGAAGGAGTATAATCCAGTGAAATAAATTTGAAAAGAGAAAAAGACAGAGACATTAAGAATTCAGAAGATTAGAACTTAGCAAAACACAAACAGTGGATGCACCTTCTTCATTGCAAACGATTTCGAGCCATGTCATTCAAGGTCTCTAATCATCGATTACTATCATCTCGCGAATCCCAACCAGGTATTCTACACTTACCAACATGGCTCAGTCCACTTGTCAGTGACTTCATGAATTTAATCGGCTCATGAATTCAACTAATAAACTAGTGCAGTCTCCACAACTTCCTATCATGATAAGAAACAGTTAAATTTAATTAACAATACATAAATGTTAATACAAAGCAGTGAATTTATGAAATAAAGCGAGACTCTATTTCAATACCGATTTCGTTGTCTTAGTGGATCAGAAGTCTTATTATTAAGGCTTAAAAAATCGATTCTGAACTTTGTCAATAATGGATATATAACTACCCTCCTTGTGGGAAGGTAACATCGCTGTTATGCTGGCTGTCTGAAGGAAACACCTTACTGTTGTCACACCTCTGTACAGTCAGCAGTACGACTTCGTCTTCGGACCTTGGGTTCGCTGCTTTTAGTCTCATTGCTCTTCAACCGACCTGTCTGGCATGGTAGGACCTTGAGGAACAATTGTTCCAGCCAGTATAGCTCGATTGGTTCATCACGATAGACAAGCTCAACTACCACGTCAAGGTAGCAGCAACGATCGGGAATGATGAGTATCAGAAAGAATAAAGTTCGTAGTATGTAACTCAACAATTTCTACTAAGTAATAATTTTAGAATTGATTCAATAATACAGCTAAAGAATCCCATTTTATCATCAAATCCATTTTATCTTTTTCAATTTTATATAGATTAATGTTGATCCAGACTCTTATTGTAATACATGTCAAAAAGGATTTTTCAATTTAGATGTTAATAATCCAGAAGGTTGTCAATCATGTTATTGCTCTGGTCTTACGGATAGATGTACTGGTGTTACTCCATCTACTGCAATGGTATGTGTTGATAAACTTGAATTACTTAGTTTTACTGTTCAATATTTCGAGTTTATAACCAAATATATCATTGATTGCTAAATTTGCAGGATGTACACATCACAGATTGATTTTTGTTGGGATACTATCGGAAACTAGGGAGTACTAGATATGTATTTAATCCTAGTACGGAACTCCTCAGTAGTACACATGCACGATATCCATTGATTTGACATGAGGGATTGATATATCCGGATGAAGAATAAGTAAATAGTAACCACTAGGATCTATTTGTGGACTATTATTATATATATTTTTATTGTATAACAACTATTAAGTAACTACATTATATGTATCTCCCTTTTATTATGAGCTTATATTTAACCTATTGACTATTATTATACGATTTACCATTCTTAAGATATCCCCAATTTATTAGTAACTGTTTCTCTTAATCATAACCACTTTTTGGCTTGATCTTATATAATTGTTGCTTTTTATTTATGGTATGCTAAGGTCTGATTTGTTTGTATATAAACCCAGTATGTCTGAAATATATGATTCGTATAACGGAGGCTGATATTGGCGTTCTGGATTAAACCGGCTTGATTAGGAGAGAAACTATTGTCTCAGCGGACCAATAAGAACTCCAGGCTTCTCGTACAGGTTTATGTATCATTAGTCTGATAGTATAAGTCGGTGATACAAGTAATGGGACATAAGGACGTTTGTTGTGACATATCAACTCACTGAAGACAAACGATGAACGGTTGCTCAACTTCATGGATTGGTTGAAGTTAGACATCAACACCGTTGGATGCTGGCTCAGTGGTTTATCGGTTAAGTGCTCTGGCGTGAGACTGGTAGGTCCTGGGTTCGGATCTCGCGAGTGCGGGATCGTGGATACGCACTGTTGAGGAGTCCCACAATAGGACGAAATGGCCGTCAAGCAGTGCTTCCAGGTTTTCCATGGTGGTCTAGCTTCAATTGAATCATTTATGGTTTCTGCTTTTTTTAAGTCATTTAGGACATTTTAAAGTATATATTACAAATTGACTTTGGTAAGACAATCATTAAGAACTAGGATGCAATGAAGATCTGTTTCATCTCAACTGGGGAACTCCTCAGCAGTTAATTAGGGATTGAAATTATCTACTATAGATGAAAATAATCATAAATGATTAAATGAAAAACTATATAATTCATAATTTATTTTTTACTTACGCCTGTTGCCCCTCGTGGAGGAGCATAGGCCGCTCACCAGCATTCTACACCCAACCCTGTCTTGGGCAATATATAATTCATAATAGTCAGTATATATATTTATATTTACCAGTCTATTATTTTGACTATCCAGTATGGCATACAATTATTAATATTCAAATCAAACATTGTTATGATATCTACACATATTTCATTTATAATGAAAATACCTATCACTGAAACAATATCATGTTTGTAGGTTTCATTATTAGGTTTCGATTTGATAACTTTGAATAAATTGAGCATTGGGTAGATTGTCATAAGTAATTAAATTAATATATTTGTAATATATTAATTACTGAGGAGTCCCATAATAGGACGAAAAGGCCGTCCAGTGCTTCCAGGTTTTTGATGATGATCTAGCTTCAATTGGCTCATGATTTCAACTATGAAAAATTAGATTTTCTGACGTTTCGTGACGCACTGTAAATCACTTCTTCAGAGTAAATAAATAATCAAATTAACATTAATCCATAGGCACATGTCGCTTATGAATCATCTTGACCGAAGTGAAATGACATGAAATTGATTTATTCAGACCTGTTTTTTTGTTTGATCGCACCTAATATTCATGTGTTGTCCCGTTGTACTATTTAAACTTGGATTAATGTTAATTTGGTTATTTATTAACTCTGAAGAAGTGGCTTATACTGAGTGACGAAACGTCAGAAAATCTAATTTTTCTACTCATTTGGGATATTACGAATATTTCAATATTATGTTTGTTTTTTCCCCCTCATTTCATTCATTTTTATGAATATAGATATTGGAGAAAAAAGGATTACTTGGTCCAGTAAGTAACAGAACTTTCAGTTTTATTAATCTATCATTGATGTTATTACTTTGTATTCGGAATTTATTCTTATTATAACTTAGTTTATAGTTGAATTCATTCAACATAACTCTAGTACTTACTCTAGAAATCAGCTCTTCTGGGCATTTCGTCTGCTTATTAACTAATATCAACCAGAAATCTATTAAACACTGTTATAAACGGTAGGATACTAGTCGGAACGCTAGGATTTCTTGTTATAAAAGTCTTTTTTACTTTTTACACCTATATTGGACGTTAATTTACCTTAGACGAATATCTACACTAGGATTTCCCACCTAGTGTCTATTCTACAGGACTTTGACATACAACTCAGATCAAGAACATGAGATTAGTCTGACTAGAACGTCAATATATTTCCACATACCCAAAATCCGACACAATCCTACAACAAGGAACAGTTAATCCATATTAATAATCAGGATAGGGGGATATATAACACATATAGCATATGTCACCCTATCTATATGTCTGACTCAGCGAAACAACTAATCATTATTATTCCCGCCCCCACATTAAAAAACAAAAAGAAAATTGAAGAACATACCTAATTATTCATTAGAAATCTGAAAATTATTTTTTTAGACATAATTAAACATGTAAGCAAAGATGGATAGTGGCTAGCAGTGGAATCCAGGACACACCTTTCGTCCTATTTGGGACTCGTCAGCTGGATGTACCTGCATCTTGGAGCTGATTTTCACTCTGAGACTCGAACCCAGTGCATTTAGATTCAAACGCCATTGCGTTGTCCACTTAACTACTGAGTTCTGATAGCCACTTGCTTGTGCAATGGCGTGAAGTTTAAATTTATTTAGTAACGTTTGGTTGAATCTTCCTATTGATGTTTAGGACTGCAACTGGTCAGTCTCTTATTGACATATATGCATACTGTGCGTATTGCCTCGATATAGCCTTAATTCACAAGCATTCTAAGCAAAGATGGATAATGGCTAGCAGTGGAATCCAGGATGCGCGTTTTGTCACGTATTTAGTATAGTGTTGTATTTTTGACCTTTATTTAGCTTGGAATAGAATGAATCAAATTGTCAGAGGAAACATTGAAACTATTTAGATTTTAATTAATAAGATTATAATAGATGGCATTTTACATTTATTGAGCCACAATTCATTGATCACTGGGTAATGATTAATGTCATGCATGTCAAGTCCTTCTTAGTGCGGATCGATCAAGTTGCAATGTGGTCACTAGTCAAGGTGGCTCGACACTGTGTGCACTATGAGATAAGATGGTGGTCAACAGGAAACCCAAATAATTTTATTAATACTTGTCCGCAAGAATCATTTATACTTTCAAAACAACCCTCCTCCTTTATGTGGGCTTGGGACTGGCAGTAGCCCACGGAGTTTGCTAAACACCACATTCTTATCAATGATCTCTTAATTAACATAATTATTTCCAAGATCCATGTTTTTCGTTTCTATTGTTTCATAGGTCAATACTTTAGCGAATTGGAAAATTATTGTACCAAGCTTATCAACACCAGATACCGGTTACACAATACCAATGACTGAAACATCTTTACAATATGATAAAGTTTTATTCGCTCAGACACGTACAGTTGAAGCTTGGCTTTCATCAGTTACTTCAACACCAGTTACACGTGGTTATTATTGGTCAGCACCGGAAGCATATTTAGGCAATCAAATAACATCTTATCGTGATACATTGAATATTATTTTACGTTTTAATTCACCTACTATGTTAACATATCGTCAACCGACAATACCCACAGATATATCAGGCAGTAGACAATTTTCTATGTCAATGGCTATGACTGATCATTTAAATTATATGTGGTTACATGAACCAGATATTGTAATCGAGGTAATATTCTTACTTCGAAGGTTAATTTTTACCGTTAGATAGTTGAGATAAACCTGTTCGATGATTTACTTTGTTGTTAAACCAATGAACGTAAAGCACTCAACCATTTTTCTGATCTTATTCTGAGTTGGTTAAAAATAGTTATGTGCTTCTGTCTTAGTCGCAAACCGGGCGTTGTATATTAAGTATATCTATGACTCAGTGACGCATACCGTGCTACGGGAACAGCGGTAGTATAATTTATTGGTTCGCGTTATTTTATTTAATCTGTTTCCTGATTATTATATTGACTCACTTGGTCTATTCACCCCTGCAGTACTGGTAGTTACTTAGATCTTTATTAGTACACAGCAACCATATATATTTTCTACTAAAGTATTAGGAAACTCCTATAATTTTAGGTACATAGTGTTATCCGAGTGACGTATCATCCAATACGACAGTTGAAATCGTTGCTACTGAGATATTTCTTCCATGAAATCCAGATCCGTAGACTTGTTTCAACCATTTTTGACTGCCTAACGACTGACAATTTTGTATTCATTGACAGAATCAAATCGTTGTTAGGATCTAGGATGTTAAAACAAATGACTATTCTATGTCTCGGTCGTTTGCATAATTTAATCCAGGAATGTATCGATTGATGGTTAATAATAGCCCTGCCAAATATTAAGGAAATTATGCTTTATAACTTTCGTTTGAAGGATGGGTTCACGTTCGGAGATCACGTGTTATTTTGAAAAGAAGAGAATAATGATAGATATTTAATTTACTTTTTAATACCGGTTCTCGATTTTTTCTGATGAAAAAGCCATTGTATAAGTAAAATATGGTTCCATAATATCATAGGTGGTTCGAAGTTAGGAGTGTAAACATTTATATGCCATATCGCTGGTTTAAAAATGAAACGCTAGCATCAAATGTGAAGATTCTCCATTCAGTTCCTGCTCTAACTGTAGACGCACATTACTGTAGAGTCTCATAATGGAACCAAACAAAAGTTATGTGTTTCCTACTTCTTATTGATTACATAATTAAGGTCAGTTTATCAATGTAAACTATGTAATTAATGTGTTATCTAATACCAAAAATAATTACGTTGATCATTTCTTCAACAAATGATTAGTATTAAAGTGGGATGCCTCTAGCAGTGAAATATAAGACGCTCATTGCGTCCTATTTGGGGCTCGTCAGATGAATGTAACTACATTCTACAATTGATGCTAACTCAAAGACTCGAATCCAGTACATTTTTCTTCGAAGGTCAATGCAATCGAATCCGTGTAGTGACTTACATGTGCGACGGGTATAAATTTATCCTGTTGTTGATATTTTAACTGAAGTTTGAGACCAGTGTCTTAATGGACATATCGAGAAAATCGGCAGACCCTGTACATCCCCAACCAAAACAGATTAAAATTTAGTCAGGATATCAACAATTAGATCATCCAAACCATTACAGATTACATTAAAATTTATACTTCAAATAGTCAATAGTTATTATAGCACATATGTCCGTTGATTTACTGAATCAAACTTCGATTGTTTCATCTCCTAATGATGTTTGTCTCTTTGCTCTTTTTTCTCCCCATCATCTAAACTAAACAGGGTAATGGTTATCGACTAGTTCATATGTTATCACCATCCTATCGTGAAAGTCATATGATTTTAAATATTCCATTAAGTGAATCATCATTCCGTGTAATTGTTGAACCACCAACCTCTATACCATTAGATCGTTTTCCAATAAGTTGGTTACAAGGTGATCAATTAAGATTTGATGAATCAACATTGGAACGAGTTGGTCGACCAGCAACAATAGCTGATATAATGACTGTATTATCCAGTATAGATAGATTAATGATTAAAGCTAAATATATTACTGATCAAACAACAACTGAGTAAGTAATAGTATTTGATTTTTGTGAAATTATCAGTTTATCTTTTACTAAAATCTGAAGTTTGATTCTGTTACAAATTGATCTTGTTTTGGGTAATTGTGGAAACTAGTGAGTACTGGACAGCTTTTTCTTTCTAGTTTAGTTTTATTGCGAATTCTCACGATTCTTGTGCTCTCAATCTAATTCCATAGTGAGTGATGAATGAATGAAGTACAGAATCATATTTAGAGTAATCCCATTTTCAGGATTTCACAAATCTACCACTTAAATGTACTGGTCGCATACTCTTCTCTCTAGCTAACTAGACAATCATATTCTTTCTTAACAACATCTTCGACTTTGTTGTTTTCCATTATTCACAATTGATTCGATATAGAAAACATGTCAGTGTATATCATCATAGAGGGCGAGGATCGGCAAAGCTAGAGCAGCATATTTACAACTGAAGAACATCTGGAACTCAAAACAATTGTCAACCGACACCAAAATCAGAATTTTCAATACAAATGTCAAGACAGTTCTACTGTATGAGGCAGAGACGTGGAGAACTATGAAAGTCATTATCCAGAAGATACAGGTGTTTATTAATAGTTGTCTACTCATAATACTTCGGATCCGTTGGCCAAACATTATCAGCAACAACCTACTGTGGGAGAAAACAAACCAGATCCCATCCAGTGGAGGAAGAAATCAGGAACAAACGCTGGGAGTGGATAGGACACACTTTGAGGAAATCACCCAACTGCGTCACAAGACAAGCCCTCACATGGAGTGCTGAAGGCCAAAGGAGAAGAGAAAAACCAAAGAACACATTATGTTGAGAAATGGAGACAGGCATGTGAAGAATGATTAAAAACTGGATATAACTCGAAAGGAATGCCCAGGACAGAGTGGGTTGGAGAATACTGGTCGGCGGCCTATGCTCCATTGGAAGTAACAGCCGTAAGTAAGTAAGTATAAAGAATTTGGATAATTTGATATAATATTGGATAGTGGCTAGCAGTGGAGTCCAGTTTGACTTGTGTTTGGTCCTATTTGGGACTGATTAGCTGAACGTACCTGCATTCACAGAGTTGATGTTCATTCTGGTACTCAAATCCAGTACCGTCCGATTCCAACGCCATCGCGTTATCGACTTAGCTACTGAGTCCTGATGTTACTTTGAATAGTAAATTAAATAAAATGTGTTTATGTTTAATTTCATTCATTTATTTTCTGTATAATAAATTATAACTTTTAGATTAATGTCTGTTACACTTGGTCGTGCTATACGTGATGAAATTGGTGGAATACCAAATATTGAAGAATGTATTTGTCCAAATGGTTATTCAGGATCATCATGTGAATCATGTGCCATTGGTTATTATCGTGATTATCAAAAACAATCAATGATACAAACGAATCAAACTTCTTTTACTTCATCAACAGCATTATCATTATGGCGTTCAACTATGATGACACAATTACCTGTTTGTATACTCTGTGAATGTCATGGACATTCAGATATTTGTGATGAAAAAACTGGAGTATGCATTGTAAGTTTTATTAAGAGATAAATTTATCTTGTTGTGTGTTAGGTTCATGCTATGTATGTAAGCACACCTCTCCATTATTATACCTATTGATAAGCGTTGACCTACTTCAAATATTAAGTTAGGGTTTCTTTTTCGTCGACTACATTCATACGACATTATGAAAGAATTCAAAATGATAACAAGATACAGATGATTTATTCACTGAACTATTAAATTCATATAGTGGTAAACTTAACGAGTATGATGACCATATCATTATCGTAACATATTTAAATGATCCAATTATTAACCATTTAGGCTGAATTTAAATCAGCCATTGTTTATGCACGTACGTTCTGTGCTAACGTCTTCGACAATACAGAATTCACTGAATTAGTGAATAAAATGTTAGAATTTAAAGCGTTAGGTAATGGATCCATGTCTCATTATAAATATCAACACTAGAATGAAGGTATACCAAGCTTACAAGTTCCAAATAGGAGGAAATGCATGTCATGGATTACACTACCAGTAGTAATCCATCAGTTCTAAAAGAAGATTCTTTTCACATCTAAGCCCATGAATGTTAGGGAGACATAGTAATTCAAACTGATTCGTTGATTACAATGCAAACTTGACAGTTTGATTATGTGTTTTAGCTTACAAATAAACTTAATGTTTTGAAAGTAATCGTTTAACTGAGGGATCTGGAAGTTCCTAATTAAAATCTCTAGAAGAGATATGTATATGCACTGAGCAGGAACTCCATGTCAGGATGAAACCATCTAACAAGTGCTGCACGGATATTAATGATCGGTTAGCTAAATTTAGTCTAGATTATAAACTATCATTATCAATTAGATTAAATACCAGTAAAATGTAATGAGGAATTAAGGAATTTCACCAATCGATAGAATCAATATTTTTCTTTATATTTTTAGGATTGTGCTCATAATACTGCCGGAGATAAATGTGACATCTGTGCACCAGGATTTTATGGGGATCCACGTACCGGTGATCCAACAGCATGTAAATCATGTGAATGTCCACATTTAGATTATCAAATGACTGCAGTTTGTTTAGCACATGAAGAAGAATTCTTTAAAGAGGAGAAACCATATGTTTGTTTAGATTGTACAGAAAAGTTAGTTGGTTTATAATATCTGATCTACTGAAATTAAACATTTCTTAGACCTTGTTAAAAGAATATGCTTAGTTTTTGATAAGTCTTGCTGATTGAACGCTATATTCCGATCCTAAGCTAATCTCGTAACCCTGCGACTTGAACATCAGAGAAAAGGCACAAATATAAGAGAAACACTTTACTCCAAAGGTTCATTTATGTACAGAAAATATAGGGTTTTTGTAATATTTTAGAAGTCCTTGGGTTTTCATAAAAATTCTAGAATACTACTAAACATAGTAGCAGTGTAGTAATTAACTAATCAAAACCTCTACATGTGACATTCACTTTCATGATGTTTCTAACAAAACTTTTAATCAAACGCTTATTGGATAAAATATTCCTAGTGCTTCCTGAACTTGTCATGTTTATTGCGAGAAATTTGCAGGATCATCTCAACAGTTTTTGATTACACCACCTGTCTAGGTATTCTTCCAATAGTCAAGTTTTTCAAGAATACCACAATAGATAATATTATTATCAACCAATAGTAAACCATAGTTTTCAATGATAATAACAATTGTTGCTGGTTAATTCAGTGTTTTCATAGATAACCCCATAGGAAATATAATACTTCTCAAAATTTTACATATCATTCTCAATAACTTTTACCTAATGGTAAGTATATGCATCAATTATTAAATAGGGAAAGGATTGAAAGACGTTTTAGGGGTTTCGGGCTATTCAAATAACATTAGTCCATGAAATCCCTAACTATTGGTTTAAAGAATGTAAACAGATTTCGACATTAATTTAGCATTCAGAAGTATTTTATAGGACGTAAGTTTCAATGGAACAAACGAATTCATTGGGTTTTTCCTCTAAGCATCGTAGATGTATATTTCTTTGTCATTATGCTCGTTTTTTTTGTACTAGATTGGATTTTGATAACTTGAACTAAAATACATTCTTTGATAAGTCAGAATAAAATGGCGATTTCACGTTTTCTTTGACTTGATGTAACACTTTGTAACATTTGCTTTATGTTCAGTGGAACGTTTTAGTCAGTATGATATCATTAAGTGTGTGTAAAATCAGTTTATCAATGAATGGATTTGGTTTAATAATGTTGGGCTAATGGAATACTTGTTTCAGGGTAGAGTTGTTGGATATTCAGTAAACATTCAAAGTATTAGTCCTTGTGTTCTCACTTGACGTTCTAGGAGTTGAAATATTTCCTGTTTCTAAGTACAACCAGTAGGATCAGGGATACTACACTTGTATATCGTCCTATTTAGTTCATGCTTATCTGTGTTGACTAGATGCTAATAAAGAGATTTAATGGGTGTTACTGTGTCAGATAAACATCATCATATTGTTCATTCTCTTTAGAATTGTTTTACAATCACTTAATTGAAATTCTAATAGTAAGTTATCTGTGGGATATGATCTGATTAAGTATCATCTGCCATAATCAAGTCAATAATTTTACCATTATTCAGTACATTTATCTAATTGAAACAACTGATACAACTTTAAGAAGTACGGATTTACATTGGTAATACAACGATCCACAACAAACACATCTATCTTTTCTATTACTTTTTACATAAAGTATGGTCGATGAACGAACTTACCAATGGTTTTATGAAACATTCTCCACTTTTGACTCACTTTGATCTTGATGCTGCCATGGTCCGTTTATATACCAATCATAAACTTGTACGTTTTTTCACAAATCACAATAAGCTCAGTTAACTCTTTTGTAGGATCCATTAGATATTATTCAAAACAGATAAATTTTTAAAGTCAAATAGCTTACTTGTTTTAACTTTAAGCCAAGCTAAGAATATATGCTTGACAGCTTTGAGAATGATTTTATAAATTCGTTAGTAATTAATTAAATCTTGCATTATTTTTAACTGAACTGTAAAAGTATCACAAGATGGTGGAGAAGATTTGTAGCTCAGGTGGGTGATTTTGATATAGGTTTGTTCTCTGAGCTGGATGGTTTGGTTGTGGAGCTGTTGATTGGTTCTTATTAACCTTAAATCTGTCATTGTTTATTTAAGGTCAATAAGAACCAATCAACATTGAGGTGCACAGGACAAGCTGTGAATCGCATGTGGAGAAATTCAAACACTTCTATTCTACCCGAAGTTGGTGCTGATGATGTCGTTCAGAAGGACGATGAAAGTTCGACGACCAAACCATCCAGCTAAGAGAACAAACCTACATCAATATCACAAGACAACATCTAATCTGTTGCTTATGGGAATGTATAATAAGCAAAAATTTAACTCTTCATATTTCTAACTAAACTAAAGTAATGATTAAGAAATGATCAGATGAATTATGTTGATTGGCCCAACTGTAAACTAAACTACTCAATAAGATGATTCAAACCACACAGTAAAATGTATCAAAATCTATAATAATGTAGAGGCTAATTTCCTATCTATTTTACTCCAATAGATAATATCTCGTTGATTGGGTACTTACTCAGGTTAAATCTCCTGGTAATATTATACGTTTACTCGAGATTATTCAAAAGTCAGAGCACCAGTTGTGTGGATAATGTACTGTTAATAATTGATAAAATCTCCAAGGTACTTAGAAAGCAAACACAGAGGGAAATGAGAGAGAGAGAGAGAGTGAAAGAGTAGACGCCAAAGAGGAACGGATTGGAGAAGACATATGAACCCACTCAATTTAACTAAGCATTACTCAATATTTATAATCAGAACAACAGTAAGCTACAGACATACGCTGACTGAGATAAAGAATATACACACATATGCTCACATAAAAAATAGTCAAATTATCAAGTGAATAACTAACACAGTCAAAATAAGAGTGTCCGGAACTAAGGTTAAGCTATATGGGCTTGACATCGAAACCGACACTACAATAACAAATTTTTGTCCCTCTGTCAACCAATAGTCACTCTCTATCATACTGAAAAACTATTATTTTTATAAAAACAGGGTTTTTTTTTCTAGTCAATATCAAATCACATTCTCACCTTAATGAGTGGATGCACACTGCTAAGGAGTCCCACATTAGGACGAAATGGCCGTCAAGCAGTGCTTTCAGGTTTTCCATGGTGGTCTAGCTCCAATTGACTCATAATTTTAACTAGATATAATAATTTTTTCATGAAAAGAATCAAATTGAAGCTAATTAAAAAACTTACATATGTCTTAGAGACAATTATTTAATTTAAAGCAATTAGTCCCTTTGATAAATTTCGATAATGCAATGAGAAGACGAAGATTATCGTCTTCTCATTGCATTATCGAAATTATTTAATTGTGGAATATCTTATTACCCATGTTAAATTAATCAATCATTTAGCTGTGTATAAGTATAATCTAAGTTAGCTTAAGTTATGTTTTTAAAACATTATAACATTCCAATTATGTTTAAAAATGTTAACAATTGTAAATCAAATCCACTTAAAGAAAGAGTAAGAGATCAGCCATAGCAAGCTATCAAGGAGCTTAAGTTTAAAAAAAGAAAAAATGTAGTTGATGAAAGAGTCTAAAGTCATTCTTTTCCATTTCTTGAAAGTTGTCTAATAGTGTTTTATTACTATGTAATCAATACTCTAACTCTGTTGTTTAATGCTTAGTACTCGAGGTCGATATTGTGAAGTATGTGCAGAAATGTATTATGGTGATCCACTGAATGGGATACCATGTCGTTCATGTAATTGTGGACCCGCTGCTATAGGATGCAATGCAACAAATGGAGCTTGTATCTGTGGATTTAATACAGCTGGACCGCAATGTGATACATGCGCTGAAGGAACGCATGGAGATCCAACTAGAGGACAACCATGTAGACGTATGTTTGACCATATTTATTTCAGTGATTTTTATTCGGTCACCATTTTAATGATTTGAAATTTATATGACTGATCATCATTTGTGTGTGCAGGAAATGAACTTTATAAGGTATTTTGAAACTCAGTAGTCTAAAATTTAATTGCTCTCTGAGAAACCTGGAAATCTTTAGCTTTATCTCGTATGTGTACATGAATGTGCACTACTGAAAAGTTCTATACTGGGAAACAACAACTGTCTAACACTTTCCAGTTTATCTTTATGGTTACAAAATTAAGGTCGCTTTTCGATGCCAATTATGGAACTGAACATTCTTCACAGAACATTTTTTTCAGTTTACATTACTTTTTCTAAAGAGATAAGTCTAAACTATCTTCATCAATTAGATTTTGAGGAAAAAATGTCGTTGAGATTATGCTGTCGGTTAGGGCGAAAATGATTTAATTATAATCAAATGTTATAGAGTTGAGATCATGAATCAATTTACGCTAGACCACCATGGAACACCTGGAAGCACTGGACGGCCGTTTCGTCCTATTATGAGACTCCTTAGCAGCACGCTTCCACGATCCCGCCTCGCGAGATTCCAACCCAGGATCTACCAGTCTTGCACCAGAGCACTTAACTGATAGACCACTGAGTCGGAGGTGATCCAATGGTGTTAATGTCTAACTTCAACCGATCCACGAAATTGAGCAACCATTTACCAATGTCATCAGTGAGTTGATATCTCCCAACAGACTTGTTTGAACTCCACTGGTTACTGCTTCTCTACAAAACCCCTTCTGATATTATCGAATGGTTAAAAGTACCCATATAACTAGTGAGTGACCTGTACAGTGATCGAACGAATTTAAGGTGTTATTTATTTTTTATTTCCAATTTAAAATGATCAAATCCTGATGATCTGAAAAATTCAGTTTTATAAGCTCAACTGTGAATGATTAAAGTAAATACTTAAAGGGTGTTTTTTGACTCAGTTGGGTGCTTTCCTCAATGTGTGTCCTATTCACTTCCAGCGCTTATTCCTGATTTCTTCCTCCGCTGAAATCTGGTTTGTTGTCTCCCACAGTAGGTTGTTGCTGATAGTGTCTGACCAACGGATCCAAAGTATTTTGTGTAGACAACTATTAATAAACACCTGTATCTTCTGGATGATGGCTTTCGTAGTTCCCCAAGTTCCCGTTCCATACATTAGAACTGTGTTGACATTTGTATTGAAAATTCTGATCTTGGTGTTGGTTGACAGTTATTTTGAATTTCAGTTGTTCTTCAGTTGTAAATATGCTGCTCTTGCTTTGCCTATCCGCGCCTTCACATCTGCATCAGATCCAGCGTGTTCATCAATGATGCATCCCAGTTATTTAAAGGTTTTTACATCCTCCAAAGCTTCTGAGTCATGTGTAATTTGATTAGTGCATGTTGTGTTGTATAGGTGAGCCTTGCTTTCCCTTGGTGTATATTGAAACCTACTGCTGTCGAGGCTGTTGCTACACTGGTCGCATTCTCTTGCATTTGTTGTTGCGTGTGTGATAGAAGAGCCAGATCATCTGCGAAGTCTAAATCGTCCAGCTGCATTGTAGCTGTCCACTATATCCCATGCTTCCCTCCAGATGTTGACGTCTTCATGATCCAGTTGCTCTTCGCCTGTAGCCCCTCCGGGGGCTACTGCCAGTCCCAAGCTCGGATAAAGGAGGAGGGTTGGGCATGCGGTTAGCGACCCCATCCCGTAGAAAACTAACTCGTTAAAAACGCTAACCAGAAAGAATAATCCAAATCTAAGTCAATTACATTCATGAAATAAGAAAAATCGACATATATTTAACATACATCGAACTGTGATAAAATCATACTTTATTCTCTAGCAGTTGTTTCCAAATACTATTCATTCCCTTGATATCTTGATCCGATTCCCAGCTCCATGTATTCTTTGGTCTTCCTATTTTCCCTTTGGGATTGAGAACTCCTAGCTAGAGCTTGTGATCCAATTTGATTATTTCTGTAATATACATCCTATCCACCTCCAGTGTCTTTCCATAATTTTCTCTTCAGCTAGAGACTGGTTTATTCTCTGCTACAGTCGGTTGTTCCTGATGGTGTCTAGTCAACGAATCTCGAGAATCTTGTGTGAACAGCTGCTTACAAGTGCCCGTACATTTTTGATGCCTGTAGTACTACAGTATAATATGCACTAAATAAGAACCACTTTAAGTTTTATTGGGAATTAGAAATTCCTGACACGAAAATGAATATTAATATTGTGTGAAATTTAAATAAAGCGGAATTTTTTCTCAACTATGTAGATTGCTTACTTACGCCTGTTACCCCTCGTCGAGGAGCATAGGCTGCTCACCAGCATTCTCCATCCCACATTGTCCGGACGCTCCGTGTACCTATAAAGAGTGTTGCTCTGATTGTTAAAAGGTGCATCGGCCTCGTGACTTCCGAAAATTGTCCGCTTTCATCATGAGGCGTCATAAGTATTCCTTCAACTCCCAGGGCAGAGTTTAAATGGTTTGAATTATTTTTCCTGGTTGGCGTTTTTTTAGCGAGTTAGCTTTTCTACGGGATGGAGTCGCTAACCCCATGCCCAACCCTCCTCCTTTACCTGGGCTTGGGACCGGCAGTAACTCTAGAAGAGCTACAGGTGTAGTTAACTATGTAGATAGTACTGTTTATTGTACATTATAAATTCAGTGATAATGTTACATTCATTAATATAGGGGTTATAAAGAACAAACTAGACAACATTAGTTTATACAGACTTTGTGACAACACTTTGGTTATTTCAATAAGATTTTTTCCCTAAATGCCTATTTCATTAATTTTAAATTTATTTCAGCTTGTAATTGTCATCCAAAAGGTAGTATCTCTCCATCATGTAGACTTGAAGATGGTCAATGTAATTGTTTATCAACATATGAAGGTGTTAGATGTGATCGTTGTATACCCGGTCGTGGTAATACAGAAGCTGGTTGTCCACCATGTCAATGTGATCCTATTGGTACTAGACCAGAATATTTAACAATGTGTGATCCAGTCTCTGGACAATGTTCTTGTAAACCAGGAGTTGGTGGTACTTTAGATTGTTCAACATGTCAAATAGGATATTACAATCTAGGTCCAAATGGATGTACAGGTAATAATTTCCCTTTCTTTTTTTATACTATCTTACTTGGCACTAATTATTCCATATAGTTTATAAGTAAGCGGTTCAAGTAAAAAAAAAGTGAAACAGCAAAACAAGTAAATGTCCTCCAAAAGAATATATCTGTTAATTATTCTAACTTTTGAATGGATTTTAATAACTCAGACAGTAAGCAACAATTGAGTCGATTGTACCTTCCCTAATAACTTTATTAGTTTCATAGGAAGTTGTGATTTTCAGTACATATACTTCTTATATTCGCGCCTTGGTAACTCTACACTTGCTCATCTCATTTGTGTGAGCCTGTACATTTGTTATTTTATTCAATACCTGTTTCTTTGTCAAATTATGCATTGTCTATTATGAGTTGCATCAACGTTTGCAATTAGTAGTATCTTGGATAGTTACATGCAACATCGCCGTTTCTCTCTTTGAGCGACGCTAAGGTGAACTTCAGAATGTTCACCTACTTACTAGAGCTTAATGAGGGTTATAAACCTGTATGAAGAATAAAGATGAAGACTTACAGTCGATGGTTCAGGTTAAGAATTAGATTTAGTGTTTTCATCATGAACCGATATCAGCTAAAATGCCAAAACACTATCTAGACAAATAAGTTAATGAATTTCACGTTCAAATCCAAGACCTGTTATCCCTAAATCTGATTGGTTCGTCCATAAATTATAGTCTCGCTGTTTACTTACTAATATGCAGAGGATAACTTATCTCAATCTAGATTAAAACTTGTACGCGATAGAGCTGACTGGTTTAACCTTGAGTCTAGTATGCATGAGTTCGAATTGAGACTAACTGTTTGAAATAGAGAGACGAAAACTATTCTATCACCTAAATGGCTGGCAAGCGCGAGCCAACTGAAACACTACTAGATTTATCCATAATTCCGAATTCACATTTCTAATCCGGATCCGATTCAGATTGGCGCGAAAACGATACATAAATAATTAGATGACTAACAAAATCACAACACACAAACAATTAGAAAAATACAATGACGTTCGGTTAGAAAATAGAGTACAAATGATGACGTTTAAATTACAATAGCTTTGGAACAGAAAAGGGCATGACAATGAATCATGCATCAAACGAAAGCTTATGATCTGTAGAATAAACTAGGAACAAAGATAAGTGTTTGTCAAGACTTCTTGTTGCTCTGTTTACATCATATATACATATGTCTTTTTTATAAAACGAACATTATTTACAGAGTGTAAATGTACTTCAAGAGCAATCGATCGAACATGTAATCCAATCACAGGTCAATGTAAATGTGGTGAGAATGTAGTTGGAGATACATGTGATAAATGTCTGGTATGTTTTGTTTTAAACCATACGTACAAATTTCGATAAATCCTAATTATTTAGAACTTGACAAATAACTCATGATTTTAAATTGTGTCTAATGGTAAGCAAAGATGGATAGTGGCTACCAGTAGAATCCAGGACGCGCGTTTCGCCCTACTTAGGACTCGTCAGCTGGATGTGCCTGCATCTCAGAGTTCATGTTCACTCTGGGACTCGAACCCAGTACCATCGCATTATCCACTCAACCACTAAGTTCTGGTATCCACTTGCTTGTTCAATGTGGTGAAGTTTAAATTCACTTAGTATTGTTTGTCTGAATCTTCCCACTACCCATTTTTGCTTACCATGCTTGTGAATTTAGCCTATATCGAGGCAATACGCGCAGTATGCATATATGCCAATTAGAGACTGACCAGTTGCAGTCTTAGAAACATCAATGGGAAGATTCAAACAAACAATACTAAGTGTATATGTCTAATGGCTTTATGGAAACGAAAGTATTTAGATAGTGGTCAATCAATGTTAAATATTCCAATGGAAACTGAATTGAAAGCTCGACTACTTCAGCGAAAAATATCTCAGGCTGTGATGGTGGGTGACTCCAATTTGAATCTCACAGGGATCATCAGTTACCCCAAGACTACAGGTATGTCTGGTTGAAAAATATCAAATAAAGTGAAATCTAGGTCTGTAGATTCCAACCAATTACCCTCGACCACTTGATAATCCTATCGATCTACTGATGTTGAAGAAAATAATGCTGATAAAGATAAATAACTTGATACTAAAATATCAAAACTAATTCACAGTCAAGTTAAGTAAATCAAAATGTAACTTTGTAACTGGAATGTATGGATCATTCTGATTGTTATAACAAATGGAATGAGTTATTTAGATTACTTACTTATGGCACCAAAAAGTGATCTGAAGATAAATTAATAACTCTTTTTAAGTACTAAGATCAACGTTTATCCTCTTCATTGTTATATTCAGTAGAAATCTTTGTATGACAGAGTTACTCAGTTTAATGACATTTATTAAATAGACTCACTATGGGCATCTCTTGCATCGTCTTCAACGAGTGATACGTAGTTGAAATATGAATATTCCTTCGTAGATTACTTGAAGCATATGCCTGTCTTTTAGTCTTTTCAATGTATTCGTTTGTTAAGGAAGAGGTTCAGCACTCTACAGGAAACCCTTGAGCTAGGTTTCATGTTAGTCAGGATTTGTTATTGTAGTACATAGGCAGTCTAAGAGGGAATCATGCTTTAAAAGGGTTTGAGCTCATATCACAATTTGAGACATTTCCACAGAGCAAATCGAGCTCTTTTTTTACTCTGTCGACTTCTGATTAGCTACAAATAACTTATAGTTACAAGTGAAATACATTTTTAACATTGTTCATTTGGTGAAGTTCCAAATTGAATACATCATCAATATCATTAGCACAGAGAATGAAAACCATTTTAAGATAAATCTCAGAAGAGCAGTAGTAGTGACAACATGAGTAGCAGTAATGGTAAAAATAAGCTACAGAAAATGACAAAAGTAATAAAGAGATTTGAGACTCAGATTTTAGAGGAAGACAAGGAGTGAATGCACAATAGCCATTGAGAATCATTCTTAGCCATGTCTCCCAAAGTCTCTGACCACCAGTTGCGATAATCACGCGAATACCAACCAGATAGTCTTCATCTATCACCATGACTCAATCCAACTGACAGTGACTTCATAGATCGGTGGTACATCTTGGCTTGGCCACCCTTAGCTTTCTTTCATCTTACTCGTACACTAAAAAACATCACCTGTCGAGGTAGACGGTGGTTGGGCATATGTAAAACAGAATGCAGGAGAAGGAAGTAGAATTACAGCAAGGAAACTACATAAATCATGATATTTAGCATATTAATTAAGGCTAATGTATACTTATTTCCTTTCAAATCAGTCAAATGCTAGATTTATATTCATAAGAACTAATTTTTATTCATTTATTTTATTATAGCCTGGATACTATTGGAATAACACTGGATCAAATTGTTTACCATGTAGTTGTGGTATAGGAACTGAATTAACTAGAACACTAACTCAGTTAACTGAATGTGACATGAATACTGGTCAGTGTAAATGTGCTCCACATGTCGTAGGACGAGATTGTACAGAATGTGAATTGGGATATTTTGGTGTTTCTGAAAGTGGTTGTAAACGTAAGTGTTGCCATCGTTGATAAATGTCTTATCATTAATGTTTTTTTCCAGTTTTCTTTTTTTCCTTATGGATCTGTACATATGAATTCATCACAGATTATTCAAAGTTTACACTACGTTCCTCGTTACTCAAACTTTCTTCAAGTATAACTATAGAGTTAATCGATCAATCATAGTTAATGTAATAGAACCTATCATAGATGTCCAACGGCTGAAAGTAACACAACGAGATGAACTTAACAACATTAAGAGTAAATTATTCAGAAGAGAAACAGTGTTATCAAAGAGAGTAAAACTAACAAATGGTATATGAAGTGTATCATTTTAATTTGATCTAGTGTGAATCCGCTTGTACGGACTTCATAAAAGTCCCAACTCAAGAAGAAATATTTCTACAATATACCCTGATTCCTAAAGGTTCATCTATTTAAAATTTTAAAGTGGTAACAAAATAGCTGTTTAGGTTACTATGATGCTTAACGTTTCTTCTTACGTCAGATGTCAATATTTTATGGTTGAAGGAAAGGGAAATTATAGAACATTTAAAAGAAAGGCTTCATTTTTTTTTTGAAAAATCGTTCATATTTTTGTTTGTGTTTTATACTCAAATGAGATTTTTCATTTTATAGCTTGCTTACCTTGCCCAAATGGTCAAGTTTGTGATCAGATTACTGGAAAATGTATTTGTCCACCAAATACTGAAGGTGATCGATGTGATAAATGTATTGCTGGATCATGGGACTATAATCCAGTGATTGGTTGTAAAGTTAGTTTAACCGTTTTATTATGAGTATAAGAAATGTATATTTAAAGAAGATTTTGTGAATAACGTTGAACTTCATTGGCTATCACAGTGATCTTAGGGTTAAGAGATTCCCGTGAGAGTTAAGGCTTCTGATTTAAGTCCCCATTAAAGTCTTGTGTGTGCACTACCCATAAGTCCTACACTAGGATGAGAGGTTTTCATTGTTTCGTATTTTTCAATGGTCATCATAATTAAAATCAAAACATGATTACATCATCAAGTGAAGAGAGATTCAAGTCTTTGAAGCAGCATTTGTTCCCGGAGAAATGAAAATATGCCGTGCTACTAATGTTTGATATATAATTCCTGAAGGTGTCAGGAGTCTTCTTAGTATTACTGCTGCGGGGTTAAACCACGAAGTATACATTTTCATTGTAAAGCACAATGTTCTAGACAGGAGTGATGAGTCAATCGAAGACGTTTTACAGTTACTTGGTTATGTATTACAGATCTAAATTTGTCTTGTATGCGAACATGTTATACTGATTGATAGAATTAGATCATCACTAAAAAGTTCACGAAAAACATGTTACTGGTCACTACTCAATAATCTTTCAATAGTGAACTGCCTTACAGAGTATCGATCGCTGCTCGATCAGCTCAGTGGTAACAAGTCTGACTGTAAGGCTGGGTTACACGGGATCGAATCCATTAAAAAGCGTTAGTCTCCAGGATTGCGAATAAAACTTCGTGCTGAGTGCTAAGTAGCAGGAAACCTAGATCTAGGGTTTCCTTTGGACTTCCTCTAACTATCACCTTACTGATTCATGTGAAGGTCAAGTGGATAAACGTTGGGGAGAATCGGCCTCTGTAGACACTGACCTTTAATCTGAAAACTCTGGGAAAATGTAGGCCTCTTAACTGTAGTTCGCTAACTTATAGAAATCCGACATTGGATATAATAATAATATTGCTTAAGACTGTTATCAACTGCATAGAACTAATCATTGCTTACTTACTTGCATAACTTGTAAACCTATATGTCTCTGTTTACCCTTACTCTCCTTCTTAGTCTAATCGTATTTCAAGAATTTCTGTTATTTATTTCAAACCCAAGATTACAAGGTTTAAAAATCGCTGATTCAACGAATAGTTAAATGAATTCCCACCAAACATGTGTTGTTGTACACACAAAGTATATATTCTCTCAAATCATCAACATTACTATCCTTCTACTAATTTCGCACCCGGGTAGACAGTGGAGGCCATTACACCGTTCAACATTCAATTCTCATCTTGGTTCCAAGTTTCTGGTATGAATAAGCTTAGAGAGATCCTGAGTTACAGTGAAACTGCACATTATGTGCAACCTTACAGATTTGTATTGGGTGGCGACTAAACTATTCATGTATATTTCTCTGTTTTTCGTACACTTATGTCATATACGGTTTGATTATTAGCCATTTATAACTTTTCTTATCTTTTTTGTAAACTACAGAATTGTACTTGTTCGATAGATGGTTCAGTTATAGGCCTTGAAGATCAATGTGATTTAATCACAGGACAATGTACATGTAAACCAGAATTTTCAGATCGTGCATGTAATGAATGCAGTAAGGGTTATTATGGTTATCCTGATTGTAGAAAATGCAATTGTGATATGCGTGGTACTGCATGGGGAAATCTATCCATATCAGATACGGTTGTATCATGCAATCCAATCGATGGACAATGCAATTGTAAAGAAAATGTTGAAGTATGTATAGACATTTTGTATTTAAACCTTACACTACTCATCAGTAGTCCAATTTTTTAAAAATAAAAACGTACTCCGGGACTTACACGTGCCTGTATTGTTATTATTATTACTATTATTATTACTATTGATGTTTGCAGCCTGTAAACTAATAGGATTAGTTGGAACTGTATTCTGATATGAAACCTTTAGTAGTAGTTAGTTTAGTGTCAACTTAATTCACATATTCAATACAATATTAAAAGAAAAGAGAATCTCCTTGAATTTCCTCCAACACAACTTAATTCAACAGTGAATAGTTTTAGTGAGCTAAGCAAATATAATGGTCTGGTCAAATTTAATTTTTCTTTATTCCACTACTATACCAACCATAGTTTATGGTGTCTTTAAACTATTGATTTCCATTTATTTTATTAATGTTTTTGTTTTTAGGGTGATCAATGTGATCAATGTAAACCAGGAACTTTCGGTTTAAATATTGATTATCCACTTGGTTGTTATTCATGTTTCTGTTTTCCAACTGGTACACCATCCAAATGTAGCCTACTGACAGGTTATCGTTCTGTTCCGGGAAAGGTGAAAGGAGTTGAAGTAAGTAGTGAGATTTTTAATAAATTCTCAGAATTTATATTTCAACAACTATGAAAGTTAACTCTATGTTTATTTCTGGTTTATGTGCCTGACGTGTTCCATCATTTCCTTAAGGAATATTTAGATCTAGGTAATGAAACTTATCCTTTCTCTTACATTTCACTGAGGATTTAACGTTAGAATAAATTTTGTTGGAAGTCTTCAGCATGTTGTTTGTATGATCTATATTGTTCTACCACACGAAAGTAACATCGATGAACCTTACATAATGTTCAATGTTGTTGATAGTAGACATTAATTTCATTCTTATTAAATTTCCAACGAATATATCGTCTAGAATCAGTTCTGAAGGACTTCCAACAGCTACACTATCTGCTTGACATTATAATTTATCATTAAATTGATATTGGATGTTTAATGTGCATAGACACAGTAATTGTGTGGGTTTTATCTGTGATATGGATGTGTTTTATGATTGTTGGCTTATAGTGTCGAGATATTGCTAAATAGTAAAGATAAGTTTTACTAAATTTTCCATTATTTTACCTAGGATTCTACTTCGTATTCCATCGTTTATGAAGATTGGTTCACGTTGATACTGGATTTAGTCACTGGCTTTTAAAACTTAAAATCTGAGTTCACTGAACACTTGTTTTATCTTAATATAAAACTGCTCAGTAGTACATACTGATGATCCCACCATGGATTGCACCAAAAACTTTTAAAATTTGAATGTATGAGCGTCACCTCTAAACCACTGAGTCTAAATTCGGTACTTCAAATTTCCAAATTCAGTCAATTTATGATATAGTATGATACTGTCTAACAGTTACTGTCTTACCTATTATATGGTTGGATTCCACTACTCGGAACGTCTTCATAGATTGTCAGTAATTTATCTTGAAATCAGTCTACCAATAAGCATATTATTACTATTTGTTTAAGAGATTTGTGCAGATTCATCGATCAGTTCTAGTTTCTATCTTGTCACTTGATAGATTGATCGTGGTGATATCGACAGACCAGTGGCTGAGTGGATAACGCGATGGCGTTTGAAGTGAATGGTACTGGATTCGAGTCCCAGAGTGAACATCAACTCTGAGATGCAGGTACATCCAGCTGACCCGTCCCAAATAGGACGAAACGTGCGTCAAACTGGATTCTACTGCTAGCCACTATCCAAATCTATAATTACAGACCATTGCCATTTGCCACTTCATAAATTTTTCCATATTTCATCTGTTTGTGTATGAAAATGCACTTTTTCCACTAAGTCTACTTTTTCTATTTTAATATAAAGATAATTTCTACTGATGATCCACGTTATCCAGGTGGACCGTTGATTGATTTAAAACTTGGTTTAAGAGATATTGATGTAAATGAATTAACTATTGGTTTAAGTCAATTCAGTTGGCGTTTCTCTGTACATCGTCCAACTCATTTGGAAATACCAGAATTAAAAGGTTCACTAGTAAGTTTTGAATAATATTTTATCATTATTGATCAGAAATTGAGTGGGGGGGGGAAGACTGAGGATCCATTCAAACTTCCTAGTCGGAATTTTTGTGAATGTGTATTTATTGCCGTAAATGAATTCGACTTATTGTATGTAATATATAGACAACATATGGTAACATGTTTGACCCCACTAGATCACGATACTACATACGATATACGCATATACATAATTCCGATCAATGATCGAAAATTCGAATATTTAAGCTATATTAACCGCTTATTATCAGAATGTGAAATCCAGAGTGTAGTACAATGAAATCAGTAGTGAAAAGTTTACTTATGTGCTATAGTGTTTCATATATTTATTATTATTATTATTATTAGTAGTAGTATTAGCTTTATTCAATATTTTTGGTACAATATAGAATTCTCAGAACAAAGTATTTCAACAAGTTTCCGTTTCTTACTTCTTCATCGATCCTGATGATAAACATTGAGTGATCGCCTCTTAGAAGTTAGCAGTCAAGTCAATAGACATCTGAATAATATACATTCTTTTTTGGTGTATATTGCCAGCAACCACGATATCTCTGATTAGGCCTTTTGTAACTTTTACAGCGAAAGGTTGTACATTTTTCAGAAATTCACCTGAATAGGTTTTGCGATTAATAGCCATAATGATGTATTAAAACAAACAAAATTAGATAAGTTGTTGAAATATATAGATGACAGGAACGGGTAGCCCAGATTCTTAAGCAGGCCACAAGTTAATTGATTTAGCATAGAGGATATCCATCTGTTTTCATTCATTCATCACTTACACCAGCCACATATTTTTATCTGGTGGTGTAAGGCGATATCTAAATGGTAAACTTATATCTTAAACAGTTATGGATGAATATGGATGGCAAGTAACTGTTATTGAAAAACTTAAAGTTGAATGAACATTAAACTGGTATCTCATTGTCACATTGTATATTTCTGTGTCGACAATTCTTTACTGTAATCAAGCATATAGTAGTGAATAGAGTATATATATATATATATATATATATATATATATATATAGTAGTCAGTAAGCTGAATGTCTGTCAGTTTGTAGTGCCGTGTTTCATTAATAGTTCACCCTGATAACCGTTATGGTACAAGTCTTAACGGCGCATTATATCAGAAGGCAAAGGGAAGCGGCAACTACATTTTTATTGACAAATAATGTAGACCAGAAAGCTATGAGCAAATGTAAGCGAGCGAAGCATACATGACACTTAGTGGAGATGGTTGGTAAGCCAACTCGAGAGCGAAGCGAAAATAATACGTATTGGAGATGGCGGGAAAGCCAATTCATTTTAAGCAAGCGTTAATCAACATTTATAGTCAGACAAAAATGAATGACAGACATATGTTGAATAAGATACGAAGTGTGCACACATATACGCTCATATAAAAATATAGTCAAGGTTAATAAGTGAATAAATAACAAGATCAAAATATGACACATAATGGACAAGCGAATTAGCTTGGCCAGTAGCTAGAATAAAGCATATGGGCTTAAAATGTCAAACGATACTACAAGTTCATGTTCAGTGTTTAATCATGTCTTTCGCTAGCAGCATATCATATGATAAGCTCTTTGATTCATTTTTTATAATAGTAAGGGCTCTGGCTCGAGACTGGTAGGTCGTGGGTTCGAATCTCGCGAGTGCGGGTTCGTGGATGCACACTGCTGATGAGTCCCATAATAGTACGAAACGGACGTACAGTGCTTTCAGGTTTTCCATGGTGGGTCTAACTTCAATTGACTCACGCTTTCAACTATGAAAAATACTAAATTTCCACAAAACCCCTTCTGATAATTTATAGTGAATACTTTGAAAATATTTATGCTCTTTTCTTTTATATCACATTTAGACGCGTAACTATGGAAGTGTAATTATTGGTGTATTGACGGAATGTTTACCTACTGGTGATTGTAAACTTGGCATTGAAGATGCACAAACTACTACTACCATACTATCCACTAGAGACGATTTACCTGGAGGTTTAATTATACGTAGAAATGATATTGTAGATGCTCGAATGACAGCATTAAATGGTTACATAGAAATGGAATATCAACCATCTGTAAGTTAATTATTGAGATTGGATGATTATCTTTTAATGTTGTTGTGTTTGCTTGTTTTTGAAATAAAGGTCTATTCAAATAAACCATGCTAATATTATATAATTTACATTATGAATTGACTCCAGTCAAAGAACCATTGAAAAACAAGAAGTGATGGACAACTATTTCCTCTTGGTATGGGGCTGTTTGGGAATCCTAAACCATAATCCCACCGATGATGGAATCCATGAGCTGCAATTCTCACACTGAGCTCTTAATCTTTAGACCACTCAATCGTCATTCAGTGGTTAACGTGTCCAATTTTAATCACTACATTGTATTACGCAAGTATCTTATAATGTTATTGGTAGCTAATCGCTTCATACCCAACATGATTAAACATCACTAGTCATTTAAGTGTTAATATTGTGTCAATAGAAAGATCAATTCACTGTTCCATTCCTTCGATTAACTCAAAGATATAAAATACTGAATATTTAGACGAGTTTCATAAGCTTCTAAATGTCGATGAAGAAAGACGTTGTTTATGATTATGTATTATGCTTTCAACTAAGTTGTTTAATTGACAAACTTTCATTGGAGTTCATGAAACATCATCATTATTAACTTCAAGTCGAAATATTCTTATGTCTTTGAAGAAAGACACACTCAACATTATTGATTAATATCAAGCAATTTATTTTGATCAGTTTAACATTTGAATTATGCTTCATTATTTATTATTAGGAAAATTCACCTACATCTATAGCGGATGGTTATCGTCAAATTTGGCTTCGTGAACAAGATTGGGTATTGACACGTGTATCTGGTATTGATACACGTGTTCGACCAACACGTAATGAATTAATGTTAGCTTTACTTAATGTTACATCATTTAGTGTACGTTTATTTATGCCTGAAGCAAGACCAAAACTTGTAAGGTAAGTTTTTTTTAACTTTAAAGATGATATAGAATATTTGGATGGGTTTTTCCTAGTATATATGCATAATAAATTCTTCTTCTAAAGAGTAAACGATATTTACAGTCCGAATAGGATAGCGATAATATCTCAGACAGTGAAGTCGGATTACTTGGGTTCAAATTCTACAGGGAGCATCAGCTTTCTGACGAGTGATAACTAGCGCAACACTTAGATCACTCAGATTTTACTCCTGACTATTTTCAACTGCCTTACAATAAACAGAAATATGAGAGTCAAAAGAAATTTCCTAGTTTTTAGTCATAGATTTGCCGATTGATTAATGATGAAAGTTTATATTTCTTTGTTCATGATAACTAAGACTAAATCGAAGAAGTACTGCAATTCAATATTTGAAAGAAGAAAAAAGGTGGATGGATCTGAGTCACTGTCAGCTGTTCTGAGCCATATCATGGCACGTCTTCAACCACCGATCGAAGTTAGCAACCAGACCTCAACCACGTAATCTACATCTACCAACATGCCTATGTTTACTATTCATTACTCCAAATGCTAGTGTGTAGATCACGAGCTTACTCAACCTTCATGCATAGCCATACACAAAGTGGAACCTGAAAGATATGTTTGTCGGTTCCAGTCGCCACATGACATCACTATAGATGAATAATATTATTACGACAATTCTCGTTGTGATAGAGTTAGTTACCGTTTCAGTAGTCGTCGTAGAAAAGGACAAATACTTACCAATTGTTCAACTATTAGGATAAACATTATCTTTAACGTAAACATTTGAATACATTAAGAAACAATATCCGAAGAAGAATTCCATATTTGTGTTGGTTGTTTGAATCTTCCCATTGATAGTTAGAACTGCAGTTGATCAGTCTCTTATTGGCATATGTACATCCTATGCTGATTGCCTCGATACTGCCTTAATTCAAGTGCATTATGAAAGGAGATGATGGTGGCTAGGAGTGGAATTCAGGGCGTGCGTTCTGTCCTATTTAGGACTCATTAGTCGAATGTACGTGCATCCTCTGGATTCGAACCCAGCGCTGTTGGCAGCAAACGCCATCGCATTATCCACTTAGCTACTGAGTCCAGATGACCATTAGCTTGTGCAATGGGATGAATTAAGAACATTTAGAGAGACCAAAGCAAAACATTGTGTCAGTCCATGAAGTCACAAACTATTGGTCTGAGCCACGATGATAGATGAAAACTATGTGATTGGGAGTAGCACGATTGTCCTAACTAAAGATTTGACATGTTAGGTGATCTGGCTCAGATACTGTAACCCTTGTATGGTAATGGTAACTTGAACTAACGCATACATTTGACGAATTCCACTTTGCTTATAATCAAATAATTATAAAATTGAATGGGTTATCTTACATATAATTTACAATTATTTTTGCTTTAACATATTTTTCCTTAGTGTAAAATATAAAATTTACCAACCACGTACAGAAATAACAACACTATCTGGAATTGAAATTAAAACAATTGAAAAATGTGAATGTCCACCGACTGCATCCGGTGATCACTGTGAGGTGTGTGTGTGTGTGTTTATTAGTTTTATGTTTATTTTAACAAATAGACCTAGATTTATGTGAGCAACTATTTGTAATTGAAACACAAAACAATCGCATTCAAGCGTATTCGAAAAAGCAATAACTCCGCCTGTAACTCCTCCGGGGGCTACTGCCGGTCCCAAGCCCGCATAAAGGAGGAGGGTTGGGCATAAGGTTAGCAGCCCCATACTGTAGAAAACCAACTCGCTAAAAAACGCTAAACGAAAAATATATTCAAATCTAGTCTTCAAATTGATGAATGTTAAATTGGTTAGTAGGTGACATTGTCTAAACACTTCACCACATGCTAGATCTTAGCCAGTAATGGAATCCAGAACCGGCGTTTCGTCCTATTTGTGATACATCATATGGATGTATTTGCATCTCAGATTTTATATTCATTCCGGAGTCTAAGTTTGAATGAAGCTTCGTGCTAGCTGACAACAAGATATACCTACAATTTCGAGAGAATTGTCACTCCCTGTGGAACTTGAATTCTTATCACCGAGTCTCACATTATGAGAAGTTGTGCCTTAACTGACATGCTGCAGGACTGAGATATTTGCAATTGATTTATTACTGAGTATTGATCAGTGTGATGTTAATTTATTTTTCGAGTGTTAATTGAATTCTATGTAACCTGGATTCAGGGTTCCCTGTCGAATACCTCCAACTATCTAACATTAAAACATAAAGCATAGTATATAAAATCACTTTGACTTTTGGCCACATTATAACTTGATCAATATTATCCGATCAACACAAAATAATTGTATAAAAATGATATTAATTATTGCTCAAAACCCGACTCACACGTCCTCGTCGTGCCTCCTGGATCATGGGACTGATTCCATGAACTAACGTGAGCGGTAACCAGGTGGTGGAGATCGGGCTAATCACCCTCTCTACCTATACCCACCCCTTGATTACGAAAGCTACAAAGCTACAAAGAAGTTATTGCTCAATAACCAATCATTTGAGTTACGTGATTTAAATGAATCTTAACAATTACGGGAATTGACTATGGCTTACTTTTATTCAGTTCATCTTGTCGATAAGTCAGTTGACTTTCAAATAATAGAGTTTTCATGAGATGAATTTTTCATCTTTATTTAGTAATATTGTATTTTATGATGTCTCTTTTCATTATCTTGTTTTTATCCTGATAGATTGCTTCATCTGGATTTTATTTCCCATCAATCAAACCAAAACCTGGACGTGAAATTCTACCACCAACCTCTATAATTGATCCTACCCTTCCAACAGGACATATAATTTGGGAAGGTGGAGCTCAAAAATGCCGTTGTCATGGTATGTCTTCGAATTGTGATCCAATCACTGGAATATGCTTGGATTGTACTGGTAACACAGAAGGTCCAGACTGTGGAAATTGTGCTACAGGTTACATGGGTGATCCAAAAATTGGACAACCATGTGTTAAATGCCAATGTCCTACAGAACAAACTGAGTAAGTATTTTGTTGATAAAAACATACTTTATAGTATCTAATTAAGCTCTTTTGACACAGATTTATTAAGTTGAACTTTCTACCTGTTGGGATTTTTGTCACCGTTGTGTTTCTGGAATGCTTAACTGACTTGTGCTCAATGTTAAAAGTCCTTAATTTGACAACACGTAGTAAGAATACGAAAATGATAGATCAGGATTTGAATAAAAATCCTTTACGACGAAATCACTTACTTAAGTGATCCATTCGTATTTATGGTTGTTAGATAAATGTATAAGTGTATAAAAAGATAGAAGAGGTTGTATCATAAACTGATCGGAGATTTGAAATATGAAAAGGAGGTTGTGTACTGATCAAAAGGTTGGAAGAGAACAGGAGAATGAATGAGATAACTGTCCACTTGGAAGATATGAAGAAGCAGCTAACAACTTGAAGGACATAATTAATGACTGAATAATAATAATCATGAAAAATTGTTAGAGGATAAAAATAACTGATTACGATTTGATAAAGTACAAAACAGCAAAAAAAGACGACTAAAAGATGTTGGAGAAGGGAATTAAGGCTATGGAAGGATAAGAGGTTGAACGTATCGTTTTTACACACAGTGTTCGGGTTTGAATAGGTGGATCGTCAATCCCTCAATTATGTATAAGTTTTTGATCCAACCTACGTTTAATCCAATTCGTTTAACTGCATAGATTAGTTTAAAGGGCGAATCCTTTGGAGGAACGCGCCCAGAAGGAATCACGTGCTCCTGTATTGAACTAATGATCGTTTTGCATTCCTCTTTTAAAAGCCATACCGAGAAATGTTCTGAGACAAGTTTAGTAACTATTCACTTTGTGCGGCCAAAATAACCTCCTCCATAAGTGCAAGTAAATTTATTGGTGCACATCGATTTAACTTAAAGTGAAAGTCTATGCTTAATAGATCCATAAATCGTAGGCCGACTTAAAGAGACAATATGAATGTGGAATTCGTTGGCAACTATATGATGAAGTCCTTAAGGTTTTTCGTTTTTATTACTATGTTTCTTCATCTTTTGCATCAAAGTAATTTTTATCTCTTTTATTTCCCCATTTCTTTTCACTTTCTAAAGTTATGCAATCACGTGTACACCATCAACCGATCCTTCATTTTTACCACATAAATGTATTTGTAAAGTAGGCTATGCTGGTTTACGATGTGAACAATGCGCTCCTGGGTATTACGGTGATCCAACAAGCATGACTGCGTGTCAAGCATGTGATTGTGATATTGGCGGATCAAGATCGGAAACATGTAATCAAGATACTGGACAATGTGATTGCTGGCCTGGTATTAAAGGGCGTAGATGTGACCAATGTGAAGAAGATCATGTTGTTGATCATGGAACGTGTCGTGGTATGTAAAACAGATGATAAGTTTTTAATAGTACTGTTTAACTTTAATTGATGTTGTACTCAATGCCATACGACATGGTGATGTTCTCTCACTTTGACCTATGTGCTTTAATCTTTCCAATAAAGAACATACCTTAAGGCAGATAAGTTAACGAGCTTGTTGAGTTTTAAACTTATGACATGCCTCTTCTCATATGCCAACTGAAAGTCAGACCGCAAGTGAGAAATTATATACGACCTATGCTTTGCGAGGAAATCAACTAAAAACCTATTTATGGTTTTAGCTTTAATTTTTTTGCTTGAGTTAGAAGGATTTATTTGGGTAATAAAACGGTTCGGTAAATAAATTGGTGTCGGGTGCATCTGCTTCATTCTCCAGAACTCTCTTCTTTGCTAGGTGGTAGAAATAGTTGGTATCCTTACAGAAGTCGTTTTCACTATCATCAGAATCTTTACTGAGTTCCGGAGTTTCAGAGAGCCTGCTTATTCCAATATTTTCGAACTGGCATACCAGACGTGACAATAATATGGGAAAACGCTAAAAACCTTCAAATAATATCAGATGTCTCTCAAGTCAGAAATCCGAAGGCTATTGACATCGCCTTCATAGACGCATCCAATAACACCAACTGGTAGACTGGAATTTCTTCTTTCTTAATTATATGGGTGCCGCCAATTCCTATGATGACTGTAAACCGGCAAGCTGTATTCATCTGATTGCATGTACAGAAGATATAGGAATGCAACTGACCGTTTACGTCATGCTGCATCTATGCTTCACTTCTGAACTGGATGATATGTGCTGCGAAGTCTTTAAAATCACTAATTAAGTCAACATTGTCAAAACTAATGAGCGAACCTGAACGTTTTGACTGTCTAAATGTACAGCGACGCATACTATAGACATCTTGTACCATGATTCGATTTTCGTTTGTTTTATAAACTAAGTTCATTAAAACGAAGTCTGCAGTTCCCGACAGTAGTAAAGTGCGAACACTCTTCATTTGGTCTACTATCAAATAACAGAACCATGAGCTTCGCTTATGAACAATGAGTCGTAAATCAGCGAAACGAAGCGAACAGGAGAGAGTGAATAGAAACGGATCGGAGAAGATGTGTGAGTTAACTCGATTTAGCTAAGCCTGAATCTATTTTTGTAGTGAAATGAAAATAAGCTACAGACACATGATTGGTTGACATCAGTTTGACTACACTTATGATCCCCTACCACCCATTGAATCGGAATTCAAAGGTATGAAAAAATTTTTAGCAATTGGTGATTGGTGAACTTGCTTTTGAAAGTGTGTGCTCAAGTGAAAATGAACAAACATTTTGTCACCAGTAATAATTTTTTAATTGGCTGTAAATGGCGCAGCTTTGTAATCTGATTGGTTCAAATCGAAATAGCACAAAGTGCTTTGATTGATTTTAAGAATTTGCATTTTTACATTCCAATTTTATTCACAATAATTAACCATTGTAAGCAAAGATGGATAGTGACTAGCAGTGGAATCCAGGACGCACGTTCTGTCGTATTTGGGATTCATCGGCTGGATGTACGTCCATTTCAGAGTTGATGTTTAGTCTGTAACCCAGTGCCATCAGCCACAAGCACAAGCAAGTTGCTATCAGCACTCAGTAGCTGAAGTGGATAACACGATGGCGTTTGAAGCGAAAGGTACTGGGTTCGAGTCCCAGAGTGAACATCAACTCTGAGATTCAGGTACATCCAGCTGACCAGTCCCAAATAGGACGAAACGTGCGTCAAACTGGATTCCACTGCTAGTCACTACCCATCTTTACTTATAAATTATTTTTACTTGTACATTCTTTGTAGCTTGAGAAGAACAAATAGATTGATCGGTACAAAGCCTAAAATTACCTATGTGGGATTGATATAGTATCACCCACTGCAAGTTTTTATTATGGCTTAAAAATATTAGGCTAGGACAAAAATGTTCATAAATCTGCCTTGGCTTCTAATAGTTTCCTAACTTTTGTCAATTCTCATAGTTGAAAGCATGAGTCAATTGAAGCTAGACCATCAAAGAAAACCTGGAAGCACTGGATGGCCGTTTCGTCCTACTGTGAGACTCATCAGCAGTGCGCATCCATGATCTCGCCTAGCGAGATTCGAACGGTTGCTCAACTTCGTGGATTGGTTAAAGGTAGACATTAACACCATCGGATGCCGGCCGGCTCAATGGTTTAGTGGTTAAGTGCTCTGGCGCGAGACTGATAGGTCCTAGGTTCGAATCTCGCGAGGCGGGGTTGTGGTCACGCACTGTTGAGGAGTCCCACAATAGGACGAGACAGCCGTGAAGCAGTGTTTCCATGTCTTCTATGATGATTTAGCTTCAATACTTTGAACCATGAAAATACTGAAATCTCCACAAAAACGCCTTCTGATTTTGTCAATTCATTATGAAAATCATTTTCATGTTTGATGTATACCATCAATAAGGTCTATGATATTCATTCATTATAGTTACAATTATTACTATTTTTTTATCAATGAATTCCTATTTTTATCCCCATGGTAACTCATATTTTTACTTATATTTAAATTATTCTAGTTTCTATGCTATATAATCTTCTTTGTTTGTTTGTATATGTATTACTTCTAATTATAGATTGTCGTGGTCCATGTACTGGTGAATTACTTATTAAATCAGATTATATTAAATTACAAATTAATGAATTAAATATAACAACATTAGCCTATCAAGGTTTATCTAAATTAAAACAACAAATTGAATTAAATAAAGTACGTTTTATTAAATCTCGTCAACAATTAGAAAATGAAATTCTATCACGTATTAAACAATTAACACGTCAATTTAATGAAATTAATCAAAATTATATAAGTATTATCTTAATAAAACAAGAAACATTAAATCAATCTAATTGTAATTTAATTATAAAAATTAATCAATTATATAATGAAAGTCAATTAATAGAAAATCAATTATATAATTGGATAAATAATTTATTAAAACAAGAATTCAATCAATCAATTATAAATGAAAAAGAAAAATTATTACATTGGTATAATGAAGCTAAACAAATTAATAATTATTTAATTAATATTCAATTAAATTCTACTAATTTATGGTTAATTAATATTAAATTACAATTTAATCAAATTAATAATAAAATTAATGAATTTATACAAATAATAAAACAACAATTTAATAAAATTAATAATAATTTAATAAAATTTAATAAATATCAACAATTACAAATATTTTTAATTAATTATGAAATGAATCAATTATATCGTATTAATAATTATACTAAATTATTAATAAATGAATTAGATATGGGTATAGTAAGTTATTTTATATAAATAAATTCTATATCATTGAAATTATGAGTTCATTCAAAGGTAGATCATCATGGAAAACCTGGAAATACTATTTGATAGCTGTTACGTCTCATTGTGTGATGCTTCAATGGTAGTGTATATACATGATCCCACACTCATGATTCTAACTCAGGATCTATCAGTTTCGTAGACGAATGCTTACCATCTAAACCACTGAGTCGGTCAACATCCAACGGTGTTAATGTCTAACTTCAACGAATCCATGAAATTGAGCAATCATTCACTTATTGTCTTTAGTGAGTTGATCTCTCCTAACAGACCTGATTAAACTCCACTGGTTATTGCTTCTCACTAGAGAACTCCAGGAAATACCACTAGTGAGTGTATGATCATAATCAGAATGAGGTTTTGTGGAAATTTTAGTAATTTTATATAGTTGAAATCATGATCTCGAGAGGTGGAATAGTGCATGCGCACTGCCACTGAGGATTTACACAATAAGACGAAACAGCCATCAAGCAGTACTTCCATTTTTTCCGTGATGGTCTAATAAAATTAATAATCATTTAATAAAATTTAATAGATATCATGAATTACAACAATTTTTAATGAATTATGAAATGAATCAATTATATCGTATTAATAATTATACTAAATTATTAATGAATGAATTAGATATGGGTATAGTAAGTTATTTTATATATTCCTTTTTGTTTTTGATGGGAAACTATGATGTTGATAGAATGGTTAATAATGATTATATTATAAATAGATTCTATATCTCTTGAAATTGTGAATCAATTAAAGCTAGGCCATTCCGACTTAGTGTAGGACTCCTCAGTGGCAGTGCGCATCCATGATTCACTCTTGTGAGATTCTAACCCAGGATTTATCATTCTCGTGCATTAGCGCTTAACCACTAGACCACTGAGCCGGTCGGCATCCAACAGTGTTAATGTCTAACTTCAATCAATCCATGAAATTAAGCAACCGTTCACTAATTGTCTTCAGTGAGTTGATATCTGACAATAGACCTGGTTGGATTTCATTGGTTACTGCTTCTCACTGGAACTCTAGGAAATACTTCATGGAGCTAGTCACTAGTGAGCATATGATTATTATCAGAAGAAGGTTTTGTGGAGATCTCACGAGGCAGGATCGTGGATGTGCACTGCCACTGAGGAGTCCCACATTGAGACGAAACGGCCGTCAAGCAGTGTTTCCAGGTTTTCCATGGTGATCTAGCTTCAACTGACTCATGATTTTAACTATGAAAACACTGAAATCTCCACAAAACCCCTTCTGAATAAGAAGTACTTTTTTTTTACAAAGATATTAGCTTTAATGTTCAATTATTTTCATAATTATTATTTAGAAAAAAGCTGATACACTAGTTGATACTGTCAAAACTACAACAAGTCTATCCACATTACAATCCTTTGACAAAGAATCCAAAAACTTAGATCAAGAATTATTGAAACTTGAACAATTACATACGAATCAAGAACAAATAAATCGAATTGAACAATTAAAACAACTTATTCAACAATTAAGTCAAATTCAGCTACCAGATTCAAGACAAATTTATATGCCACCAGAATTGATAACACATACAATTGAACCAATAGAACAAGAATCAAAACGTATCATTGATAGTTTAATACCATCAGATCAATTAAATCGTACTTATTTAGCATATAATGCATATCAATTCATTATTGATAATATAAATTTAGCTGAGAATGCAACAAATGAAGCAGAAAATGCATTTTTTAATAGTACTACAACTATAGATGGTAAACAGATATCATGGCAAGAACGACTTAATCAAATTATTAATAAACGTGATCAAATTACAGATATATTAAATAATTATTCAATTATTTATAATTCACATAATGAAACATTAAATATACTTGATAAAGAATTACAAACTACTGAAAATGATTTAAGTACATTAAATCAAATTGCTAAAAATAATTTAAAATTAACAAAAGATATAACAAATAAAGGTAAGTGAAGTATAGTCTTTATTCTTAATTGTGTAGATTATGAAACACTTCAACTATCCATTGTATTTAGAAATTAGATTTAAAAACTCATTGATATACTTGATGCTTATGACGAATGTAAATGACACGATAAGCTATTCTAATCTGTTGTCCAAAGCTCCGCTAACTAGAGTGATAAGTCTAAGATGGGAGTAAGCAGACGAAGTACAAGAAATCATAACAGGAAGAAAATAAACGTATATATATATATATACAGAATAAAACTGTCCTTGGGAAACGTTACAAAATAGCATACTAAAAGATACAACGGACCTATAGAATTTAAGAGCGCTTTTGGCGCGAAAATAAGGAAATTTAAATTTTCAAAATAAAATTACAAAAATAAGTCATTCACCTAGTGAGTTCTGGGAATCTAACATCCTCAACACTTATCAATGTATATTTTATAAATTATTCAGCTATAATCAGCGTACAGCCTGATAAAAGTAGTTTTTGGCACAGATTCCTATGTATCAGTAACATAACGAGATAAGATTATCAAGATGAATAGTAACGAAGGAAATAATTTACTCCACTATAACTAATTCTGAGCTATGTCACTTAACATCTAAAACTATTAGTTAAAATAATTGGGTAGATGTCAATCAGATAGTTATAATCTACTCACAAAGCTTATATCAGTAGTCTCTGGTTTTGTAGATTAATGTAACATCATAGTTTGGTTGAGCTTGACATCTTCCAACTTACTCGCACACCAGTTGATATCGTAGGTCAAGGTAGGCGTAATTAATACGTGTTCTGACCAATTCAATAGACTAAGGTTCATAATCTCATCAATCTATGTGCAGAATTTGTCTACTACTTTGTACCTAACCTCAAGATTAGACATCAAGTCATTAAACGATATGCGAGTAACATCTATAGTAAATAACTTGGAGCATACACATATCTTCCACTCTTCTAAGTCATACTTTAAATTCTCCAACACTTGTTGAGATCATTTTACATTTTATGACGAATAATTTATTTTATAGGTTCAATAAGTCCCGGATCGACACTAGTTAAGTGTTTTAAAGGAGGAATTAAGATAATTTTTCTCTTTTGTACGAGATAGTTGGTTATATAATCAGGAATGCGACCAGGAGGAAATTTATTCCTATAAATAAACGATTGAGAACAGAAATTTATAGTCACATCATAGTAAACTACACAACTATGTTAGCGGTTTTAAATTTGTACAATACTACTTGCACTACTAACCAATATTCAGTAGTATGGAGAAGCGTAAAAAACAAAGATTGATGAATGGGAATAATTACGTACAAAATATAGAAAAACGTCTAAGTAATGCAAACCTTTCTGTTTGTGAGCTTCTTAGAAAGTAATTTGCGTTAGCTCACTGATCACTGAAGCAAGATCTTTCACTCTCATATCTAAAACTATATATTCAGTTCGGTGAATTGTGATCAAGTGGTCTATATTTTTAGCTTCAATCCTTGCATGAGTTTTTGGTTAGGTAGACTTAAATTCTTGACACTCACTGAGTAATGGGCTCTATCATGTTCATCTTGTCTTTCAATATCCACTTTATTACATAGATGGAATTGAAATATTTCCTTTCAGGTAAATGTCAAGGAGCAAGAAATCTAGGGTTTCCTATCAACTACCTCTAACCTAAAAACGATTTTGAGTCACTAAGACTAATGGCCACACTGCAGCTGAACTGATGGAATTTAATCAGCACCAAAAAAATCAAACAAACATGATATTTTGTACCATTCAATGACCAATCAATATACATATCATAGTCCTATAGGAGGTCAGAGAATGCTCAAGTAGGTTAATGGTAACGCTTCATACTGGATGACATGGGTTGAAGTTCCCCGAGAACCATTTGTTTAATTAGGATTTTATACATACATCACTGACGGAGGTCATCTTGTATAAAAGCTTGATCTGTGATTTCCTTCCAGCTACCTCCATCCTCCTGGAATGCTTTAAATTAACAATTCTTCAGTCTGATTATCACTGTCGATTTCCCGCTGAAGAAATAGCTAACCTTGTTCAGGCTTACTTCAATCGATACCGACAAACATTTACAAGACCAGTCAAGATTATTTTGTTTATTTTTTAACCTTCTCTTTCATTCTAGTTGATTCAATACAACAATTTTTAAAAGATACAAAACCCTTAGTTCAAAATGCCTCAGATAAATTACAAGTACAGTTAGGGCGTTATAATGAACTACATGATCGTTTACAAGGAATGGAGAATCGATTTTCCCAAATACAAGGAACAGCTAAAACTCTAGGTTAGTTCTAACAAATTATTACTACTGTCTTTCTAATGTGTTAAAAATAAAAAAAATTACATTTGCGGAAACATTTGTTTCTATATTTGTGAACACGTAGACCTCTCTTAGCAACCTCTTTTTAATATGCAAAAATCTCCAACCCTTGATCTCTGAACACAAAATTGAAGGTGCATGGTATAGACGAAGCCCTATTTGGGAGATTAGATTCAGCACATGATGTAAAGATACTTATAAAATTATATACAACTTCGAGATTCGAGAAAAATCTAGAAAACATGTTGAAAGTAGTAAAAAATTCGGTAACTATCCAATCGGGATAACAAAAGCTCAATCAATCATTTTCTAGGTTTCTTTTAAAAATTTTCAAAGATTGTTGATTAGTTGAGATACTTTCAACAATTTTCCTTAAATTCCAGAGTATCTTTTCCAATGAACCTTCAATGGCTTCCAGCAAGAATCATATATTACTGATTCCATCAGTTTATGTACTTAGGACTTTGTTCAAATGGTTCAGGATTTTAAGGAATAAACATACTCTATATTTATATAAACAATCTTCACAGCCTCTACACCAGTGATTATTCCCATTTTGTTATACTGATGAGGAGTCTTACTCTAAGATGAAACTGGTTTATCTTGAGAAGAGGGCTGCTACGGATTCACTATAGCTTGAGAACTGATAATTGAGGTCATGTACTATGTCGGTAGTCAGAAAAGTAACTGATTTCACGAATATACACACTGACCAATGAATGACAATAAAGATTTTAACGCTTATTGGTCTTCGAGTTTGTTTCTAACCTCATGATCAATCAGAAGGCGATGTCAAATGGCTGGTTGGTTCTCTGTTGTACCCAATTCAATCATGACTTAAAGCCCATACAATGAAATACTGAAAGAAACCTGACCACACATACGGGGCCACACCCCGAGCCTTTGATCTGAAGGTCTAATCCACAACTGTGTGGAGCAACGTCAGGAGATGCAGTCCTATGGTGGCCGTTGACTAACAATAGGTGCACATCTTTTTTGTTCCATCAGGATCCTGGAGTCTATGTGCTCCATTGGTTTGGAATCGTAGTTTATAAACAGCCCTAGCTGGATCCTCCATATCCACCAACCCGGTTAAAACACAAGTCACTCGCTTTTGGTCCTCTCAATTTCGTAAACAACAACCATGTCAGAATAAGGCAGTGAGTAGAACGTTCCTGACAGTGGCTGTATACGCGTGGTCATGTGAGAGCAATTGGAGAGGGAGAACGAACTCTCCCCACCTTCGGCCGTACTAGGGCATTTGGAAGCTATTCATACTATAAAACAAGAAAAAGCTAAGCTCCTACTTACAATCCCTTTTTTGTTAAGAATTACAGTTTGTAAATAGATTTTTTTCATTATAGAAATTAATTATTATTCATTGAAATCATTGTTTTCTCATGAAACCACAGTTGATCGAGCAAATATTACTCAATCACATTTAATTAAATCAATTGATGAAGCTGAAACTGCTGCTAGACAATTGGATTCAAAATTATTAAATTTACGTCGATTAGCTGATGAAGCACGTTCAATGCTTGATGTAAATTACGGATCATTATCTCATGATCCAGTTCCTTTACAATTAGGTCAAGATTGTGTATACACTTTGGTCCCTTACAGTTTAACAAAATCTCGAGTGTTTGATATTGAATTTTGGTTCAATTTAAATAATTTACCAACTTTATCAAGTATAAGTAGTGTATTAATGGTTGGACGTAGAGCTTTTGAAGGACATACACAAATGTTTGCATTCACTATTGAAGCACCTGATGCTAGACTACGCTTTTCATGGAATACTCCAAATGGAATCCTAGAACTAGGTCCAGTTACTACAAATACTTGGTATCATACACGTGTTACATCAGTTGGTGGTGAGACAAGAATGATACTCATGGAAAGACCATTCCAAGATCGTGGTGATGTATTTCCTGAGATAAGACAAACAGCTACAACAAATGGAACACTTGATCAAGAAGCAAATCTTATTATGGATAGACAAATGGAATTACGTATTGGAGGAGTTATGCAATCTAGTAGTCGTTTAAGTAACCCGGAAGCATGGGGTGATAATGGTGCTGAAGAATTCTGGTCACGACTTATGTCAATGGAATCAATCAAATTTTGTATGTTCAACTTAAGATTAAGTGGGACGCCCATTAGTATTGCTAATTTTGCTGATGCTAATCTTGAATGTTCTAAACCAAAAGAATATCAGTGTCAATTGTAAGTTATGAATGATATACTTAATGAAAATAATATTACTACTACTCGGTTGAGGTTTATTGAAATACATTAGCCAATAGTTAGAGATACTGAGTGATATGACTCATAGTCTAATGTAGTTGTCGCAAACGCATTGACTCTTTGTCCTCCTCTAGATCTTAAGTTTTGAAACTGTGTTATACATATTAAAGTACAAATTCGTTCTCCCATCTCTGTTCACATTATCTGCGTAGAGTCTTTTCTACTACCACTCATAATGGAAGTCCTTCTACAATCTTGGTATTTGTCTTGGTAATTTCATCTTGTTGTATCAATTTGATGTGATAACTTGAATCAATGCACATTTGTGACAGATCCCACCATACCTTGAAACAAAGGACTGGTTGAATAAAGTTTTATAATAATGATATGCCTGCTACAAGAACACTTGATGCTAACTTCGTCGCCGTTTCCTAGGGTCCTTAAATACTCCAAGATTTGAATTCCAAATATTAAATGAAAAGAGTGAAGTACGAATAGAAGCTTTACTTATGTGTTCGTTTATGTACAGAAAGCCAACTTATTTATAGGTTTATTGATAGCCGTTTAACTCTAGAAATTTGTGGAAACATTCTCAATTATGTAGCAGAGTAAGTAATCATCCAAATAGTGTTTGACACAACCAATCAATTTTCTAAAAGAATGCATAGAACATGCCGATTTGACGAAATGTTCTCAGCCTTTCTCTGACCTCGGGAGATTTTATAGAGGAATTCTCGTGAGATCTCAACAAATATTACTTACTTTTCTACACACTGATTATCTGCCATTCATTACTTACTTACTTACGCCTGTTACCCCTCGTCGAGGAGCATAGGCCGCTCACCAGCATTCTCCATCCAACTCTGTCCTGGGCCTTCCTTTCCAGTTAACATTCATCCTTTTCATATCTGCTTCCATTTCCCGAAGTAGTGTGTTCTTTGGCCTTCCTATTTTCCACTTCCCTTCCGGATTCCAAGTTAAGGATTGCCTTGTAATGCAGTTTGGTGATTTCCTTAATGTATGTTCTATCCACTTCCAACATCTTTTCCTAATTTCCTCTTCAGATGTCAGCTGGTTTGTCCTCTCCCATCTGCCATTCATGCTCACTGGTAAAATTTGAAAATTGGTCTTACTCCTATGATATTTCATTCTAATGTTGGGTTAATGTAGTGTATAAATTCTATAGTAATCACTTTGGCTTTTCCACAGGACAGAAAATGACGAAAATATACAAGATACTATGATGGCAGTTCATGAGATTTTCAGTAATCAGGTTGTACAATGTTTTATAAAAGAGTGTAAGCAGACGACGTGGTTAGCAAACATCTATAGTCAGTTCAAAAGAAATCTAAAACAATAAAATTTAGGCAAAGATGGATAGTGGTTAGCAGTGGAATCCAGGACGCATGTTTCGTCCTATTTGGGACTCGTCAGTTGGATGTACCTTCATCTGAGTTGATGTTCGCTGTGGGACTCGAACCCAGTACCTTTCGCTTCAAACTCCATCGTCACTTGCACAAGCAAGTGGCTAGCCATTATCCATCTTTGCTTACAATACTTGTGAATTAAGGCTATATCGAGGCAATACGCACAGGATGCACATATATCAATTAGAGACTGACCAGTTGAAGTCCTAAACATCAATGGGAAGATTCAAACCAACAATACTAATTGAATTTAATAAAATTTAGGGCAATAAATATACCTTTGAAATGATATTGCTCCTAGAGGTTTGTGACGGGTACTATAAATTTATATCTATTTATTTGTTCTTCTGTCTGTCTGTTTATTACGTGTAAATCAATCATAATTGTCTATTTGGTCTGTCTTCTCTCGTTAGACAATCACAGTCTAGATTATTTGGATGCATTATTAATATTCTGGATTAGTCGATGGCTATCATCACTTTGTAGACTGAATCAATAGTACTCAGACTTCTATAGTGATGACCGTGTGATTTAAGCTTTAGAATTCATCTAACACGAGTCTCATATAAGGTAAAAGATGAATTCGGTATTCTGTTTCGATCAACCTACATTACTAGAAAAAATAATTTAAACAGCAATAGTTAGAATACTTGTAGTAGATGAAACGACAGTCTTTTATTGAGGAAAAGTGTTTTTATTCAATTACGGTAGAACTATCTTAGAGTTTCACTTAGGGAAAGGCAGTAAGTTCGATACTTTGAGTTACTTCAGGCGATGGAGCTTCTCAGTTGATCCAGTTTACATTCGGATTAATTGACAGATGGAACTTCAATCACGACGTTCCATCATTTTCTATTTCTATAGTAAATGTTAATAGTCGGCTGAAAAATGGTAATTTCCTAGCCTGAGGAGTTCATAGACTTATCCTTGTATATTCTTTTTTGTTGAAGACAAGAAAAATGAAGTTACATAAGATGAAAAAATATTATTATGTGATTTTGAAACAGTGATAAGTCACTTTTAGTCCCTCCTTATAACAGGAGGCTTAGGCGGTTGCATATCGTACAGAAGATTTGACACTTCCGAAATAAACTAATTCATGAATCTCTAAACGTTTACCAATAACTTACCACCTTCTTTCACATAATCTCTTACTAACTTACCTACTTACTTACTTATTTACGCCTGTTACTCCCAATGGAACATAGGCGTCCGACCAGTATTCTCCAAAACACTCTGTCCTGAGCCTTCCTTTGTAGTTCTATCGAAATTTTGTTTATTCTTCTCATGTTTGTCTCCACATCTCGGCGTAATGTGTTCTTTGGTCTTCCTCTTTTACTTTGGCCTTCAGGATTCCATGCGAGGGCTTGTCTTGTGACGCAGCACATAATCTCTGGATGCTTGTTTGTAGTACTCCAGTTCCGAACTGACAAAAGAACACTATACATGATCAATAATGTATTAAGATTTACGTAATTGAAGACTCTTCGTATTAAAAAAAAAATAGTTCAAACAATTTTGGCAGCTATTCCACGACAATATGAAATAGTTTCTAAGTATTGATTAATAATAGCTAAATCATTGTTGTATGTCATGACAACAGATAGTTCAACAAGAGCATAAATTTACCAACCACCTAATTCAATGAATTATGATAAATAAATTATTGTTTAATAAATTTTATTCATTCATAATGTACAATCTTTATTTCTCCGTATAATTTCTTCTTTTTTCCTCTTTATTTATGTACATTAAATGAATTTTGTAACCGGGAAAAAAAAAACTAAATAGACCGTAAGTTTTTTATGGACATTGATTTGTTTGTTAATTTATTGAATTTAAATAATTCAGTTAATTTTAAAGTGTACTACCGAACCAATGAGGATTGAGGAAGAAGCTCCTAGGTCATGATGCATATATTAATCTAGAATGACGGGGTTGATACTCCTTGGGAGATTTAAACCCATGTTATTCCCGGCCGGCGCACGGCTTTTCTTAGTCCCCAAATGCCCTGGTACGGCCGAGAATGGAGAGAGTCCGCTCTACCTTTCCGAATGCTCTCACATGGCCACGCGTATATAGCCTCTACCAGGGAAGTCGTACTCACTGTCTTCTCGTGGCATTACTGTTGTTTACGAAATTGAGAGGACGAAAAGCGAATGTCTGGTGCTTTAACCGGGGTGATAAACACAGTGAGTCCACCTAGTGGAGTTGGAAAACCCTGATTCCAAACCAATGGTGAACATGAACTCCAGTATCCTGAAGTAACAAATGGTGTATGAACCAATCGTTGATCACCGGCTACCATGAGACTGCATCTCCTCACGATGCCTCAATGCCCTGTGGGTCAGACCTTTAGGTCAAGGGCTCGGGTGTGGCCCCCTATGAAAACCACCTGCTTCAGATTGAGTACCTTGGGATTATCACAGCCCTCACACAAATCAAATGAGATTTGTGTGGTGCATATATATCTGGTACCCCTTAGTACCAATATTTATGTGTTTAATGTTACCCAGCTTCACGGTCGGGCCCTTAGTCCCTTGGGCTATTTAAACCATAACTTACTTTATATAGAATTATCAGAAGGGGTTTTGTGGAGATTGAAAATCTTTCATAGTAGAAAGCATGAGTCAATTGAAGCTAGACCACTATGGAAAACCTGGGAACACTGGACGGCCGTTTCGTCCTATCATGGACTCATCAGCAGTGCGCATCCACGATCCCGCTCTCGCGAGATTCGAAACCAGTACCTACCAGTATCGAGCCGAAGCCCTTAACCGACAGACCACTGAGCTGTCTAACTTCAACTGATCCACTAAGTTGAGCAACCATTCACCAATTGTCTTCAGTGAGTTCCTATCTCACAACAGACGCGGTTTGAAACTCCACTGGTCACTGCTTCTCACTGGAGCTTCTAGTTATACTTCTCGTGGATGCGCACTGCTGAGGAGTCTCATAATAGGACGAAACGGCCGTCCAGTGTTTCCAGGTTCTCCATGGTGGTCTAGCTTCAATTGACTCATGCTTTCTATTATATAGAATTGTTTATCTAAATCATAAGTCCATAGAGCAATGTATTTATTCATATTAAGTTAATTAAACTACTAATTTAATCTTGAATCAAATATCTTAATATTACTTTTTTTAATTTATTTTAGTGGTAAAAATCGTCGTTATGTTCGTAATGGTTATATATGGGAAAAACAAGGAGAATTATATAAATTAACTAATTTTACACGTTTATCACAATTAATTGATCCATCATTATCATTAACTAGAATGTTTTTCTATGATTTTAATGGTGTTAATGGTTATTCACGTTTAAAATCAATTAATAATTTAGATTTTTGTAAAGATCATTTAGATTTCCAATTAACATCATTAAAAGAATATCAACGATCTAATATGACAGTAATGACATTTTTTAATTATGATAAAGTAAGTTCTGTAATTTATTCCATATTATATTCATTTTGATCTAACTATGATTGTATATAGTTATAAGCAACATTAAATGTAAATTGAATATAAACTGTAATTTAAAGATACATACAAGATACTCAGTGGCCGAGTGGATAACGCGATGGCGTTTGAAGCGAGGGTACTGGGTTCGAGTCCCAGAGTGAACATCAACTCTGAGATGCAGGTACATCCAGCTGACGAGTCCCAAATAGGACGAAACGCGCGTCCTGGATTCCACTGCTAGCCACTATCCATCTCTGCTAACCATGCTTAAACATACATTGTTGTTTTCAGATACTAATCAATATTATGTTTGTGATAATGGAGAAGATTTATAGCTTAGATAAATGATTTTGATGTAGGTTTATTCTTTGAGTTGGATGGTTTGATCGTGGAACTTTTATCGCCATTCTGAACAACATCATCAGCAGCATAAACTTTAGGTAGTAGTGAAGTGTTTGAATTTCTCTATATCAACTTCATAGCTTGTCCTGTGCACCTTAATGTTGATTGGTTTTTATTGACCTTAAATTTGTCATTGTTTATTTCTTTATTTTGGTTGTATCTCCAATTGGTTTGATTTTTGTTCCTATGTTTCTGTATAATATTCCTGAATTGTTGATCAACTGGACTGATTTCACTGTTCTTGTTTATTGCTGATTGATCTGAGGTCAACAAGAATCAATCAACATCGAGGTGTACAGGACAATCTATGAACCACATGTGGAGAAATTCAAACACTTCACTTCTACTCGAAGTTTGTGCTAATGATGTCGTTCAGAAGGATGATGAAAGTTCCACGACCAAACCATCCAACTCAAAGAACAAATCTACATCAAAATATCATGTTTTAAAGTCACCAACTAAAATTCTGATTATAATCTCTTTTATTCGTCATCTACTATTTCTTTTGTAGCCTATTGTCTTAGAATTAACCATCCATCTGACCTGTACAAATAACCTTGAGATGATATAAGCTAAGCTTCGACTGGTTCACTATCAGCATACTTTTTCTTTATCCTTTGCCTCGATTTCCAAGAGACGTCAGTAACCAGTTTCTATCATTTGTTATTTCAAGCACATTCGGTTTTATATACAAACATACTGGACTACATCACATCATGAATTGTGAAATCAAAATGATACATATTCAAGCCAAAATTCTTTGTGAATAGGGAAAACTGTAAGAAATTAATTACCAGTAAATTAAAAATAATAAGTAGTATAGTAATAGTTAGTAAGTTAAATTAAAGCTTATAATGAATGGAATATATGAATATAAGAAATTAACCTGCCTATTTGTTATATCGGATGGCTTGCCCATTAGAGAATAGTGAAGTTATTGATCGCCCAATGATACAGAAAAACCGTATAAGCAGTCTTGAGCACTTGGCAGTCTTCCTTTCTACCTAGCCCAGCCAATTAAATCTAGAATATCAATAACAGCCTCTGCAATATGAATCATTATTCTCAAACATAATGGGTTTATATACCAATGAAACTGACCACATCGTACTGATAAAATAGAAAATAACATTTGTACAACATGAAAGCATGAGTCAATTGAAGCTAGACCACCGAGGAAAACCTGGAAACACTGGACGGCCGTTTCGTCCTATTATGGGACTCCTCGGTGGTCTAACTTCAATTGACTAATGCTTTCATCTATGAAACATACCAAATCTCCACAAAAACCCCTTCTAATAATTAATTTGTAAAAGAGTTAACCAAATGTGGCTGTGAATATGGGGGAACAGTAATTAATGGACTAGGGATAACTCAAGAATGGTATATCGTATAATAATAGTTCATAGGTCAAAATAAAGCTCACTATGAAAGGAACATGAATATGAATAGTTTAGTTACTTAACAATTATACAATAGGAAATATACATATCATATTGGTCCATAGATAGTTCTCGAAGTTACCATTCATAAATCCTCACGGGATATAACACTATTAGTTATACAATGAGATCACCATTTAAAGTGAAATAAAACTTCACCAATGGTATTTGATCGGTACTAAGAACTGAAATGTTATCAATCTACCGACCGACTTAATCTTCTGAACTTTATTCATAGTTTTGATTACTATAAGGATTCATGTAAATGGCTGATAATTTTCATATATTCTAAAATCCAACTTTATTTAGGATATTAATAATATTCAAATTTTATGAATTTCCCTCTACTATATTCCCCTCAACTCTAATCTCAATTTCACATCGATATCACTAATTAACGTCATCGTAGAGATTTCATCAATAATCCAAAATCTACCTACATTTTCTCCGTAATTTCACCTTAGAAATTTAAAGTAGTAGAAAAGCACAGTACTCTTTCAATGCCACATACGATGTTTGTATGAATAAATATTAATTGAATTTGTTATAACTCTCTGTTTTCCTCGTCTACACGAGTATCTACACTAGATACCCTCTTAGTGTCTATTCTACAGGACTTCGACACACAACTCAGATCAAGAACACATGACTAGCCTGACTAGAATGTAGGTATATTTCCACCCCAAGAACCGATAAAAATCACATTAATAATAACAAGGGTAAGAGGTTATATAACTCATCGAGTACCTATCAGACTATCTCCTAGTCTGACTTAGCTCCAACCAATCATTAACTTTCTCGTCCATACATCAGACTTCATTAGATTCCATAGTAGTATTTCATTACCAAAACATTGGATATTCGATTCATTACTCTTTTCAAGTATAATAATGATAATTCCATATTTTTATTTAATCCATGAAATTTTTTTTTAATTTTAAATTTCATATAATTAAAGGATTATGGTATAACAATTGAATTAATAAATGGTCGACCTGAAGCTTATTATTGGTCTGGTCGTGAATTATATCAATTAGATAATACTAGACAACATAATGATATTGAAGTTATAAGACGACGTCGTTTTAAATTATTCAATTATAAACCACGTTGGAAACGTCAATCTACTACATATAGCGGTGGTACTGGTCATCATGATGAAGATAGACGACGATTACATTTAAATATATTAGATCCATCTATGCGTATATTACGATTAGATAATTTTATGACAACAGATTGTAATGATGATATGATATTATTTTTAGGTGGTATACCACCTAGTCATTATGAATTACGTAAACGAATGCAAAAGTAAATATTTATTATATAATTTCAATTTTATTTATTATTTGTATAGATTGTACTTATACTACTGTAACTATAATAAGTAGTATAAATATATAAGTGATCATAAATCATACTGAAAGTCTAATAAACTCCAATGTAAGAGTACATACCAAAGAAGGTATAAGGTATTGTAAGTATTTTGATGTAGTTTTGTTTTCTGAGCTGGATGGTTTGATCGTGTAACTTTCATCATCCTTCCGAACGACATCGTCAGCATAAACTTTGGGTCGAAGTGAAGCGTTTGAAGTTCTCCACATATGATTCACAGCTTGTCCTGTGTACCTCGATGTTGATTGGTTCTTGTTGACATTAAATCTTACTTACTTACTTACTTACGCCTATCACTCCCAATGGAGCATAGGCTGCCGACCAGCATTCGCCAACCCACTCTCTCATGGGTATTCCTTTCCAGTTTTATACAATTTTTGATCATTCTTCTCATGTCTGTCTCCATTTCTCGGTGTAATGTGTGCTTCAGTCTTCCTCTTTTCCTTTGTCCGTCAGGATTTCATGTAAGAGCTTGTCTTGTGATGAAGTTGGGTGATTTCCTGAATGTGTGTCCTATCCACTTCCAGCAGTTCTTCCTGATTTCTTCCTCCACTGGATGGAATCTGGTTTATTGTCTCCCACAGTAGAATGTTACTTATAGTGTCTGGCCGACGGATCAGAATTAACTTGCATAACCAACTGTTAATAAACACTTGTATCTTCTGGATGATGGCTTTCGTAGTTCTCCAGGTTTCTGCCCCATACAGGAGAACTGTTTTGACATTTGTATCAAAAATCCTGATCTTGGTGTTTGTTGACAATTGTTTTGAGTTCCAGATGTTCTTCAGTTGTAAATATGCTACTCTTGCTTTGCAGATCCTCGCCGTCACATCTGCATCAGATCCACCGTGTTTATCAATGATGATAATGACAATTTATGTTAAGGTTTCCACATCCTCCAAAGCTTTTCCGTCAAGTGTAATTCGACCTTAAATCTGTCATTGTTTATATCTTTTTTTGGTTGCATCTCCTATTGGTTTGATTTTTTTCTTATGTTTCTGCATAATATTCCTGATTGGTTGATAAATTGGATTGATTTCAATGTGCTTGTTTATTGCTGATTGATCTGAGATCAACGAGAACCAATCAACATCGAGGTGCATAGGACAAGCTGTGAATCATATGTGGAGAAATTCAAACACTTCACTCCTACCCAAAGTTTGTGCTGATGATGTCGTTCAGAAGGATAATGAAAGTTCCACAACCAAACCATCCAGCTCAGAGAACAAAACTCCATTAAAATTATCTACCTGAGCTACAAATCTTCTCCATTAACTCAAATTCATACGAGGGTATTGTAGGTAGTTTAGGGAACTATTCAATTCCAAGAAGTCATGTGAAATCATAAAGTTTTTTGAATTTAAGACAGAAGAACGTATAGGAAATTTCGAGAAGTCCATCAATGATATATAGAAATTACATTTGTAAATTCATTCGTTCTTCTGATTGGCTGAATAGAGTCAATAAGTTATTAAAATCATTGTAAAATTTGTTTAAGCTCGTCCCAATGGTTGAAGTTTATCGACCTGTCTCCTAGGATATGTCATACATTGTCGATTTTAGATGACTATAGACATACCATGTCAATAAAAACATTAGTTACTCATAATATCATGGGTATTCTGATAATTGATTCAATGAATGGATGATTATTGATGAAGTGAATTCGATAAGAATGTCTATATGCATGCTTCTAATGAAATATTTTATGTTCGATAGACCATATTACAACAATAATCTTATATTATCCAACATCTAGACAAAATATTAAAAAAAACCAAATATTAAACTGAATGAAAGAGTATCGTTCGAGCATTTCCCTACCCTGAATGGGTCAATACAATTGAAGAATCATGGTTCTACAACGACAACACTAAGCTTGACTCCTGACAGAATTATCATCTTTTTCCTATAAACCCATTCAAATTGTATAGTAATTTCCATCTCTCACTCACTCTCTGATTTTTTTCTAGCCTCGGCTTTTCATTAACTCCATTTGCTGGCCGCATTGGTTTCACAAATGGTAAACCAAGTCAATCTGGTGAAGTTTATTTAGCTGATTATGCAATTACTTCAGTGAATCAATTTGGAGATACACAGTTTACTGATTCTAGACAACTTGGTGAAATTCGAACTATTGTAAGTGATTGACAATAAGAATGGTGATAATAATATCATTATTATTGGAAGGGATTTGATCGTGAATGTTGTTATCTCAAGTACTGTTATACGTATGTGAAGGCTGAACACATTATCAAAGTATAGTTTTTCTTAAAATACTTGAAATGTGAGTTGGATTGGTAGTAATGATCTTTGGAAACTGATTGCATGACTGCAGAGCACTAGGGACCGTACACAAAAGGAATTTTTTTAAGAAGTCCTTATTTTGTTAGTTCAGTACCTAAAAAACCTTACCGTCGACGACAGGAGTTCGTGAATTAGGGTGAGGTATGTTCACTTTTTTGAGGCCGGGCCTTTTTAAACTCTTCTACTGTTGCGAACAGACAGCATCATCGCATGTATAGGTTGATAGTGGAAATACCTTAGTGCCGCCACATTCCAGCAGAGCTAGTAATTTGACTTCACCTTCAGACCTTAAGTCACTGAGCTGAGTGGCATAGCAGGATCTAGATAAACACTTATTCCAGTCAATATAGCTCTATTATATAGTCACCGTAGGTAAGCCTGATGATTAGATCAAGGTGACAGTCATTGTATGGGATCATTATTGTTACTTGTTTTTTGATTAAAGTAACCAAATTTAAGTAATCATTTATCTTACCAAACAATAGAATTTTCAATAATCTAAAATTTACCAGAAAAATTCAATTGAATCTTATTAGGTGTTTACATTAAAACATAAACAGAGTGATTATAAGAATATGAGGTTCTGAATGATATTTTCTCGATGTGATGAACAAGCAAAACATCTATTTCCTCATATATTGTTATATCTTGTAAACCATTGACAGATATAATCTGCTCAGTCATCTATCAGAATCCTAATTCTAATTTGGTCTGCTATTTAATTGATAGCTTCATGTCTCTAACCTTGAACAGACAGCTAGGTTCCCATTGGCCCACTATTCGTTAACTCCTTTTTATACTCAGGTTTGAGTCCAGACGTGGTTTATATACAAACGTATAAAACTTCATGACACCATAAAATGAAAATAAACAATTATACATGAACTAGGCAAAAGTAGCTGTGAATAAGAGGGATTGTCAGTAATAGATGGGATGCAAAGTAAGATTAGTAAGTCATATAACAGTAGTTAATGTGTTCACCCAAATTTATGATGAAAGGAATACACATATGTAGTAATCTATTTTATCTCAGTAATTATACAATAAAGCAGTAGCCTCAGTAGCAGTAGGTCTCAATATAAACAAAGGGAAAAGCAAGATTCTCCGATACAATATAGCATGCACCAATCGACTTACACTTGACGGAGAAGCTTTGAAGGATGTAAAAACCTTTACATATCTGGGCAGTATCATCGATGAACATGGTGGCTTTGATGCAGATAGATGTGAAGGCGCCGATCGGCAAAGCAAGAGTAGCATATTTACAACTGAAGAACATCTGGAACTCAAAACAATTGTCAACAAACACCAAGATCAGGATTTTTGATACAAATGTCAAAACAGTTCTCCTGTATGGGGCAGAAACCTGGAGAACTACGAAAGCCATCATCCAGAAGATACAAGTGTTTATTAACAGTTGGTTATGCAAGTTAATTCTGATCCGTCGGCCAGACACTATAAGTAACATTCTACTGTGGGAGACAATAAACCAGATTCCATCCAGTGGAGGAAGAAATCAGGAAGAAATGCTGGAAGTGGATAGGACACACATTCAGGAAATCACCCAACTTCATCACAAGACAAGCTCTTACACGAAATCCTGACGGACAAAGGAAAAGAGGAAGACTGAAGCACACATTACACCGAGAAATGGAGACAGACATGAGAAGAATGATCAAAAATTGTATAGAACTGGAAAGGAATGACCATGAGAGAGTGGGTTGGCGAATGCTGGTCGGCAGCCTATGCTCCATTGGGAGTAACAGGCTTAAGTAAAATAAGTAAAGTAATTATACAATAAAAATTATAATTTATAAGAAATCGAATAAAAAACAACTATTTCCAACTTTTATTATATTTGGTGGTTTTTTGTCGATATTTTTTTGGTAATTTTTTATAATATAGTTGAAATCATGAATCAGTTGAACCTAGACCACCATGGAAAACCTAGAAGAACTGCTTGTCGACCGTTTCGTCCTATTGTGGGACTCCTCAGCAGTGTGCATGTATTATAACACATGTCTGTGTTTATTCATTATTCTCTTCTTTTCTTTTTGTTCTGATAAATTTTCTTAGGAAAATACAAGTCCAAATTATCAATATTGTTTACATTTAAAACCGCATCATTTATATATGGCACCAGAATTGAAAGAACCATCTAGATATTCACCATTTGAACCAGGTATCAGTATGACAATACGATTTAATCCATTAATTGCACGATCTGGTGATATGGATTTATTAATTATTCAACCTGTAAGTAATTTAATGGATATTCTCTATATTCAGAATATGGGTTCCTTTATTTTTTTGAAATCAAATTCATTCCAGTGACCAAAATTATTTTTGTTATATCTTGTAGCCGAGTGGATGCCTAGTTAATGTATGACTTGATAAGATCGTCAATCAGAGAGCAGCGAATTATCGATTGGAACAGTGATACGCGAAAACCGTATGAGCAGTCTAGAGTCCTTATCGATTCTGCTTCTGCCCAGCCCAGCCAGTTAAGTCCAGAACACCAATAACAGCCTCTGTGGTATGAATCATTGTATTTCAAACATACTGAGTTTATAAGCCAAACAGACTGACCACATCGTACCAATAAAATAGAAAATAACATTTGTACAAGAGTTAGCCAAATGTGGCTGTGAATAGGGGGAGCAGTAATTAATAGACTGGGTATAACTCAGGAATGGTAAATCGTACAATAATAGTCCAAGGGTCAAAATAAAGCTCACAATAAAAGGAACATGAACATATGAGTAGTTTAATTATTTAGCAAATATACGATAAAAATGATATGCATAATATGGGTCCATAAATGGATTCCAAAGTTACCATTCCCTATGGTTATCGGGATATAACAATTTTCTCTCTGTAATCATTATACAAATAAAAATAATTTTTTGTTTTACTTTATAGAATAGATGTAATGTGGTTCACTGGATGTGCTTATATTTCTAGAATCAATATTCATTCAGTAGCTAAGTGAATAAAGTGAAAGGTACTGTGTTCGCGTCTTGGAGTGAGCATCAACTCGGATGAGTGTACATTTAGCTGATAAGCTTCTAAATAGGGTGAAATAAGAGTTTAGGTTACCACTGTTAGCCATATCCTATTTATTCTAAATAAACTTTTGCCATAATAGCTATGTCAAAGCAATCTGAACACAAGATGCTTATTTATTAAGTTAATTGTCATCTAATTACATTTGATTCAACAGCCATCACAAAACCCCCATACTAATTATAGTTACGTGCTCACAGGTGAATAACTTCAAAATGTCATCCCAAGAGTTCTAATGAGAACCCATAACCAGTTCAACTACGTCGAATGTAATAAAGTTATTCAACTGAATCAGTGGGAGAGGGTTGTACAATGTCGTGAATTGAGGTTGAAAATGTATACTAATGTTAGGCAGCTTAGCGGTTTAAAGGTTAGGTGCTCGTGCACGAGAACAATAGTCTTGGGTCTACAACAGTAGAACTCCAAAGGATCTTAAAACAACACAGAATTAAAGTATATTACAAAACAACGAACACACTTCGAAATACTTTAGTTCGATTAAAAGAAACAAATCCCATTCATGTTTACACAAAACTGTGCCTACAAATTAGAACGTATCGATTGTGATGCTTTCTATATTGGAGAATCATCTCATGAAATCTTGACTCATACCAAAGAACAAATTAGGTACACAAAAAACCTCCTAATAATCCTGTAGAACTGGACAGACTTCAAATTAAATCGACAATAACAGTTCATGCCATTTTCAACAATCATCAATTATTTGGTTATTTATTCTCTGAAGAAGTGCCTTAAACTAAGTCACGAAACTTCAGAATATCTAGTTTTTCTACTCATTGGGATATTACAAATATATATTATTTATTCGTAACCGAAACTCTTTACCATAATCCTAACCCTTTTCTCTGTGTTTTTGTTTTTATATATACTTAAAATCATGAGTCAATTAAAGCTAGAACACCATGGAAAACCTGGAAGAACTGGATGGCCGTTTCGTCCTATTATGGGATTCCTCAGCAGTGCGCATCCACGACCTCGCCTCGCGAGATTCGAACTCAGGACCTACCAGTCTTGTGCAAGAGCACTTAACCGGTAGACTATTGAGCCGGCAGACATCCGACGGTGTTAATGTCTAACTTCCACTGATCCACGATTTTGAGCAACAGTTCACCAATTGTCTTCAGTGAGTTGATATCTCTACAACAGACTTGTTTGAACTCCACTGGTCACTGCTTCTCACTAGAGCTCCTGGATGTACTTCCCGAAGTCACTAGTGAGCATATGATTATATTAATTATTAGAAGGGGTTTTTGTGGAGAGCGGGTTCGTGGATGCGCACTGCTGAGGAGTCCCATAATAGGACGAAACGGCCGTCCTGATCACTGCTTCCCACTGGAACTCAAGGAAACATCCGTTGAAGCCAGTTACTAATGAGCATATGATTCTAGATCAGAAGGGGTTTTGTGGAGATTGTATTGGCTTACACAATTTCATTCTAAAGTCTTTGAAGGATACTTTCAATATAGTATACTTTCACTAAATAGAATAATGTTTATGTTCTATTACCATTCTGATATGTTTTCGGATCTTTTCTTCCCTAATCATTTATATTCTACTGAAAAAATACATAGGGACATGCAGAATGGATACGTATATTCCTTACAGAAGATCATCGTTTAGGTATTGTTATACCAGGCGTCAGTAAAACATTATACACTCGAACATCTTTAACATCACGTGCATTAAATGATCCATATACAAATTTGTTAAATTTAGAATTAATAGAATATATGAATTTAACAACAGTTCTACCAGTATGGAATAATTTAAATAAACAAATGTCAATGATAAAACCAATGACAACAATAACGTCGTCGTCGTCATCATCATCATCTTCGACGACATCATCATCATCACCTTCAACGACATTATCATCATCATCTTCGACAACATCATCATCAATAAATTTAGATACAATGAAAAGACAATATTTTGATTCTAAACAAGCTGAAATTGAAATTGTTGTTACATTATATTTTGGTAAAATTGATACAGAACAATTAACTGTATTATTTGATCAACATATTGTACAAACATGGACTATACCAAAACAACCAGATATTAAAAATATACGACAAATATATATTGGACCACAATTAATGCCATCATATCCTATTACTATAGAATATTTAATCATTGGTAAACAGTAAGTATTTGATTACATATATATACATTGAGTAATAACTATCAGTCAGGCAGTCACAACGTAGAACTTGTTGTCGATTCAAATCTCATAGTGATAGAAGTAGTAAAAGTATAAGCATTAATCCGAAAGATTAGGGTTTGAAGATGTTCTTCAAGGAGTATAATCTAGTGAAATGAATTTGAAAAGAGAAAAAGGATAGGGACATGAAGAATTAAGAAGATTAGAATTCGGTAGACTACAAAGAGTGGATGCACCTTCGCCATTGCAAACGATTTTGAGCCATGTCTGTAAGTTTATCTCAAGATAGATGGATAGTCGTACAGTTGTGTTCATGTTTTGATTGAGATTCGAACCCTTTTTTTTTAAAATACCATAATGTCAACTATCATAAAGGTTAAACTAATATTTGTAGCTAGTTTGTGCTGGTTTTTTAAATCTTCTAGTTGATGATTAGGTCTTCAATTGATCAGTCTCTTTTGGTATATGTCCGTCCTGTAGGGAATGCCACGACGTTGCCATCAAGTCATAAACATTTGAAGGAGAGTTCGGTAATAATTAACAATGGGATCCAAGACACCTGTTTTTATTTTCTTATTTTCAGCTCATTAGCTGGATGTATATTTAGCTGAGTTAATGCTCACTTTAGGACTTGAATTCAGTGCTGTTTACATTAAACATCATCAACTAGAGTTCTAATATTTAATGGGGAGATTAAAAAAACCAAGACGTGTACATTGAAATCCATTCCATTGCACAAGCTAAGGGTAACTGAACTCAGTAGCTAAGTAGATAATGTGATAGCATTTGAAGCGAATGGTATTGGCTTTGAGTCATGAAATGGACACCAACACCGAGGTGTAAGTACATCCAACCGGTTATCCCAAAATAGGACAAAATGTAATTCTTGGGTTCCATTACTAGCCGCTATCCATATCTTTTTGGAAATGTTTATGGATAGTATCTGTCAAAGATTGATTTTATTTTGGATAACAGGAAGAATCAGGGAGTACAGGACAACTTTTTTATCTTTAGTTCCTAAATACTAAGTACCTGCAACCCTACCAAGGGTCAGGCTCATGACTTTCACATCTTACTCCAAGCGCTAATCCATTGGACCCATGACCACTGTATTTGGACTCCAATTTGATGATGATGAAATAACTATCTACCTGTGCACCTGAAATTAATGAATAATCAGGTTAAATAAGTAACGATCATTTACTTGTGTGATCATAGGTTAGTTGGAGAATACCTTCTTATCTTAATGCAACCCTAGACTGAAACAAAATAACAGTTATTTGATCTGCAGTACATTATGGAATTTTATACTTATCCATCTAACTGTATTATTCTTTGTGATCAAACAGTCGGGTAGGGAATATATAAATACAATATAAGGAAGAAAGAGTTCTGCTTAGTGATAGGTAATTCATTAATATAGAATTCTAAGCACAAACTATTTCAACAAGTTTCCTTTTCTTATTTCTTCATTGATCCTGGCGATAAGTATTGCGTGATTGTCAGTTAGATGTTAGCAGTTCAGAAATCGACATTTGATTAATTAATATTCATTCTTTTCAGTGCATATTGACAGCCATCACGATATCTCGGACTGTACTCAGTATCCATTTTCAGATATTTCCTTCAAAATAAAGTTTAAATTATTCTTACTACTTACTAATAGTGAGTAACATTATTTTTTAAACATAATTTATTTTTAGCCTAGTGGACTTCACAACTGAATTAGTAAGTAAAGATAATCCATATGGTAGTCAAGTTGGAATATGTGGTGGACAATTATATCCACGATTTACAGAGCGTCGAGGTTTAGCTGGACTAGTAACAAGTAAACTACAAGGACTTGAATTAACAGCACCACCAAGTGGACGACAATTAATATTTACACCATTCAATGAATTACTGACTAAACAAATTATTCCAGGAGTAAGTTATGATGAACAATCGGTTTTAGAAAATATACGTACTGGTGATGGAAAAATTCGTAAAAAGAATGTAAGTACCAATGATTGACCCGAATGTTTTTCACCAATTTCAATAATATGTTCTAAATATGTTTTAGATTATTAGGAATTTGACCAGTTCCGGGTTCAGGATAGGCGTTTCGTCAGGTTAGATTACTTGGATCCGAGTGCTGATAGTCACATTGACTCTCAAATCTAGTACCTTTCTCTTCATATACCCAAAGGGTTATCCACTATGGTACTAAGTTCAGATAGTCGTTCGTTTCCTCAACGGGCGTATATGTATTTGGAAGTTTTTATTGCTTTTCATATGTTTTAATTCAGAATCGTAATTGATCGGTTTATTTATGGAATACATGTATGCTGAACGAATCACTTCGATATTAGGTTATGTTCATCACTGATCAGTTATTACATTCGACCCAATTTAGTACAATTATATGCTAATCAACTAAGAAATTGTATTACAAACTACAAAAGTCTACTCAAAGATATGAAAATATGCAGCGGTAGTCAGGGTTATGTCCATTTATGCTGTTATTCTAAGGGTATGCTAACTAATGGATTCAATGAAAAGTTGAGCATTTATACTACTGAATATATATTTAAATTGTTATGTTGACCACTGGATATAACGATAGTCAATGGAGAGTCACTAGAATTCGATCAATCATTGACTTTATTGGAATTGTAGTAATATTAATACTAGAATGACCAGTAATAATATTGAAATGAATTAATGCGGAACTTATATTTGTATTGCTCTAATACACTCAGAATTGAACTGAACTGAAACCAGTCCTAGAATAACTGTGTCTCAAACTGGAATGGTTCACAGAAAATACAATAGAATAGACAGGGAATCGAAGGTATATACATAAGTATTCAGAATTAGTCATATAATTGAGTATAAACAAACTGATATAATTGAATCCATACACTTAGTCGTCGTGTTATCTATCTGATCTTATATAGTTTAAAAGAGTATACACTTATACAAACCTCTTATGTATGAAATAATCATCGCAAGGATCTTATAAGTAGGTCGACTGATTGTTATAGCTCGAACTTAGATTCTTAGTCTGTCGCGTAATATTTGAGCACTCGAACGCTAGAACCCTACCAAGTCATAAATCAGAAGTAGAAGGAATGTTATTCTAAACAGTGTCAATTATGACACAAACCTGTCAGGTATTTATAGTTTTTAGTAGAAACGAAATCATCATTATAGTTATCCAATCCGCACACAGGGAGTTATCAGAATTGTCCAATAAGGAAGCTATACGTAGTGATTCTAGAATATTCTTCCAAAAGCTGATTAGAAGGAATATGTCCGGCTCCTTCTGTGCTTCTTCTTAGAGCTTCCTCAAACTTCACCTGTGGACCATCTTCACACTGATGACAAAAATAAACTTGATCATAATGTTAACTCATTAGTTTAAGCAAGTTCATTACAAACCTTATCGACAAAAACGAATGACTAGAGCTATTCTTCAGTTTCAACGCATTCAATAACATGTTTAATTACATGGTTTTATTTAATTTTGTGTTTGAACATTTGTACAAGGTCAAACATTTGTTTTATCTAATTGACTGCAATCTTTATGAAACGGTAAAATCTATTACAAATCACTGATTAATTATGGTTCATTGTATTTCTGTGACTTATTATAAAGCTTGTTAAGTATGCAAGGAAGTAATCTAAACAATTGGATTCATCGAAAAACCTCACAATGTTCAAGTAAATTGTTAATTTATAATCGTCAATGCCTACTTACTTACTTACGCCTGTTACTCCCAATGGAGCATAGGCCGCCGACCAGCATTCTCCAACCCACTCTGTCCTGAGCCTCCCTTTCTAGATCTATCCGATTTTCGTTCGTTCTTCTCACGTCTGTCTCTATTTCTCGACGTAATGTGTTCTTTGGTCTTCCTCTTCTCCTTTGACCTTCAGGATTCCATGTGAGGGCTTGTCTTGTGACGCAGTTGGGCGACTTTTCTCAGTGTGTGTCCTATCCACTTCCAGCGCTTATTCCTGATTTTTTCCTCCGCTGGAATCTGGTTTGTTACCTCCCACAGTAGAATGTTGCTGATAGTGTCTAGCCAATGGATCCGAAGTATCTTGCATAGACAATATTCAATGCTAGCAACTCAGTAAAATCAATTTATTACGAAAATTGCTATTAGTTATTGCATTAGTTATCGCTAAACTGTTAACATCTAACACTTTCTGGTGGCAACCTACATCAAACTAAATTCCAAGTATAGTCTACTCTCTATATGTTTTTAGCTAAAGAGAAATAAATTATTTATAAAAAAATCCATAGTTAGACATTCAGTTAACTGTTTCACCTAAGTGTGGGACTTGTTGCAATCTCCTTCTCCGGGGGATATCATTGTGATTGCTTAACTCGTAGATCATTACATATTTAATTTCAGTCAATTTAAAATAGTGTACAATCATTCTTCAATATCATTGGTTAGTAATTGACTAACTGCCAACATATTCATACTCTTCTAATTATGACTTTTTATTGGAACTGAAAAAATTACTTATTATTTCTTCAATAAAATATATCATATATAAGAGGGGGGATTTGTGGAGATTTTAGTATTTTATATAGTTGAAATCATGAGTCCAGTGCTTCCAGGTTTTCCAAGGTAGTCTAGCTTCAATTGACTCATGATTTCAACTATATCATGTATAATTTAAATACATATCCTTGTTTATCAGAAAGTGAAAATGAAAAACAAACAAACAAATAGTATCTATGCAGAATGGAATGCTGATACAATAATGATATATAGTTGAAATCATGAGTCAATTGAAGCTAGACCACCATAGAAAATCTGGAAGCACTGGACGGCCGTTTCGTTCTATTTTGGGACTACTCAGCAGTGCGCATCCACAATCTCACTTCACAAGATCTCCACAAAACCCCCTCCTGATAATCATCATATGCTTACTAGTGACTGGTTCCATAAGGTATTTCCTGGAGTTCTAGTGACAAGCAGTGGCCAGTGAAGATCAATCAGGTCTGTTGGGAGATATCAAGTCACTGAAGACATTGGTGAATGTGTGGTGTTGTCTACTTATATCCATATAAGTAGTATATGGCGTGGGTCAGACATAGAATGTATTTTCGCAGAAGACCGATGAGAAAAGAACTGAAATGAAGCGCAATCGTTTGGAAAATGCATGATGAATGGAATAAGAGAAGAAACAGTGAAGATTGAAACAATTGGTTATTAATTTGCAAATTGACTGTTCATTGTTTGGTTATCAGAATTTACCGAGATAGTCTGTAATGTTTGCTTAAATACATTCGATTGTCCCCAGTTGTGTTCTGTCCACTACATTTGGTGTCGCTGTCAACCAGGAGGAGGGAGGGTGCTGTTCTGCGAACGCCGCTGAGGGTCTGGAGTTGAGGTGCTAGTTGGGGCAGTCTGGTGAGGAGAGTTGGCGTCGAGTGGAGTGTTCTGGCGGGGCGGCGTTGGCTGTAGCGGGTGCTGTCGACGGAGAGGAGCAGTGGGACGTGCGGCTGCTGGGCGGACATCGGATACAGATGGCTCAGCAGCCCGGTGGAGTACGGGTGTTAAACGTCCCAGGTGCCGGGTGGATGCGGATGTTGGTGCCCCGGCAGGTCGACGGAGCTATGGAGGTCAGCGCGCCGCAGACTCGACATTCTGACGGAGAGTTTGGCACAGACTGCAGTGGAAGAAGATAGCGGCGTGGCGAGCAGAACCACCGCATGAACGAATGCTTTAAAGGGGGGACGAGTGTGGTGTTGTCTACTTATATCCATATAAGTAGTATATGGCGTGGGTCAGACATAGAATGTATTTTCGCAGAAGACCGATGAGGAAAGAACTGAAATGAAGCGCAATCGTTTGGAAAATGCATGATGAATGGAATAAGAGAAGAAACAGTGAAGATTGAAACAATTGGTTATTAATTTGCAAATTGACTGTTCATTGTTTGGTTATCAGAATTTACCGAGATAGTCTGTAATGTTTGCCTAAATACATTCGATTGTCCCCAACTAGTGTTCTGTTCACTACAAATGACTGCTCAATTTTGTGGATTGGTTGAAGTTCGATATTAACACCGTTGGATACCTACCAGCTCAATAGTCTATCGGTTAAGTGCTCGCGCGCGAGACTGATAGGTCCTGGGTTCGAATCTCTTGAGAAGGGATCGTGGATACGCACTGCTGAGGACTCCCGCAATAGGATGAAACGGCCATCAAGCAGTGCATTCAGGTTTTTCATGATTGTCTAGCTTCAATTGACTCATGATTTCAACTATGAATAGTATCTATGTAGAATGGAATTTAAACACAATGATGATAATCACACTAACTAATGAAATTAAAATACTAAATAAATTAGTATGAATTATGATTCAATTGACAATCATAATATTCATCTATTATTTGATGATTAATATTGATAAGCTTATAATGTATGTGAATATCAATAATGAATCTACTGCTGTTGATTTAATATTACTCTAGTCATATGATACTTGTTTAGATAGTTTTGTCTATAGTCAGAATTCAATAATTAAATGTAGCATAGTTATATTGGTATCATTCATAGTAGATTTACAGGTTGTATAAATTTATAGTAAGTCAGTAATATTTCTATGCTGTTCGATTTCTTGAATTATTATTATTATCTTGTGAGGCGGGATCGTGGATGCACACTGTCACTGAGGAGTCCCACAATAGGACAAAACAGCCGTCAAGCCGTGCTTTCAGGTTTTTCACGGTGGTCTAGCTTCAATTGACTCATGATTTCAACTATGAAAAAGAAATAATTAATCAATCCGTAAAATAATAGAGTTTATTTGTAGTAATCGTTTACAACTTCTAATTGATATGGAATTGAACAGCCTCTTTTAAGATATGTTCATTATGAGCAAACTGCCTAGATATTATCATCAAGTCACAATCATTTTCGGTAAAGCTGGTTAGTAACTAATAGTGGAATCCAGAATGTTCATTTTGTTTTACTTCGCCTGCTTTGGATCCTACTGCCAGTCACCGTATAAATCATGTAAATAAGATCATGACGTAATGGCAGTACCTAGGCCGTTTGCACAGTGTGCATATATCCTAAGAGAAGGAGATCAACTTCAGTCCTGAACATTAACCGAACAATTCATAAAACCAAGTTAAAATTCATCCCTTTGTACAACGCAGAGGTTTCGTAAACTTAGTAGCTAGGTAGGTCCCGCGTTGGTGTTCAGAGCAAAAGTTACTGGGTTCGAGTCTGAGGGTGAACATCGGTTCAGGTTCACGTACACCAGATGCACGAGTCCATAAAAAGATGAAGTTCTCTCAAACTTAACTAATTCTATGTTATATTAAAAAGAACAATGCTTCAGTGTAAATATGGATTATTCCTATCCCTCTTCAAAATAAATATATTTCTTGAGAAACAAATGAAAAATATTTTCGATAAGTAACTATAACAGACTATTAGTACTACAGACTATATTGTGTCCTGTAATCATGTGACATATACTGTCACTAAATAATCCAGCTATTCAACGGTGAACCAGATTAAAGATCTTTTCATACGATTACAATGAAGTCCAGGGAATGAAGTGAAAATTGAAATGAATTTTACATCAGAACACAATCTTTCATATTTAGATTGCAGTTGGATATGTCTGTCATCACTCCTTGATACATCTCAGGTCATTTTTAATGAAACATATCGATATTTCATCATAATTCTATTTATTGATAACCAACTAAATTAATAGAATTTTTATTCTATTTTTCTACTGTTTATTTTTTTCGTAAAAAAATTCATGACCTCTTCTAAATTTGGATGCACTAACCATGTCAATATTCACGGTGTCTATGTATATTATTGGATTGGTATTAGTGATGCACTCTTATTTATTTCACTGTATAATGACAGTTTTCACATGCTACCGTTTATGCTACAGTATATCGAGGGTGATAATTTATGTTAAATGATTTATACTACTTATGAATAATTAAGTAATAAAGTGGTGAATCATTTCATTATTATCTCTAGATGATGTTCGAATTAACATTGTTGGATATAACACACATAACAGTCTTGATTAGGTGTAATGAAATAGTATAAAAACTGATCAGTTGTTGAAATATTTTGAATATTGGTGACAATCATGAAAACATTCATCTAACTTTTATACTTTCTACTAAATTTTGCACCAAATGTTACTAATCTGTCACTTAGTGCATTATGAAATGGTCTAGTGTGTACTGTTAATCCTTGTTCTCTAACACCCACTCTTACAAAACAATATAACAGAATAAGGAAATGTCTTTTCGAGGTGTTAATAAGATCTCAAAGCTCATAGAGATCACAACCACTTTGAATAACCTTATCCTAAACAAAGATGGATAGTGGCTAGCAATAGAATCCAGATTGACGCGCTTTTCGTCTTATTCGGGACTCGTTAGCTGGATATACCTGCATCTCGGAGTTAATGTTTATACTTGGACTCGAACTGAGTACCTTTCGCTTCAAACGCCATCGCGTTGTGCACTCATCTACTGAGTCCTGATAACCCCATGCTTGTGCAATGCGAAGATTAAAACAAACAATGCTAAGTGAATTTAACCTTATAAATATTTTCCATCATTTTGAAAATGTCATTTACTAAGTGCACTTTTTGCTTTGAATCACACTAACACAGAATTATGGTTAACTTTCGTGTGTGTGTGTGTGTGTCTGTGTCTGTGTGTATTTCATTTTCACTTCCACATTATTTCACATTATTTCAAATTAATCATTTAATATGCAACTTTTTTAAAAGCATTACATTGCGAATCAAATATTTAACGCTTTAGTTGCTACGTTAACCTTATATGTATGTACGTTCACTTTAATACATTTTAACCATTCATTCATTACACTTTGATAAAAATTTTTTTTTAAGGATTGTACTGAAAATGCTGAAAATACAGCTTGGTTTGATCAATATCCTGATTCATATTGGGAAATTGGTAATATTGGTACAATTATTCAACAACAGTAGGTTATTTTAATTAAAACAGTTTAAGATATTTGATTGATTTATTTATTTGAACACATAAATATTGGTACAAAGGGGCACCAGTTATGTATGGGCCACACAAAAATTTGTCATTTCATTTAATTGTGTGAGGGCTATGATATTGCCCGGGTGGCCAAACAGAAGCAAGTAGTTTTCTTAAGGGTCTACACTACGAACCTTTGACCTAAAGGTCTGATCCACAAGGTAGTAGAGAATCGTAAGGAGATGAAGTCCCATGTTAGCCGGTGACCGACGATTGGTTCATACGCCATTTGTTCCCTCAGAATACTGGATCCCATGTACACCATTGGTTTTGAGTCACGGTTTTCCAACCCCCCTTGATGGATTTTCCGTGTCCACTCACCCGGTTCAGTGGTATAAGTATTGTAGGGATTTATACGTAATGCAAATGATAAACTTACACAACCGGAGTACACAAAAACAATAATGAACCTATGTGGTCGAGGCTGAGTGAGTTTTTGCGACCTTCTCATGACTCCAGTGACCGACTATTGTGGAGTCATATGGATGAGTTCCTCTACCTTATGCATTACTATTCGAAAACCTTCGAACCTATTTCTAAACTTAACAAGTTATTGGACCATGTAAAAGAAGTGTAAATTATCTAGCTATTCATTTATTTATTCTACATTTATCTATGAAATATCCCAATCCCAACTCAACCTGTAGCTCTGCTAGAGTTACTGCCGGTCCAAAGCCCTGGTAAAGGAGGAGGGTCGGGCATGGTGTTATCGACCCCATCCCGTAGAAAAACTAACTCGGTAAAAAACACTTATCAAAAGTAATCACTGTTCATTTTTATTCCAATCACATTGAATGAAACAGATAATAAGCTTCTTATCAAAAACGTTAAACGTTCCTTTACTTAAAAGCCATTCATGAGTGCTGACTAATCAATCAGTTAAGTTTTGAATACATCTTTCTCTAACTCATTTCATCCCTTGACCAAAAACCAGTTTTAAAGGGTATGTTAAATACAAGAATTTATTGTATCATTAAAACAGTAAGGTTATTATGTTTTCAAGGGTTATTAACTGTATCCAAGAAAGATAATTTTTATATTGAATATGTTATGAATTTAAAAAATAAAGAAGGCCGTATACTAATTTGTCTTAGTCTTATATCCAGCTTTTTATCACGTCAATTATCCACCAACCGATATACGACATTTTCAATCTTAACACTGTACCAAATCAATGACATTCAACTGGTATGAGCAATCTAATGTCCTTATTGGTCCCTTGTCCGCCTAGCTCTTCCAATTGAGTTCAGAAGACCAATTACAGCTTCCAGTATGCGAATCCTTTATTTCAAGCATACTCGGTTTATATACTAAACAGACAGACCGCATCACACCATAAAATAGAAAACGATATTTGTACAAAATCAAGCCAAATGTGACTGTGAATATGGGATACAGTAATCAATAAACTGAATATAATTTAGGAACAGTAAATCGTATAATAATAATCCATAGATCAAAATGAAGTTTGTAATAAGATGAATATAGATATACACAATCTAATTACTCAATAGTTAAACCATAAGAATATATATAGAATAATAGTCCATTAATAGATCCTGGAAGTTACCTGTACTTACGTCTTCACTAGGATATAACAGAATATGTTGTATAATAATGAATATAATAAAAGTGTCCTAAAAAAAATATCACTACAGAAATTAACTGAATATTACACTCTATTACGATCTTCCACTTCTATACGTATCCACTTAAAATTGGGTCACTCAATTATACAGTTGATTTATAAATCACACTCTCGTCGACTGAATTTTCAGGAATTGATCTCCTACCAGGAAGTTCACTTATCGACTTAAAATACGCAGATGACATAGTCCTGTTTGATGAAGACGCTGACAAAATGCATAGTCTTCTGTTAGAACTGAGTAATAATGTCAGGATGTTTGGGATGCGTTTCTCCCCATCTAAATGTAAATTGATATTCCAGGATTAGCCTGAACTAAGGATAGGGAGTGAAGTAGTCGAACCCGTCGACAACTTCACTTATTTTGCAAGTTTGATCAGCCCTAATGGGTTGGTGTCTGACGAAATCTTTGTGCGGATTTAAAAATCTCGTTCGGATTTTGACAACTTACGTCACCTATGGCGAAGACGAGATATCCTTCTATCAATTAAGGGACGAGTATACTACGCAGCAGTTCGTTCTGTTCTACTTTACGGCTGCGAAACATGGCCATTAAGAGTAAAAGATACTCGTAGGTTACTAGTATTTGTCCACAGATGCCTTATAAATATTGCCCGCATCACCGGTTATTGCTCGCCAAACCAAAACGTGGCATCAGTGCTTGAAGTCATTAACTTCTAGTCTGAGCCATGTTGATAGATGCAGACTACTTGGTTGGTGTTCGCTTGACTATCGTAACCAATGGTTGGAGACTGTGTGTGACATGGCTGAGAATCGATCACAATGACATAGGTGTATACACTCTTTATCTTCCCTTAAACCTTGAGATTAAAATTGCTTCATAACTTTTTTCCTTCCTATACTATATCCTTATGCACAACTTCTCTTTTATATACTACCACCACTAAATTAACTATTTCTATGAATTCGGTGTTCATCTTGTTGTGATAATGAGGTATGCAACTTGGACCGATGCATAAACGTTCCTGATCTTACGTTGTGGTTGACTGACTAACTGATTCTCTCTTGTCAAATAAATCCATTTTATATGTTATAGCTTAATATATATTTTTCTTCTTCTTTTTTTTTCTTCATTTAATTCTTTCAAAGAACTACACCTTTTGAATTCACTATTGGTTTTCGTGCACAATTAGCTAATACTGCTATTATTGGTGAACATTTATCATTATCTGGTGTTGAAGAAATAGAAGAAGATGTTTATAGTTTATTAGTTGCATTTAATTTTGGTCCAGATGATGGAAATATTTATATCATTTTATCAAAAAATCAAATTTTTATATATGCTGATAGAAAAAATCTTTTATGGTCTAGTCCATTTATAACAATAACAGATACAACATGGCATCGGTTAAAATTAATATTTCAATCAACTAATTCAATAGAAGAACAAAATGGTCCTGGTGTTGAAAATGGATTACAAGTATGAGTTCATTCTTTTTTGTTGTTGTTGTTGTTGTTGTTGTTGTCGTTGATGGTGGTGATGATGGTGATGGTGGTAGTGGTGTTGTTGTCATCATCATATCTCTAACCTTATTCATAGTTGAATAACATTTTGATTGTATAATTAAACTAAGATATTTTTTATTATCAGAATGGGGTTTTTGTGGAGATTTAGTATTTTCATAATTGAAAGTGTTAGTCAATTGAAGCTAGACTACTAGGGAAAACCTGGAAGCACTGGATGGTTGAAGAGTCCCACGATAGGATGAAACAGCCGTCAAGTAGTGCTTCCAGGTTTTCCCTAGTGGTCTAGCTTCAATCGACTCACACTTTCAAATATAAGATATTTATACTATTGTTATATCGATTGATTGCGTTCTTGCCTAGTTGATATATATATATATATGAACGTGATAAGACCGCTAATTAGAGAGGAGTGATTTATCGATCAGAGCAATGATACACAATAGCCGTATGAGCAGTTTTGAGCATTTATCAGTCCTGCTTTCTTCCTAGCCCAGCCAGTTAAGTCCAGAACACCAATAACAGCCTCTACAATGTGAATCATTATTCTCAAACATACTGGGTTTATATACCAAACAAACTGATCACATTGTACCATAAAATAGAAAATTACATTTGTACAAGATTTGGCCAAATGTGGCTGTGAATAGGGGGAACAGTAATTAATAGATTGGGTATAACTCAGGAATGGTGAATCGTACAGTAATAGTCTATAGGTCAAAACAAAGTTCATAATAAAAGGAACATGAATATGAATAGTTTAGTTACTTAACAATTATACAATAGGAAATATACATATCATATTGGTTCATAAATGGTCTACAAAAGTTACCATTCATAAATCTCCACGGGATATAACAACTATAATGATGAATAGTTGAAACCGTGATGTGGATTGTTTTGATGGATATTGAGTAATTTTAGAAATCAGTAAGAAAAAATTTATAATAACGCTTATGTTGACAAAGTATAGGTAAAAAGTCCTTGACGGAGTTAGACGGCTACTCAGTTGTTCTTTGGCCATTGATAATACACTTGATTTCATTTAATATTAAATTTCATCTCTAAACTCACCAAGTACTACTGATGTCAGTTAATCTTAAAATATTGAGCAATTGTTACACTGTTACAGGTTTCTATGCTCCCACTAGAGTTCAACTCATGAATGACGAAGTAAACAGTGAGTGACGTAATGACTGAAGCTATACTCTTGATACTACATTCATTATAGAAATCCAAAGTTATTTATAAGATGAGAAACTGTTAGAAAGTATGCTAAAATACTACTGATTATTTTCATGAACTGATTGAGTCTAGAAAAAATGCACCAGCTACTAGGATTCACTGGAAGTTGCCAAGTTGGTATACTATTCATTAGTATCTAGTATGTGGATATTTGAGATCAGTTAGGTATATACCTTAACATCTTGATTCTCAACTATTTTCATTAGATTCGGCCGTTCTCTAGTGTAATAATAATAAAAGGACCTGGTGGCTCTATTGAGGAGTCCGTCTAAGCGATTGAGGTGCGCAAGAAACCGCAGTTGAAAAAAACTATTTACCTAGAGAACGGTTCTATCATAAAGGAATGTTCATAAATCGGTTAAAGACCTCAAATGTTGATGTATCTGCAGCGGATAACGTGTCTGTATCGCTGTAGAAGGAAAAGCTTATTGTAATAAAACAATGGTCAAAAGCGAATTAAAATAGCGTAAATTACAGCTTATAATTGTGTTTAGTGTTAACAACAGTTTACCAGCAACCAAAATGGGGATTCAGAGCACACAGATTAAGAAACTGTTGAGTTTAAACATAGACTTTAGGGGTTCAAAACACTGGGAATAACTTTCGTAAGGTTTAGAGAAAGTAATTATGATAATAAATGTGGTAAATGTCATTAGTTTATGTAAATACTTGACAATAATACAAAACAAATAAACTTGCGTTACATTATACGTCTAGGAATTACCAGAAATATAACTGTTGACTGGATATTAATAATTAGGATAGAGCATTACACAGAAATGAGTTGAATGATCAATGAATAAGCAAAGTGAAAATAAACGAACCTAACAATAATAGTAATGTAACTCATTTGCCTTATTTCTCTTGTTTGGTATTCTTTGATAGTTATTATTTGATCATCGTCATTTTTGGCTTCCACCTGTGGAAATATTTAATTTACCATCGGTTGTATTTATTGGAGGCTTACCTAGGGTGCTCAATTTACAATTACAAGAAAATCGTCAACTTGTGAGTCTGTTTATCAAATGATCAAAGTGATATGATATTTTTGACAAGATTTTTATACTGTTTACTAATATTAAGTAGTATATTTTTCAGCAACCTCAAATTTCATATCGATACACAATTAAGGGACTTCTCCCCGTTTTTTAATTATCATGTTTAAAATTGAATATATTTATATTCATGAATAGAAGACACAATCTCCTATACAAATAAAGAAAAGGTTTATGTCAATTTAGTGGGTACTGTTTAGTTAGAGTTATGAGGAGATGTAGCATTTTTGTATGTGAATCATCTACCTACCTCGTACTCAAAATTATCTTTATTCTCTCCATGATCACATGTATGATTTATGTATGATTACTAAATGTAAATACTACAGTAGGGATGGAGTCGGCGTTTTTACTTCTAAACACCATTACAAACTTCCATATTGGAATTTTGTGTATTAAATACCCTCTCCCTCTCCAAATGCTTTCATATGGCCACGCGTAAACAACCTCTGCCAGGGAAGTCCTACTCACTGCCTTCTCGTGACAGGAGTGTTGTTTACGAAACTGAGAGGACGAAAAGCGAATGTCCGGCACTTCAACCGGGCTGGTGGACACGGAGAGTCCACCTAGGGTAGTTGGAAAACCCTCATCCCAAACCAATGGTGCACATGGGCTCTAGTATCCTGAGGGAACAAATGGCGTGTGAATCAATCGTTGGTCACCGGCTACCATGGGACTGCATCTCCTCAGAATGCTTCACTACCTTGTGGATCAGATCTTTAGGTGACAGACTCCGGTTATGGCCCCCAAGTAAACTACCTGCTTCAGTTTGGGCACCTGGGCATTATCACAGTCCTCGCACAAATCGAATTAGATTTGTGCAGCGCATATGTATTTGGTGCCCCCTTGTACCAATATTTATGTGTTCAAATAAATTAATTAATTAAAGGTTTTGGAAACGATTACAGTAATTTTAAAATGTGAAAGGAATTCAGTCTTTAGTCAATGTATCTATAAGTTGATGTTTATTAGATAGTAACATTCCTTCGAATGACAACTGAAAACTGTCAATAATGGATTGATTATTTAATTACTTATTTAATTGACAGAAAAAAGCGATCAGAATTTGGGTAGCTGGTTGTTTGTTTTTTGTAGTTATAAGTAGTTATCTGAAGTAAATATGGCAATATAACAATGTGTTTAATTCATTTTTATTGACTAACTCTCAGTTTAAGCTTATTATTATAGTGTATGTAATTTAAGAGATTTAAGTAGTAATGAAGTTTTAACAATTTGATATCATTCTAGGATATTTGGAATGCGTTTCTCTCCCTCTAAATGCAAATTGTTACTTCGGGACTGGTCTGCGTCAACACCTGAACTAAGGATAGGGAGTGAAGTAATCGAACGCGTCGACAACTTCACTTATCTTGGAAGTCTGATTAGCCCTAATGGGTTGGTGTCTGACGAAATCTCAGCATGGATTCCAAAAGCTCTTTTGGCTTGGAGCGATGGATATGTGTGCCTGGTTCTACGTTGTAGCTGACACATTGAATTTGATATCGGTTACTATATTTTGAATAGTTAGAATATTCTATCAAATTGTTCATTTTGAAAAATCTGATAAACCTCACTAATCACTTCACTGAATGATAACCCATCTAAAACTTTGAATGCAACATAAATTTCATTCTTCCTATTAATGAAGGTTAAAAGATTGTAAGACTAATATCAAGGTTCTCTCAATGACTTTTTTATTCCACTGAGTTATGAATCGTTGAATAATTTTATTGATCGATTAAGATATTATTTACAACAGTCAAACTATATTCTTGTGTTATCCTTATCAGTTGGATTTAAACATAACATAAGGATCTAAGAATCGGCCTAACTGAGCAATTACAAATCAAGACGATATAGGCCATGAAGAAAAGTGATATAAAAGCTATTCATATCGAGAGCATCAGTTCCTTAAATACTGCAGGTCCTTTAATCCTGCCAATTAGCACGAAAGTAATGGTTTTTTGACTAAAATAATTTCACTGATTACTTAGATCATTTATGGAACTTGTTGAATATGTTAACAGCTTACGTTATGAATAAGGATTATCTATGAGACGATTGAAGATGAAAGACCACTAGGTACTTGTTCCATCTTGTCGTAATTGTTTAGTAAGGCAGGCCTATGATTATTTCACAACATTGCAAACAATATACTATATAGGTACCGAGTCAAAATCCAGTGATTCTCACATTAAAACAGTTGAACGCATTAGCCAATCTAAGCTAGATCACCATCAAAAACCTAGAAACACCGAAGTGTGTTTCATCTTAGCATTGAACTACTCAACAATGCACATCCACGATCCTGCTCGCTTACTCTCTAGACCACTGAGCTAGCATCCAACGGTGTTAATTTTTAACTTCTCATATTTTAAGATTACTCATATCGGCAAAGTATTATAACTTTCATTCAACCAAATGATCAATTAATTATTTACCTTCAAAAGTATAAAAATACTCGTAAAATCAATTCATTTGTCCTATGTCATTGTGTATTTATTTTATCTTAATTAGTCCAATATTTATGGTTTATTCGGATGTGTCGATGAACTGACAATGAATAATGTTAGTATGTCTTTAAGAACAAGCAATCGTCCAGTTTGTTATGATTGTTTCAGTTTAAATCCAACAATTGTTCATGTTCCAGAAAATATTGATGAATATTTAAAGTATAGTTTAATTAAATTATATAGTAAGTTGATCATTTATTGGAGATAGTTTTAGTTAATAAATTTAAGCTACTTTTATTTTTGTAAGTAGTATATATTTGTATTGTTATTTTCTGTGGGTATTTTCAGATTCAGTTTATATATCAACTACTGAGATTCATGTGGTCTTTTTAACTACGGGTGGAAGAATTTAGAGAAATATAGGGTCTGGTATATAATTAATATGGTTACATTTAAGGTGCATTGTTTTCCGTTTATACTGATGATTTAATCCCAAATGTTCACCTTTCGACTTTTCTATAGAATAGTTTTAAGACCTGATGATCAGTGCACTCAACATTCAGTAACGGGGGTCAGTTTTGAACTTGTGTACATTATATTCGTCTTAATTAGCTATATAGTATAATTTACTGATGAATGGAGTAGTTGGATTAAAGTTCAATGTTTTAATTTGTATATAGAACATTTACAACTTACGTAAAGTTTCCAGAATACCAGAGGATTTCTAAAATGAAAAAATAAATGAAGAAAATAAAATCTTCTAAGACAATCAGTCGGAAACTTGGATATCGGAAGAAGCTAATGAAACACTGGTGGAATAACTAGAAATATCACTTCGACATGAATTAATCACCTTTGTTGTTCTAAACGACAGTTAAATTTGTAGAAACCAATCGTTTGACTTTAATCATATTTGGCATATATCCTGTGACGATGGATGATGAAAACTATTTAATTAAACTAATTAGTTTAGTGAATACACGAGTAACATCATATAAACACTAATCACTAAGTGACAAATTATTTATTTTCTCAGATTTATTTTAAGCAAAGATGGATAGTGGCTAGTAGTAGAATCCAGGTTGACACGCGTTTCGTCCTACTTGGGACTTGTCAGCCGCATGTACCTGCATCTCAGAGTTGATGTTCATTCTGTGACTTGAACTCAGTACCTTTCTCTTCAAACGCTGTCGCGTTATTCACTCAGTCCTAGAGTGAACATCAACTCTGAAATGAAAGTACATCCAGCTGACGAGTCCCGAATGGGACGAAACGCACGTCTTGAATTCCACTGCTAGCCACTGTCCATCTTTGCTTATAATGCTTGTGAATTAAGGCTATATCGAAGCAATGCGCACAGTATGTACATATGCCTATTAAAGACTGACCAGTTGCAGTCCTGGAAACATCAATGGGAAGATTCAAACAAACAATACTAAGTGAATTTAGATTTATTTGTTTATTATTCATATCATCTATCAACTTAATCATTGTTATTTTCTTTCCAGTACCAGAAATATTTACTCAACCTGGACATGATAAATTAACATTTGATTTTAGTTTCTTTTATGATCGTAATACTATAAAACAAGCTAGTTTATTTGTATTGACATTTGGTGGAACAATTGATCAACCTAGTGAAGAAATTCATTTATGGTTATTCCTATCAAATAATGAAGTAAGTTCTAATTGTAATTTCGTCAAAATCTAGTTAGTAAAAAATAATCTACTGTATGTAGTTTATAATCTCTTTCCTATTATTCAATCTCCGCCTGTAGCTTCTCCGGTGGCTACTGCCGGTCCCAAGCCCGGGTAAAGGAGGAGGGTTGGGCATGGGGTTAGCGACCCCATCTCGTAGAAAAGCTAACTCACTAAGAAAAACGCTAACCAGAAAAAAATTATTCAATCCTCGGATTATCATTATTTCACTTGTTGATTACTATCAACAGGGGATCCACTTTATCTTTGGTTGTGACTGACTTCCTAAATTGTAGTCTCTCATTTAAACTTTAAATAATTTCTGAACAATACAAGACATCAGTTAGAATTATAATGTTATACCTTTAAACGGTTTTGATAGATAACCATTGTAGATAATCTGGTTTATCTATTACACACGCAACAACAAATGCAGGAGAAGATGACAAATGTGTCAGCAGCCTCAGCACCAATAGGTCACAACATATACAAAGGGAAAAGCGAGACTCTTCGATACAATACAGCATGCACCGATCGAATCGCACTTGAAGGAGAAGGTTTGGAGGATGTAAAAACCTTCACATATCTGGGCAACATCATTAATGAGCACAGTGGATCTGATGCAGATGTGAAGACGAGGGTCGGAAAAGCAAGAGCAGCATATCTACAATTGAAGAACATCTGGAGCTCAAAACAATTGTCAACCAACACCAAGATCAGAATTTTCAATACAAATGTCAAGACAGTTTTACTGTATGTGTCGGAGACGTGGAGAACTACGAAAGCCATCATCCAGAAGATACAGATGTTTATTAACAACTGTCTATGCAAGATACTTCAGATCAGTTTGCCAGACACAATCAGCAACAAGCTACTGTGGGAGAGAACAAACCAGATTTCAGCGGAGGAAGAAGTCAGGAAGAAACTCTGGAAGTGGATTGGGCACACTTTGAGGAAATCACCCAACTGTACCACAAGACAAGCCCTCACATGGAGTCCTCAAGGCCAAAGGAGAAGAGGAAGACTGAAGCACACATTACACCGAGAAATGGAGACAGACATGAGAAGAATGAACAAATGTTGGATAGAACTAGAAAGGAAGGCCCATGAGAGATTGGGCTGGATAATGCTGGTCGGCGGCCTATGCTTTATTGAGGGTAATAAGCGTAAGAAAGTAATTAAGTAAGTAAATAAATAAGGTAGGAAGGAAGGAAGAAAGTAGGAATATGCTAAATTTGCAATATATAAATGATTAAATCCTTATTCTAAAACCTAAAATTTATCATTATTTAACAATAGGACGAAATGATCGTTCAGTGTTTCCAAGTTTTCCATGATAATCTAGCTTCAACTGACTCATAATCACACCAGACACCTATTAACATTAATATTTCATTATGAATTGAATAATTAATCCTTATTAATTATAGATTCCTTTACTTTATCATTATAATAACTTTTAATGATATGAAGAAATAGATGGAATAGATAATTGTTTTACCTTAAATTTTCTAATTCAATTCAATATTTTTGATGATTATATTCTATTCTCTAATCACCATGGTTACTACTAAATTACTTTAAACATTTTACATGGATAATAATACTATTAAATCATAATGACTAGCATTAGAATTCAGGCTATACAATTCGTACTATTTCATAACTTGTCAAACTAACAATACATTCATCCTAGTTTTAATATTTAAATAAAGATTAAAAATCTAGTATCCAATAAATTAATATGAAAAAGTTTTAAAAGAGCAAAACAAAGCCTTATAGATAATAAAAGTGGTATAATTAAGTGTTGAAAACCTAACCCTTATAACATCTTATATACAATTGAGTTTGTTTACATCTAATTTGGCTAAACCCTTTTGTTAACTTATTTAATGAACAGTTATTCATACAATAATAACTTATCTATACCATTGTACTTTTATTATATACACTTGAATATTGCTTACTGCCTAAGCATGTATTCATTCTGTAAAGCCTAACTATTAATGCCTTAATTGATTCTGCTCTGTACTGCTCTACACCGTATTGTACAAGCTTACTCACTCATTCGGCACTCACACTCACTCGCCTGCTTTACGGCACTGTTCTTTCATGCTTGCTTAACGTGACTGTAATATTAGATATTTGTGTGTGATTCAATAATAAACACAATTAACCCTTCGTATTAGCCTTTTGATTTATACACCGTTAGGACATTATCGAGTAACGGTTATCAAGACGAACAATATACGAAGTTTAGAGATAATATCGAATATCGACCACAACACCCTAACCCTAAAGACTATAGTTAAATGAGATATTCACTATGTTGTTTTCGTAAAGAGACTTAAGATTTGTAGAGATGAATGACTAAAATCTGTACAGAACAAGTCACTTCTAATTTTTGCAGCTTTTTTCACCATATATGTGCTTATAAGAAATTATTCTAGTAGAGTATCTCTTTTTGAAGTTCAGCAAGGATATATATGTATATAGAAGTTGGTTTCATGTGGGGCTCAGTTTTTGCAAATAATGCAAGTGAATTCATAATGTAAACAAGTTTATCAATACTCATTGGTGTTGCTCACGACAAAAGTTTCCCGTGAACATTTTCTATTGATCAAAGCCCCTTTGGAGAGGACAACATACAAACTTCAGTTGAGTAGACCATTTTTCCGAAAAATTTCGATAGTTTTTTATTGTAAGATTCCTTCTACATTATCCTTTTCCGAAATTCATGTTCCTATTTAGTTACTCTTAAAGTATTAGATAAACACCAGATGGATCTGTGTTAAGCGACCAATCATTTAGAAACAATTCAATCGTACAGGACGTTAATAATAACCTGAATAGTTTAGTAATGACATACCCGCATGTAGAACTAAGTGACACAAGCTCAAATCCCATATTGATCATCCATTCCTAAAGATGACAGGTATTACTTGCTTATAAATGTCAACCACTATGAAACTTAGGTCAACTAGAGTTGTCATTCGAGTATCCTTCAACTACCTTATACCATCTTCATTATACTTTATCCCATCGTTTTTTGTTTTTTTTCATTTCAAACTGATTGGATACTTCTTTTTTTTATTTTTCAAAAGGTTAAAATGGGTTATATAACAGAATCCAATGATGAATTAGAATTAAATCATGAAGTGAATCTGGCTAATATTGGACATAATCAAAATATTTGGCATTATATTAAATTAGATATAACATTTATTAATCGTAATCCATTATTTCAATTAAAATCTCAAACATCAATTAGTGATACATTAGCACCATTTATAAAAGCTAATCGATTAATATCAATACATCTTGGACGTAATACAGGTAACTTATTGATTAATCTATAATGGAATGATCTGAATGAGTGATCTAACTTCAACTTATTGTTTTTTGTTATAACTTGTGGCATTGTGTCCCTGTCAATATATATATATATATCACGTAATGACACCATCAATTAGAGACCACTTGAAGCCGGTCAAGTACGGCCTTTTTGTGGTGGATTTTGACGTGTTAGCTCTGTTCTTCAAAGGACCTTACCGGCGGAGATGGATATCTGTGGGATAAGGCGAGGTGTGCATTTTTAGGGTGGACCTTTTCTAACCCAACCCCACCCTTGTAGAAAGGCAGCATCGCTGTCATGCTGGTTGTCTGAAGAAAACACCTTACTACTGTCACACCTCTGTACAGTCATCAGTACGACTTCGCATTCGGACCTTGGGATCGCTGCTTTTATTCTTATCGCTATCCAACCGACCTGTCTGGAATGGTAGGACCTTGAGGAACGATTGTTCCAGTCAGAATAGCTCGATCACGATAGGCAAGCCTGACGATCACGTTAAGGTAGCAGCAACGGTCGGGAATTAGAGAACAGTGAATTATCGACTAGATCAATGACGCATAAAACTCGTACGAGCAGTCTAAAGTCCTTATCGGTCCTTGCTTCCTGCCTAGACCTTCCTGTTAAATCCAGAACGCTAATCTCAGCCTCTGCAGTATGAATCATTTATTTCAAACATACTGGGTTTATATGCAAACCAAACAGACCACATTGTTATATCGTGTGGCCAAATGCTCTGTTTAATATATGACGTGACGATGCCGCCAATTAGAGAGCAGTGATTTATCGATCGTACCAGTGACACACGATACCCGAACGAACAGTTTAGAGCACTTGTCGGTCCTGCTATCTGCGTAGATCAGCCAGTTAGGTCCGGAACATTAATAGCAGCCTCTGCGATATGAATCGTTCTATTTCAAACATACTTGGTTTATATACCAGACAGACAGACAGACCACATTGTACCATAAAATAAAAAATAACATTTGTACAAGATTCAGCCAAATGTGACTGTGAATGTGGGAGATCGTAATTGATAGACTGGGCATAACTTAAAAATGGTAAATCATATACTGATAGTCTATACATCAAAATCAAGCTTATCATAAGAGGGACACGAATATGAATAGTTTAGTTATTTCACTATTATACAATAAGAATATATGTAGTGTATTAGCCCAGAAATAGATTCTAACAGTTACCATTCATTATTCGCATTGCGATATAACAGTTTCAAATAGAGACCTTACCAATATTTACACTATTGGTATAAGTTTACCAAGATGGATTTTTAATATTACAAATGATAATCGATTTTAGCAGAAGAGAAAGTATATGGAATTATCAAAAGGAGGTTTTGTGGATATTTTAGTAATCTTATAGTTGAAATCATGAGTCAGTTGAAGCTAGACCATCATGGAAAACCTGGAAGCACTTGCGCACAAAAGTGATAAGTCCTGAATTCGAATCTTGTGAGGCGGGATCGTGGATGAGCACTGCTGAGGAGTCCCACGATGAGACGAAACGGCCTTCCAGTATTTCCAGGTTTTCGATGATGGTCTAGCTTCAAATGACCCATGATTTCAACTAAAAAATTATTAAAATCTCCACAAAACGCCCTTCTGATAATAATCAGATGCTCACTAGTGACTGGCTTCAAGAGGTATTTCTTGGAGTTCTGGTGAGAAGCAGTGACCAGTAAAGTTCAACCAGGTCTGTTGTGAAACAATAACTAACTGAACACGATGTTGGACGGTTGCTCAATTTCGTGGATTAGTTGAAGTTAGACATTAACACCGCTGGATTCCGGCTCAGTGGTTGTAAAGGTTAGGCGCTCGTGCGCGAGACTGATAGGTCCTGGTTGGTTAAGAACACATAATAAATGAAGAACTAGGTAACACAATGAACATCATATTTTATATTCTAGTTTGTGTCTCTTAGAAAATGCAGATCAAAGATGTAACAAACCGCCTACCTTAAAGATCTTGCAACAGATCTTGCAACCATCGAAATATCTGTGAACTAATAAGTTGGAATCTATTTGTTTGAGATAAAGAGTAATCCTTATTCAGTATTATTAGTGATCACACCTTCATTGCTGACGAGATTAGTTATTTTTTCGTAGTTTAAATTCGTGGTTTGCTTTTCCTTTGTCTACAACAGTTCTCTAATGTTTACCATTCTGTCATAAGATAGATAAGTCAATTTCATATTGTCTGTTTATTAACTTATGGCCCAGCAAGGAATAAAAGTCAGGCTTTTCGGATTTCTTCTTTAGTCCATCAAATTAGCATCCAATGATTTGCATTTATAAACTAAATATATTGAATGTGGTCAAAAGTGACTATCTTCAGGAGAACTACTCAAAATTGTGGAAACAAGTTTTTATCATTTGAGTTTAACAATTTTCGACATGTGACTTGTGGCAGATCGACAGATCAATTGACGTTAAAAATGTTAATCAGTTGGTGATAACTTGGTGGTCTGTGAGTTAATCATACTCGCTTCAAATCTAGAAGGTCTCAAGTTCGATTGATCATGGAGTCATGATTCCACGATCCTGAGAATTCTCACATTGAGATGATATAACTATACAGAGGTTCTTGATTTTCTGCTCTTTAATGAGTAGTATTAGTCTTTGATATAAACTATAGACAGTAAAAGAATATGATATAGTTATACACGCATTGATGAATCTTTATTATTCGTGGATTGGTTGAATTTAGACATGAACACCATCAGATGCCGGCTTATTGGTCCATCGGTTAAACGCTCGCGTACGAATCTCATTAGGCGAGGTCGTGGATGCTCACTGCTACTGAGGAGTCCTACAATAGGACGAAACATCCGTCAAGCAGTGCTTCTAGGTTTTCCTTGGTGGTCTAACTAAAAATGGACTCATGCTTTCAACTATGCAAATCCATTTAATCTTATCCAATTCCTTTTTTCATTTTTATTCATTTCAGTTTTAACACCAGATAAAATGAAAAAATCAACTTATAATTATCATGGTGAAATGTTTAGAGGTTGTATGCGTAGTTTACATTTATCAACACTCACAGAAATACGTAATATTAATTTACCAGAAGATTTACCAGGATTTCTCTACGGTCTTTGTCATACCTCATTGGTTTGGTAAAAAAAAATGGAAAACATAATGGACTATGTAATTTCATTTCTTTTTTTTAAAGTAATTTACTTCAATTATTAGTTATCTTAATATATCCCGTTTTATTCTTTTGAATTTACGAATCAAATTGATCAAAGTAGCTATTAGTTTGTAGATGGCGTCGAGTCTTGATTGACTATAATCATCTTTACAGTAAGATTACGAGCCGAAAATCAACATGGTCCCTTTGATAACTCGCAAACCATGAAGACTGTAACTGGTTCAGATAGAGTATATTTATTGACAATCATCTCGTGGTATCGAATGAGAAACCGAGACGCGCCAAAAATTACAGGCAATAAGAGCAGAGAGTAAGAATGTTCGAACCAACAAGATGGACAGAGGAACGAGAAGTGACTTTGATATAGTTAAACAACAACGAGTACGGTAAAACAATCACTGGTACAATTGGTTATAATAATAATTGTTTCCATTATACCAATTGAGTTCTCGTCGAGAAAAGCAGGTCATTACAAGTTTGACATCCCGGGCGGTAAAATGAATTCCGTATTCCGATGTAATGATCAAATTGTTATATCTGAAGCGTTTCGAATTCACTTAGCGAACGGAACAAAGACTTGTGACAAGTGACCGATAAGCTAGTTATTCTGACGCGTCCCAGATCTCGCTAACTAGAGTAAGAAATCCAAGTTGGAAGTGGCGAAAATATATTCCCTAAGCAGCCGGAAGCACAGCAATCGTAAGGAGAAGAAATCAAACGTATATATATACAGCATAAAATTGTCCTTGGGCAGTATTACAAAATAGCATACTAAAAGATATAACGGACCAATGGCGTTTAAGATAGTTTTACAAGTGGGAAATACGACTCGAAGGTGAAAAGAGCGCTTTTGACGCTTAAACAAAGAAATTCAAATTTTCAAGATAAAATTACAAAAATAGATCGTTTACCAGGTGAGTTCTGGGTATTTAACATCCCCCAACAGAAATTTAAATGAGAGTCTAAACTTCTGCAGTAGTCGAACTCATATTCTACGAATTATTGATTCGATAAACTGCCTTCTTAGTTAAGAGAATTAAATAAGATTCAGATCTTTATCACATAAACTAAACCATCTTTTACTATGGATGGTGTTTTTTCCCGAATTCTTACCGGATAATATTTGCCTAAACAACAACTGGGAGTCTTTGACTTTCATGAATCATTTAAGTAAGAAGTATTCAATTCGGTTGTGCACTTGAGAATAGTAAATAACTTTTAATGAATATGTCGATTCTAGGGTGACAAATCATGGCATGGGTCAGAGTTTTTCGCATACATCAAATACATATAACACTTAATACAATATGTTAACTAGTTGATGAGGGTACTTTGCCGTCTGCTGTATCATAGTGATCATCAATCCATAAAATTCCTTGTAATGACCTTGGGTACTCAATCGAAATATGTTAGATATTCTAGAAATATGACGCTAGCTTGCTAATATTCTCTCAATTCGTTATGTTAATCGATATAACCTCGTTATGATTTCTCAATTTTTCACTATTAATGATTGAACTTATTACTAGACTATTGTAATGGCTTGGCTGAATGACATGCTAGCCAAAAACTGATTGGTTAAGACAAAGTAAGAGGTGAGAAGTTAATTATTCTAATCTATGTCGCATTATTCCATTCCAACTTATAGGTCCTGGGTTCGAATCTCGCGAGGCGGGATCTTGGATACGCACTGCTGAGAAGTCCCACAATAGGACGAGACAGCCATCCAGTGCTTCCAGGTTTTCCATGGTGATTTAGCTTCAATTGATTCACGATCACAACTATTAAAATCAGTATAATATCCACAAAACTCCTTCTGATATTATAGATTTACGCTAATGAATAAATGTACAACTACACCAATACAGAGAACAACTAAAAAATGATAATGCCAAAGTAGGGTATTCAGGGTAAAAAATTAAACCTGAAATACTAGGCTTATAATTAAATCAGAAGGGGTTTTGTGGATATTATAGTAATTTTAATAGTTGAGATCATGAATCACTTGAAGCTAGACCACTATGGAAAATATAGAAGCACTGGTTAAGCGCTCGCGCGAAACTGGTGGGTCATGGGTTCGAATCTCTAGGGGGGTGGGATCTTGGATGTGCATTGCTGAGGAGTCCCACAATAGGACGAAATGGCCATCCAGTGCTTCCAGGTTTTCCATGGTGGTCATACATACAATTTTCATGTGGGTTTACTGTTGATTTCAACGGTAAGGAGATGATAATTAGTTGAGTAGGAATAGAATATCTCATCGGTAATTGATGGTTCCTTTAAAGTAACCAGAATGTCACGTCCTTGATCTGTCTACTCACTTTCGTATAGAGGATAATTTGTCTAATGTAGATTGAAACCTTGACGTGATAGGCTGACTGGCTCAACCTTGAGGCTAGTGTGCGTGAGTTCGAAGTGGGTTAGAGAGACGAAAACTCTTCTATCACCTGACTGGCGGACAAGTACGTGCGGGAGAGAGATGACAAGTCAACTGGAACACTACTTGATTTATTCTCAATTCCGATCTGATACCCAAATTCAGATTAGTGTAAAAAGATGCATGAATAAGTAGATGACTAACCTGACCACAATATACAATAATTAGGAAAATGCAATTATGTCCAAAACTGGGGAATTAGAGTAGAAAATAGAGTACAAAAGGTTACGTCTAGATTACAATAGCTTTGGGACAGAAAATGCTATGGCAATGAATTATACATCAAACGAAAGCTTATGATCTGTAGAATAGTCTAGGTGTGAAAGTAAATGTTACTGTTATACAAGCTTTGAATTAAATGAGATAACGTTTCCAGAAATAGCTTTCATAGTTTGTTAAGGCTTTAATGTTTCGCGGTTCACATCACTGAAGGGTTCTTAGGATTAACCAAATGATATTTTCTGGTTTCCATCTATTTCACTAATTTTCAGAACATAAATGTGAAGTTACATGGATAAGTTACAAGCTTCTCGATGGTATTTATTGATTCAACTTTATGGTAGATTGCTTAAGAATGTTATCTGCACTCTTACAGTATTAAGTGGTGTCATTGTAAAATTGTTGTAGAGAAATGATTAGTCTAGTACAGTGAAAGCTTTAAATACTGACTTCTAAGATATTTCTTAGACTCTGGAACATTTCAACATTCTCAATCCAAACTAAATATAGGTATAAAATATAGGAGATGACTTATATCAAAGTTTAGTTTACGTTATCGATCAAGTGTGGTAGAATAGAGTTGAGTATTGTCACGATGATATCTTTAGCTAACCACGGACCGTGGTGCTCACTAACTTGTTGGCTCAGTTACCCGATAATGAGCTTAATATAGCTTGCTCCACAGGAATAGCTGAATTCTTGGATAAAAATGGATGTCTCAGTACCAGGTGTAATGAACGAGAATACAGGTGGAGACAATTTAATATATTCGAGAATGAAGGTACAGAATCTCTTAGTAAAATCTGAGAATCATACATTTTGTAAAACATCAGTCAATCATTTCAGACTTGATTGTTCGTTTTGTAACTATCAATCAATCATCTTAGATTTCAATGTTCCAGAATTTTCATACTAAATGCTTTCTGTCTCCACTCTGTCCTTTTCGATCTTCTACTGCGATACATTCTATTCCTGACTATTATCATATACTACTTATGTGGATATAAGTAGCTAAAACCACACAGTTAACTTATCCTTTAGATAAGGAATCATAATAAATCGGGTCATGTAATTTTACATTATTAATTATCATATGAGATGGTAGAAAAGATTTGTAACTCAAGTGAGTGATTGAGGTATACAATACCTCTCTAAGCCGGATGGTTTGATTATGCATCTTTCACTGTTATGATGAAAGATATCATCAGCACAAAATTCAAATATAAGTTAATTGTACGAATTTCACAGTAAATGACAGTTTGTTTTGTCGATCGGATAATTATTGAACTTTAACCAACCAAAATCTATTATGTTGAAGTCTCTCATTGACTTCATTCTTGGTTGAATAATTAACCATGATATTTTTGAATGACTAAGTGATTTGATTGACTTAAATATAACTGTTGATTACTGAATGACCGAAGTGCCAAGGTTCTAAAAATACAGGAATTATTTAAGTATTAATCCAAAGAAAATTTTAAAAATTATAAAAATTGAATGCTATACAATAATTGAATAAGAATAAAATATCGACAAAAGCTCATCCCCAAAATTAAACCCGTAAGAAAATAACACATAAAACATTAACATAGAAAAAAAAAAAACACCAACAACGACAATAAATGAGGACAATCACAATAAAAAACCATTACATAAAGAGATAGAAACAGAAAACTTGTACCATGAACAAACTAAGATGACCGAATTAATAACTGAACATTAGAAAAGACAAATCTGAACGGATACAATTACACACAAAACAGTCAAAGAATCAATGTAAAACATGTCAGTACAAAGGCGTTATACACATAATGCTGCAACATCAACATCAACACAAACACCACACCTCACTGCATTCTAACCATTTTGACATTTGTTCATGAGATTTTAATGATCGCCTTATTCAATGTGTGCATTCGAACTGATCACAGACTGGAACTGGTGTTGACGCTGTGACGTTGTGCGATTCAGTGAACTTGTCGACTGAGAGACAGTCAGTTGTTTGTTGTCTGTGAGACAACCATTATTTACTTGTCAAGTTGTGGTCGACAGTTTGTGTGTGTCTGTGTGTGTTTGTGTGTGAGTAGGGATATATCTGTTATTGTGTGTGGTTTGTCGTGATGATGAGTTCTGTTGTAGGGTAGGACGGTGTATGAGTGTCCCACCGACAAGACACATAGCCAAATCGAGTCATCGGAAGAGACTGTAGGTGGACGATGTGGATGTGGTGGAGCGACGTAGAGGAATGTGGGCTGACTGCGAGTCGGTGTGTGTCGACTGATCGGAGTCTCCGCTCCTATTCCATGGACCAGACAGAAGCAGTCAGTGATCCGTCTGACGATTGATACTGACGTGCAGTGGATGTGGAGTGGTTCGGTGAGATTCCGAATTTCGTATGTCCACAAAATCCACACCCAC